TCCTTCCCGCGGAGCGACCCCGGACTCAACGAGAACGGAGACCAGCACGGGACCACGTCCAGAGCTAAGGCATTAAGCCTTCAACGTTTCAACTCTCAGCGCCAGCGACGGCCGGCACCAAACACAAGTATCTTCCGAGCGGCTGGACCGACTCCATCGGGGTACCCTGGCTATGCATGAGTACAATGTTACCGTATCACGGAAGTTTGGTGGAACGCCGGGGAGGGGATGACGTCATGCAAGCGCTGGGAATGTTTCTGTGGTGTATCGTCGTGCATTCGGTCCGATCAACACGCAAGCGTATGACGAAAAAGCGTGCACAAGGACCCACGCGGGTCATCTGCAAGCAGAAAACACTCACGCGCAACCGACGAAGGGACCTGCCAGATTCTGGGGAGACCCTCCTTGTGAGTAAATGCACAGAAACGAGCGAACACGTCTTCCACTCACCTGCAGCGCAGCTGGTTGTGCACACCGGCGGCTTTCGTCAGCAACACGTCGTGGTTGTGGGAGAAAAAGCGCTATGTGGCTCGAGCTCCGGTGCCGCCGCGTGCGGCCCGGTATGGGTGCTTTTGGGTTGGTGAGGTTCTCTGGCTCGTTCGAAGAGGTTCGTATATGCGCATCGCCAGAGACCTGGCCACCGGAGGCGCAAGCTGAAGGCCAGCGACTCTGAAGACACGTGAGCGCACAGCGCGCCGCGCGCGACAATGCCTACTTTGCCCGACGCACCGCTACGCCTTCATACCTGTTTTCCAACTGCAGACATCGGACCGGTCTCGCAAAGGAAACTCTAAAGCGGTCATGGTGAAACGGTCAGCGCGAGGGGCGTCACCGAGGGACGCAACTCACAGCATCATCACGCCTCACGGCCGCGGCGCTTTTGCAGAGGGCCACCGAGATTGATGAGCAAACAGCACTATATCCGGTATACTCTAGAGGGACATTACAACAGCATTAGGCAGAGGCAGAAAGTAGTCCGAGTCTCGAGAACGATGCGTCTAAGTCTAAGAAGGTGGTCCGGTGGTGGAGGTGGTGGTGGCAGAGAGAAAGAAACGACCTCGACGTCGCCGCCTCAAACGAACACACGTGGCTCCGACGCCCCGGCCCGCTCGGCCCAACACGGTCGCCGGAGCCGGTCGACGCGACCGACGGGCGCCTCCTGACGCCTCCCCTTGTTGCCCTCCCCCCATCCATCGCCAACCTTCACTTGCAGTCCTCGTGCTTCATCTGGAAGATGCTCTGCACCTTGTTCCTGTTCGTCGCGATCTGCACTCCCCCGGAACCTCCAGTCAGCGCGCGGAGCCGGCAAACCTAGGCAAGAACGGGACGCACGGTCGGGCAGCGGCAGCCGATCGTCGGCAAGTGGGTGTGCGCCGCGCTCGTCTTGCATGTCGGCGAGCAGCAGTCGACGCGCTCGCCCGAGTAGTACCTGCCGTGGAAGTGCTGGGAGGGTCCGCGAGGTGAGCCGTCGTGTTCCTCCAAAGCGCAGCGCGACTCACCTGGCACCCGCGCCAGTAGTCTCCGATGCTGTCGAGGCGCCGCGGTCAGCAAGCAAGCAATCAAGCAAGGGAGCCGAAGGCCCAAAGGACTCACAGCTCGTGCTCGCACATGCCTCCTCTCGGTGCTGTCTGTGTCTCTGGCTGCGTCTCCGGCTCCAAGAAGGCTCGACTGGGCGCGTCCGGACTGCGCTGCGAACGGGGGCGAGGGAGGGGTGGTGCGTCTCCTGGTTCTGCGCGCCGCGTGCTTTTATGCGCCCTCGCGAGGCAATGCGAGGCAAGGCAGGCTGGGGTGGCTCTGCGGCAGACCTGTACGTGGATTCTGGCTCCTCGGTTTCCTAAGCAGGACCCCGGCGCGCGGGCGGTCTGTGGGCCCGGCTGGCGGACTGCTGGCAGGTGCGGTGTGGGGGACGAGAAAGGGCGGGCAGGGAAGGAAAGGGCGGACGAGGAAGGAAAGGGCGGATGTGCAGATCAGGTGCGAAGATCAGGGCCAGGGGAGGAAGGGGAGAAGGCCGCGGAGGAGGAAGGGGGAAGGGAGAAGGGGCGGAGGCGGGGACTTGGCAAGCTCGTGCGTCTTCTATCCACTCCCGCGTTCAGTCCTGCACGTCCGGATATCGGTGGTGGCTGCGCGCGAGGTGCGAGCCGGAGCAGAGCCAGGAGCCGAAGTCGACGTCTCGAGGCCGAGGTCGAGGTCGAGGTCGCGCGGCCGGTGGTGGTGCGTCCGGGAGAGAAGCGCAGCGCGAGCGACGCTAGAAGCCTGGTGACGGCAGAGGCCAAGGGGGCGTTCGAGGAAAGGAAGGAGGGCGGTCGGGTGGAGGCAGACGGCGCCGCCGAGGAGATGGATATATACACCTGCGCACGCGAGCCGGTCGCGGGCACCTGCCTACTTGCGCCAACAAAGGCGCGGCCTCGATGCATGGTGCGCCGCGGGCGGTGAAGGCTTGACGGCCAGGCGGCGACGGCGACACCCGCAGGCCCGCGTAGCGCAGATGCAGGTGGCACCGTCGCGGTCGGCGTGCTGCTGCGCTGCGCCTCTCGTTAACTGGCTCGACCCAAGGAGCAGATGTGTGCAGACTTGGGCTCGGAGCGCATGTTGCCGTGTTCAGCGGACTTGTTGGGGAAGGCGCGGTGGTCGGTGGCTGACCTGCTCTTGCGCGCGGCGTGCCATCCGAGTTTCGACCCAACGTGGCTCCGTGTGTTCACCGCGATCGCCGGAGTTAGCGTGCTGTCGCCGTCGTGGCGTGGTGGGGACCCGCACCTCGATTGCTCCGGGTCGGAGGCAGGTGCGCCGTGCGGCCTGGCCTTCTCACCGCAAACCTACGAGCTGATGGTCTGTCTGTCTGGATACGCCCGCGGTGGCGCGGCGCAAGGCGCAACTCGTCCCCGGTGACAGCAATCCATCCACTCGCCGCGCGCCCCTCTCTGGCGACTTGGTGGGCTCGATCTCGCGGCACTGCGGACAGCATCCCAACGCGCCGCCCGCTTCTCCCCGAAGGACCCACAACGGAAGCAGCCATGGAGACCTCGGTCCCCGCCACGTCGCGCCCTCGGACACTGGACAGGCGTCGCGTGTGGGCCCAAACGAACCCGCGTGGGCACGCGTGGCGCGCGTGCTGGGCCGCGCGACAGGCTCAACGGCAAATGCTTCCGCGGCGCGACGTCTCCGCCCGTCGACCCTGGATCTCGGACGCATTGGCGCAGCGCGAGTCGCGACGGAGTGCGGCTTAGTTTGGCTCGTGCGGGGTCGAGCGACGAGCACCGCGGTCGCCACGCGCATCAGAGGCCGTCAGGCGTGCGGGCTAGAAGACGCAACGCAGACCGCTCCGCTCCGCACCACGGTGTCTTCAACGCTCGACGTTCGGCACTCGCCGTCCAACGTTCAACCTTCCTCGGGCGGCGCCGAAGTCTGGGACGCAGAGGGCACGCATGCCACCGCACACTGTGGACCCTGGTAAGTCCGCGCTGCACATATGTGGCGTTTACCCCTCAACGTTCGCTGGCAGCTGCTGATGCGTCGAAACTCGGGGCGCGCAGGTCTTCCTGCGCAGCGGCACGCGCCACGTAGGACCGTGACCCACCTAGCTAGCATGTACGCACTCGAGGCGCGAAGGTGCGAAGGTGCGAACATCCAAACTTCAAACGCCGCAGCCCGCACCCGCACGGCACACGCGGAGATGACGACGGCATCGCCCGAGCGCCCAGCGTCGCGCCGTGCCGCCCGCGGCATGACGACCGCGCGTACCCAGTCACTCGATCCCGATTGCGGGTCACAGCGGAGGCAAAGGGCAAAGGCGTTTGCGTCCATCGTTTACACGCCGAGCAGGGCCCCCTATACCTGCAGGCCATCGACGCGACGAGGGGGAAACGCGACCCCGGATGTCATGGGCGCGTAAAGTGCACCTAGCGCACCGCCGTCACTGGAGTACTGGAGCGTGCCGCGCATGCAGTGTCAGCGCAAGCCTGGTTTGCGTCTCGGGATCACGCAGGGCACTTGCGAGGGTGTTTGCGATTAACCGCTAGCTTCCGTGCCGGATGGGGACGAGCGACGGCTGCACTCCCAGCGTCGAACCGAGCGAGGCCGAATGCGAAGACGAAGACGAAGACGAGTGGCGGCGCAGTCTAGACAGCTGGGTCGTCGGTGCACGTCTCGTCGAAGCGAAAGCAGCGATAGCAGTTTGTGACACTCTGCGTCCCGGTCCTCCTCAGAGGACTGACATGCCTTCTTCCCCGTATACACCAGACCCCGTACGCGTTGTGGAATGCCTGTATGTATCGCCTACCATCGGGCTCGGCCCTCGAGGGTGTAAAACGGTAATAAGGCAAACAAGCAGCCACTCTGCGTGCCATGCAGGGTGGACGTGGCGCGCTTCGCTGCAGACTGCTCGTGGCTGGCGAGAGCAGATCCGCAGCGCACACGCTCGGACCCTGGACGCCCTCGATGCGTGGCGCTCTTCCCGGCGCGACGTCGAGTTTTAAATCGACTGCCGGGCGCATACACGCACCCCCGCAGGCGAGCAGTAGTGGCCGCGCTCGGGCTCGGGCTCGGGCCCGAGACGTGATGACGAGGTTGGTGCGCAGTGAGCGCAGTATAGACACATAATATAGACCCTGAGTACGGTACTTTGGGTGCGGCGGGGGGCTGAACGTACAGTGACAGTGCGGCGCGCGGTGTGACAAAGGAGTGGGCACGCGCGAGGCGCGAAGCGCAGGACGTGGGGTGGTAGAGTACATGAGAGGCGCGCGGGCGTAGAAACACAACAAGGTGGGGGTCCTGGAGATGGTGGTACAGGGAGGTACAACGGCGAGGAGCGGGAGGGAGATATATCGATACAGCCACGGAGGCAGGGGTATGGTCCGAGGAGCGGCTCTGCAGGGAATGCGATATTATCAGCACCCGCGCCCCCCACGCAGAAGCAAACGACAGACGGACGCACCTTCAAGAGGCCCTCCCCACATCTAACGGCAGCAGACCCGACAGTCCGATCGTCCATGTCCCCGCGCGGACTACTGCGCGCCTGCAGCCGCGGCCTGCTTCGCCCCCCGCGCGGCCATGACCGCGCCCCCGGCGACGAAGGCGGCGATCGCGAGCACGGCGACGGCGGCCCAGAGGCAGCGCTTCGCCCAGCGCTCCTCCGTGGCACGGTAGGCGGCGACGCGGCGCTCGCGCTCGCCGACGGTGTAGAACGGGAGCGCGTTGAGCTCGACCGCGCGCGGCGCCGGCGGCCGGAAGAGGAAGAACGCGCCGACGAACCACAGCAGCGGGCACACTGTGTGCGGGGCGCGCGTGTCAGCCTTGTCTTTGTCTGGGAGTGAGGGAGAGAGAGACGTACGGAACCCGAAGAGGAAGAGCGTGCGCGAGAGCGGCTTCGGCACGGGCGCGGCGGCGAGCGCGATGTGCGAGCGGCCGAGGATGACGGAGCCCCACTTGGTCTTCTGGCCCTCGCCGAGGTCGAACGAAGAGCTCCGCGACGCGTCGGGCGACGTGGGGGAGACGGCGACGGGCACGGGCGGCGGCGGGAGCGGGCCCGCGGCGGAGCCGCTCCAGAAGTCGCGGAGGAGGTCCTGCTGGTACTGCAGCGTCGCAAGCTCGGACGGGTACGCGGGCGGGGTGGTGTGGGGCGCGGGCGCGCTCGACTTGGGCTTGGAGAAGAACATCGGGGGAGGAGGAGCGGGCGAGTGAGTGGCGGGCGAGATTGAGGAGAAGTGCGTCAAGCACACGCGGAACAGCGGCGGCGAGGGTGCGGTGTGGGAGAGGGCGGGGAGGAGGGCACGTCCAGAGTCCTGGCCTCTCGGGATCGACTTTGCTTGGGCTTTATGCCAGTGCGCACGCGGTGCGCGCGGAGTGGCATGGAGAGACAAAAGACCGCGGGATCAATGTTGGGCGTGGGCCTCGAGAGACAAGACAATAGCGCTAGCGCGCGACGTGATTGTGTGCGCGGGCGACATCCGCGACGACGAGAGCCGGAGCCGTTCCATCGAAGTCGTCCTCGCTGGTCCTCGCTGGGTGCAAGACAATAAGGAGACGCCCGCGGCCGAAAAAGTTCAAGTGACAGGCGCTTCCTGATAATTGACACGTGATGGCGACGCGTTGGCGGCGTCGCGACTCGCCCCTTCGAGAGAGAATCGCATGTCTTCAGCGAGGGGTAGATAAGAGAAGGGAGCAAACACACGTCGTTGTGCAGCATGCCATTGCCTGCGCAGAACGAAGCGGTGCCACTGCAGAGGCGTCAGGGCCGGAATGAAAGCCCTTTGCTTGAGTCGGCCGGAGGGACAGATCCGCGTGGCATCAGTGGCATGATGGCCACGAGGCATCGCGAGTCTTGTTACACTTGTGTTGTAAAATTTCAGCTCGTGCTTGATTCAGGATTGAGTGTAGCAGGGTAAGAGAAAGTGGCATGGTGGACGAGGTGGTGGTAGTATCGAAGGAAGAGCTGCGGGCCTGGGACGCGACGGGTTGTGACTACGTGTGACGGATGTGATGCTGTAATCGTCACGTATGGCGTGAGCACCAGCTAGCGCCGACAAGTTTCTTCAACACCCCTTGCTTTCGTCGCCTCCCGTCGGATCCCATGAATGCAAGAAGTGACCGACCGGTTGCTTTGTTCCTAGCTGCTCGGAGTATGGTCTAGTCATGGCGTCTGCCACACTGTTGGCTATTGGGCCCGCCGGCCGAAGGATCACCAACGTCATACCGGCTCCCTCACTGCTTGGCGCATCCGGGACGTTGGTCTGATCAAAACGCAGCGTAGTTGGAGCGCGCGCCCCGAAGAAGAGGGAGATACCGTCCGTTCTGGTCGGAACGGACATCCGAGATGACGCGAGACTGGGCGGGCCGCAGTAGTCGGGGTCGCAGGCCCGGCGGGCGGCCTACGGCGCCCCCCGAAACGGTGGCGAGCACGTACGAACTTTCCACGGCTTCCTCTCCGCCGCAGTTCCCGCGCGTTCTCCCTCCTCCCACCACAGGTCAGTCCTGTTCGCTGTGAATTGGAAGTGCACGTACTGACTGTATGCGCTTCTAGAGGGCGAATGGCGGCTCCTCCCGTCTATCTGTGCGTTTCTGCCCCCGATGTCACATAGAGACGACCTCTTACACGCGCTTCAGGCCATTGGCAGGTTCATTGAGGCCTGTCCAACTCAGCTCGCCCCAGATGGCTCCTACTGAGAGCTTGACGGCCGAATCAGGTCACTCTGAGCCTACCACCGCGAATGTCCGAGACGAAGAGTTCTGGTTCGACGACGGGTCCATCATCCTCCTCGTCCAGAACGTCGAGTTTCGCATCTACAAGGGTCTTCTCACAGAACACTCCTCCGCCTTCGTCGACCTCTTTTCTCTCCCCCAACCGCCGACACAGTCAAGCTGTCCAGTGGTGCGTATGTCAGGCGACTCAGCGCGAGACTGGCGCCACATCCTCCGTCTCTACATGCCACGCAGGCACACAAAGTTCGTCCCGCCCGCATACAGCCACTCCACTGCCGCTCACACGTCTCTCACATCTCACAGCTTCCTAGACCAGTACCCGCCGATGCTCTCCTTCGAGCAGGTGGCCGCGTACGTCCGCCTGTCCCACAAGTACGACATGCCCGTCCTCTACCGCGCCTCCATCGCCCACCTCAAGCGCCACTTCACTGACGACCTCCGCGTCTGGGTCGACCACGGCCTCCGCCCGGCCCCGGCTTCGCGGACATCCACGCGATCGGCGTCGTCAACCTCGCCCGCCTCGCCCACGAGCCCACGCTGCTCCCGACGGCGCTGTGGATGTGCTGCCGGCTCGGGCCGGAGCTGCTGTCCGGGTTCGCGTACTCGGACGGCGAGGTGGAGACGCTGGCAGCGGCGGACGTCGCGCTGTGCTGGGCGGCGCGGCCGCGGCTGGTGCAGGCGACGCTGCAGACGTTCCTGTCGATCTACCCGGCGCCGAGCGCGGAGACGTGCAGCGCGGGGGCGCTGCGCGGGGACGACAGCGGGTGCCGGCGGTTCGCGACGAGCTTCGTGCACAAGATGAGGCACAAGCCGGGGATTTTCGTCGCGCCGGACCCGCTGATCGGGTACATCAACATGGACGGGCCGAGCGGGAAGAAGTTGTGCGAGGGGTGCCGGGAGGGGGTGGTGCAGTGGAGCGAGAAGGTGTACTTTGAGGCGTGGAAGTCGTTGCCGGAGCTGGTCGGGGTGGAGGTGCCGGGGTGGACGGAGGCGGCGAGTCCGAAGTGAGTGTCCGCCCCTTACTGGTAGGCGACGTCAGGGTAGATGATTAGTTGTGTAAGGACCTAAGCACGGATGCTCAACGGATTCCTCCATTCGGTGCTCCCACGTGGCCAGTACTGCGGTGGGCCGCCGTGACTTGGGCGTGACGATCAATTTTTGTCACCCTGCATCCACGATCCAGCCAGACCTTCTCGTCTAAGACTCATCATTTCGCATCGATGCGATCGAAGGTGAGTTGTGTCTTCATATCTGAACATGAATCTTACCTCGCCTCCACTGTAGAAGAAAGACAAGCGATCCAAGATCCAAGACATCGAGAAGTTCTACTTTGATGACGGCACGATCATCCTGTTCATACAAGGAGTCCACTTCCGGGTACATATGGGAATACTTGCCATGCATTCACCCGTCTTCACGGACATGGCCACTCTTGGTTCTGTGTCTCATCAAGTCGACGCAACCGGAGGAAACCTCGACCCATGTCCCATCGTTGAGTTGCAAGACTCCGTCTACGACTGGCGTCATGCTCTGCGTGTCATCTATAACATCAAACCATTGAAGAGGTGCGCATGCTGTCCACCGTGTTTCCACCATAATAACAAGCCTCTCCTGGAAGCATCGGGGACAAAACCTACCGTCCCACTTTCGACGAAGTCTCCGCTTACATCCGTCTTGGCCACAAGTATCAAATGGACGCCTTTTACAAACCCGCCATGGTATATTTGGAGCGCTTTTTCTCTCCCACCATCGACCGCTGGAACAAGTGGAGCTCCCGGGACGACCCGTACACGCTCCCCGGATGCGCTCCCGAGTGCGCCATCGGGATCGTCAACCTTGCTCGGCTGACCGGGAAGACGTCGCTTCTACCGCTCGCCCTACTCTCGTGTTGTCAGCTCGGGGGGAGGCTGTTGGAGTGCCTCGCTCGCCCAGACGGAACGCACGAGACGCTGTCTCCTGAGGACCTGAAGCGCTGCTTGAGCGCTATCAACCATTTGACCTCCGACGGGATTTATGCGATGCAACTCCTGATTGGAACTCGACCTGAAGAGTCATGCCCGAACACACAGTTGGATTACGGGGATGGGACTTGCACGGGGGGGATCCGTGAACTGCTTGCAGACTTTCAAGACGATTCCAGTCAGGGCGTGCCTATTCAACCCACCCCGTTCGTTCAGCCCGACATGTACATGCTCTGCGAGGAGTGTCGCGGCCAGATCCAGGACAAGTGCAACGAGATCAACCAAGACACGCTGTCCCGACTGGCGTCGTTCTTCGATCTCTAGAACAGATGGAAGCAAGGCACCCTCAACCTTTGTTCAACTTCGAAGTGAGTGCTTATATCAGGCTCATACTGCTTCGATGGCTTATCGTTCTGCAGCGGCATTAGAAGCAGTTTGATGGGAAGTTGTCTGCGTGCGGCTGACATCTTGTGTTCTTACGTGTATCTTTCTGACCGTGGCTGTGACGTCTCTTCGCATGTGTACTACTGCGGCATTATCTCAATTTATGACCCTACCGGTGCGTATGAGTTTCTTCTGGCTCACTCAGTCCATAAACTGATCATAACCGACCTGTTGCTGACACCATAAAGCATGAATCATGACAGTTGGCCTATATCGTTCGGTATCCTCGCCTAGTAGCGGGTCGGAACTTGAGAGCGCGAGAGACGGACACGGACGCGTGGGCAGGCCGCAGGTAGACGAAGGTGGAGCTCGTTTTGCGCGAAGGAAGGACGCGGCTGAGGGTCCGCGGCTTGATGCATGCGGCCGCGCGTATCTAGACCGTGACGGTACTGGTGCTCTCGAACGCGCTACTCGCGCTCGTGATGCACCCCGAGGCGCGCGTGAGCGCGCGCGCAGGTGGAGATAGACTGTGTCGTAGAGCGCGCGCGCGTCCCCGACTTCGACGACCGCAGAGGCTCGCCGTACCTCGACACCCGCACCGAAGACAGCTGGAACGGCTCCCGCGTCCCCAACTGCTGGTCCGTCTCCCTTCGTTCTCACCGGTCACCCCCTATCCCCTTCAGTTAACCCCGCCCCGTACTCCGCCCCCCACGCCTTCCGCCCCGAGCGCTGGCCCGAGATGGACCCCGCGACGGCGGATCGTCTTCGGCTTTGGGCGCCAGCTACCAGTGTGCCCCGGGCGCGAATTCGCGGAGGCGAACATCTGGCTCGCCGCTGCTGCCGCGGGCTCGTCGCGCTCCTTGACGTGCGCGCCCCAGCGGGGGTCGCCGTCGCGGACGAGTACCACTCCGGGTTCGTCTGGTGCGTCGTCGTCGTCGTCTCCGTTGTCCGCAAGGGCGAACGGGTGCCGGTGGGTTCTTCGTATCTGGGACAGCCGGCCGAAGCCGAAGTTCGCGTGCGATTGCATAGCGGATGGTCGACTTGCAAAGGGAACAACGCACGCAGACGTCGTCGCTGAGAGTCCCACGCACGCCATATGGGCGCCCTGCCCCCCGTGCTCGTCGTCCCCTTTGTTTCCTATCACGCTTTTTTAGTTATACTAGTGTATGATTAGAGACAAAATATATGTATATAACGATGAGGCGGGGGAAAGCGCGCAGAGGGTGTCGGGAGCAGAGGCGGGCGACGTCAGCAGGTGGGGGACGCGGCAGTGATGCGCGACGCGGGTGGAGGGTGATGCGAGTGCAAGGCGACGCGAGTGGAGGAGAGGTGGAGGAGGCGGCGAGCAGCGAGGGGGAGGCAGGCGATGCGGAGGAGGCGGAGGGCCGCGACGCGAGCGCAGGTGGGCGGCACGGACGCGGAGGAGGGCCGGGAGGAGGCGGATATGGTGATGGTGGTGGTGGTGGTGGTGGTGGGCGAAGCGGAGGGCCGCGACGCGGGTGGAGGTAGGTGATGCGGACGTGGGCGACGCGTAGAGCTCGCGGGAGGAGTGGCCGCGACACGGGCAGAGGTGGGTGACGCGGACGCGGAGGAGGGCCGGGAGAAGGCGAAGGTGGTGGTGGTGGGCGACGCGGGCGCGGAGGGTGGCGACGAGGGCACGCGGGAGGAGGCGATGAGCCGGGACAAGGTGGGGGAGGAGGTGGGCGAGGGCGGAGGGCCGGAACGAGGGTCAGGACAACGCGGAGGGTTGGTGGGAAGAGGTGGACGGCCGGGACAACGCGGAGGCGGAGATGCGCGACGCAGGTGGAGGGCGACGCGGAGGCGGAGACGGAGCCTGGATGAGGTGGGCGAGGTGGACGCGGATGGAGGTGGGCGATGCGGAGGCTGCGGAGGGCGAGGTGGAGGATGTCCGGGTGGACCTCCTCCGCATGTCGTAGACAGGGCAGCAGGCCGGATGAAGCAGGAGAGAAGGAGAGGAGCGCGTTGTGAACGCAGGAGGGTGGAGCGGAGGACTCACCAAAACATGAACCGCGGTACATTGCCGTGGCCCCCTAATTCTAATCTCCATGCTGAGGATGTCCATATGGATGTCCTCGTGCGGTGTGAATGTGGCCGGCAAGGTGGGCGAAGGACGGCATGCAGGTCGAGGTTGAGGGAGGAGGGGGAGGGGAGTTGAACGTTGTCACTAGGTGACACCGGACCCCAATAGCAACTGTGTCGCTATGTATCGTCTGCCTGGAGAATGGTGGGGGCTGAGCGCCGAGCAGGGAGGCTGGGGGCGGCAATTAATGGTGGTGGAGAAGGAGGAGGAGGAGTGGCGTGCATCACAGCCAAGGCGGCGAGCGGCGGCAGTGACTCAGCGTCCCTGCCGCCCACGGCCCCAATGCACATCCTGCAGTGAGCCGTCCCCTCATCGCCTCTCCCCACTTGCGCCCCACCCATGAGCCACGTCGTCGAGACAGCCGTGCCAGGAACTGGCTGGAGGTAAGTGGATCAGCGTACATTGAGGCTTGTGCCCATTCTCACAGTGCTCAATGGTCTCATAGCCCGACTCGTCACTCGGATGACGCCACTGTCTCACCCAGCCATCCCAGCGCACCTATAGCCACATTCAGCCACGGGCCAGAAGAGAAGATCTACTATGATGACGGAAATCTTGACCTCGTCGTCGGAGGCGTATGTTTCCGAGTATACCGAGGAGTACTCGCCCAGCACTCGCCGATCTTCAAGGACATGTTCAACCCGTGCGTTCCTTCCGACACCGTTGACGACATCGCTTCCAGCACAGAGCCTTCCGTCGATAAGATCATAGCTACTACAATACCCACGGTACAGCTACGAGATTCCGCGCGCAACTGGCACCACGTCCTATGAATGCTTTTCTACGGCCATGGCCGAACCCCGCTTCTGATGTGCGTATCGTTGCATCTCGCATATGATGTATGACCTCTCTGAAATACTGCGCACACGCTCAATGCCGATGCCGCCGAACCCGACGACCTGTCCCTGTACCCATCCTTCGGCCAGCTTTCTGCGTACATCCGGCTGGGCCACAAGTACCAGATTTGGGCGATCTACGCCCCCGCCATGGCCTATCTCAAACGGCGCTTCGCCCCCACTCTGAACGGATGGAAGAAGTGGACCAGCTCCCGCGGCGAGCCGTACACGCTCCCGCGCTGCACCTCCGCGCACGCGATCGGAGTCGTCAACCTCGCACGCCTGACCGGCGAGAACGCACTCCCCCCGCTCGCCTTCCTCGGATGCGCGCAGCCCGGGTGCAGGCAGCTCACGGACGGGTTCACGTACGGCGACGGCCAGCGGGAGACGATCGCATGGCGAGGACCGAGACGGGTATTGGAATCCGACGTCGCCCGGAAGCGCTGGCCTAACCGCGTGCATTCTCTCCTCCCACCACAGGTCAGCCCTCTCCGCTGCAGTTCGAACGCGTATGCACCAGCTCCATCTGATTCTGGAATGCGCATAGCGGTCCCTCCCGTCTATCTGTGCGTTCCTGCCCCGGGACTGGCGCCATCTGCGTCTCTACATACCACGAAGGCACACTGGCACAAAGTCCGTCCCACACTCATCCGCCCCACCGTCGCCCACGCTCACACGCTACTCACAGCTTCCTGGACCAGTGCCCCCTGATGCTCTTATTCGAGCAGGTGGCCGCCTACGTCCGCCTGTCCCACAACCACGACATGCCCCGGGTCCTCTACGGTCTACCGCGCCTCGCTCCCCCACCTCAAGCGCCTCTTCACCAACGACCTCCACGTCTGGGTCGACCACGGCCTCCGCCCGGCCTCCGCGCTTTGCGGACGTCCACGCGATCGGCGTCGTCGACCTCGCCCGCCTCACACACGAGCCTGCGCTGCACCCGAGCGCGGAGACGTGCAGCGCGGGGGCGCTGCGCGGGGACGACAGCGGGTGCTAGCGGTTCGCGACGAGCTTCGTGCACAAGATGAGGCACGAGCCGGGGATCTTCGTCGCGCCGGACCCGCTGATAGGGTACATCAACATGGACGGGCCGAATGGGAAGGGTTTGTGCGACGGGTGCAAGGAGGGGGTGGTGCAGTGAAGCGAGAAGGTGTACTTTGAGGCGTGGAAGTCGTTGCCGGAGCTGGTCGGGGTGGAGGTGCCTGGGTGGACGGAGGCGGCGAGTCCGAAGTGAGTGTCCGCTCCTTACTGTGTGGAGTGAAAGCTGACCTCGAGGTGGATGAGTCTAGTCTTGCGCTCTGTGAGGACCTGCGACTCTTGACACGTTAATACATGTAATGCTCAGCCGATTTCTAAACTCGGTGCGCCCACGTGGCCTACGCTGCGGTAGTTCCCGCGCTGAGCCGCCGTGACGATAAATCTCCTGTCACCTTCCCGTGTCCACTATCCAGCGAGACATTCACGTCCAACACTCCTTATTTCACATCGATGCAATCGAAGGTGGGGCATTGTGTCTTCACATCACACGAATCTTACCTCGCCTCTGTTGCAGCAAGCGGACGAGCGATCCGAGATCCGAGACGATAAGACGTTCTACTTCAATGACGGCACCATCATCCTGTCCGTGCAAAGACTCCATTTCCGGTTACATACAGGGATACTTGTCATGCATTCACTCGTCTTCAAGGACATGATTACTCTTGGTTCTGAGTCCCATCAAGTCGACCTAGTCGGAGGCAAGCTCGGCCCATGTCCCCTCGTTGAGTTGCAGGACTCTATCCACGACTGGCGTCATGTTCTGCGCGTCATCTATAACATGAAACCTTTAATGAGGTGCGCATGCCGTATACCATTATTTCCCCATAATGACGAGTCTCTCCCGGAAGTACTGGTCCCGGGAACAAAACTTACCATCCTGACTTCGACGAATTGTCCGCCTACATCCGTCTTGGCCACAAGTATCAGATGGAAGCCTTTTACAAACCCGCCATGGATTACATAGAGGGCTTCTTCTCTCCCACCCTCGACTGCTGGAAGAAATTGAGGGCTCGGACCCGACCGTACGCGCTCCCCGGATGCGCCCCCGAGAGCGCCATCGGGATCGTCAACCTCGCTCGGCTAACCGGGAAGGAGTCGCTCGTGCCCCTCGCCTTGCTGTGTTGCTGTCAGCTGGGCGGGAGGATTTTGAAGGGCCTCGCCCGTCCAGACGGGACGTATGAGAAGCTATCTACGGAAGACTTCGAGCGCTGCTTGGGCGCCATGGACGGGTTGACCTCCCACGGGATTCGGCGGATGCACGCCCTGATCGGCACTCGACCTCAAGACCCATGCCTCAATTCACGGACGGACAACGACGGTCTGAAATGCTTGGGGGGGATCTATGGCTTGCTCGAATACTTCCAGCTCGCTTCCGGTCGTGGCATGCCTATTCTACCCACCCCGTTCGTTCTGCCCGAGATGGGTGTGTTCTGCAAGGGGTGTAGCGACCAGATCGAGAGGTGGTGCGACGAGTGCAATGCGGCAACGCTTTCTCGACTGGCGTCATTCTTCGATCTCAGACAGATTGAAGCACGGTCTCTGTGGAGAGTGTTATATTGAATTCAAGGTGAGCGCCCGTGGTGGGCTCACACTGCTTCAATAGCTTATCTTTGTGTAGCAGCAGCAGAAACGAAGCGAGTGGACTGGGAATTCCTTAGTGCGTGGGGCTTCAAAATTTGTGTGAGTTTTCTTTGGCTCAGTCGGTCCGAAAACTGATCATATCACTCTGCAGCTGTACGACACCGACCCGTTCCTGATACGATAAAGTCTGAATCATGACGAATTGTCTATAGTGTTTGGTGTGCTCTGTGAGAGACGCAGAAGGAGCTGGGGGCCGAGTTGCGCGACGAAAAGGTGCGGCTGGCGCTCGTGATGCACCCCGAGGCGTTCGCGCGCGCGCGCAGGCGGAGATGGACCGCGTCGTGGCGCGCGCGCGCGTCCCCGACCTTGACGACCGTGGGAGCCTATCGTACCTCGACGCCGTGCTCGTTGAGGGCATCCCGTAAGTGCTTGCGTTCTTTGCCGCCGCGCTGCCACCGACGCGGGCGCAGCGATCATTCCTCGCGGCGTCCGACGCCGACAAGTGCGTGTGCGTGTGCGTGTGCGTGTGCGTGTGCGTGTGCGTGTGCGTGTGCGTGTAGGTAAGTGCGTGCGCGCGCGCAGGTGGCGGTGTCCGTTCGGTGGGTTCTCTGCCTGTTGTTCTGCGCTGACAAGAACACACAGCCATCCCGCACAACACGCGCACCGAACATAGCTGGAACGGTTTCCGCATCCCTGGCGACACCACGGTCGTCCCTGGGTTGTTCGCATCTGGGACAGCCGGCCGAAGCCGTTCGCGTGCGAGATCCACCCGCGCGGGGCGGATTGTGCGGACTTCGAGAAGGCGCGGACGGCACTGGCGGTATGGGCGTTGTGCTGCACCCGATGCACGTCTAGCCTTCGTCTGTGCCATCGCTGGGTTCAAATGTAATTTTTGCGGGAAACGGACTTGCAACGGGAGCTGTTTGCGTGTGTACGGTGGAAATGGCAATGGCAGCGGTCGGGAAACAAAGTACGCAAGCATTGTTAGCCTGTGCTGGGCCCTTCGCAAATGTTGCCATTGACGGACCCTATGACGTCAAGAGCGCTCCGAGTCGTTCTGGTAGCCTACGTGGTGTGTCTTGCGACAATCTATCCAAGACTCTGCCCGGAACGTGGTTGGAGGCAAAGGCAGAGGGCAAGAGAATCTGCCCTTTTGTGATGTAGAATGGTATTCTCTAGTACACGAGACGCGGTCCTCTAATGATTTGTAATCATTATTACGGCATATCCCGCGACAGTTCAAGCGCTTCGCACGGCTTTTCACCGTTCCCTACTGCTCAGCCCCAGTGAGGACAGCTCCCGTCTGGAGACGTCTAGATATGATGAAAAACGTTCTGGGACGTCTTCAGACGATCAGTTCCTCTCAGGCGCCGGAGATGACGTGAGAATCCTGCTGAGCAGTATCTGCTGTCAGCGCGTGTCCGCGCAAAAACAGAGCACGTCGCTATATTTGTCTCACTACGCAATTTTTCTGTTCAAGACTTCTCTCACTGGCTTTGCCGCTGTTTCTCTTGAAAAACGAGTTTCGCTCTCATCACGTGAACCACGGAATGCCTCCGATGACGTCGCGACTTTCTGACGCCTGGCGCGACGCGCGTCTTGCCCTCTTTCGTCCGCTCCACCACCTCCACCTCTCCCTCTCCCGTTCGTCTATTTCATCCTTTGCTATCTAAGAACGCAGCTCTGCACGCCCTTCTTTGTTGACATGCGCGACGTGGATTTCGTCTTGGAGGCATGCAAGAGAGTGCGTAGCACACCACCCTGGTCGTCTTGGAAGGAGCACCGGTATGTTTTTTGTCGTTCAGAATGCAAGCTGGGTGGTTGAAGGTGCGCATATACCCACCATTCCTTGACGAATGCCATCGCTCACACCCTTCTGCCATCCACGGTGCATATTCCCCTCTCCTGCGAACCACACGCAACGATGGTCGCCACTGTGCAGAAGCCCGTGCTCGCGTTCAAGGTGAGTGCCGTCGTCGACGGCTTCTCCAAGAGGTCGTCCTCTCAGACTACCTTGGCCAGTGGTGTGTCGCGTCCCTCTGTCTGTGTGGCGCGTGTCGCTGTCGCTAACGGATTTTCATATGGATGCCTCCCCGTACTACCAACACTGTCCTCCTTAGTCCGTTCTTCTCACCTCCCACTCCGTCCCCCTCCCCTTCCACCGAGTCCGGTTCCGTAGCCGCTCATGCTAGCCCTGCCACGTCCACAGCGGCCTCGACCAACTCGCAGCACTCGCGCTTTGCCCGGGCGACGTCCCCACGCACGCAGGGCAGTTTAGGCCCGGACCTCAAGCTCCCGTTCATCGCGGACTGCAACATGTCCATCTCGCGCGTGGTGCGCGGCGCGACTACCGAGTCCTCATCGAGGACGAGGGCATCGCCCTCAGGCGGCGTCTGTGGGGCGTGGGTTCTTCATCGTCGACCCCAAGGGCATTCCCAGGTGCGTCCGCAGCGCGGCGACATAGGGAAGGCGATCGTAGCTGATCGTGCATTCAGGCCACTCACGATCAACGACCTCCCCTCTGCAACTAGATTGCTCTGCAGCCAGAGCGGCGTGATTAGCGGGAGCAAGGACGTTACAGGGCGTCGCAGATGTCTCCTTGGTGTGTTGCCTCATTGTTCTCGCCAATCAATCTCACGCCCATTGGGACAACAGCCAGGTATATATGCACGGGCTCGCTTGGGAAGACTGCATACACAGTGGGTAAGGGTGAGTGTAGGCGAACGACTGGCACGCGCGGTGGCGAAGAGCAGTGAGCTGGGTTGGCGACGAGCGTCACGGTGCAGGCCCCAGAGTGTGGACGACGCTGAGCGGGGCTTGGACGACGAAGGCGTGGGGCACGGGGCGCAGCGCACGAGGCGTGAGAGGGGAGCGGACGACGGGGCGCAAGGCGACGGGGGGTGAGGGCGGGTGGAACGAGCCGATGGCGGTGGGGAGCTTCCCGTGTACAGTACCAAACACATAATCAGACATATGTGGACGTATAGAGACGCATACAGACAGATTTAATACGTCTAGATCTGAACAGACGTTTCTAGACGGATTTAGAATACGTCCTCCGACCGTCCTGGACGTCTAGATACGTCTACATATGTGAGTGGCGCCGGGACGCATGTAGACGTATGTAGACGGGAGCGACCCTCACTGGGGCTCAGCGCTCAGCATCGATGCAAGCGAAGGCAAGTAATTCCGTGGTTCACCACAAGCGATCTCACTTTATCTTCTCTCTAGGAAGCCGACAAACAACCGACACTCTCCGGTGAAGAGGAGTTCTACTTCGACGATGGCACGATCATCATCCTCACGGTGCAGGTCGGAGCGCGTTTCCGATTGCTTCGAGGGATACTATCGAAGCACTCTCCGGTCTTTAAGGACATGATCGCTCTTGGATCTACTTCCCTGTCGTCCTTCGAAGAAATCGAGGGGGGCAACTTGGTCGTTGAGGTCAAAGACTCCGTCCACGATTGGCGTTACGTCCTGCGCGCGCTCTACAATACCACTCCGCTGACGAGGTCAGTAAAAAGTCACAGAATGGCTCCGCGGACTAACAGATCGTACATCGTAGGATTGGAGAGACTTGGCACCCCAGCTTCGACGAGCTCTCGGCTTACATTTGCCTTGGCCACAAGTACCAGATGGACACGCTCTACGATCCCGCCATGGGGTATCTCGAGCGATTCTTCGTTCCAACCCTCAATCACTGGAACCGATGGAGCTCCCGGACGCATCCGTACACCCTTCCGGGGTGCCCACCAGAAACCGCCATCGGGATAGTCACCCTTGCCCGGCTGACGGGGAAGACGTCGCTTCTGCCGCTCGCCCTGCTCTCCTGCTGTCAGCTCGGAGGGAAGCTTTTCGGCGGGTGCGCTCGCCCGGACGGGACGTACGAGAAGCTTTCCACAGAAGACTTCGTGCACTGCTTCAGTGCTATTCCCAAGCTAGCGTCACACGGGATCGGGGTGAACAACTCCGTGACCAATGCTAGGCCGAAAGAGCCGTGCGGATTCGACTGTGGGGACGATCAGAACGTTCAGTGCGGAGGACACATGGAGTTGTTCGTCTGGCATAGAGCAATGGAGACCAGTATTAGCACGGGTGTTCTTGTGTCGCCCAACCCGTTTGTTCAGCCGAACATGGACGCGTTCTGTAAGGGGTGTGGGGAAGACGCGCGCGATATCCAAGTGCAGTGCAACGCGTACAACAAAGACACGCTCTCCATACTGGCATCGTTCTTCGCTCTCTAAGACGCGTCCTGAACAGGAACAAGCCCGAGGTGAGTGCTTACGTCGTGCTCAGGCTATCCGAAAGCTTATGAGGTTAAATGCAGGCAGCAATATACAAAGTAGAATGTGCTGTAATAGAGCGATGTCATTCGTTCCGTGTTAGATTCCTGTTCTAGGACATCTCGCCACATGCTTTGTACTGCGATATTGCCACAGAATCGCGTCTGCACTCTCCTTGTTCATGTCCCACTCTATTTCGTACCCCCAAAGGCGATCGTGACACCGCATGCATCGCGAACGAAACCCATAATCAGCAATTCATCACCAGGAATTGCCGAGCAATGAATGGTTCTACTGCAAAGACGGCACTATATCCCTTCAAGCAAAGTCCAGGATCCATCGCGGAATTCTTTCTCGACGTTCTTCTATCAAGTACTCGCTCGTCCGCACTTCGGATCGTGCAACACAACCGCGGGGGGCGCGGCTCGCCACACCCATCCGGCTCGTCTTCGCCTCGTAGCACCGCGCCGACTCGACCGCGTTCAGTCCCTCGTGCCGGCCGTCGCCCTACAAAGGCAGCTCTAGGCTGTCCTGACAGCGCATGGGCATCGCACGGGGGAGGAGCGTGAGCTCGCCTGTGGTGCGCGGGGCGGGAGCGAGAGTACTGGGTCGTCTTCCCACCCGACACGGCCGTTTCGTGAAGCGGACCAACATGCCCGATCCATTTCCCCGTGCACTACGAGCCGAGTCCGAGGTGTGGTGCGCACTCAAAGCGCGAGGTCGCCCGCCGACAACGTCTCTCTCTCTCTCCATCGCTGTACACAGGTCTCTCGAAGAGCTGATAGCCGAGCTGGCAGCAGGAGAGCAGGACAGATGGGAGGATTGTTGTCTTGCCGGTAAGGCGCACGAAGTTGACGACCCTGATCGCGCACTCGGGCGTGCACCCTGGGAGCGGCGCGGTGTGGCGAAGCGGTTCGCAGCACCCGTGGCGTTGGGGAGACTCTCTGCGGAGGCGTTGGAGGGCAACATCGGCGGGGGAGTGTGGGGTACTCCGCCGGTTAATGGAGCTTGTACTGAAGAGACGATCTCGACTTACTCATACTGATGTGTGATGTTTGTGGTGAGGGGAAGGATGAAGTTGCAAAGTGTTGATGGCGCGCGCGGGGTCCGTGAGGGATGATTACATAATACTCTCCCATGCCAGTTGTCAACTGTGTTATCGCAAGCGCCACCCCGTCGAGTCGTCGACTTTCACGAGCTCCCCAAACCCATCTGAGAGATAAGCACGGGAGCTCTCGGAGCACTCAGGTAGCGGGCCGGCACGAGGCTGCCTCGCATTCACGGCGTTGTACGCCTTGTGTACTCGAACTCCCGCCGTGCTTAGTCGACAAGTTCCCCACTGACGACACCCACACCCTCATCGCTCTTTCGGCAGCTAGTAACATGGAGGAGCAACTCACTATATATTCCCTTGACGACATAAATGCAATTTCTTTGGAAGCTCTCTCTACGAGTTCATTTCTCGACACAACCACCGACCTCGATGCAGACGCTGTCCACGGAACGTCCTGTGCTCAAAAGAAAGTAAAAGGTGTGACGAGTGTTTCCGCATTTCCTTCGCATGGCTAAAAAAGCTCTTAAGGGCCACATGCATGCGGTGCGAAGCACTTCCTCGAGGATGGATCCGTGATCATGGTCGCGGAGAATGTCGAGTTTCAGGTCTACAAAGGCATTTTGATGCACCACTCTCCTGTGTTCAAGAAAATCCTCTCGCGCGCATCAACCCCCAACTTTGCCTCTTCTGCGTCTTTTCCCATTCCAGAAGTGCTGGTTGAACTCGATGTCTTGAGTGGCTTGCCCATCGTTACGGTGCAAGACGCCGCACGTGATTGGCGCTACGCACTCCGTGCTCTCATGGGAGACACGATCGCTTCCCGGTGTGTAACGATATATGGTTACCCGGATACGGATACTTACCAGCTGTTTGTTAGTGTAACCGTATGCGAGATGCCAAAAATCACCAGCGAGCAAGTCTTCGCGTTCATCCGTCTCGGCCACAAGTATCAAATGGAAAGTCTTCGCCGAACCGGCTTGGATTATCTCAAGCACTACTTCACCTCCGACTTTGGCTGCTACTTAAGTTGTCACGTGTACACCAATGGGGATCTCATGCGTGACCGGTTTGGAAACCATGATGCTATTGGAGTCGCCAACCTCGCACGCCTCACAGGAGAGTTATCACTGCTGCCGACCGCGTTACTTCTATGCTGCCGCCTCGATCTCCGGGACCTCCGAGAACATGGACTACTGTACAGCGACGGTCAGAAGGAAGTACTTAACAAAGAAGACTGGCTTCACTGCTGCCAAGCCGCGCCGGAGATCGTGCGTACCGTAGCCTCGACAGCCTGGGAGATCTTCAAAACCTTGCCGGGCGAGTGCGAGCACGTATTCGAAGGCATTGGCTGCATGGCGGAGATCAGCAACCTTCGGGATTCCGTCGTGCCGAAGCTGATCGAAAGCTTGACGCGCACTATGGATCCCTTTTTGGGCAGAGTGGACAAACAAGACGACTGGAAGGATGCAACGGAGAACATGGCACCTCGTTGTCGGCAGCGCCTCTCTGAAGCGCTTCGTCGCCGGCGTGAAGCGGTTTGGGAGATGTTGCCGTCGTTGTTCAACATCGAGATTGAGGACTGGGGCCTAGTAGAACCGATAGTATAACAAGGTACGTTACCGGCGCGCGTGACTATTATCAGAACTAGTATCTTACGAGACGCGGCTCACAACTCAGATATTCTGAAAGCAAGACTAGACATTCTTCTGTGCAGGTGCCGGCCGAGCCTGCGAGGCCGGTCCCCAGCGTCTGGCCGAGCTATGGGCGCCTAGGCCTCGCGCAGTTTTCCTGTCCCTCGCCCGTCTCTGCCCGCGCGCTTTCTCTCTCCCCTTACATCCGGTTCCCCGTCGTTCCATCCATCGTCTTCTCGCGCCCACCCACCACACCCTTTTCGCTCGCGTAACTGTTCGTACATAGTTGCTTATTGAAGTGTTTGCACGTGCCAAGGGCTATCGCCGGACACCCCCAAATCGCGGCGCGACTCAGCCACCCGGCGGTGAGCTCCGCTCCGCGTCCGCGCCCGGCTCTGCCGGGCCCAGGCCCAACCCCCACTGTCCGGTGTACGCCCGATGACCTCGTACAGCCGTCACGCCCAGCGACGAGGCTGGAGCTCGGGATTGAGCTTCACATGCGTTCAGAAGCTCATGTACGATACGGCAGATATGAATGCACGCTGCCTGATCATGTCAGCGATAAGCGCATGGGTTCGTACCGTGCGACCACGTGCTACCCTCGCCGCGTGGGTGCATGTGCTGCGGTAGTCGGCTCATGTACTCATGAATTCCAAGGGCGCACGACCCTTCCTGCTTCTACTATCTCATTGATACTCTGTACATCCGCCTTGACTCGCATGCCGACTCGATGGGCTCCTCCCGAGGTAATACACGTGCTTCTTCATACTTTTGAAACATGGCTGACGACGTTATGACAATACTAGAAGGATACGGACGCTGTTGTTTCCAGGACAATCGACAAAGATATTCACTTTGAAGACGGAAATGTGATCCTCGTTCATCAGGAAAACCCTCACTTGCTAATTAGATCTAATTTGCCTAATTTGCTCTCTGATAGATCTAATTTTGTGCAAATGAGTGCTCTCATGGAAAACCAATCTTCTTTGCACTAAAATGTCTCTCATTAGATCACTGAAAAGCTCATTATCGCTAATGTGACTAGTTTATCGAAAATTCACAACAATATAGAAGTCCGAAAGGACGAGATATATTGGTATCTAACTACAATAAACGAAGGTGGCTACGTCTTCGTCTTCCATAACGTGGTCTCACCCGAAGTGCCCGCCGACCCAGGCTGTGAGGGCGACGTGAGTGAGGTGGCGACGCGGGAGATACACAACACGGGTGAGGTAGCGGCGTGGGTGAAAAGTCCAGCGACATGGATAATGCGGGTGAGGTGGCGGTGAGATGGCGGTGACACGGCAGCGATGCGGGAGATAGGTGGCGACGGGGGTGATGCGGCCGATGCAGTCGACGCGGACGACGTGGGTGATGCGAACGTGAGCGGGGCAAGACGGAGCGAGGTGGGTGACGCAGGGAACAGGCGACGCGGGGGATGTGGGCGAGGTGGACGCGAGACGAGCAACGTGGGCGAGACAAACGCATGGGATGAGGGTGAGGTGGCGACACGGGGTGACGCGGGCGACGCGGGAGGTGCGGGCGACACGGGTGGTGCGGGCGACGCGGGAAAGGTGAGGAATCCGGGTGAGATGGGCGACGTGGACCAGGGAGGCGAGATGGACATGGCGGTGACGCGGGTGAGGTGGGCAAAGCAGGACCCTGCGTTGGTGCCTGCAGTGCCCATACGCGTGTGCGCCTGCGCAGGCTCCAGGGGTGGCCATGGTCGACGGGCGTGCCAGGGCGAGGGATCAAGTCTGAGTCTCGTGGGCCATCTTGACCGTCCGCGAGACGATTGTGCAGCTCTGCGCAGAGGTTGTCGTCGAAGACGCCACCGGCGCAGCGGGACTGGTGGGGGCTTTGAAAGCTGGGAGAGGGTTCGCAAGGAAAGGTAGAGTACTCACCAATGAAGGAACCCCATAGCTCGCGAAGTGTCCGAAGGCGAGGGGGTGCTTGAAGCTTTGAAGGATGAGAAGCTAACGCGGTCGACGTGGGGGAGGTCCGTGCAGAGCGGTTAGAAGGAAGAGAGGCAGATGATGACGACGACGAGGACGCAGAGCTGGCAGTGTCAAGCGCCGGAGTGCGCGACGCGCGTCGATTCCCACGCGCCCCCGAAGTAGAGCCGCCCCTCTGGCCGCCAGCACATTGTCCACGTTCCACCATCTGGTCTTGATCCTCCCTTGCTCGCTCCCATTGTCAAGCAGCCAACTTTATAGCCCGCCTTTCTACCCTTGACTTCCCACCCGCTTCACTGCCTCGCCCTCCCCCCTGTGTCATCTGCATCACCTGCGTCACCCTGAGCAGGTCGCGTCAAGACTTGAGAACTGCCCAGCTGGCTTGTTCTGCAATGATCTCAACGGTTTTTTCTTCCCCCTCTTCTCCCAACATGCTCGCGGTACGAGCTCTTCAAGCTTGAGAACGAGCAGCACCACACCGGCGAGCGTTTCCCTGCTCTGCGTCACGCCCACCGCGAACTTATCGTTCCCGTTGCCTATGCCGCTCGCCTACCTCGCCTCCTCCTGCGTCACCCACCTTACCCGCCTCACCGCCTCGTCACCTCGCCCGCATCGCTCGCGTCAAACACATCACCCGGGCCCCACCTTGCCCGCATCGTCTTCACCCGCGTTATGCTTGCCTTTCCCTCCCCCACCTCGCCTGTGCCTGTGTCACCCACATCGCCCGCTTCAGCTGTCTCACACGCGTGATGGCGTCACCCGATGGACCTTTGTGAGTCGTTTGCAGATCTCGAAAAATCGTTTCTGAACGACAGTCCTGGCGCACGAACATACCAGCGCGCCCGCGCCCACGTCGCTCTCCTGCACCGCCCGCGCCCACATCGCCCGCGTCCGCGTCGCCCGCTTCTCTCGTGTCTTACACGTCGCCCTCTTTACCCCGCGCGCGTTGCCCATGTTACCCCCTTCGTGAGTCGTTCGACGGTCTCACTGCATTCGTTTCTAACTGTCAGTCATGGCACCCAAACACAAGTGGCAGAACCCGTTCGACTCGCGCGCCGGCCTGCAATCCACCCGTGTCGCTCACCTCGCTCGCTGCACCCATCTCGCCCGCATCGCGTGACACGTCCGTGTTCCAGCCACGCCGAGCTTGCGCAGACGTCGCCCCCGCTGACGTCGTCTGCCTCCCCTACGCCGTCCACGCCGCGCTGGCGTCATCCGCGTCGCCACGTCACCCACGCGCCTTGTTAGTCCTGTGTTGTTCATGTCGCCCGCGTTGTGCGTCGCCACGTCACCCACACATCTCATCTGTCCTCTGTTGCCCACGTCGCCTGCATTGGATTCTTTGGCCGAGTGACTGTATATGCCTATAGTTATTAGTCTTTACGCTGTATCTTGTAGCACGATGAATATAAATCTATTTGCTTCTCTTATACACTTGTGTGATCTATTGTGAGCATTGTGTGAACATATTCGGTACTCATTGAGTGCTCCTTGAGATCTATCTCGTAGCTAATGAAGAGCTTATGAAGATCTAATTTGCGTCTAATTAGCTCTAATTAGATGCCTTAGCAATGTGCAACTCTAATAAGCTCTAATTAGAGAAGACTTGCTAATAAGCACTAATTAGAGAGAATTTTCTCTAATTAGCAAGTGGGGGTTTTCCTGATGTTGTTGAGGATGTCGAATTCAAGCTCTATCGAGGAATTTTGGTCAAACACTCCTCGGTATTGGCGGATCTGCTCGCCGCGGCGTCTCCCTCTCTGTCGTCAACCGGCCCGCCGAGTCCTCCAACGGAGAAAGCAGAACCGAGCGCCACGGAGTCTGTACGTACGATGGTGATGCTCAACGACTCGGTTCGAGACTGGCGACACGTTCTTCGTGCTCTATTTCAAGGAACCCTGTTATCCGAGTACTTGTCCCCGCTTATATGCACTGAGCTCCGATATCTGACGTACTTCAGTGTAATCACAGCCGGCAATCCAACGACGGCGTGGAGCCCCTCGTTTGACCAGCTTTCCGCTTACGCCCGTCTGGGACACAAGTACAAGATATCAGCGGTCTATGACCCCTCTATGGTGTACCTGGGATGGTACTTCAAGCCCACGCTTGCTACCTGGAAGCAAAGATCTACCGGACCCAGCTCGGAGCCGTACACCATGCCTCTGTGCAGGCCCGAGCACAGCATCGGAGTTGTCAACCTCGCACGGCAGACGGGCCGTCTGTCCCTTCTGCCGCTCGCCCTGTTGTGTTGTTGTCAGCTAGGTCCTCGACTGGATGGTGGGTTCGTGTACAGCGATGGAGAGAAGGAGACGTTATCATGCGAGGATACCCTACTCTGCCTCAAATCTGTCCCAACAATCGCGTCTTACGGCGTCGCGAATAGCCTGTCCTGTGCACCCCTTTTCACTTTGAAGTGCAAGAAGGACGGCTGTTTTCCTGCAGTCGTAAAAGCCATGCGGGATCGAAAAGTACTTCAACCTAGTCCGTTCATCCAGACCGATAACGTGGCGCTTTGCGTGGGATGTAGGCAAAGCGTCGACAGGATGAACGAACAAGCGCTGAAAGACCTCTCATCGCTCTTCGAACATCCCGGAACCTGTTTTGTAGACATCAAGCCTGGTGAGGGTGCGACGACCATTCTCCCGAACCCCGCACAATGCCTCTGCTGATCGTTTCTCACTTTAGCGCCGTTTACTGCATGCCCCGACGACTGTACTTGAGGCCATGTTTGACAAATCCGAATGGGGGGAAAGCAGTGCGATCTCCCGTGCCTCTAGTTTGTTCGCGAATGCTACTCACACGCGTACTGGCAGGGCTTGATCCATCTCGACACGGGGTTCGCGACGGGCGCAGGATGGCGTCTACGATGCAGGCGAGGTCGACGGCGTCCGACGATGCGCACGGAGCCTGGGCTATTTTAGTATTAGTATGAAAATGTGCGCGCTTTACATAGGGACCCACCGCGCCTGTACTATTGGGAGCCTGAAATTCAGCCGCCGCGCGCCGAGTCTGCTTACCCTCGATAATGAGGACGGTCCGGGCCTGCCTGTACGACTCCGTGCCAGTGATGGAGGCGATTATGTGGAATAGAAGGGGAACCGCAGCAGTGGAAGCCCAGGAGTGGTGGAGGGGCAGTATGAAGACGTACTGAAAACGAAAACAAGGCTGGCCGCTGCAACCCCCACCGTTACGTCAGCAATATTTTATCACGTGATGTACATTATTTCGAAGGAGAGTCAGAGACTCTCCCATAAGTACTCACTCTCCCTTCTCTTCGTCAGACACCGTCATCTCCACATCACACTACGGCGACACATCACAGGACGCCTCTTTCGATCTCTTCTACAATCTATCCTGCCGATGTCGTAAATTCCACTGAACGGGACGGTCGGAGGAAAGGGATGCTGAGAACAGAGTGCTGGATCCGGGTGAGTGCTCATCCACCTATGTGGTGAAGCTCTCCACACCCACCACTCGATGGACGCAGGACGCCCCACGGCAGACCATCCCTTCGTCCAGACACGTCGCCCAGGCGCAATCCACCTGCTTCTGTCTCGTTGCTCCGCACCGCTCTCGAGGATTCTCGCAAGTATCAACCCACCTATCAATGCCCCTAGAGTTGTAAGGATCCCACGCACCCTGTTTCTCACAGGAGCCGCGCAGGGAGTGTGTTGTTCCGTTGTCGTCTAAATCGTATGGTTCGTCCTCTTTCTTGTCGCGGTGATCTCTCTCCGACCTCTGCACCAGCCGTTTGGGTGCTCTGTACATACTCCCATCTCGTTTGCGTTGATGTTTTGTGGAAGGGTGGATCCTAGAACGATTCCAATCCATCCCCAATGAAGCAAGGATGGCTTTAACGCAGTGGCAATCAATGTGAGTAAAATGTCTGCGATGAATCTAGATCTAGTTGGCTCGGAGAATAGTCCATTTTCTACACGCATATACATCCATCAAAATCCATTGTGGGTGCGTGTGTTTGCGAAGACAATGAGCCCTGCATTGTTCTCCATTAGGGTCTCATGGTAAGCGTCCGTACGCCGTCCGGTAGGCGTTTGTATCAACAGGGTAAACGCGCGCCCGTGGTCTAGTACAATGACCAGAGTCACATATAAATTCCGCAGCGTCCTGAGACCCTCTCCATCTTTCGCTCTCATTTCAATCTGCTTCAGATGTCCTTCCCAGAAGACGCCTACCAGCCCAGGGGATTAAACGCTCCCTTGGTTAGCGGGCCAGAATACCCCCGCAGCGATAGCCCTGATTACAATACATACGGATGGAAAACTCCGGCAGGATACATAACCCCGATGATTCCAGAACAAAGCCCGCCACTCATCCGTACGCCCCCCGCCCCCCTACTATGTTCCATTCACCCCCTCGCTTACGTGCCCTCTGACAGCCTGGGTTACTCCCCCTCACATTGCCCGAATCCGGGACCGTCTATACACGCCTGAAACTCCCCTTCAGTTCGGATCGCCATTGGAACTTGGATCGCCATCGAATCGAAACTACCATCCAGTATCACCGATGTTCTATGACGACTTTGCGCGAGCCCCTTCACGAGCTGACACCCCGGACGGTCTGTTTCGGGAGCGCCTCCCCCGGGATGGCTTCAATCCCGTCGGTGTCTCCACCCCCAGCATAGAGTGCACGGCAGACGAGGAGGTGTGGGTCGCGAATGGCGACATGTACGTTATCGGCCAGGGTGCCCATATCCTGTTCCGTGTCGACAGTCACCTCCTCGCCTCCCGCTCCCCCACCCTCAGCAAGTCTATTCACACCGAAGTCCAAGTTGGGGTACGGCTTAAAGATGTGGAGTGGCTCGGAGACAACTGTTTCGACTCGCTTCCCGTATGGATTGTCGACCAAGACACGAAAGTCCTCCGGTTCTTCTTGAAAGCCATGATGCAGCCTCCCCACCGCGTCCTGTACGTCCCATCCCGTTACCCACCCATTTTCACGGATCTCACTTCGCGCAGTAACGCAGTCTATCGCGGCGCCCGCATCCCCTTCGAAGAAGTCGTCGCCGTCGCTCGGCTCGCCCACCGCTTCGACGTGCGCCACGCCCTCCACGCCGCGCTGCAGCACCTCACCAAGTTCTACACGACCGACTTCCGAAGCCACCACGACCACTCGCATAGCAGAGACCTCGACGTGCCCAGCGACGAGTGCGCCGTCGCCGCGATCCAAATCGCGCGCCTCACCAACACCCCGTCCATCCTCCCGCTCGCCTTCTACCTCTGCAGCCTCCACGAGTGCCCGAACGGCTACCTGGACCCGCGCCTGCGCATGCGCTTCGAGTGGCGCCCCTTGCACGGCCCGGTCGAGGATCTCCCGGCCGAGGACCGCGACGTGTGCCTCAAGGGCGTGTGGGAGCTCTGCGAGGCGATGGTGGGGCGGTACGAGAAGGTCTACGACGGGGGTGCCGGGTGCCGCGAGGAGTGCGCGAGGGCGCGCCGGCGGCTCTTCGAGGCGACGAACGCCCACGGTGAGTATCTGATGACGCGCCGCGAGGAGGTGGCCGTGGACGGCCTCTGCGGAAAGTGTGCGGCGGATGTGCGTGCGCGGATGCGGAGGATCCGGGTCGCGCTCTGGAACGGGATCCCGGGGTTTTTCAGCCTGCCTGTGCCCCGAGGGTGGAGGGTTGACGAGTAGTGAGTTGTAGTCACTGTGACGCATAAGGATGGTGAGATCAAGTACCCATGAAGATATGTTGCGAATTAATCAATGCAAAAGGGGGGTTCTAGTAGCACTGTTTTCCATGCTTATATCCCTTAACTGCGTCAGAGGTGCATGCGCTGCCCTGCACGCGAACTCTGTTCATCAACAGCGTATAAATAAGATTTTCAAGTCGTGTAGAAGCACATGCATCGCTTCATGCATCCGCCTCGCCTACACCCGAGCGAGCCCATTCGACGGCGCGTACTTGTACCTCTCTTCGCTCCCGCTCCCGCGTGGCGCGTCCGCGTACCCCGTGAACGGCTGCACAGGCGGCACCAACCCCACGTTCGAGCCCATCTCCACCCCGGTGCCCAATGGAGCGCGGCTGTAATCCTTCTCGTCCTTCGCGAGGGGGATGTGCAGCCCAGCGACGACGTACACCAGGACGACGGCGCACTCGGGAAGGACGGAAAGCGCGAGGTAGACGCCCCATTCGCCGGACGTGGCGTTGAACTTGGCGAGGCTCGAGGACGCGAAGGACGGGTTCGGGATGCGCTGCGGCGGGTCTGAGGCGGAGAACGCGAACGGAGACGGTGAGAACGCGGAGAGGACGGAGTAGAGCACGCGCAGCGCGAGGATTGGGAGGCACAGGACGATCGCCGCAAGGAGCTGTCAGGGTACCGCTCATTGATCAGCGGCTGCGACGCGGGTGCGAGATGAGGCAGATAGGACGCACCTTGCGTCGCTGCCGGAGTACTTGGTTCGGTTGATCCAGCAGAACACGGTCGTGAAGCAAATGGAGATGTACAGCGCGACGAAGAGGATGACGCCGATGTGCCTGTATTTCCCGCTCGAGTCGAGGTCCCCCTGATTCTTGGCGCTTCCGGCTTTCGTCCCGCCGATGACGGCGAGGATGACCCCACGGTGCCGAGGGAACTGAGGAGGTGGAAGATGCGAGGCCCATCAGCGGGTAGACGTCGAGGGAATGCTGGCCGCTGGTACAAACTTCGTTCAATAGCTGCCCATGGAAGGCACAAATGTACTTACACCGTTCCGAGAAAGCCTAGGGTGGCAACAAGAAGTGGAGAGAGACCTGAAGCTTCCATGATGCCGTAGATGGTTTGAAGAGTCGAATTGGAGGGGTTGTCTCGGAGAGCACGTGCGTACGCCTCCGATGATCCTGACTAGCAAAGGGAGTCGTTTAAGCACGGAGACGATAAAAAAGTGCAATTAACTAACTGGTCGAGAGCAGATGGAGAAATATCCATCCTGCCTTCTTTGTGAAGCAATTCCGGAAGACGAGAAATAGTGAAAGGACGAGTATCGGCGCGTAGAAGAGAATTTCCGCAACTGCGATACCACCGCGTTGGTCGAGACCCATCGAATGAATACTCTAATTAAGGGGTTGAAAGTTGAAACGAGAAGCGGATGAGACGAAGAAGAGGATGCCGGTACTCAACAACAGCGTCGAGTAGATATACTCAACTAGCTCCCGACAACGGACGATCCTTCGCACCCTAGCGCTCTGAACCGCACCCAACCGACTGGGCGTCACGCCTCCGAACCGTTTCAAGGTTCAAAATGACGTTGGTGACGGAGTGCCCAAAGCACCCGCAATAAACATGAAAGCGAATTGACCTGAATGAGTGCGTGAGACACATAATACAGAAAGGGCGTCACTTCTGACTCGTCCGTGCATCGTCGACGAAACGTTGACCAATCACTCACTTTCAATTTCCTTCTCCATGTTCGTCTGAAAAGGGCTGATCGCACAGCCGGCACAGATTAATGGATCATGAAGCAGGATTTCAGTGGCATAGATCAGTCTGAGGGAAGACAAAGGAAGAGACTCGGAGAAGTCTTGTACAAAGTTGAAGTCGAAAAATGTGTGCGCTCCGGCCCTCCGGGTCCGGCACCGGGGAATTTAGTTACCGGGCGCGCGCGAACTCTAACATACTTATGGCCTGAGCTTCGGTAACGTACATCTAATCGTACTGATGTGTACTCATGAGTCGGATTGCATGGACTGCATGACCATCTCCGCCAGCTTCTCTGAGCGAGGGATAACCCGACACTTGAAAGGCTCCGGTCGACTGAAAACAAATCAGGGCGCCGTCCACATCAAAAGCCTGGCATCGACGACTCGCCTTGTGAGACCAGGCTTGAAATTTGCCGGCGGTACCACTTCTTCGCCCGCCTCGTTCAAAGGGGGCAAGATGTCGAACGCGGCGATAATGTTCGACACTGCGAGCCAGAGCGCACGGTCCGCGAATGCCTGCCCCGGACATACCCTGGGCCGCGTTCTCGTCAGCAGCCGGCGCAGGGTTTGCAGTGTGCTCAAAAACTAACCGTCGTCCAAAGCCGAAGACGAATCCACTGGGGAGCTCGCCATGCGCGCTCTTCTCCTTCAAGCCGACCAAGTGACGCTCCGGACGGAACTCCTCCGGCTCAGGCCAGAATTCAGTGTCGCGCGACATGCCCCTAAACACACGCCTCATCAGCGAAGTTCCATCAGAGGGAGTGGGGAGACGTACCAGATATTCGGTAGCACCATGCATCCCCCCGGAATGTCATAGCCACGGTAGTTGTCGTCGTTGATAATGCTATGTGGGAGTGCTGCATACCACAACGTCAGCGCGGCAACCCTCGACCCCGGGTGAGACTCACCGAGCGAAAGTCCAGGGCGCCATCGAAGCATCTCCTCAAGGAGCGCGTTCAGGTACGGCAGCGAGTCGCGGTCCGAGAAGGTGGGAAGACGGTCGCGTCCAACGACGTGGTCGACCTCGTCCTGCGCCGCGCGCAACACACGTGGCGTGCGCGTCATCACGAGGAAGAACGAGAGCAGCGTGGTGTGTGTCTGTCTCGAGTTCATCAGCAATCGTCCTCGGCTACCAAGCGCACCTCCGAGGAGACCCCGGACCCGGGCACTTACAGTCTCAATGCCGGCTACCCACGTGCAAACGCAAATTTCGTCAGCCTCCCGCGAAGCTAACAGTATCTATCGTTCGCTACTCACCCCCGTAGATGCTGACTCCAGTTCCGCGAATGTCTTCGAGTTTCTCGGCTGTCCTGTTCTCCTTGCGGCTGTACGCGTCCAGCAGGGCCGAGGTCACGCAGGGCGAGCCGGTTCCAAGGGCCTGCACCAAGGGTGAAACGAGACGACGTGCGCATCAGTCCTGCGAGCGGAGACTAATTTGGCACGAGGCGTACCATGTCCTCCTTCACCCGATCCACCGCTATGTTTTGCCACATCACCAGGTCATCGCGCGCACGCATGGCGCGGCGCTTGAAGCCCGCTCCAGGCATCCACGTGGGGATGTACTTCACTGCACGCACACATCAGTGAAACATCAACGAACGCGGTCCTGCCACTTACGCATGGGAAAGAAGTCCACCAGGAGCGAGCCGGGGTGTCCTCGGTCGTTCGTCGACGTGTTCGCGCGCTCCGCGAACACCACTAGCTCGTCCTCCATCGATATCAGACGACGACCATACGTGATCTCTTGGATCGATCCCGCGACATATCTGGTGTGCGTGTGCCGCAGGGCTATCAGTACTTCGGCGCGACTTCCGAGCGGTGAGGAGCGTGGGAGGCGGACTTATGGAGATGGTCTGCGAACACTTCCGGTGAGTCGAGAAGATCTTGCAGAAGCACGTTTGCGCCGCGCCGCATGATGGGCTGGTAGCCCGCTAGCTTCGAGCGGACACCCATCGCGTCGTGGATCCACTTGCGCTGCCGTCTGAACCGTTCCCCGTACCGCATCATCGGGACGCAGTTCTCGTAGCCGATCCTGAGGGGCACATGTCTGTCAACTCGGAGTGTGCAAGTGGCGTGCCTTAGGTGTACGTACATTTCGGACATGAGCACCATGCGAGGGCGATCCGAGTAATTCGCGCTGCGCTTGTCGAGGAGGTTCCGTGCGACCGCGAGGGAGTTGAGGACGATAGCTGGGGTCTGGAACAACTTGAAATACACAACGTCACCTGCACAAGATGTCAGCAACACAAAAGGCGAAGAGAGCAGGCGAACGCTTCACTTACCAAACTGTTCTCGCCACTGCCAAAAGGTGTACTCGGGACCCTTTAGAAACGACATGTGGTGGATACTTCCAATGATGGGGAGTGACCAGGGCCCGGGTGGAAGGCGTCGACGTGGCGTCGCGAACCACCGGAAGATTATCAGCATGAGCACAACAACACCACCCACGAGCCGCGGCGAGGCGTCTGGTATCATCGTGGAGTCCTATGTGCAACGGTTCAGTTATGCTATCGCGAGGATGCGGGACGGTGTACCCACTACAAGCGACTACAAGCGAGGAAGTGGGGGATGGGTCATCGATGACGCGATGCTCCTGCTTTATGTATCTGGGGCCCACGCGGGAGCACTCAAGAACCTTGCCGTCTCACGCTTGCGAAGGCACCTAGAAAAATTAGTACGCTTTCCCTGGCGCCTACACCTCGTGCGCAGCGGGTAACGCAACCGAAGTGATTGATGAATACCCAAGCCAGAAGAAGGCAAGGTCTCCCGAGACAGTGTGTTTGAGACCGTGAGATGGGTCAGACATCCGCCTCGAGCCTTCCGCAGGCTCTTCCGCAATGCCTCGAGGTTTCGCACTCGGGCGACGAATTCGCCGATGCACATACCGACACCCACAGCTAACCGCCTCCATTCTTCGTGGCACGCCAGCGGAGGAGTTAAGCTGAGTTCGGCTACTCGATCTTCAAAATCAAAGTCAGGGAACTCTGGACCAAGATGATGGCGGAAGAAGAGGGGCGAGGTCTAATACCCATTGCAGCACCTTGCAATATCTCTGCCACGTGGTACTTACTTTGGGCATTTCGGAGTTCGAAACAGCACTAAAGTGTGCCCTTGAGACCCCACTGTACTGATACCCCGATGTTTTCAACACACACATGTGCGCCATGGATATCTTCAGGCTCATTGATGATTTTTCTTGTGGTGAGCAGTCATCCGGATTCTAAGGTTTTGCATTCGCAATCGCACAGACTTGAACCCTGACTTTGCCCTGACTGGTTCCTCGGCGCGGCGCGCGCAAGATGAGACCTACCTGGTCTTGGGAAATGGGCTCACTTCCGGGGTGCAAGAATCGAAGCTGGACTGAACCTTGATTACCACCCCGGCAGACCTCGAAGACGTGCGCGAATACATCGAGGAGGCGGGTCGGCGCGCGCTCCGCGGGATTCGACCCTGCTGTGGTTTCCTGAGGCGGGCGCTCATGGCGCAGCCTAGTCTCCCCTAGCGCAGACGGAGTGGGCGTCATGCCGGAGGGCGGGGCACAGAAGGACCGACCTGGGGAGGAAGAGAGTTGGGTGCCAGAGCGAGGACATCCGAGAACAACGAGCCCGACGTGATCATCGAGGACGAGGAGCAGACACTCGGGGCGAAGAGCTACTCCCCGCGATGAGATCTCCAGATCCCCCGTGGCATCCATGAAGAGACTCGGTTACTGATGATGAGAGTTGTAGCAAGTTGTAGGCGTCGAAGAGTAGTTGAAGGATTCTAAAAAACCTCTGTGACGGCGCGGACTTCGTCGTATTGTGCTGCGATTTCGCGTCATTCTTGGAATCTTTTGGGCAGTGGTGAACGTTGAGAGTTACTCGAGACAAGGTTCAGAATCATCACCGGCCCAGGCGCATATATATCCACGTGACTCACTTCGTATGTTCGGGCGCCTGTGCTTTTGTGTGCGCGTCTACCTCGTCTTCCGCGGCGCTCACCTCACAAACGCACCTCCCCCTTCGCGTACCCAAACGCCCGCCCGCGGGTACATAATCGCAAACGCCCGCGCCTCTCTGCTTTTCTCTTGCGCGCGCAGACCATGGAGGCCAGCAAGCCTGCCGCGAAGTACGCCCTCTCCTCCTTCTACTCCTCCCGGCCCCAGCCCTCCTCCGACTCGGCGAATGCTAACGCGTCCGCGGACGACAGGAAGCGCAAGATCACGGACAAGAACCTGCCGAATGGCATCGCGCAGGAACCCGAGTTCGCGGCGGAGAGCCAGATGTACAGGGACCTGCTGGGGATGGAGCGCAGGCTGGACTGGACGATGACGCGGAAGCGGGTGGAGGTGCACGATGCCCTACAAAGGATCGTTCCGGTGAGTTTTTGGCACTGTCTTTGTGAAAGGCTTCGGAGTAGGCTTCGGAGGACCGCGAGGCGGCTGCTTTGGTTTGCATTGGAGTCTGACCTTTCCACGCGTATAGTCAACAAGAACGCTGCGCATCTTCCTCAGCCACACCGTCTCTAGTCAGGCGTGGCAGCGAGACGGGACCGAGGGCGACGCGCAACCCAACCTCGAGACTGGCGAGAACATCCAGCGTGGCACTTAGGATAGATGGGCGATTGATAGAGGTGGGTCGGGTTCGCGTTCTCTTCGTGACCGCAAGCCTGAGGAGCCACAGCTGCCTACTCGGGCGAAAGACAAAAACGTTCCGCGCAAGTTCTCGACGCTCATCAAGCACATGATCGTCGAGCTGGACCGAGACCAGACGCTTTATCCGGACGGGAACATTGTGGAGGTGCGTACATATGCGCCAAGACTTTCTAAATCAATACTGAGTAGTTCGCACTTTCCAGTGGGTACGGGGAACGAACCAACCGGCATTGGATGGGTTACTATCCGGCGGAAGGGCGACATGCCCGTGAAGATGCGGATCGTCATCCATTTGGAGCAGCAACCGAGCAATATAAAGTCCACCCGATCTTGGTGTGTATGCTATGCGCTGGTTTGTCCACGTTTCGCTTACCCTGTCATGCAGCTGCCATCATTGGCGTCAAGAAGAGTCGCGGACAGGTGTCATCCAAGCGTTGTGGAACTACATCAAGACGCAAAACCTTCAGGACAAGCTCGATAGGAGAATGGTGCGGGCAGATGCGCGGCTTCGCCAGGTACGTGACTATATGCGCATTTATTCTGCGTCTTCTTCATACCTTGGTCCCTCAGATATTCAACGCGGATAGCGCGTACTTTCAACACCTTCCCGAGCACGTCAACCGCTTCCTTCTTCCCCCCGACCCCATCATCCTCCACTACACCCTCAACCCACGGTCCCCCTGCAGATAAGCCCTCGGCATGGGACGTAGAGATCAAGCTCGATGACACGAGCTTGAAAGGGAGGATGCAGCACGTTGTCATGAGTATGGCGTCCGACTCTGCCAAGGAGTTGACGAAGCTGGACGAGGAGGTGAGTTTCTTTTTGTTGTGGGCACGAGGATCAAACGGATCGGAAATGGTTGGGTCCCCTTTTGGTGGACGACAGACGAGGGTGGCGTAAAGAGCCCCCGCTCTATGCCCACCTGGACACTGCTGGGGCCCCTCTGCGCACAAACATGACTGTGGCGGGTTACGCGGTCTCTCGGCTCGGCGTAGCCCAATTTCCAGCCTCGTCTGCTTGCGCGAAGAGTTTTCGGCCGTCAGGTTGTGCAGACCCTGCTTGCGTCGGCTACGGACGCGGATTGGACGAAGGATGATGAGGGATGAGGATGATGCGATGTGCTGCGATCAGGGTCTGCGCATGAGCATGGGGAGGTAGTGCCAACGCCCAGTACTCAGCTGGTTGTTGGTACCAGCCTTGTATGCTAGTGACGGGTCTCGGTGATTGCGGAAGTGCATCCTGTCTCCTCCGTCCAGGCTTAGGTGGCGCTCTGCACCATTTCACCCCACCCCTCGAGGGCGGAGACCACCTTCGCCTTCACAGCGCACTTGAGGCGCGCGGAGCAGACTGTCTTTCGCACCCCGTCCGTGTTCTGCGGGAGAGTGGCTTCGTTGTGCTAGGATGGGATTTTCACGATCGCAGCCATTGCATCGCACGTCTCTGTAATGTGTCGTCCCCCCGTCTTTGCGCCGAAGCCGCCCCATTCTTGCCGCATTTCACATCGCTAACGCCTCCTCAGATCGCTCTGCACGTTCAGTCGCTCAACAACTCGCACATGAAGCGCCAGTTCCTAGGCGCGTTCGCCGACGATCCACGCGGGTTCATCCAGACCTGGCTTGCGTCGCAGTCACGCGACCTGGAGAGCGTGCTCGGGAGCGGCCCCAGCGAAGGCGCGACGGTGCGACAAGAGGACCTCAAGCGCTCCGAGTATTTCCGGATGGCATGGGTGGAGGAGGCGGTCGCGATCCAGGAAGGCATGCGACTGGCGTCGAAGGTCGGCATGTGAAGCGGGCGAGCCGAGGTGTTGCGTGGTGACTCGTTACGTGTTTCGGTTTGTAGTTTTGTTTTGTATGTATGCTTGTACCTGCCCTCGCTATCGACTTTTCCGTTCCCTGCACATGGTTCGCAGCTGGGAACGTATGTATCTCCAGCGGGCGCGGACTAGCTCGAGAGCAAACGAAGGTGCAAGATGATTATCGCGTCTGCGTCTCGCCGAGCTCGCATAGCGCCACGTTGCAGGGGAATTTATAGCAGAGGAAAGCTCACAGCCCGAAGAGCCCGAGCGTAAGCATGCGGCGATTGCCTTGCGGAAAGGGCGGGCCGCGCTGCCGGGAGATATGCGACTGGCAATCGTCGAACGATCTCGCGAATTTCATGACAGCAGCCAATGGGGAGGCGAGGAGAGATCCAAAATGGGGCGCGAGGGCCCCCCGATTGCATCTGTGATGATTGTGCCTCTGGGGCGAGCGAGGCGGCGCGGCTGGGCGGGTGAGCAGGCTGGACGCTTGTTCTCCCGTCACGACCGTCGTTCGCAGTTGCCACTTCCCCGCTGTGCGCCGCCACACTCATCCTCCTGGCTTGCTTTCGTAGCTCGAGAAACCACCACCATACCACTACCACCACCGACGGACCACCTGGAGACGGGATCTACCGCGCTAGAACATGGCCAGCAAGCAGGTGAGCGCCGCCTCCATGCACTATCGCTGACCACCGTGTGCTGACCGCTGGCGGCGCGGGGTAGCTCGGGAAGCTGCGTCAGGTGCGTCTTCGTCGTGCTATGCTCTTCGCCTCCACCATGCTCACAGGAGGCGCACACAGCTCGTCGGGGAGGCCATCCTCTCGCGGGACAAAACCATCCAGTCGGACGAGTTCCGGGAACTGGAGCACGATGTCGAGCTGAGGAGGCAGGGCCTCTGGCGGTGAGTGTCTCGCACCCTTCCCCCTGCACACTATATATGTAGCGTTTTTGTTTCTTCCTGCGCGCCTTGTCCCCGCTCCCGGTCCGTCCGAGCGTGCGTCCGTCGTACCAGTGCCTCGATGGACGCCAGCTCGGACGGGATCTGTCGTGCGAGCCACGCTGCTGTACGTCTCTTGGGATGTCTATATGCGTCCCTGGAATGGCTGTATGCGCCCTCGGACGTCCGCAGATGGTTGCCCCGTTGCCCGCTGCCGCTGCCGCTACGTATGCTCGTTGAGCGACCGAGTCCGACATTCTCGGGCTCGGCTAGCGGTGCGCTGGATCATCCCAGGCTAATGCACTTGGCTCTCTGCATCGTGTCTGCGGCCATGCGCGAGTTGCCGGGGCTCGTATTCCCAATCACAGCTGCCCCGGGGGTCAGCGCTCCCGAGGAGTTCGCTGCACAGGTGTGGAGCGAGCCATCTGTCAGCCGCCGAAGTTTGGGAGGTGCAGAGCAGGAGGACTGATGTCGTTGTCTACAGGTTAGACGTCGCCTCGGAGGACTTACGACACCATTTGATGAAGAAGAGGCTCTCTGAGGTTGCGGAGGCCGAAGAGAAGCTGCTCCCCATTGACGCGCTCGGCGTGGTCATGATCAAGCACGGCGAGGAATTCGGCGATGACTCGGCGTACGGGCTGTCGCTCGTCAACCTCGGTCGTACGCACTGCAACATCGCATCGCTGCAAGAGAGCTTTGCGTCCACCTTCGAGGAGACGTACTTGACGGCGGTGCGGCAGAGTGAGGACGACATCAAGGAGTATCTGGCGCAGAGGAAGAAGCTGGAGAGCAGGCGGTGCGTGACCCTTCGTCGCTTTTTCGACCTTTCTTCCTTACCCTCGTACAGGGTAAGCTACGATGCTGCGACATCGAAGCTCGAGAAGATCCGTCACACGAAGAAGGCGACCGACAAGGATCGCGAGGAGGTAGAGGATGAGTTTGAGAACGCGAAGGCGCGCTAGTGAGTCTTCATCCTCTTCGCTTCGTCAGTGTCTCATCGTCGTCGTAGTGAGGAGACGTTGGAAGACGTTCGCGTTCGCATGCGTGGTATTCAAGACAACGAGGTCGTTCAACTCCGGGAGCTCACGAGCTTCCTCGACCTCGAGATCACATATGTTCGGTCCTATCTGGACGAGCTTGAGAAGGCGAAGGCCAGTTGGGTTGACGAGTACGTGGCCATTGGCGTCATCCATGACATCTACTGACGGTTTCTTGATTCCTTAGAACCACGCTGAAGAAGCTCGGTGCGCCGAAAGCCAGGCCGCCTCCACGCGTTGCGCCTGTGTCTCGTGCTGGCTCCATCAAGTCCACGAAATCCGCTCGCAAAGGGGAGCAGGCCGAGGACTCGAGCGACGACGAGGCAACTTCCAAGAAGAGCCACGGCCGCAGCAAGTCCGAGGCCGGCAGCAAGCCTCCGTCTCGTGCCCCTTCACGCGCCTCTCGCAAGCGTGCGGACAGCGCCGCGACCGCCGTTAGCGAGAAGGAGGACAAAGAGAAGGACAAGGACAAGGAGAAAGAGAAGAAGGCGGAGAAGAGCTCGAACCGTTTGAGCCTCGCGGGATGGGGGTCGATCATGGGACGTGGCAAGAAGGACAAGGAAAAGAGAAGGACAAGGACAAGGACAAGAAGGACAGTTTGCGTCGCTCGAGAGCGACGAGAGCGAAACGGACGAGTACGGCGTCATGAAGCGCAAGCGCCGCTTGTCGTCCCCGCCATCCCTTCGTCGTCTCCTAAAATCCCGACGCGCCTACTCAAGTCGTCTTCGAAGGAGAGCCAGCGGAGCGATGACAGTGGTCAGAAACGCGTAATCGCTCTCCACGACTTCGCCGCAGGCTCAACGGACGAGCTCAGCTTCAAGGTTGGGGACCAGATCGTCGTCGTCAGCGAAGTCCTCGACGGCTGGTGGATGGGCGAACTCGGCGGCAAGCGTGGCTTGTTCCCGACCACGTACACCGAAATCATCAACTCCTCAACGACGTCGCTCTCGAAGCCCCCACTTCCACAGCGCCCTCCATCATCAGCGACGCGGAACTCGGCCTTGGCGGCAACGGTAACGGCAATGCACAGTGTCTTCGTTCTCATCTCTCGAGGAAGGCGACGACACCCACCCCTTCAGCGACCAACGCTCGCGTCCGACCACCAGCGCGCCGAACGGCAGCGGGGCGTCTCTACGCGGCAAATCGAAGCCGAAGAAGAAGTACTATGAACCAAGCATCGACAGCATGAACAGCGCCTCTGTGCGCTCCGGGTCCGATGTTGATTCTGACGATGCGGGCTCGCTCGTCCGCGTCCAGCGCGTCGACGACTCCTTCTCGTCCGTGTACATCACCGGCTTGCCGACCCCGCAGTCGCCTGCCGCGGTTTCACCCGTGGCGGCGTCCAAGACCTCTGGCCTCGCCCCCACTCCCTTCTCTTCCGCCTCGGGCGCTGCTGCCCCACCGCCCATTCCGGTCCGCAGGAATACGGAATCCAAGAAGGCGCCTCCACCGCCTCCGCCACGCCGGTCAACGCTCTCCATGTCGACCTCGTCGGTGGCTACTCCTCCGGCCGTCCCCAGCCGCCCTGCGACCCTGCGCTCGAAGTCGAGCAACGGGCCTGACCCCACACGGCGGCTGACGCTGGGCGACCTCTCGAGTGGGGACCCAGATGGGCTCACGCACTCGCCGTTCGACAGCCCGCGGGAGCCGGGGTTCGGCTGCACCGACTTCAAGCAGAACCCGTTCAAGCCTGTGGGGTTCTGTAACAACTGCTTCAAGACCCATTACTAGGCTTCGCCCATCGATACCACCCACTGCTGTCCTCGTTCTCGCTCCGCAACATACACGCGCCTCCGTCGTCCCCGCACGCGCACGCAACACGCACTAGGGGCGTTGTACCACCACCCAGTATCGTTACTATCGTCCGTAGTCCGTCGGCATGCGTCCCGTCTCGCTCCCGCACATCATCCATCCACACTATTACCATCATCCGTCGTCGTCGTCATCTATGGCCCATCGTCCTTGCATCCCCCTCGCTCCACTTACGATATCATCCGGACTCTCGTACTCGTACACTTGCATCCCAACCAGCGTTGGCGCTCTTAGCTATTTAGTCACGTCGCGCGTCAGGCGTTCTGCCCGCGCGCGACGCACACACTTGGTCTCACCGGTCTATAATGATCAAGGACGGATCTATCACTACATGGTGCGAGCCTCACTCCTCCAGGTGCGCGATCATCTCCGCGACCGCCTCCGAGCGCGGCGTGATCCTGCACTTGAACGGTTCCGGGCGGCTGGTGTGCCGTGCGGACAAGTCAGTGACCGATGGTGGGCGGGGGGCGCGAACCGGACGCGTGTAGACTCACATCGTCATCCCGGGAACAAAGGCGACCGGAGGGCACACCTCGCGCCCCGCGCGGTCGAGCCGCGGGCGGACGTCGAACGCGGCGACGACGTGTGCGATCGCGAGCCACGCGGTGCGGTCGACGAAGGCCTGCCCTGGACACACCCGCCGCCCGAAGCCGAAGACGAAGCTGCTCGGGAGGTCCGCAGCCGCTTTGGGGGAGGACTCAGAGTTGGTGGAGGAAGAGGAGGAGGAGGAGGAGGAGGTGTCGAGGAAGCGCTCGGGGCGGAACGCGTCAGGGTCGGGGAAGGAGGCGGGGTCGCGCGACATGCCCCAGATGTTGGTGAGGACCATGCAGCCGGCGGGGATGTCCCAGCCGCGGTAGGTGTCGTCGGAGGTGAGGTGGTGGGGGAACGCTGGGCGAGTGTGTTCGTTAGCTTCGGCGAGTGGCACTGTCGCTGGGAAGAGGAGGGAGGGACGCACAGAGGGCGATGCCGGGGCGCCAGCGGAGGAGCTCTTCGAGGACGGCGTTGAGGTACGGGGTGCGCTCCCGGTCGGACAGGTCAGGGAGGCGGTCGGGCCCGACGACGCGGTCGAGCTCTGCTTGGGCGGCGCGGAAGACGGTGGGGTTGTGGAGCATGGCGAGGAAGAAGGTGACGAGGGTGCCGTGGGTCTATGGGTACGCGCGCACGCGCGCGCGTTGGGATCAGCGCGAATGGGCGGGACGCGGGGATAGGAGTGGACGTACGGTTTCTGTCCCGGCTGGGTGAAGGGGAGATGGTCAGCGACGGGGAATGGGCGTCGGGGGACTAGGGGTCGAGGGGGCGCACCTCCGTAGATGCTGACCCCGACGCCGCAGATGTCCTCCTTCTGCTCGGGGGTGAGGTCCGCAGAGTGCGCCTCGAGGAGCGACGCGATGACGCAGGAGTGCAGGCCGCCGGACGCCATGTCCTCCTCGACCTGCTTGAGCGCCATCTCTTGCCACGCGATGAGGCTGTCGTGCGACACCTTCGCGGTGCGCTTGAACCCGGCGCCGGGGAACCAGCTCGGGATGTACTTCACTGAGAGCATGCCAGTTAGCGAGCGCGACGCGAGCCAAGAGAGAGGGAAAGGCTCACAGAACGGGAAGGAGTTGACGAGCAGCTGGCTGGGGCCCGTGTCGTTCGACGCGACCACCGTCTTCTCCCCGATCACGACGAGGTCGTCGCGCATCGACCGCGGCCGGCGCCCGTACACGATCTCGAACAGCGTAGCGACGATGTACCTCCAGGCGCTCTCCGTCAGCATCTATCCGAGGCCTTGGGGCTTTTGGGGGCGGTGGCGATCCGGAACTCACTTGTACAGATGCGCCGAAAAGTCCTCCGGGGACTCGAGGAGGTCGCGGACGAGGACGCGCCCGGCGCGGCGCATGAGCGGCGCGTACGAGTCGAGCGCCACGCGCGTGCCCATCGCGTCGTGGATCCACTTGCGCTGCCGCCTGAAGCGCTCGTCGTAGTGCATCGTCGGCGTGGTGTTCGTGAAACCGATCCTGTGTGCGTGCGGCAAGGCGTCACGCGTGCGTGAGCGAGCGCCAGCGTGGGCACGTGCTGAAACACCGGGGGACGGGGCGCAAGGCGAATGGGACGCACATCTCGTTCATGACGACCATCCGAGGCCGGTCGGAGTACTTCGCGCTCCGCTTGTCGAGCAGGTCGCGCGCGGCGGAGAGCGAGTTCAGGAGGAGGGTCGGCGTCCGGAAGAGCCGGAAGAAGATCACGTCGCCTGAACAGAGTGGGAGTTGTGTCAGACACGGTTTGCGACGCGGACATCATGCGGGGGGCGTGGGACTCGGCGAGAGGGGGCGGGGACGACCGCCATGGCAGGGGACTCACCAAACTGCTTTCGCCACGACCAGAACACGTACTCTGGAAAGGTGGCCGTCAGGTGATGGGCGCTGCCAATAAGAGGGAGCGCGCTGGGGCCTGGAGGAAGCTTGTATCGGGGAGAGGTGAGCCACCGCGAGAGAAGGAAGGTGGCAGTAGCGAGGGCAGCGAGGGCAACAGATATCCCGACCATTTTTGTTGTCTCTGCGGAGGGGGTGGGGACGAGACACGATGAGGGCATCAAAGCCGCGGCCTCCCCTTAAGTACGTCGCGGGTTACGCGCCCAGTGCCCATAACGGTTTACGACAAGCAATTCGAAGAACGCAATTTTCTGATACGCTCCAAGTAAGTGTCTTCCAAGCGTGAGGCTTCTCAGGTCGGTCATCGAAGTCCGGCAGGATGGCTCGTTTGCAAAGGCTGGACTCTGGGACACAACATCTCGGGGCAGGGGAAGGGGTTATTTGCGCTGTCAAGGGCGACATATGCAAAGCTTCGCTTCGCCCTCCACGGACTTTAGACAAGGCGCTTCATTTCAAATACTGCGGACATCAGATCAGGTGAAGATGACGGGAGTGAACACGGATGGTGGCCTAGTACTTAGGCAGAATACTCGAAAGGGTTGTGGCCTCGGAACGTCCCCGGAGACGGATATGTTGAAGTAATAAAACTGTTTTACATAAGCGCAGGCCGATAAAGATAACGCGGAACTATACTTGTCAGCGCACTTTGCCGCTCATTCGTGTTGACCTCCCATCCATGGGCGACATGGACTCGGGCGGCAAGCCTCAACGACAAACTGCACTCCCAGATCCGGGACTTGCATCCATTGACCCTGCACCCACAGATCCGATCAGGCAAGCACGGAGCGGACGTGAAGGGGGATCGTCACCGTGTAGCGCTCTTTGTTGATGCTCACCCTCCGGAGAGTACGGTTGCGGTCGAAGAAGACCTGCGCGGCTTCGAGAGTCGAGTTCTCCCGGCGCGTCTTGTGCTTGCCTAGGATGTCGATGTGGAGCGCGTGGAGACGAGGTAGGTTCTCGATGTACTCGGGAAGGAGTCGGCGCTGAAGGGAGATTCAGTCACGTATTGTCGCAGCAAGGACGTCCGAAAGACTCACCGCGACGTCCAGCGAGACGAGAACTGAGAGCTCTTCGAGCAGGACACAGGTAGAGCAGAGGCTCTTCAGCGCGCACCTACCGACAAAAAGGCGTCGGATCTTCAACACCTGGAGCGTGGCGGCGTGCCGTGCGCAGAGATGTTCTAGCAGAGGGCTGAAGGAGGGAGACGCTCCGCGCATTGCTGATGGTATCGGAAACTCCACATGCAGCTTTCTGAGCGGCCCATGGCGGATCACGCGGCGGACCCACTTGTAGAAGTATGCGGCCTCCGAGCGTGTGGAGGGACTGACGCATTGAACAGTGAGGTCTCGGAAGTGCGGGAGATAGGGTGCGCGATAAGGGCGCATTTGCTGCCAGGAGCAGCAGACCTCAGTCGTCGTCATGGAGATAATTGCCCGCAGACGTACCAGGTAGTAAAAGAAGGTTAAGCTGGTCAAGTTCGGAAGACCCTCCAGGATCTCGAAGACGTCGTCGTGGGTAAGAGAGTATGACAGTCCGAAAGAGAACGCAGCAATATCCGTCATGTGGGGGACAAACGAGCGTAGCACGCCTGGGGTAATAGACCCGCAGTTGCCCTAAAACATGATCAATGCCAGATAATGCGGGGACGATAGCAGGAAGAACTTACGGTGAGACTTAATGTTCTCAAAGTGGGCTTGAGGTCTCGCAACAACTCTGGTAAAAGTTGCAAAATAACGCGTTTCGGAGTTTCGATTGTGAGGCTTTTCAGATTGCGAAGCTGCGAGAGTGTTTGTGCGTTGAGCTCGGAGCCACACGCGGGGTCGCATGTGAAGCTTTCGAGATAGGGGAGCTGAAGAAGGAGCGGCAAAGCGTCATCGAAGAGATGATCCTGTTGGGTGCGTGGGGTAAACACGACGGTGCGGAGGTTCGGCCAGCATTCCACCGCTGCTTTCAATCGCGAGGAAAATTGATTCAGCCGCTGGGTATACAGATCTGAGTATGCGTTAGACAAGGAGAGCAAGCGAAGTTGTTTCAATCTTACTGCATATCTCCAACCGCTGAACCAGGGTTGCATTGTGAGGAAGTCTGGCTGCCGCAAAGTAGCCTTCCTGAGGTCGCGAAAGAAGCGATCAACTCACAGGACTAAACAAGCGAGACCGCACTCACCGATAGTGGATCCCGCCTGCTCAGACTGAGAGGGGTGTGAACGGCAGAATATGTCACGCAACGGTATAGAAACGGTGTCGCGGCGTTGTGGAGTGCCCGGTTTACCAACGAGCATTGATAAAGCGTTGAATAATTTGCTCCGTAGTCGTAGTCGTTGAATAAACATCCCATGATGGGTATAATCACATCGTAAGGGAGCCCTGGCATACGAGAAGCCGATGATGGCATGTGACGAGGGATTGAGGCAGGAGAGAAAGGGCAGCGAAGTTCGAACGTTGACGCGGCCTCTTGGTTGAAAAACATCGTGCAACAACTGTATATATTATATAACGCTGTTTCCTTGTTGTCAGCATTAATGGGGTAGTGGTAACCTGGGTCGTTGCCATCGACCCGCCGGGGGTTCGATTCCCCCTTAATGCATATCCAATCCCCTGTTGATTGTTTTTGACCACCCGCTCAATCCTGGCTGTGCCAATCAACCTCTTGTGCTCACAACCTCGCAGAAGACTTCGACCATCCTCGTGCATATTACATAGTACACGACTCACAACTCGATAACCCTCCATCACATGGCTCAGGAAGCCCAAACATCCCTGGAATCCTGTTCCAGAGCGTGACACGCACCCTCTCCGTCTGCGCCCGCACATTTACCGCGCACTCTCTGCAGAGGGCAGTCACTGGCAGATTCTGGCGGCGCGTCATCAGATAGACGTCGTACTCCTTCGTCAGCGAGAAGAGCATCCGGCCCGTGAGCTCGCACGCCGGCTCCTGGCAGCACCCGTTGCCCCCGTACACTTCCGCGTGCAGCGCCGCCGCCGCCTCTCGCAGCGCACGCGCGCCCGCGGCGTACACCCGCTCGTCCTCCACCGAGAGCCGCTCGACTCGGCCGTCCGCGCGGCGCCACTCGACCGAGGCGCGCGGGCCGGCGCCCTCGGGACACCCGACCAGGGCGCAGGCGTAGAACGCGAGCGGGAGGACGGACGGGGTGTCGGTGAGGCGCGCGATCTGGATTGCGGCGACGGCGCACTCGTCGCCGGGGACGTCGAGGGCGGCGCTGTGCGAAAAGTCGTGGTAGGCCCCGAAGGCGGTCGTGTAGAACGCGGTGAGGTGCCGCAGCGCGGCGTCGAGGGCGGGGCGCACGTCGAAGCGGTGGGCGAGCCGGGCGACGGCGACGGCTTCTTCGAAGGGGATGCAGGAGCCGCGGTGCGCGGCGTTCCTGGACGCGCGGGGGGCACGGGTAAGTGGCGCAGCGAGGAGGGAGGGACGCGGGGACGTACAGCACGTGGGGCGGAGGTTGGAGCATCGCGTGCAGGAAGAAGCGGAGGTCCGTCGCGTGCTCGTCGACGGCCCACACGGGGAGCGGGTCGAACGAGCACGCAACTTCGGTCGCGTCTTCGAGTTCGACCCCATCCTGGACTTCGGCGGCGATGGACTTGGCGAGGGTAGGCGAGCGGGAGGCGAGGAGGTGCCTGTCGATGCGGAACAGGACGCGGACTCCCTGGTTCTGGCTGAGGACGTACATGTCGCCGTCCGGGGCCCACACCTCTTCGTCGGCCGTGCACTCCACTTGAGCGGGAAAAGTTCCAGCTCCATGAGGAGAGCCTTGCGCCACGCTGCCGCGGAGGGTGGAGTGCCTGCTCGAATCTGTGGAGGAGGCACGTGAGTAACTACCGTTTGTCTGTGGCGACATCGGACGGTGGTTGCTGTCCGACGGGGTGCTGAACCGTGTGGGAGTTGTGGGCTTGCACGAGATGTCGTTATCCAGAGTCTGGGCAACGTGAGGACGGGTCTTCCAGGCTGTCGTAGGATGCATGAGCAAACGACGCCACCGGGTGGTTGATGAACGGTAGAAAGACGTACGGATGAGTGGCGGGCTTCCGGAGGTTTTTGAGGTCATGTAGCCAGTATCGCTTGGTCCGTCCGGATCTAACTCCGGGATGGCGCTACCGAAAAGTCGCGCAGCAGCGACCAAGGGAGGAACTGATCCGGAGGGTTGGTAAGTGGCTTCTGGGACCGACATAGTAAGATGGAATAAGAGAGCGAAAAGACGGATCGGGACTGAGAGTATATATGTGCGTCTGACAATTGTTATGCCATTGCGGTGGTACAAGATGTTGCACTTGCCTTGTCCATTAAAAAGGCTGCGCACTTTATGGCCTTGGTGTAGAAAAATCTAGATCACATCGTGCACGTACCCACAATGAGAGGAAAGCGAAGACTTTGCGCATATCGGAGATCTGTCGACGTCACAAAGGGGCTACGTAGATACGCAGAGCCGTTTACAAGACTGGTGGATCTATGCTCACCGTGGCCGCAAATCCAGACAGAATGCCACTCGCCACGTTTGTCCACGTTTCCTTGGGAACCACTTATCATCTTTGTCCGAGGGCCCGTTGTCCTCTAGGAAAGCCGCTTCGCGGACGAGATGGAAGTGGACCAAAGTTGCGCAAAAGGCTGTTGTACAGATTGCCTTGTGGCTTTAGCAAAGAAGAGGACGAACCGAATGGTATATCATATGGAGCTTTGAAAAGACATATATCGCCGAGGCGATCCTCGCGCCACAGTAGCAAACGGTTGTGGCTCATGGGTTCGTGCATGCTGCTGCGACAAGCTTTCTCGTTCTGTTGAGCAGGACTTCTCGAGGCCCATGGTACGACAAACAAGGAACAGGTGTGTTGTGGTGGCGCCGGGATGCAGGTTTCGACGCCTACGCGCATTCCTCGATCCGAGCGTGGTGGAGATGCGGTGCGGTCGGGATGCTACACTGGGTTGAACTCGGAGGACGAGGAGGCGGACGGGTGCCAGTTGGCGAGACGCGCCGGGGTACTACTAGGGCGCGGAGGAGTCGGGTGATTACGAGGAGAGTGTCGTCCCGGCACGCGAGGCATCGAACCCGCCGGAGATGGGGGGTAAAATATGAAAGGTGCATTGGAAAAGGGGGTGTCGCCCTACGAGCAAGTGGGGCGAGCAGATGTTGACCATGTTTCGTGGAAGTGCCCAGGACGATGGAGAACGACAGGAGCAAGCGACATGAAAGACCGGATGTGAGAGGAGGAAGCTGCAGCGTCGCGTCCGACAATCCCAAGGTCATAAAATTTTGGCGCTAGCCGGCCACGCACGGCCCGATAAATACTGACGTAATCCTCAGGCCCTGGCGCCATGGCTGTTTGCGACTTCCCTGCCCTAATCGTTCCCTTTCCTTTCTCCGTCACACGCACCCGACTGAATATCTGGACGAACGGACGTTTTGCATCTCAACCATATGGCGCCCGCCACACGCACGATCAAGCACCGAAGGTGAGCCGTTCATGGGCGTATGGAGACGGAGTCTGCGCTTGCGAGACGTGGATAAGGTCGAGAAACACACACGATGGAGGCTATTTTGGCTAAGAGGACTATGGTAAGCGATGCGCATACATCCGCGCCTTCGGAAGCTCTCTCGAGTTGCGCGCGCCCTGTTCCAAGTCATGGCTCCGACTCGGCGCCGGTCGGCCGTCGCGGGCCGGTCTTTCGCTGTAGAGTCACGCACGCGCCGTTCTCGTAGACTTCCACGACCATATTATGAGAACTCGCCACAAAGCTATCTTGAAGTCACACTTGACGACCACGGGCGCCGTTGATGACGTTCGCGACATCTTGCGCGAGCTGATACCCATGGGATGAGTACCATTCTCTCCACACGCCTTTCCCCTGCGTCTGAAATGTCCCCCGTCTTCTTCAGAGTATACCACGGCGCGGAGCATACCCAAGCACTACCCACGCACCCTTGGCGCCTTCCTGCCCACCACGTCGCCGCCGCTCGCGCCCGGTACCTGCATCGACGCCGTCAACCTCGCGCGCCTCGCTCACCCCACCGAGCTCCTCCCCTGCGCGCTCTACCGCTGCGCGAGCCTCGACCCGCGCATGCTCGTCGGGGGCGTGCGCGTGCGGGCGGGCTTCGCCGACGCGGGCCTCGTGAACTGCGTCGCGGCGCGGACGCCGCTCGCACAGGTGCGCACCGCGGCGATCGTCGCGATAGCGGACTGCACGTAGGGATCATGCAAGGGCGTGGTCGCACGGATGTAAGCACCGCATGACGATGGACACTCCGGCCTCCACGCCGCCGCCGTCGTTCTTCGGGAATCGGGAACTCTTCTTGTCCGGACTCCTGTACTCCGCGCAGGCGGCAGAACTGGCCTTTTGCAGTGCACGTCATTTTCACCATTCTTATCTAATGGCTCCGACCCCGTCGGAACTTTATCCCACTCGCAGTACTTAATTATGTGGACCTCCTACCAGACATTCCCGCTCTTCCCTAGCTCTTCCCTCAAACAACGGATCTTCGCCATGCCCTTAGACGCCTACGCCGTGAGCATCTTCTGAAGAGTCGGCAAGTACCGTCCTCTGTACGCCTGCTCACACTGTCTGTCTCGGTATCCAGCTCGAGGTTGTGCAATCCCAGCAGATCGTGTTGATTATCGGACTTTTCCTTCAAGGAATCTTCTTCAGCCCGTTCCTTGTCAATTATCTGAAAAGCGTCTGGCTCCTCTCGTGCAGCTATCAATACATTGGACTGAAATGGCGAAACACCACTCTGCTGCTATCCAATACTGCCATGTTTATAGCAGCTTGCGTGGTGAGTGCCTTTTGTCGTTAATAAACAAGGGTCCTCATTTCTGCAGCATCTGGCAGTGTCGGTGCTCTTCGCGCTGCACGTAAACGTGGGCAATGCACTCCAGCTGTACAGATCGGATCCCGAAGATGGCATCGATCCTTTCAGTGACTCCACCGCGGACACATACACGATGATACAGTTCTTGACATACTTCGTTCAAGTAATCATAGGCGATGCTTTCATGGTAAGAGTATCATACACTCCTCATTGTGCCAGTATCTCAGAGTGCTCGTCAGTTGTATCGTTTGTATGTCGTGTGGGAGAAGCGCTGGAAAGCTGTCACTGCTTCTACTCTCATTTTTGTGGGAAATACTCGTATGCTTCGTGCCATCGGTGCGACATACAAGTGTGTTGAATTCTGCCTCTTATTTCGCAGTGGCTGTCATTGTCGTCATAGGGCTTATTCCTCGAGGGGCCAAGTTTGTCGGCCTGTACTTCTTCCCTCTGTCCTTTATCTTTAACGCAATCACCACCGGTGCGCCGTTTCAAACGGGGTCTATTTTTCAACTGCTAAACGTATTGTACTTCTTTCCAGGTCTCATCACGTATCGATTATTATCTGCGACAGGTGGCCGGTTCATACACGCCCACTTCTCTCGGCGTTCTCGTGTCTCCGTGAACGCAATTCGCTACCGTCGCGCTTTCACCATCATAATCGAATCTGCCGCGATATACTCCTTCGCCTCACTTGGCCCCTTCATCTCCTTTTTCACCAGCCCAAACACCGGCTACCAAGTCATCGCATGCGTCATGTCCCCGATAATTGTGAGCACCCGCCACGCCCGCTTTTCGTCTATCGACAATCTGACTCCAAAGTAATCAGGGCTTGACGTTTTCGCTCATCGTTGTCCGTATGGCGGAAGGGTTCGTGGAGAAAACCTCCACGTATCACGAAGAGATGCGTTCTCCTATCGCCTTGCGGACGTACGGTGGCACTAGCGACGCCGAGGACGGGTTACCTCCCGTGAATTCGAAAATTTCCGGTTCGCAATGAAAGGCGTGTCCGTTTACGCGAGGTAGGTTCACCGGTGCGCGCCACCAGCGCTCATGTTCTCTTCCGTCGTTTTCGCACTGCGAGCTTACACAAATGATGTCAGTCCTACATGTACAAGCGTCCGTGCACCATTACTCGCGGTCGCGGGGATCGCATGCGTTGTGTCACCGCAATATCTCGTCTCGCCCGTATCGGTTATGTGTCCTCGTCATGTATATACATAAACGCGCTCTCGCGGAGCGCGATACGAATCCTACTCATTGCCTCACCTGCCCGTGTGCGCTTTCTTTGTCCGTTCGTCCCTCTCTCGAAGTATCGCTGTAGGAGTTCTCATGAAGAGCGCCCTACGAAAACGCTTGAGTGACATATTAAACGATTGCTGGGGACAATCCAACGAGTCGCGTCACGGAAACTTCACGGCACGCACCGTTTCCAGAGAGTCAAGCGTGGACGCGAAGGTCGTGAACTGAGGCTCGCTCTCCGCCGTCGCGGAAGTACTGGACGCCGAAGCATCCACGCTCCCCCGCGCGACGTGGACGACGACCAGCGAGAACACGAAACCCTGCACGCCGTCAGGATCGCGTGAGGCGAGGAAGGGCGTGGCACTCACGATGAGCGGCGACATCGCGGTCATGCACGCTAGGTACCCGAGCTTCGGGCTCACGAAGCGCGTGATCAGGAGCGTGACCGACGCGAGCGTGAATATCCCTGCAGACTCGACGATCGCCTCGAAGACGCGACGGTGGCGCGCGGCGTTGAAGCACGCGCGCTCGCGCAAGCTCCAGCTTGGGTGCACGATCGCGACAGCGTCGTGCAGCAGGATGCGGCCCGCGATGAGCACTGGGGAAAGGTAAAGGCGTTAGTGAGAGAAGGGCAAGGGTGAGAGGGTTAGCTTACATGAAGTAACAACATTGGTGAAAAACGAAAATATGTAGAAGATCGCCGCCGCGCTTGGGAAGGTTCCCAAACCAGCGATCACGTAGCTGACAACTATGATACATAGAGAGACCATCAGATGAGAGTGGTGAGAACTGAGGACAGTGCGCACCGCCATTTGCGAAGAACATTATTGCAGGAACAAATGTGATCTTCCATCTCTGTCCCCACACGACATGAAGCCGATACAACTAGAACACAGGCTTTGTTGATAACGACGCAGTCCCAAAAACGGTTGTACATACCATGAACCCATCGCCAATTAAACCTTGAGTGACATACAGCAAGTATTGGGCTGTTGTGATGCTCCGCAATTTGGGAACGTCAGGGTCTTTTGTGGCAACCAAAGCGGTGTACAGGGATATGAAATAGACACTAAATCCCATGTGCTATAATGTTAATTAGCATAAGCTTACAACGTTGACGCGATTCTTTTCGAGTGCACTTACGACAATGGACAGCATGAGCATCAGCGTGCTCGCAATGAACAAGATCCGGTTCCGTCTTCTTACGTGCGGCAGCTGGTCTCCTCTAAACAACAGCCATGTGCCGACTCCATAGGTCGCGACGAAGATGCTGAAGAATGCGCCCTCGAGCAACAGACCTACAGCCAGTGCTTCAAACTCGGACCCGATGAGTCTGCGTGAAAGCGTCAGCGATGAGCGTAGATTGAAGGAACACAAACGCTTACCCCATGATTGTGGGTTGTCCCTGGGTTATGCCGGCTTCCAAGGAAGAGCGTATCATCGTTTGAGGTGGATGAAAGAATAACGAATAGCAGATCGTGAGCGGTGAGCGGTCGATGCGGAACGTTCCCTTCATAAACAGCCCGACGCGGGGGCGGTGCAGACCGATAGCTACGGCTCGCCAGCCTCCGGTGATATTCGCGCCTAGTAGAGTCGCATGTTTCTAGGCGGGCCGATACGTCGGGAATATGACTTGCATGATTCATGCGCTGTATGAGACTCGTAAGCATACGCAGTATCTCAGGGGAAGTGATATGGTTTGCTACACCCAGACGTACCGTGAGAGAGAACGAAATTTGGTCATGACTCGAACCCAGAGTACAAGGGGTTGAACCGACGGCCAGATAGGATTTCTGATGGAGGGGATGCTCGAGAGTGCCCTGGTAAACAGTGAGCACAGCAGTTGAAACGACCACGCACCTGTAATAAAGTTACGTAGCGGAAAGAAACATGACCCATTGGTGGCGGTGACATTTCAAACCGAAGCGTATCCAGATGCATTCCGTCAGTTGCGAGCGCACATGGCCATCGGGGACGCTCAGAAGCTGTGTAGTTTCGCTGCGCGCCGTTGTCCGTGCTTCGGAACCCTGCGTTACGTCCGTCCTCACCGGAACTCCCCAACAACGCGATATCGTTGTGGTAAAAAAAGTTATGGAGAGCAAGTGCGCACGATAATCTCGAGATCCGCGTCGGTCCCCTATATCCAGTTACACAAGCCCTGCAGATCAACAGAACATCCTTAACGCAAAGCGCCCCCTGGCAGACAGGTAGGTTTGATCGCTCACCTCAAGGACGCGGTATCTCTGACAACTCCCAAAAACGCGCGAACAGGATCCCGAGATCCAGCCCGGTCTTGCTATACGCATCTCGACCCGGTCTCAATTCGCGTGCTCCTGGTACACCCGATACTCCCGGGCCCCGCACGGGTGCCATGAGTCTTGCCAGCACCGAGCAGCCCCCACCTCGAGTGTTCCGGCTGCCGAAAAACGAGCGTGGTGTCTCCCAGGCTCGCGATAATTTTGACGAAGGACTTGTAGACGGAGTCGTTGAGCCCCGCGAGCTCGCGCTTCGACGCCGGTACCGGGCTCGGGGTCCCTCGTGCGAAGCCCCATGCGCGCGGAGGCGGAAGACGGGGCACCCGCGAACGACCGTCACGCCGAAGCAGGGGTCGAAGGGCTTGAGACGGAACGTACGCGCTGGCGGTGGTGCTGCTCGTCCGCGGTATAGATTAGCTGGGGATGAGCTGACGAAGTCAAGCAGGCACTGCGCAAATGCCAGCCAGCCACGTGGTGAACACGTGGCTGAGTCCCACGCTCACCTGGGACACTTCGGAGGCGCTCAAAGACGCTGCGACCGCTGGCTTTTGCTGCATCCTTACTCCCCTCAACTACTTGCACCAATCAACACAAAAGGTCGCTTCTATTTCAACAGTTCGAATGTCAGGAACTGACAGTGCTGTTCTATTCCCTCGGCCAGCGTAAAGCCCCCGCACTCGGAATCACATCACTCGAACTGTCAAGTAGTACTTCAAGACCACGGACGACATTTCCCAGTGGCTCAGTCTACGTAGACGCGCACGACGGAGAAAGCCGAGGTGCGCGTTGCGTAGAACTTACCGCTTTCGAGTCAGAATCGTTTTCAAGCAGTCCTAACACATGTGCGTGAGATCCTCTGGCTTCATCCGACGTACTCGTTGACGTTGGCATCTGATTGAGAACGTGATGAACTTGCACGCCCGCGGTGCCGATTGCGGCGATGCGCTTCTCGGATGAGAATTGCGTGACCCACTTCGTCGCCGACATTCAGACCTTCTTGACTCCTGACTCCCGCAGTGATGGAACCACAGCGCACTGGATCCGTTTGAACAGCATCCGATCCGGGCGCCGCGGTACTCGCTGTCAGTAAACTTTACAAAGAAACGGTTCGAGTGCGCCGTGGAGAGCAGAATGTCATCACTGGCGTCGATGTCTGGGCAATCGCTTACATAAGTACAGGCGCCTTATTTATTAATCAGCAAGTCAGATCTATCGCGCCCAACCCGGAGTCTCATTTGTCCTCCGACCTCGAACAACGCCAACAGGAAGGCCTGCGGGGACCACAGCGACACCGCGGCACGGACAGGGATCTGGTATGACTGTTCGCTTCAAGTTGCGATTGGGAAAAGCAACCCAAAACCTGCAGCAGCCTGCTAGCACCACGAACTCGTAAGTGTGGGGAGGTGTGTAGCAATCGGACTCTATTCTCCGATGCCAGGCTGTGATATTTCTTCTGACAGTGAGTTTTTCCATTTGACGCCTTACTCATCTCCCTCGGCACTCAAAACAACGTCATTCGGTGTAGACTAAGTATGGCAGCAATATGGGAGATCATCAGCGCCCACCACGTGTGCCTGCCTTCAGGTTGCCAACGGCGCACTCCAGGAGATCTTGGAAAACAGTGAGTCCTTTTATCATACGTAAGAGCCGTCGTGAAGCTGATCGTCTTCTTCCGGCGGCCAGCAGCGACCGCACGTATACCCAAACTTTCCCAGGTCTTAACTCCCGAAGCCGAAGGTCAGTACAAAGCAGACGGCTTCTAACTGTGCATTAGAGTTGACGATGTCAATTTCATCTCGCACAATTGAAGAATCCGCATTCCCCAAGACGCCGATCTTCCCTCTTCCCTCAGGGCTCAAAGTGTCGACGCGATCAGATGAGCCGGGCTTCCTTTCTGCGCAGCTTCTCTGATTTACGTGGACACGCTGAGCAGACCAAGCGCCTGCTCTTCTGGCGGGAACCTTACTGGCGGAAGCGTATATAGGGTGAACAAAAATGAGACGGGATGCCACCGCTCGTCTGCTCCCACTCAACCGCTCCCATCTCTCCCAGCTCACCATGGTGTCCTACGCAATCGTCGGTGCGTCTCGGGGGATAGGGCTCGAGTATGTCCGCCAGCTTGTGAGAAGGTCGCCCTCTGCTTCGAGTCGCTCATTCCTGACTTCCAACTCCGTCCTAGGCGGCTCGCCCAGACGCCGTCGTCTTCCCGGTCGTCCGGAACGCGGCGAATTCCCGGTATCTCCAGGAGGCCGTCGCAGGGCTTTCGAACGTGCACATCCTCGAAGCGGAAGTGACGGACTATCCATCCCTTCAGGCGAGTTACTGTAGTCGCGTGAGTCTCGTGAAGCTGCATTGACTTCGAGGTCCACAGCGCGCGGCGAGCGCGATCTCAGAGAAGAACGGCGGGGCATTGGACTGCCTGATCTACAGCGCGTGCCTGACCGAGCAAAGCGTCATGATCAAAGCATTTGCATCCTAGTGAGTCACACGCACAGCTCCCCTGCCCCCATATCAGCTGATCCCTCTCTGTCAGCGATGGCAACATGGACCTACTCGACGATGAGTTCATCAGCGCGGTATGACCCCGCTTCCGTGCCCTCCGCGCGCGCGCCGCTGACGCATCCACACTCCCGCTTACGCACAGTACAAGGTGAACGCGCTCGGCTTCATCCACGCCGTGCAGGCCCTCCTCCCGCTCCTCCGCGCCTCAACCTCCGCGAGCGGCAAGCGGATCGTCGCGCTCGGGAGCGCGGCCGCGGACCCGCACTTCATCTGGAACACGAAGGGCGCCGGCGCGGTCGCGTACTCGATGACCAAGGCCGCGCAGCTGCTCGCGCAGACCAAGTGGGCGCTCGAGCTCGCGGGCGACGGCTTCATCGTGGTCTCGCTCAGCCCGGGCGTGGTGGACACCGCGGACACGTTCGAGGGAGAGGGTGAGTGGGCTGCGGGGCGCGGAGTTTGGCGAGAGGACGGTGCTGACTGGAGTGCGCAGCGCGGGAGCCGCTGAAGCAGTGGTTCGCGTGGACGGGGCAGAACAACGTGGACTCGGGGTACGCGGACCTGAAGACGCAGAAGCTCGACGAGGGTGTGGCGTTGCAGATCAAGGTCATCGACGGGCTCTCTGCGAAGGACAACGGGAAGTTCTTGGCGCACACGGGTGAGGATTACAAGTTCTGAGAGAGAGACGGCGACACGGAAAGGCATCCTGGTCGAACGTGTAAACTGCAGCAGACTTATGTACGAATGTCTCATCGGTGCGCTTTCCTTTGGCGGTGTCTTCGAAGCATTGGGTAAGTGCTGGCCGTTGTTGAAATAAGTAAGTACACGCACTTGGTGTGCGGAGCAAGTATTAATGCACGGGCCGTCTCCGGCCCGATACCCATGTGGGAAAATCCAGTCGTCTGGCCTCGCTCCACCACACGCCAGGAATATCAAAGTTTCTGCTCGTGCGATATGTATGAGTAAACCTCACGAGAAATGTAATGTTTTTGGTAGCGTTCTGAGCCCTTCAGAATGACACATTTCGCGTGCATTGAAACTTTATGTGCCTTGACCTATTCTCGAGTCCTCAAAATGAAACATTCCCGCGCGTGCAGAATGATTTCTCACACATAGAGTTCTGGCGGCCCGGGAACTCAAAGTTTCCCGGTGTGCGAAATCATCTGCCAAATTTGACGTTTCTCTCATCATTTTGTCGGCCTCGCAACGATATATTTGGTGTGTTGTTCCGGCGGTCCTGAAATGTTATGTTTTGGACCTGCGCGCCCGCTCATCGCCCGCTCATCGCCCACTTGTCGCCCGCGCGTCGCCCGCTCGTCACCCACACATTGTTGCGCGCAATAAGCAGGGCGCAAGGAAATAAGGGAGGTGGACGGCCTGCGGGCGACGAGCGGGCGACAAGTGGGCGATGAGCGGGCGATGAGCGGGCGCGCAGGTCCAAAACATAACATTTCAGGACCGCCGGAACAACACACCAAATATATCGTTGCGAGGCCGACAAAATGATGAGAGAAACGTCAAATTTGGCAGATGATTTCGCACACCGGGAAACTTTGAGTTCCCGGGCCGCCAGAACTCTATGTGTGAGAAATTATTCTGCACGCGCGGGAATGTTTCATTTTGAGGACTCGAGAATAGGTCAAGGCACATAAAGTTTCAATGCACGCGACATGTGTCATTCTGAAGGGCTCAGAACGCTACCAAAAACATTACATTTCTCGTAAGGTTTACTCATACATATCGCACGAGCAGAAATTTTGATATTCCCGGCGTGCCAGTGCATGATGGCTTTTCTCCCTCGCTTTTGCTCTCTCTCCTGCCCTCATCAGCTTGCCGATTTTCCTCCCATTCACCATCCACACACATTCTCAAACCCAGAGCTGCATTTGCGGTGCTCTCCAATCCGATCATCCTCCGAAATCCACGGTATGATGGAGCCTCGTCATAGGCCATGATGTCCAGCGGGAGTCTTCACCGCATATACCCCCTCGCATACGACAAGAGATCCGTCTTTCGAGTGTTCTCTGGCGACTGCCGCGACAAAGATGCCCACGTCTCAAAAGCCTTCATCTCTGCCTCCGAATGACACCCGCCCCTGGCCGGCTCCTGGTGTGCAGATGGACAACGCCCGCGTATTCCTCACAGAATGGTATGTCTTCCCCTCGAGCGAAATCTCCCTGCTCCTCATCCTTCCTCAGTGCGCGCTCTCGCGCCCGCACGCTCCTCCTCCCCGACAAAGACGCCGACGGGCTCTGCAGCGCCCTCATCGTCCACCACACCCTCATCCAACTCGGCGCCGCCCCCGCCTCGCTCGCCGTTCATTTCCCCGCCAAAGGCTCGAACATCCACGCGGCCGCCTCCCGCGCCGCGATCGCCGCCTCCCGCGCGCGCTTCGTGATCGCCACCGACCAGGGCAGCCGCGGCGGGCCCGCTATCGCACCGGACCCCGCAGTGCGCACGCTCGTGCTCGACCACCACTGGAGCGAGGGGTTTCCCGACGGCGCAGTGGTATGCTCGAGCGCGGCGTGCCCCCCGGTCGCGACGAGCGCGACGCTCGCGTTCGAGGTCTGCCAGCCACTCCTGGACGATACTCGGAGGATGGGGCAGGGGAACGCTGCCGCGATGGACGTGAGGGTGGTGCAGGAGCGGCTTGAGTGGTTGTGCGCGATAGGCACGATGGGCGACCTCGGGACCAGCTTCAAGTGGACGCCGCCGTTCCCGGACGTGCGCGAGTGCCTGCGGCGGTGGACGAAGAAGACGCTCGGTGAGGCGGTCGCGCTGGTCAACGCGCGTGAGTCTTCCGCTTTCTCTCTGCCCTCCTCGTGCGGACGCGGCGGCTGAGCTATGGACAGCACGCAGGAGCGCGGAGTACGACGTCGAGACCGCGTGGCGCGCGCTGCTCCACTGCACCTCGCCGAAGGACCTCGTCTCGCCTCGGACGGGCGGGGACGTGGTGCGGCTGTTCGAGGCGCGTGAGGCGGTGGCGGCGGAGACGGCGCGCTGTTCCCGCAGCCCACCCGCGTTCTCGGGAGACGGCCGCGTCGCGCTCGTGCGCGTATCGAGCGGGGCGCAGATACACCCGGTACGCACCTGCCGCCCTGTTCATCTCGATGCGCAGACCAACGTCAACTCTTGCAGCTCATCGCGACGCGGTGGGCCGGCTCGCTCAAGGGCCCACGGTTAGAGATCGTCATGTGTGCCAACGACGGCTACACCCCCGGCATGACGAACTTCTCCTGTCGGATCGCGAAGAACCGCAGAGGAGGCGGGGGTGCCGACAACCCTGAGGTCGACATCATCGGCGCATTGAAGGAGTACGCCGCGCGCGTCCCAGGACTGCGCGAAGCGATGGGCGACAACTTTGCGCGGGGGCACAAGGAGGTGAGCGTCCTGTCCCCTCGCTGGACGCGTGGTCTGATCAAACGAACGAGGCGAGCGGTGGGATCGTGCGTACCGAGCAGTTTGAAAAGCTGTGGGACGTCATGGCGGGTGCGGAGCGCGAAGGAGACGAGCCGGCGCGGAAGAAGCGGAAGGGGACAAAGGGGCAGCCGGTGCAGAAGAACACGTTGGAGGGCTGGCTGAAGGCGGTGTAGTGAGTGTGTGTTCTCTGTACTTGCGAATATATCACCCCATCGCTCCGTTCTCGTTGAGATCGCGCATGTGCCTTCAGCTCGCACCGCAACGGTCAGTTTTGCTTTCACTCGAACCGCCTACTGACGCTGAGCTTTCTCTGCGTAGTTTCTAATGCTCCTCTTTCTTCGCGGCAAGGTCTTTGCGCATCCTAGCGAGGAGTTGGGTGACACGATGTCACCTCCGTGACATGCTCGTCTCACCGTTGACCAACCGCGCCGTGACGTCATCCCACCGTGACAGGACGACTCCGCGCTGCGGCATGTCTCGCCAAACTTGGCTTATACTCTCACCACCGCTCATCTCCTCTTCCGATTGCCTACTTAACGGAGCCTGCACACACCTGGCGTTGGCGGTGGGCCGTGACTGGGCGCGTTTTTCACACGCAACTCTTCGTCGCACTTCCACCATCCCCCCTCTCCCTATCCCGCTTGTCAACACGTCCCCATGTCGAACTCTGAAACTCGCAAACGTCCTCGGTTATCTGACGATGCGGAGGACGGGGAAGCAGGAAGAGTGAAAAACGACGAGTTCTGGTATGAGGACGGGAGCATCACCCTGGTAGCAGAAGGCGTCGAGTTCCGAGTCTACAAAGGGGTCCTCGCCAATGCGTCCCCCATCTTCAAAGATATGTTCACCCTCCCTGAGATTCCCTCATCTCCCGACGCTACCAATACTGTCGTACTCCAAGACTCCGCGGACGACGTTCGGCGGATGCTCCGGTTGGTGCTCCCAAGAGACTGGTGCGTGGTCGTAGTGCAGGGGTCAGGATCTGCGACGATGCTGAATGTCCTCGTTGATCTAGCGTACACATCGCTGGACCGTTGGAGATGTGGGACATTAGTGCCGGAATACGCCTGGGCCACAAATACGATATAAGGACGCTCGTCGACCACCTCACCAAGCGCCTCGGCGAGTACTACACTTCTTCCTGGACCGCCTGGCGCTCGCCCTCGAGGGAGAAAGTGCCGAGCAGCTTCAAGGGCACCGCGGCCATCGCCGTGATCAACATCGCGAGACTCACGGGCGCAAACTGGCTCCTTCCCGCGGCGTTCCTGGAGTGCTGCCTCCTCCTTCCGCGGGAGCTCCTCGCGGGGTTCAAGCGAGGGGACGGCACGATGGAGCGTCTCTCGACCGAAGACCTCGCGACGTGCCTCGAGGCGACCCCAAACCTCTTGGAAACGCACGCCATAGCGGTCGGCCGTCTCTCCGCAGAAAACGACGCCTGCCCGAACGAGTGCGGCGCCCCGCTGCGCGAGCTCCACGAAGAGCCGGTTCACTTTATCACACACGCGCTCGATCACCCTGACATCACGCAGACAATGATTGGCTTCTATTCCGCGGCCTCGGAGAACCTCTGCTCGGAGTGTGCGGAGAGGCTGCAGGAGATGGACCTCAAGATACGTCAGGCGTCGTTCATGTTGTTGCCCCAGGTCTTCGGACTCGCTGTTGACGGGTGGGGATCGGAGACGGGGAAGGGCGAGCAACTTGTGGACGGCTGATTGTGTACTACGACTGCCGCCGTCTGTCGCAGGCTGGCGCCAATGTGCGTTACACACTTTGTCCTCCCTGCAGACGATTTAATTCCGGCGCAGAAATCCACGGAATTGGCTTACTCCGTAATACGTTCAGTGTGTTCTCTGCTTTTGATTGTCGGGTACAAGGACTGACATCTCAGGAAGGCGCCATGGCTAAGGCAACCACACATTGATTTGCCGTGGAACGCGGGTTCCTCTTGGTTTTCACGCGCATGTCAACTCCCGTTGGGATGTCCAAGTATCTTGTATCATCATCAAATCATCCCGTTGTATATGCTCGCCACTCCTATGTCTCCCTTCAATGTACCTGATTCGCCTTGTCTGCTTTGACTTGCAGCATTCGGGACACTCCCCGCGCGATTCCTACCGATGTTGAACGGCAGCATCGCTTGATGTCCACGAGTCCGCTGAGCCCGATGGACGCTAATCTATCCTGGCAGGTGCGAGCGGACTCTTGCCCCGTCATCTCATTTCGCTTTTTCGCGAACCGTAGGGCCTATACATCGAAACCGAAAAGATATATTCAGTGGGAAAGAGCGCTCAGGTTGTCGCAACTTAGAGTGGATATGACTAGGGGTGCAAGGCATAGGGGCAACAACGGACGCTTTGGAGGGTTGGTTGGGCGCTGCATGCGTGGTGAGTGTTTATAGATAAGACTATGCGTTTCCCCGTTGCTTCCGTGTCCAAGATAAGCTACTCCGCCATTGTGGGGGGTGGAACGGCAACGCATCGAACCCGAGTATGGACGTGCGCAAATGGACTCAAAGTGCGGAGGTGCGGCTCGAAGGATACGACGGGGACGCATCGGGACCTCTCGAGGTTCGTTTTTTTTGGATGTTCTGGAATTAATGGTAACGTGAAACAGAGCGTACCTGCTAGAAAGCTTGCCCTCATGTGGCGACGGCGAGCATCGGTCTGTTGGCGATACTTTCATTCCACGTATGCATTCCGCATCGTGTCCTGCCGATCGATCTTTTATGTGTATGAACATGGTGCCCGTCCATATGTACGAATTCACGCCCAGGCATTTCGTGAATACATATATGCAACGCCAACGACGTGCCTTCGAGCGACATCTACCCCGCAAAGAGCGATGTTATCCCTTCTGTTAACAGCAGCAGCGCTTTTCGCGCTCGCCTCTGCCGCATCAGTGCCGGCGGAACTGCAGAATGTGGTCCTTGCCTTCAATCACGCGCAGATCGTCCCTGACGGTCAGCGCCAAACGTCCGAATTCATACGCCTTTGCTGACACGAACACCCACAGTGATCCCCCGTTTCGCCCCCACTGCGCTGCTGAACGTCGCTTTCCCCGACGCCGCCACAAACGCCAGCACAAACTCGACGGGGGACACCCTCCTCGCAGCACGTAAGCAGCCCCGCTCCGTCTTCCGCGTAAGCACCCCCCGACCGCTCCCCACTCACTCCCGCCCCCCTCGCAGAGATCCTCCGGCGCCCGACGGTCTCGCTCGCGCCCGCCGGCCCCGCGCTCCAAAACGGCACCTTCCTCCTCGCCATCATCGACCCGGACGTGACGCCGACGGACGGCGGCGTCCCCCAGTACCGGCACCTCCTCGCGCCCGGGCTGCAGCTCACCGGCGCGCTCTCCGCGGCCGCCACCGGACGCGCCGTCCCGCTCGCGAACACCTCTGGGGTCTTGACCGAGTACACGCCCCCCTCCGCACCCGGCGGCGCGAGTCCGCACAGGTGCGTCCGCTCTCTCTCTCTGCGTCGCGTCGCGTCGGGTTGTGGTTGGCGGTGTGCGGTCGGCTGCCGGTTGTTCGTTGGCGGTGGTGCCAACGAGGCTGACGTAGGGGCGCAGGATCGTGATGCTGCTGTACGCCCAGCCGGACAACTTCACGATGCTGGACGCGCGCACGTACGTGAACTCGAGCACGCCCGCGTCCGGCTTCGACATCGCCACGTTCGCGGCGCGGATGGGTCTCGGGCCGCCCGTCGCGGGTGCGTTCTTTTACCTCGGCCTGGACCCGCCGGCGTCGACGGCGAGCAACACGGCGAGCGCGACAGTGACGACGACGGGATCGAACACTGCGGCGAGCGGCTCTGGGACGGCTGCGGCGGGGAGCCATGCAAACGGGGCGGTGTGCGCGAGGGCGGGGGTGCTGGGGGTGCTGGTGGGGGTTGTATTGGTTATGACGGCGTTGGGGCCACTTGGAGTGTAGCCCTTACCCAATGCGACGCATGAGACAAGGATCGTGTGGGAGATGAATTATCGTGCATTATGAGTGGTCGTATTGTTTGCCCTGTGTATTATAATCCGGAAATCAGCGCGCATAAGTAGCGTGCAGGGTAGTCCTTCCTTGGATTGAACTGACATCAAAAACTCAGGGATCGTCCATTACGGTTTGTCCCGTCCGGGTTATATCTGCACATCAGTCGCCTCCGCACCCGGCGCCGCCTTCTCCACATCCCGCCGCCTCCTCTTCCCCTCATTCAGTCCATACGTCGCGTCCGTCTTCACCTCCATCTTGATCTCCCGCATCATCCACACACTCAACCACCCCAGCCCGCTGACCCCGACCATCGTAAGCCACAGCACCCTCAGGCTCTGCGCGAACGCCGCCTCCACCACCGCCCTGAGCGTGGGGTCGGGCAGCGCACGCAGCGCGGGGATCGCGGCGTACGCGATATCGGCCCCCGTAGGGAACCGCGCTGCGAAGCCGGCGGGGAGCGTGCGCGCGAGCTCGTTCTGGAGCACGGTGGACCCGATCGCGATGCCCCAGGCCTGCGCGAAGGTGCGGCAGAAGGAGAAGAACGCGAGCGCCGCGGCGGTGCGCGAGACGGGGAGCGGGGCGAGCAGGGGGAACACCGTCGCGGTGAACTGCGGTGGGGGGTGAGTGTGTGTGCACGCGCGAAGGTGGGGGGTGCACGCACGAGGAGTCCGGTGCCGACGCCGACGACGATTTGGTAGCCGACCCAGTGCCCGGTGGAAATGTCCGCGGTGAGGGTAGAGAGCAGGCCGAAGCCGACGAGTGAGAGCGACCAGGCGAGCAGAATCGCCCAGCGGTACTTTTTGAAGACGTGGACGAGGCCGCCCGCGGTGAATGCGAAGGGTGACATAGTGAGCGCGAGTGGAAGGAACATGACGCTTGACCGGAGCGGAGACGCGCCGTGGCAGGCCTGAAAGTATACAGGCATGTAGTCTGCGCTGTGCGTCAGTGCGTGTCGCGGTGAGCAGCCAGAGGGTGCGCACAGAACACTGAGAGGCTGGTGATTCCGTGGAAGAACGTCCCCAGTAGCCTACATCGCGGTCAGTGAAAAGAAAGGACACAAAACGTTTGGCGCGTACCCGGCGACCGTCGTTCTGTTGTTGACCACTTGCCACGGAATGCTTGCTTCCTTCGGCACAATCCACTCGTAGGCGAAGAACACAGCAATGAGGATGAAGCCGGGGATGATAGTGCCCAACACATGTGCCGAGTCCCACGGATATCGCACACCTGCCCACGTCACCCCGATGAGCGCAGCGGTAGTCCCGGAAATGAAGATCAAGTTGCCACTTCAAAGCCATCAGTACACACAAAGCGAGAGTGAGACAGAACGTACAAAACATCCAAGCGCTTCAGCTTCTCCTTGACATCTCCTGGGGGTGTACGGACCCTCAACAAGATGAGTGTTATGACAAAGGCAAATCCGATGAGCGGGAAGCTGAGATCTCAGGGGAGTTGAGCGTGACTTCGGCGACGAAAGCGACGAACGAATGGTTAAACAACGATTAGTTGCGTAGAAGAGGTGAGCTGGTATGAAGTCGCTCAGCGTTCCCGTCATCTGTCCGAGAGAGGAGCTCCGTCGGAGCTTTGTGGGCGCGGCGATGGTCATGGTGTGGGGATGAGCCGGTACACGGTGAGTACGCACTTGGCTGGATTTATGATGGCGTCGACTCGCTGAGCCGTCGATCCAACTTGTGTATACGTGTTTATACTGCGAATAATAATAAGATAGAAAGGGTAGAGTATCTTGAGACGCGACACGTGACAGCACGTGCACTGATGTCGCAGCCTACAATTTCCGGTTGCCTGGCGACGAGTCAGTTTATGCCACATTGCCATGCCACGATGCGTTCGCTGATGATATGCGTACCTATAGATAACAGAAGCGTAGCTTAGCAGTCTGTCTCGTTCAGCGATATTAGAACGACGTACAGCAGCTGGCCAGAATCAGATGTCAGCAGCGGGGGCACCTTCCACTCCCCAGTTGGCGACCACAATGCCAAAGAACCCAGGAAGCCGATGGAACAAGTCCATGCTAGCCGCGACGTCCCTCTTCGACAGCGATGCTCGGCACGAACGACAGAGGCAACCTTTGAAGCTGTTGATCCAGTCCGACCTCGGCGTGGTAGGATTCAGATGGTATAGCACGTCGTTGATGACGAACTCTGCCCGGTCGTAGAGCTCCGACCTGCATTCCGGGCGGTCAGGGCAGTCCGGACCGGGGCCACAGAGCGACGTTGCGGCATCGCCCTCAGCCTTCATCAACTCCAGCTTGGCTTCGAGGCACGTCGCGAGGTCTTCGGTCGAGAGACGCTCCATCGCGCCGTCGCTGCGCTCGAAACCCGCGAGGAGCTCCCGCGGAGGGAGGAGGCAGCACTCCAGGAACGCGGCGGGAAGCAGCCAGTTTGCGCCCGTGAGTCTCGCGATGTTCATCACGGCGATGGCCGCGGTGCCCTTGAAGCTTCTCGGCACTTTCTCCCTCGAGGGCGAGCACCAGACGGTCCAGGAAGAAGTGTAGTACTCGCCGAGGCGCTTGGTGAGGTGGGCGACGAGCGTCTTCATCTCGTACTTGTGGCCCAGGCGTATGCCAGCGCTGATGTCCCACATCTCCAACGGTCCAGCGATGTGTACGCTAGATCAACGAGGACATTCAGCATCATAGCAGAGGCTGAGCCGGCGCGCGTCCACGCACCAGTCTTTCGGGAGCACCAACCGGAGCATTCGCCGAACATCGTCCGCAGAGTCTTGGAGTGCGACAATATTGGTAGTGTCGGGAGAGGAGGGGATCGCAGGGAGGGAGAACATATCTTTGAAGACGGGGGACGCATTGGCGAGGACCCCTTTGTAGACTCGGAACTCGACGGCTTCTGCCACCAAGGTGATGCTCCCGTCCTCGTACCAGAACTCGTCGTCTTTCACCCTTGCTGCTGCGCCGCTGCTGAGGTCTGGGGCCGTGGAGGAGATGCCTGCGCCGTCGTCTGCACCATCAGATTGCCGCGGCTGTTTGCGGGCTCCAGAGTTCGACATGAAGCCGTGTTGAGAAACAGGATAGAGGGTGGACAGGACTGAGGAGAGATGGGGGACACGGAAGCGTCGATGCATCAGCAAAACGAGCATCAGCAAAACGAGGGGTGGCCGAACGAGCGCTGTGGCGCCCGGCGAAAGCGGATGATGTCAGCTCGGCAGACGCCGGACATCATCGGACCAGATGCCCAATGATCGGACACGATCAAGTTGCGTCTTGTAGGGTTCTGCTCGAGCGGTGATAATCTGGCAAGATGTTTGTTGAGAGAGCACTAGGGAGCTAGATGTCATATGATATATGCAACTCGTTCTGTAGGGATACCTTGTTTCTTCAAGCTAAGAAGGATCTGCAGGACGTCCAAGTTAACGGCGGCACTGGTATTGTCCCACATACGCAGACGCCCGCGTGCTTGCTTTCGTCGCACCCTCACCCTTCGTACCTACGTCGCGCATCCTCGAATATCTCCCCGGGGCTTTAAAGATGTCGGGCCCCGTCACTGCATCAGTGCCTGAACGCGTCTTGTTACGGTAGTCACAATTTCTACCGTGCATAGGTACTAAGCTTGCGACTTCGGAGAAGACGTACGTACGGTTATATGCATGAAAAATACAGCTACAGAGACACCGCGATTGCAAGTAGTTACTAGAAACGCAGTCGGGACTAGTGATGCATAAACTAGACTCACTCGCTCAATAAACGATCAAGGAAAATATCACCTGGAACGCCGAGCATGGTGTCAAGCCTACGGGAGAAAAGGGGCTTCAGAGGTTGAACGGTCGAGCGACGAAAGCCGAAACTCGCCTGTACGCCCCTCCCGATCTCACTCCTCCGCGCTTCCTTATGAACGGCGCCCCCATCCATCAACGGATATCCCAAAGCTCTCCGGTATATATTCAAAGGCCAGTTCACACGTCAACTTCTCCCCGGAACGAACCTCGTCGATGCAGCTCGAGCAAAGCTCACGGTCGGCCCAGGCGAGAAGGGCCTCCCTCGGCTCGGTGGGATCTCGAAGGGCAACAAGGTGCTGGGAGAGCCCCTGCAGGTCATCTCGCTTCCCGCGCAACGCGGTGGTGCATTCATCAAAAATGCGGCGCGTGCAGAGGAGGGAGCAGGACTTGTCCAAGATGCACCCGTAGAATGCCGTCTCGAACACCAGGAGGTGCGATCGGCCGCCAACGCACGATGCGAGGTCCTCCGGGGATAGATGTTCCACCGTGCCGTCACCGCGCGTGAAGCCAGCGAGAAGTTCCTCCGTCGGGAGCCGGAGGCATTCCATGAACGCTGCGGGAAGCATCCAAGTGTCCCCAGTGAGACCCGCGAGGTTGACGACGGCGATTGCGGCAGAGCCTCTGAGGCGTTCGGGATATGCTTGTCTTTGAGGGGAGCTCCACACCGACCAGTGCCGCGTGTAGTACTGGCCAAGGCGCGAGACGAGGTTATTTGCGAGCACGGTCATCTGGTACTTGTGGCCAAGCCGGATGCCCGCGCTGATGTCCTGCATGTCGAGATCTTCGAGGACGTAGGAACTAGGACAGGGATGCACTGAGAGGGGGAGGAACGCCGAAAATGAGAAGACGTACCAGTGCTTCGGCATAACCAGTCGGAGGATCCGAACCACATCGTCGGCAGAGTCATGCAGCTCGACGACGGGACAGCCGTAGACGGTGGTGGTAGAAGACGGAGGGGGTGCGGGGAGGGCGAACATGTCTTCGAACACTTGCGACGCGTTCGCGAGGATACCCTTGTAGACCCGAAACTCAACGCCCCCTACAATGAGCACGATGCTCCCATCCTCGAACCAGAACTCTGCATCCCTCACTCTTCCCGTCTCCGCTCTCTCCAGGTCGCTCGTGCCACCAGTGTCCTCCGCGTCTCCAGAAAGGCGTGGCCGCTTGCGAGGCTGAGTGGTCGTCATGATGCTGCGTCAAGTAAGTGATGCGAGAGAAGATTGACAAAGTGCATATATGAAAGACACTTACATCACGAAAACGGCGGCGAAGTGGTAAGACGCCTGAGACTTCCCTATCTAGAAAGTGACGTAATCACTTCCTGATGCCATTATAATGCCTTGTAAGAGCCCCCAATCATACGGCTCGGGGCGATTCTTGTATCAGTTCGGCGTGCCCTTGCATGTACGTTGACATATCTCGATAATATGACGCTCTCCCTGTAAGTTACTTGTAAGATCCGATAAATATAGGGTGGAGGTGGCAACGCTAGGTCAAGCCTTCTGTATGCTAGAAGAAAATACCGAGGTTTTGAACGAGCTTACCGGACATCGTAACACATTGAGCATGTGTCTGTTATTATTGCGGACCTACCGCGCACCCATTATGCCATGTGGTCGTTGGCGTCTATAACCGGCGCCGTCGCTCGACGCGTCGCGAGCGCAGCTTGCGACGATACGTCGTGGACGTTGACTACATCCTCCACAACCCTTACCTTCCACACTCCTCGCTGCTCTGTCACCTCTCATTCATCAGCCATCCTGTTCTAAGTTCTCGAATCTCTGCCCTTTCCGACTCCTTCCACCAGCTTACCACGGCATTCCTCGCTCTCGGCTTCTGGCCGCAATCTGGTCGAACCTCTTGCACTTCGCATCTGCGGACTCCCGGCCCATTGAAGACGGTATTTTTGGCGGTGTTTGATCATCGGTACGATGTCGCTGTTACAGGATAGAGAAATTCTTGCTCATATACTCGTCGATGCAGTTTGGGCAGTCCCGCAGCAAGAGGTGAAGTTGTAGCCTCGTGGAATACGTCATCCTTACTGGCTCTTTGCGTGGTATGCATATTACCTTTGGTTGGAAGCAATGTTCTGAGCTTCTTCGTGCATCAGTCAACATGTTTCGATGCTGGTGCGGAAGAACCTTCCTCCAGAAAAAAACCCTCTCCGCGCACAAGTCACACTGCTCGGTCGTCTTGGCCGCTTCAACCGAGTCGCATGAAGCTGCTCTACGACATGCGGAGAGTCGCCCCACGAAGAGAGCCCGCTTCACCATCAAAGCTCCGGTAAGTTAGCTTGATTTTGAAAACCATCACGCACTCACTTTCCTTTCCAGCCCTGGGCTCAGCGAACACGGGATACCGCAACTACTATAACGCAAGAGCAGGCACGCTTAGACTGGAGTCAGGTTTTGGGAGAGGTTTTGGAGAACGAAGTACGTATTTTTGGTGTGATGAGCGCGAGGTCATCGTTGACTCATAACCACGGTACTTCACAGACTGGACTCGATCAAGTACCTCAAGTAGCTGAGGTTGAGGTGGCGCCAGTCGATGACGACGTTGCAGGCCCAAGTTCCCGTTTTGGTCGTCGCATACGGCCAACCTGGAAGCTCCGTGACGCTCTTCCCGAAGAACCGGGTGTGGAAGTTGACGAGGGCACCCACGACGACCACGACGATCGTGCTCTTCCCCGACCGCGGTTCATTCTCCTCGCAACGCAGTACATAAGAACGAAAGTGAACACCTTCTCGCTCCGACGGTTCTACAAGAGACCCCCTCGCCGCACTCCTCAAGTGTCTCATACCCTCGGCGCGCGTCCAGGAGGCACGCCCGGTCTGAACCTTCCGAGCCAGCGTCAAATCTCCGACATCATCTTCCCCTTCCCCAATATCAGCTCTTTCCGTTTCGCATGGCATTCTTCTGGCGCATCTGCGTCGAACAAGAAGACTCGGGCAGATCGTGGGCGGCTTCGGAAGATGCTACTTGGGAAGGACTTCAAGAACGAGGACATCGCGGACACCGACTTCGACAAAATCGAGGAGATACTCTCCGGAGACGCTGATATTGGAGAGCTCTCGCTCGACGCACGGCAGGGATGGCGGAAGACGCCTCTGACCGTTGGCGTCCCCAGCGGTAAGAAACCAACCCAGGCTTCCCGACGGGAGGCCGCAACCGTTCGCCGCCGCATCAACCGACATGAACCTTTCGGCGATGTACCCGCTGCTCGTCCCGTACCTGGCTTTCATCTCCCCCCGATCGATTTCTATCACAAGAGTGTTTGCGACGTCATCCGGTCGACGATGTCGTCCGATCCAGCTTCCGCAGAGTTCGTCTTCGACCCCTTCCTCGTCGAGAAACTTCCGCCTGGCTCCTCCAAACCCGAGCGCGTTTATGGAGAGCTATACAACTCGTCGGCATTTGTTCAAGAGGACCTTCGCCTTCAAAACTCTCCGCCAATTCCCGGGTGCCCCCATCCTCGTTGTATCGTCGCCCTCATGTTCGCTTCAGATGCGACAGTGGTTACGCAGTTTGGGAACAGCAAGGTATGGCCGGGCTACATGTACTTCGGCAACCAGTCGAAGTACACGCGAGCGCGGCCGTCTGCTCATGCTGCACATCATGTGGCTTACTTTCCCGAGGTGGGTTCACGTTGAATTATGGTATCACACCGCGCTGACTACATATTTCTCACAAGCTGCCGCCGCACGTTCAAGACTTCTTCAGGCAACTGAACGAGGGGAAGTCCATGAATGCAGCTCTGTTGACTCATTGTCGGCGAGAGCTCTTTCACAGCGCATGGAGTTGTCTCCTTGACGACGAGTTTTTGGATGCGTACCAGAATGGCATCGTGGTGGAGTGCTACGATGGTGTGACTCGACGCCTTTTCCCTCGGATTTTTACTTACTCGGGCGATTATCCAGAGAAGTAAGCAGCGTTATTAATCGAATGCTGCCCTCAACTGACGACATCCTTTCACAGGATGCTCATAGCCACATTACGCGACAAGGGACAGTGCCCTTGCCCCCACTGTTTGATACGTTTCGATAAGATCCACCAATTAGGCACCACAAGTGATCGCGAGACCAGGATCTTGAGTGCGCGTATGGACACCGAGCAACACCAGGCACTCGTAACTCAGGCACGCCACCGCATCTACGAAGACGGTTATGTAGTAGATTCAGACCGAGTAGAAGGGCTCCTCCGGCAAGAGTCTATGGTTCCGACGCAGGCAGGTAGTTCTTGTTGATGAACATAGCATATTCTCATCGTAGACAACACAGAACGCGTTTCATCGGCTCTCAAAGTTCGGTTTCAATATCCAGAAAGCGTTGGTTGTCGACCAGATGCACGAGTTCGAGCTCGGTGTGTGGAAGGCGTTGTTCAAGCACCTCGTTCGCATCCTCGACAGCCTCCCTGGGGACGCTATTCATGTCATGAATTCCCGGTACGTACGGTATCTGTGACGTGGTGATATCTTTCTGAGGCAATACTTGTTAGCTTCCGACAGGTTCCCAGCTTCGGGGCAGCGACAATACACAAATTCTGTGGCAATGTCTGTGAGCTCAAGCACATGGCTGCTCGTGATCTCGAAGATATCCTTCAGGTGTGCGGTGTCTTTGACCAAACGTCAATATCAGCGCTGATACCCGCCATGGTAGACCATCATTCCGTGTATCGAAGGACTGCTACCACCGAGCACAAATGAGTCCGTTCTCACCCTGCTCTTTGTCTGCGCGTATTGGCACGCGCTGGCCAAGATGCGCCTCCATTCTGATTCCTCCCTCGATCTCCTTGACGATACAACGGCTCTCCTCGGCCACGAAATGCGTTATTTCGCCGCCATCACATGTCCTCAGTTCGATGCGCGGGAGACTGCAGCTGAATACCAAGCTCGAAGAAGAGCGGAGGAGCGCAGAAACCCCACATCGATAGCCGCCAATGACGGACGAAGGCTTCGCTTGTTCACTGCTATCAACACGATCAAGTTCCACTTCCTCGGCGAGTATGTTTCGATAATTCGTGAGCTCGGGACTACAGATTCGTTTACAACTGAGATTGTATGTGGAACCCTCTTTCACGAGTTCCCGCCGCTTACTGAGGTTCTATAGAATGAACTATCACATCGAGAAGTGAAGGCCAGACGTCAGCGCACAAATAACGTGAATCCGGATGGACAGCTTGTCAAGCTCGACGCCTACGAGAACCGCCTTCGACTCATGGCGGAGGGGCTGAGATCTGTCGGAGTCGAAGACATCCCGGGTCTGGCCAACCATGCTCGCGACACGGCACAGGACGCCCAGAACCCTCTCTCCACTGAAGCTCATCACGATGTTGCGGAGTCGGAGAAGAATCCGGTTGATGTTCGCGACTGGAAGGAATGCAACCCGCACGACGTCGCTATTCAGGTACGCCCCTATCGATACCGAAGGAGGCACGTAACTGATTACCCTTCTCTTAGTCCTTCATGACACTGCTGCTTGATCATCTACGCCAACGTCTCTCATCCAAGTTCCCAGCTCTGGACGACCCTGCAGTTCCAGTGATCCTTCGTCAAGAAAGAATATACAAGCACGAGATCATGCGCATCAACTACACGACTTATGACGTTCGCCGCGATCAGGATATTCTCCATCCCAAAGCGGGCAAGGCCGATGTCGTCGTGGCCATGGGCGACTCGGCTGATGACCCTCCCGACTCCCGTACCGACTCTAGTCCGCTTCCCTGGCTCTACGCTCGTGTACTGGGCATCTACCACGCGAATGTCTGTGTGCCCGGACCTCGAGGCGTTCAGGGCCCAGAACGAGTAGACTTCCTCCATGTTCGGTGGTTCCGCACTGATCCCTTCACAGCACATGGCGCGCTAGCGCGACGACTAGAGCGGATTCAATACATATCACATACCGAAGACACTCCAGCGTTCGGCCTTGTCGATCCGGCGAGTGTCATTCGCGTATGCCATCTTATCCCTGCATTCCATCACCAGCGTACCACGGAGTACCTCTCCGCTTCATCGGCACGGGATCATCGAGAAGGGGACTGGCGGTACTACTATGTCAACAGGCACATCGTCATCTTCGCTCCGATGCTTCATCTCACTGACTTCTGTGACAGGTTTGTTGACCGGGATATGTTCACCCGGCATGCGGGCTGCGGGCTAGGTCACTTGCCACGCCTCAAGGCCGAGACTATCGAGACTATACTCAAGGAAGGATTCAACGCCGATGAGCCAGTCCCAGAGCAGCTTGCTCCCGATCAGCAATCTGACAATCAACAACCACAGCTCGGTCCCCTGAACATTGCGCTAGACAACATGGCTGATGATAGCTCGTCGGACACGTCAGAGGAACATGAACCTGGATTGGAAGCGTCCATGGATGCGACAAGCGAAGGAACAGGCCGCCGCAATGAACGTCGCAACTTGTTTTAGCGTCACAAGCTGTCACGTTCGTGTACTTGCACCGTCTCTGTGGTTTGCTGGTGGCTCATTCCGTGTCACCGTCGCCCGACATTTATAAAGCTCTGATGCCATGGCCCCACCGTCTCTTCATTCGTTTTTCATTCCCTTTTTCGCACTTCCCCTCTGGGTCACACATGACCCGTTCTACCGCCACGGCAGGCTCGTCGGCTTCACATACCCATTCTCCCTCCACGCAGTCGGGAACACGCACTTCAACCTCTTCTCTGAGACCTCACCGCCGTGGCCGCAACGACAGCACCAGCAGTGACAGCGACAGTGAAACGGAACCGTTGTGCCGCCCTCGTCAGCGCCGCAAGCTTTCCGAGCTCACTGAGAGGCAAGTCTTGTTCGATCTCACAGTGTTCTTGTGCATCCTAGAGCTGATGTCTTGTTTCAGCGAGCGGATGGATCGTGCCCTCGCCTCCACTGGAGCTGCAATGGGGCTGATGGCCGATCTCTTCCGCGATTTCCAGGCTATCATCGACATCGGCGTCAGTGCCAATCCTAACACTCCTTCGTCAAGCAGGAGTCGCTCGTAAGTCTCTTAGTCACATCCCCTCTTCGCACGGGCTAACATTGCAGTACAGCCAGCAGAAGCTTCTCGACCTCTTCGAGTGCCTGATCAGCATGGCGCCTTGGATTCCGGACGAGTTGGCTAAGCGGGGGCCTCATGGCAGCTTCGAAGTCGCCCGTAAGGTCAGTCAGCAGTCACCTTTTACGGCGTAATGGTGGCTCTAACATGTATTCTAGCTCGATGCTGGCCGTCAGGCAGTCCGCGCTACAGATCTGCATGAGACAAAGAAGCAGATCTGCTGCTGGGATGTGTTCACACCTCCGCTAGACCAGAATTCCAAGGACGGCCGCGGTTTCTATCACGATCGATGCGGAGAGCTCTTATGCCCTCCCGATTACAACTGGAGTGACCCCACGTGCGTGCGTCGCCGTCCGATTATCTGTAGCCTCGCTAACTGTGTTACTTCTCCAGCGTTCAAACCGGGATCCGCGCGCACAGCGACAAATACATCATCGGGCCAGGTGACCTCCCTCGCCTGCTGTGGCGCGACGAGACCGTCGACGAGAACAACCTCCACAAGGGATTCTGTATGGGCGACCTACTACTCAAGGTAAACCTCGGTGCTTTCCAGTACCTCATACCTCACTCACGCCCCCGCGGTAGGCTGGTCGTTCAGTTCTCATCGGGCCGCGCTCTGCCATGAAGACAAGGTTCACGCGAGCTGCACGCAAGCCGAAGGCGAGGATATACAATGTCCGATCAATCACCCCTGCGTTCATTGCTTATACAGCAGTTCTTGTACGTCGTTGGAACCATTGTACCAGTGCCTCGTTTGCGCACTACCTGATCACTGGCATGCAGGTTCACTATGCACTATCCTCTCAGGACGGTTTCGGGAATGGTTCCTCTCCCCGCTCTTTCCAGTATGAGCTATTTTACCACACCGTTGTTCGACAGATCGAGACTTCCATGTTGGACGAGGAGAGGGAGCATTTGCTGGCTTGGTGGACAAAGTACGTTATCGCTCTCGTCATCTGTGTGGATCATACTAATATTGCACGCTAGGGAGTGTCTTGGAGAGCAATGGGATGACGACGAGAACGACACCAGCAGCCATGAGGGTGATTGCCGTCCCTCAATGGCGTCGCGCATGGCTGCTCAGGGCAAGGCAAGGAAGCGTGCGTCTGTGTAATGCCTGGGGCCCATGCGGCAGGTCACAGGATCCGTAGCTGCTCGCTGGTCGAGCTTGGTAGATGTACCTTAGCCTCGACTCTAATGCATGCCACTCTCATTGTGCTTTGTTGTGAGAGTCCGTAAATATTGGGTTTTCATTCATTATCCCGAAACTCCGGGCCACACTGGGGCAACGCTGGGGACTCTACCTATGCACTACCAACCCCTTGCAAATCTCCGCCAATATACGTAGTCATTGGGTTACTAACCATGTACACAACACTACTGTAAGACAGGATGGATTATAAGCTTGCACCATCTCTGATAGCGTGCATGGTGCGCAATACTTAGGTACATTGGGAGAGTATTGGCACGTGATTTCAAGCTTCAAGCGTGCATGATAGTGGCACTATCAAGCGCTGTAATATTGCATCTATTCCATTTGTTACAAGTACCTTCCTTCGGATTATGTACAGATCTCTAGCCGTGGCAATCCCTGCTGAAAACCGCCCCTTTTTCGTGATGTAAGAGGAGAGGCGAGGGGACCTTATTATTATTATTATTATTATTCTCAACCTATCCCCGTGCGTCACAAAAGGTGCACATGTAACAACACGGCTAAGGTACTATCCCGCGTTCGTTTGACGCCCGAGTGGGCACGGGACCACGCCCGTAGGCAGTTGTGGACTTCAACCCTCGGGCCGAGGGCGCCCGGCACCCCCTGATGCGAGCGCGCGTGTTCCGAAACCAGAGTCCGCCGAGAAAAAGTCCGTGCGCTTCTTGGCCCCCGCGGTCCGGCCTTAACCTATTACCCGCTGTTCTACGGAGATCACCTTGGGGCGTGCGCGGCTTTATACGCGCCAGCATCCCCCTGGGCCCAGAAGTCCGGTCCGCGTTTGCTGAAGCCCTATGCGCTCTTGGCACGCGGCTTGAGGGGCGAGGTTTGGTCCGCCCGCGCGCCGTTCTTCGGCCGGCGGCGGGGGCAGGTGGGGGAATACGAGGGGTGCGCTCCCGCGCACACCACGCACTTTGCCACGTGGGGCGCTTGGCGAGGCGCTCATGGTGGTGGGTGTGGTGCGCGCCCGCGCAGTATCCGCACGCCGGAGGCGCACGGCACCGGAGCGCCGCGTGCCCGAACTGTTGGCAGTTCGAGCACTGGATGGGGCGGTCGGGGACGCGCGCGAGGACGCACGCGCGCGGGCCGATGTCGAAGGAGAGCCGTGACCCGTTGAGGGCGCGCAGCGTCTTGAAGTCCTCATCGTCGATGACGTCGACGAAGAGGGTGGCGGTGGTGGAGTCCGCGGCATGGGGGCCCCATCGGACGGAGGTGGCGGTGTCGGGGAGGAGCGCGCAGCCGTCGGACCACGCGGTGCTGCCGGAGCGGGTGATGGCGTCCTGGAGGACGCTGAGGGGGGAGAGCTCGACGAGGGAGCCGTCGTCGGCGAACGCGGTCCGCTCGACGTGGTGGAAGAGGACTGAGGCCCGGTTGACGTACCTCGAGGCGCGCATGGGCACCGCGAGGAGTCCGCTGAGCGCGGTCTGGAGGGCTGCAGCCTGGGCGTCCCAGTCCGCAGGCGCGTCACGGGGGGCGGCCGTGGGGACGACCGTCCACCGCGTGCGCGCGGCGTTGGAGTTGAGCCGGTCGATTTTGAAATCGACGGCCTTGCGGAGTGCCTCGAGGCACTTGGCGTCACTCGCCTCCAGGGGGTGTCGGGAGGGGTCGGGGTGGGCGGCGTGGAGGTACACCAACCGGGCAGACCCGGTTGGGCGGCGGCGGCGGAGCGCAGCCAGGGTGGCTTGGAGCGCCATCGGCGCGGCCTTGGCCGGGGCGACGGGAGTAGAGGCGGGGGGCGGGGCAGGGGCCGTGGGAGCGGCGGCTGCCGCGGGGTGCGCGACGAAGCCCTTGCGGGCCGCGCCAGTCACCCCCTTCCCCTTCCCTTTAGCGCTGGCGCGTGCAACCGTCGCCCAGGTGGGCTCGGGGACGCTGGCCGGGGCCGCAGGGCCGGGGGCAGGTTGGGTCGGGGCCCCGAAGGGCCTGGCTGGGAGGGCCGCGACGCCGGTAGGCGCGGCAGGCGTGGGAGCGGGGGGCACAGGGGCGGCCACGGGGGCAGCCTCGAGGACAGGGGCAGGCGGGGGGGAGGCCACAGGCGCCGCCTGGAGGGGAGGGGCGGGGAGGGGAGCAGTCGGGGGGAGGGGGTCGGCCGGGGCGGTGTCCATCTCGACGTCGGCGACAGGGGGGGGTGCAGAGGTCGCAGCAGCGGCTGCTCGGTCCAGGTGGAAGACGTTGGCCTCGCGAATGGTTTCGCCGACCAGGTCGCACAACGTCGAGTACGTTGTGGTGAGCGCGTGGAACGCCCCGTTGGGGTGCTTAGACCCGACAGAGGCGAGGTGGGAGTCGAAGTCGGCCGCGGCCGCGTCGACGTAGGGACCAGTGAACCCACCAACCCGGAGGATGGTGCGAGCCAGGTCGCGGAGGAGGGTGGAGAGCTGTCGCTCGTCAACGAGGGCTGCGGCAACGTCGGCGACGGTGCCGCCGTAGACTTCGCCGTCTTCGTCCTCCCAGGTCGTATAGTCGTCGACCGGGGTGGTGGCTTTCTTCTTGCCCTTGCCTTTCTTCGGGTAGGGCGACATCGTACAGTGGGGGAGGTGGAGCGTCCGGAGGGGGAGGAGGTAGACGCTGTGGGGATGGTGGTGGTACGAGGTCAAGGAGGTGCACTGGAGGCGAGGGGACCCGGGTACGTCTGCAGTAGCTAGCAGACTATCAACAGGGGACGCGTCTTGTCACGACACGTGCAAAGCGTCACATCAAAAACAAGCTGCGTGACTAAGAGTCGCAAACTACAGCGACCGGCCGCGACGAGATTGCCATCGCCTCCCTGATAGTATGGAAAGCAAAGACAGTAAAATGGGTGGGTGAAAGTGTCACCGTGGGGGCTCAGTGATCCGGTCTCACGCGGGAAACCTACCAAGCTCGAGATTGCCGTTTCGGTATGAGATAGTGGGCGTGTGCGCATGAGAAGAGTATAATGAATATCTGTAGATACGCAGTGTACAGAGAAAGAAAGCGCATCACTAGCCAAGCTGGCGCACTATTTGGTCTCTAGCTACGCAAGTATGAGGTGAGCCAGAGACCACTTTGGACAAAGAGGGAGACAAACCTGAAGCTTGAGGAGGGACAGGTTGACCATCAAATCATGTTGTCCGAGGAGGAAGACGATGACGACGATTCCTCGGTCTCGTCTCCATCCATCTCTTCTTCGTCTTCGCTCGCCGAACCCGCACCCACCGCCTCGTCTTCATCATCCACCTCCATATCCTCTTCCACCCCCCATCCTTCCACCTCAACCTCGAATATCTCCGGAAGCGTCCTCCACACATGCCTGCGGTACACCTCATGCCAAGTCCGCACCTTCCACTGGCACCTCCCGCAGAGATGCCGCCCCGCCGGAGCAAGCGCGTCCTCCACCGCCCTCCCGCGATCCCGATCGCGCGCACCGAGAGCGTCGCAGGTCCACTTCCGATCTTCCACCTGCTCCGCAAGCACCTGTGTATGCACATGCCGGAGCACGGCCTGGCACATGCCCGCGCACAGCCAGCCGCCGAACGACAGCGCCCGGCTGACCCCGGCCGTGTTCTCGCTCGTCAGCCGCGCCCGCGCGTTGATGCACCGCTCCAGGTCTTCCTGGGGGAGGTGCTCCGTCGTGCCGTTGTGCGTCCATCCCTTGAGAACGTCTCCCCCGAGCCGGGCGCACAGGTATAGCGCGAGCGGGAGGATCGAGGGCGTGTTTGTCAACCGGGCCAGGTTCACCGCCCCAATGGCGCACGTCCGGTCTTCGTCGACGCCCGTGAGGGGCTCCCGATGCTCGTCGTCTTCCCACACGTCGAAGTCGGAGGTGAAGTGCTCCCGGAGGAGGTCGAGAGCGCGTTTTCGACATCGTGCTTGTGTGCGAGGCGGGCGACCGCGGCGCACTCCACGAACGTGATGACACTGTTGCTGTCGTAGAAGCTGGAAAACAGGGGAGGCGTTTGGTGGCCAGAGCGACGCGTGAAGTAAGGATGCGTACCGTTGGTGTTGTCCTGGGAGAAGCACTCGAAGAAAGTAGACCAGGTCGGCCATACAGTCCGAGAGGTGGACTACAGAGCAGCCGTTGAGCGATTCCTCTGTGCTTGGTGTTGCAGCCGCGAACATGTCGGAAAATATGGATGATTGGGACGCGAGGAGACCACGATAGAGTCGAAAGCCGTACTTGGCACCCGCGGCGACGAGGATGATGTTGCCGTCCTCGAGCCAGAGCCCTTTGATGTGGCGCAGTTTTCGGGGAGGTGCAGAGGACGAGCTCATTGCACAAGTGAGCTGGGGGCGATGGGTCGGAGGCGATGGACGGATGACTTCACGGACGACGGGCAGTTTTTGTGCGAAGGTGGGGGGAACGGAGAACGCCAAGAAAGAACGGAGGTGATATATACATGCCGTATGATGGACCGACTGCTGGCAGAGTCGAGTAGACGACGACGGGGAGAAGGAGGAGGGTCGAAGGGGCGGTCAAAGTAGGCGATTAAAGGGCGGTTTTGGACGCGATTCCGCCGCTCGATTCTGCGCGAAGGCGCTTCAACGTTCCCACGGCTTTCTTTAGCTCACTAGTCCATCAATAGCAACATTGCAAGTACTCTTAAATGACTTTTTATGCTTCATAAGCATCACTTGAATACTAGTAACAACGTGGGTTCGAGACAATGAGAGCAAAGCGCCAAATCTGCTGCTTGCACCTTGCTTTGTATCGACAGAATGGCCATTATCTTCGTACCCATATATATGCCTCCCTCAACTCTCCAAAAATCACTCGCTTTCTTCTCGACACCGTGTCCGCTTCAAGCTGACTCACGACGACGAATTCTGGTTCAACAACGAAACTATTATTCTCGTATCTCACGCCGTCGCTTTCCGAGTCTACCGTGAACTGCTTGCAATTGCCTGCCAGTCCCCTGTGTTCGCCGACTTGCTCGACTCCTCAACCGGGCTCGTGCCATCGCGAAGCGGGAAAGCAGGAGAACGGCGACGGAACCGAATCAAGATAGCGCGCGCAGATCCAACTTTCGCGCGCATGATTGCATTGCCGCGCCCGACCGGGGCAGTGGTATCGGTGAGCTTGCATACGATCTTCGTGTTCCAGCCTCGTTCGCTCATATGGTTTTGGGTCTCAAAATTTACGGGCAGCGGCGCGCCATAAGCACCGCTCGCGTCGAGCTTCGAGACATTTGGATTTGCACGGCTCTGAGCGCGAAGAGGGCTGTAGATTTCTCAGTATGTGGGTAGCTGGTCCGACACCTTCGCGTCGAGTCGCTATATGCGTATGCTCATCCTTTCTATGCTTGCCTACATCTGTACCTGCCACTTTCCACTGACCATATTTGCTTCTAGTCGACAGCTTTTTTCGGTTTTCACGTCTCGCACTGGTTTGGAAAATATGTAGTAGTATTATATGCGATGCGAGTCCGAAATACTGTCCATGCGACCCCCCAGCTCAGCCTCCGCCGCACCGCACGGCAGCGCAGCGCAGGCCAGCAAGCGGGAAAAGCCGCGGCTGTGTCGAACCTCCTCCCGTTTCTTCACCCTGAGCCCCTGCGGATCCCCCGCCCACGCGCTTAGGCGGTCGCGCTCGAGGCCACGGCGCTGGAGGAAGCCAGGACGCTACTGATGACGTCCGCCGTGCTGGAGACGTCGAGCGTCGAGCTCGAGTCGACCGTGCTGGAGACTGCCGACCCAGACGCGGTAGCGGTCGCGGAGTCGACGGTGGTGGACGCGACCGACGAGTCGGAGGAGGTGACGGCGGTGGCCACGCTGGAGTCCGTCGCGGATCCGGTGACGTCGGTGGAGAGCGCATCCGTCGCCGAGGACGCGTCTGACGCGGTGGTCGGGAGCGCGTCCGACATCGTAGCCGGGAAGGTGGACGTGCCAAAGGGGGGCGTGTACGATCCGTAGGGGGGACCGCCGTGGGGGCCGGGGCCGCCGGGCATAGGGACGCACGACGTGGGGTCCGTCGGCGCGCCGGAGAGCGACACGGACGCGGAGGGGAAGGAGGTCGTGACGGAGCCGGTCGCGGAGAGGGAGAGGCTGCTGCCGACGATGGTGGTGCTCCCGATGACGATCGTCGTCCCGCTGTCCGTCGCGGTCGCGGCGTCGGAGGACAGGAGGCTGGTAGAGCCCGCGGCGGAGCTGAGCGAGTCGGTGGTGGAAGACGTCGCGGCGCTGTCGGAGGCGGTCGCGGTCGAGGTGGCGGAGAAAGTGGAGGCGCTGTCGGACGCAGTTGCGGAGGCGGAGTCCGTGCTACCGGACGCGGAGGCCAGGGCGGACGAGTCCTGGCGCTTCTCGACAGCGATGGCGTTGGCTGCACGGAAACGTGTTGTCAGCACCTTAAGCAGAAGGCTGTATGCATATCGAACGCACCTCCGACGAGAAGGAGAGCGGAGAGAACAAGGGTCGAGATGTGCATCATGTTTGTCAGGGAAGGTGATGAGGGAGGTGGACAAGAAGGCTTTAGGTGAGAAGGAAAAGTGCAGGAAGAGAAGGGGATGTCTCCAACCGGCTCAAGGGTATGGGGCTTATATCCTCTTCGTGGTCGTGGAGCGGCGCGCGTTCGAAACATACTTGCGGCTCCAAAGCGATTCCACATGAGATCCCGTTGACTGCTGCGCCAGACTTCTGCACGGACGTGAGGGCGACCAACAACACTGCAACTGCGGAAGATGACATGAAAGGGCATAGGCAACTAAATGCTTCGCTGCGCAGGTTGACGAACGTCGGATGGGCTATGACGAGCCCTACCATCCGCGAGTGGCTCCACCAGTCAAGCGAATGATTTACACACCTGTCAGACGCTCTAGGAGGTTTCAGACACAAAGTGCTATGCGGCGGGCACCAATACCCAGCGCCGAGCTCCACTCGATGTCGGTGCGCATTGACTGCGTAGAACTGAGGCTGTTGAAGGTGGAGTCAGCGTGCACACGGAAGCGGCTGAGAGATCCAATGCGCGTTGCTACGCTGCACAAAGAGCTCACACGCTGCTACGACGCAACGCCAGGTGAGAACATAGCGATCCGAACCTCGCAAGTGCTCACCTAAGTGGGCGGGGCGCACGTTACTGCATGATGCCAGTGCGCAGCCGCTTTTTTCGCACACTGCTGCGACGGCGCGGGGCCGCTGGGCCGTTATGTAAGTATAGCTGCGCGATACGCCGATCATCGTAGGCGGGCGGTGTTGCTCGGGACAAAAAGGGCAAGAAAAGCGCATTTGCTTTCATCCATGAACATCCTGAGGGTGCCCAGGAGGCATAACTTGGCGACTTGAAGAATCTGTTAGACACAACAACATCAGGTTTGGGAGGCGAGCGGCGAAGACGCTTGTGACAGGGGAGCGCTAGGAGCGAGGCTGAGCACGACTTTCGGGGTAAAAGTTGACTGCGGATTCTGGAGGATCGGGTTTCCGTACAAGAAGCTTGAGTAAGGTATAAGCGGGACTGCGAAGATGAATGGTAACAGAGGAGGAACAGGGTTGCGGATCCACGAGAATGTGGGGATCGTGCGCAATACCAAAAGGCCGCCACACGGTGTTGTGGCCTGCAGCACGACCTGACCCAGCTGTGTCTGCGAACACCGGCGCATGCGATAGAAAGGAGGGTCTGCATTGTGCTTCTGGAATACGGGAAGGACAACAAGCAGAACTCACGAAACTATGGCGTCCCACCGGTCCACCTCCACGCCCAAGATCTCCGGTAACCTCTCCCACAATCTCCTCCGCTCTAGCCGAGCGCGCCCCGCCAATGCACGCTCGCAAGCATCGCACATCGGGGGATGAGGTAGAAGCAGATCCACCAAAATCTCGCACTTGCCCACCCCCGCCTGCCCTGCCTGCACCATCCCTCGCAGCGTCTTCTCGCACCCCGACCGGTTCCGGCACTCCACCTCGACGGCGACCGCGTAGACGGAGAAGAACGCCAACACGTTCTTCTGTGCGAGACGCTCCCGCGCATCGAGGCACAGGCGGAGGTCGGCGGTGTTGAGGTGCTCCGTGACGCCGTCCTCGTTTTGCCAGCCGTCCAGGATCGCGCTTCCGAGCAAGCAGCAATCGTACAGCGCGAGGGGAAGCACAGAGGGGGTATCCGTGAGGCGGGCGAGGTTGACCGCAGCGATGGCACAGGACCTTGTGTCGACACTGAGTGCGTACCTTGCGTGGGGATTGCACCATTCGTCAAATGTCACGGCGTAGTACTCTTTGAGGGGCTCGAGGGCTTGGAGGAGGAGGCTTGAGACGTCGTACTTGTGGGCCAGACGGATGGTGGCAGCGATCTCAGCAAAGGGGTAGCCGCGGTCGTTGTCGTAGAAGCTGAGGAAACACAAAGAGTTTATCAATGAGCATCCGCGACAAGTAGCTACATTCTGCGCACAAGATGTGCCGTTTGGGCAGCAAAGCCCCGAGGAAGTGGCGCAGGTCGGTGGGGCTGTCGGACAGTTGGACAACTGGGAGGCCTTGGTAGCTTTCTTCTGAGCTTGGGGTTGAGGATTCGAGCATATTGGCGAACACAGGGGACTGATGGGCAAGCAATTCACGGTAGACTCGGAAGCCGATGGTTTGACATACGAGAACAATGGTTCCGTCGTTGAGCCAGAATTCATCGTCGTGGGTCAGCTTGGAGCAATGCATGTTTTCAAGAAGAAAGCGAGTGAGGTTTGGGGAGTTGAGGGAGGCATAGACATGGGTATGAAGATAATGGGCATTGTGTCGATGGTGGCGCAAAGCAAGGTGCGGCTCGCGATCAGCGGGTTGGGCGCTCTGTCTGACTCTGCTTGCCTTCAACGACATCCCCGTCCGCTACGACGTTCCCCCTTATTGTCCGCTGGTGGCGTGCCATGCAATACCTTGAGCTTCTATGCGCTCACGCTAGTTCAAGCCGTTTTTCGACCGTCGAAGCGAGCTATAGGGGTTGAAGACGATACTTTCGAGATGCGAGACTCGGCGGTCGCAGTGAAAACCTCTCGCTCGAAGTCGTCCAAGTAACTCCGTTCCCGCGCATACATCCATCTGGAAGACTCGCCAGAGGACGTACGACATGCTTTCCCGAGCATGCTTCCTCCGCATCTGGTTCGAGTGAGTTTTTTCTTCTTCCACCATCTGCGTACCGTGCCAATGCACCCCAGGCCCGATCCCTTCCGCCACTCCTCCTTTGTCGCCAATTCCGCCGAAGTGCCCCTCGACCGCAAATACGCGATGCTGCTCCTGGTGGAAAACCTCATCGCCTGATTCAAGTAGCTCTATTCGACCAATCTTTACTCTGACGGTACCCAGCCACAGGCCCACTCTGGCAGAAGCTCCGCGTGGTCTTCGCCATCGCCGTCGTCAACCTCACCCGTCTCACCAGCCAGAAGTCGCTCATCACGACGGCTAATATCCAGTGCGTCGATCTCGGAAAGCGTTGCTGGATTAATGGACCCGCACGAGGACAGGACGCTGGAGCGGCCGTCTATACTCGACACCTCACACTGCATGAAATGAACGCATCGCGACCGTCCGAACGGAGATCGACACGCGCTCGTTGCAGCCGGCCGCGGCGACGACATGCGGGATTCCAGAGCGCCGCCAGGAACAGTTAGCCGGATGCGTAGTACACTAATGCGTTGAGATTGCGTGGTGACGAGACCCGGAGGAGCGGAAGGCGCAATCGGCGAAGTTGTTGGACCTGTATGTCGACGGATGGTGTGCGCTCAGGCGGTATGTCCCATTTGTCCCCATTACACCCAACGCTTCATTGATGCCGGTGAAAAGCCACCCGCCCACAAATGGTTGTTCGCCGACGCGTCCCCGGCGTTCAAGTGGGATTCATGTAAGCGGTTAAAGACCGCGGCCTGCAAGATTGAAACCCGGCAACTATACACGACTTGTCGTGCACGTCCCTTTCACGCACACGAGAGTCGAAGACGCCATTTTCTCCTCCCCGACACAGTGTCCCCCGCACATCCGCAGTACGTCCTCTGGCTCGAAGGACCCGCGGCGGCCGCACGGCCAGCCGATGTAGAGTGTGAGTGGGCAGCCTGTTTGTTGCGCATGCCCGCTCTGATCGTTGTGGCAGAGTTCCAGACGTGCGGTGTGCTCGGGCGTGGAGTGCTCCCATACGTCGTGGCCGGGTGCCGTGGGCGAAGAGGTGCACGAGCGCGACCTTGTGACCCAGAGGTCCGCAGAGGCACCAACCCAGGAGCAATCTCGCGTTCTCCCTCCGTCAAATCCGTCGTACACATCGTGATGATTCTGTTTATTCTTACACGGCATACATAAATAATCACAGGGTGTCGTGAATCATATTCCATTAACTTCACATCCGGCGGAGTGTGCGATATCAAACACCCGGCCTCACCGCCAGCGCGTTACTAGATGAGTTACTACTGCCGCTTTCATATGTTCTGGCCCCAGTCTAGAAGCCCTCCTCTATGCACGTTACGCCCATGGAACGCCACTCCATTGTTTGTATGGCAGCGGATTGAGAGTACCCCGCTGGCATAAAACCCATACTGGGCGACGGCGTCTCTGTCGAAGCCTTGCGGAGATGGATGAGCATGCGAGCGGTCATGATGCCAGTGGCGGCGTGGAAGGGACTGCGGGTACAATCAGTCAGAGAAGGTAGAAAACAGCGATTTTAACCTGTGGTCAGTGCATACCCGTAGCTGAACCATGGGATATGAGTGACATTCTGGGATACAACGTGCAGTTGCTTAGTACAGCGGGACAAGATATGAAGACGTGAATGGAAAAAAGACGTACAACCACCATCAGGTTGTTGAAAACGAGGATGCATGTGATCCTAGTGGGGGTGTTTTATCAGGTCATGAGACACGTCTCGAGTCGAGTCCAAATATTTACCCAAAGAAGTACACTATATTGTCTTCCAGTACAACGGAGAAGAGCCCTGATTTGCGCTCTCCGGTCCGTTTACGTTCGAGCATACTTTCTACTGATGTGTATATCGCGAATGCGAAGAGAACACCTTCGAAAGCGGTCGCTGAAAAAGGCGATCAGCAGGAGTAACGTCAAGCATGTACCGAGCTCACTCACCCGGAACCCACTGCGCCCATTCGATCCCCGTATGAACTACAGGACATCCGGGGATGGGAAGAGCCTTCGCATCTTTGATAACTGCCGCGCGTCCCAGGCCGTTGTGAATAAGAATCCACAAGAATACCCCTATCGATGCAAGGAAGAGTACTGCGTTGACCATCGCAACCTGAAAGAACTTAGGGTGTCGATAGCTCCCGATTATGTCACGTACTCACTCGTTTCGAGCAGTGGAAGAGGGCATAGATGCGAAGTTGCATGATGATCTCGATCGCCCAGAGACTGATTGCGCCCACAACGCGGATCATCGCGTCCATGACGACACACCTGGTATTACTTCAGCGAAGTGCGAGAGCCTCAGCTTCCTCGAAGCTTACGTCGTCAAGCTCGGCCGGAACCTTGAGAAGGAGTGGATCTGTGCCACATCGAATACGGCCAGCATAATCGTGTAATATCTGATCTTCAGACGGGGAAGAGCAATCATGTAAGCATCTGATGTACGTAGGTGCGGAGGAAGGCGTATTACCCAGAAGAAGAGGAATTTCCCCGTATTCCACGGACCGGTCTGCGGCGAGTTACGTGCGTGAGGTTAGACTTTATCGCACTTGGAACGCTGAACTGACCCAAATATATCGAGCCTCGTCTCTGACTGTCACCACTGAAAGCTGGTCAGACAGCGAAGGAAAGGGTGTATTAATAACACCCTACAATAGTCATGGAGAACCCATGTGAGCGATGCGACTAAGAATATGGTGAGTGGCACGGCGCGAGGAGCCTAGCTGAATGCTATGACACAAACGACGTACGACTAGTGTAGAGAGGAATTTTGGCAGATATAGACAGCGCAATCGCCTGAGCAAGCTTGTCGGCCATAGCGAGGTTGACGCGGAAGAGGGGTTTCAGACTGTACGACCATGCCTGCTTTGACTTTATGCGAAGCGACTCCGAGGGCTTATAAAGTTTGAACGTTAGTACACAGCCACGGTGCCAAGTCGCTGTACATCAGCTTCTCGTGGCTGAGATTAGGTTTCTGGACGTAAAGGGCGTTACATAAGTGAGGTTTCACGGCGTAAATGAGAGAACTCGAGGTGTGTGCAATGCATAAAGTGGTCTCATGTGCTGCAGCTAACGCGAGAGGAACTTCCATATGGGATGGAGGCGCTACAAGCTTGGTGAGAAGTATATGCTCGCCGCAATGACGATAGCTCAGAACCGGGCCAACTTTCAGCCCAGTTCGAACATCAACTGCGGGATGCGGAGCATGGCGCCGTGGCGTGAATTGTTCCCAGATTTCGGGCGTCGTGGGTGCGAGGAGCTCCAATGGGCCTCCTGATGTGAAGGCTGTACCCATGTGTGCGAGCCGCGCGGCGGAATCCATCAGGGAACGCGTGTTTCCACACGCCGCCAGATCTTGAGCAATGGAGACGACCTCCAGATCCCACGCGCGAGCGGCTGACAAGGATGCGCGACGGCGCACCATGTTCCAACGATGCTCGTCACACCTCGGTATTTGGTGGAACGAGGGGGTCGATGCGGGCGCGAACTTGTATACCTCAAGAGCGCGAGCAGTGCTCGGCGGCGTTCGCGCACTATATGCTGGAACTGCGGCTGAATGAGACTGTGGGCTTTCGACTCACCCAAGCATACGACCTGCGGTGCGCTGAAGGCTCGCAGATGGCACTCGCCCGCAGCTTCTGCCGCGCGGGGTTCAACCATGCGCCCATCGGATCGTTCCGAGCGCGCTTCTTCAAGGGCGAACCCACGGACTCCCGAGTGCCCCAGGTGCCATGTTCTGCAAAGTCGCACCCATGTATTCAACGTGTATTGCTCGAATGAGCGAGGTACAAGCGCGACTTGAAAAGTAACGTACCCACCAAAGGTTCAGCTTTACAAAGTCGTCTCGTAGGCACATGGATAATGCCGTCTCCGTTATCCTCCATATGTGCTCCAAGCGCGTCGCAAGTCGGTTCTGGTCCACCGACTCCTAATAAGATCTCCCCGGAGATGTGTCACAGTTGGTAATACCGTTGTGATCTTGAAACTAGAACTTCACTAGTACTTTCACTCAACTTTGGGTGAAAAATCAAAGGCGACGTGTTCGAGCGATCGCGAAGGGTCATGAAGGTGGTCAAAATGCGAGTGAGGAGGACAACTGAGAGTTGCGCGTTGCGACCACGCGCACAGCTTGAACTTGAAGCAATACTAGAACTGAAGAGGGCTTATGATGGCCCTATTGATGGGCTGGTGGCCTAAATAAAGCCGTGGGAACGTTGAAGCGCCTTCGAGCGTAATCGAGAGGTGGAATCGCCTCCAAAATCGCGCTTTAATCGCCTACTCTGACCGCCCCTTCGACCCTCGTCCTCCCGACGCTGCCAACAGTCGGTCCACCATGCGGCATATATATATCACCAACGCTCTTGCCTGGCGTTCTCCTCGCACAAGAACTGCCCGTCGTCCGTGAAGCCAACCGCTTTCCCTCCCGTCCATCGCCTCCAACCCATCGCCCCCAGCTCACTTGTGCAATGAGCCCGTCCTCTGGACCTCCCCGAAAACTGCGCCACATCAAAGGGCTCTGGCTCGAGGACGGCAACATCATCCTCGTCGCCGCGGGTGCCAAGTACGGCTTTCGACTCTATCGTGGTCTCCTCGCGTCCCAATCATCCATCTTTTCCGACATGTTCGCGGCTGCAATCCCAAGCACAGAGGATTCACACAACGGCTGCCCCGTAGTCCACCTCTCGGACTATACGGCCGACCTTGTCTATTTTCTTTGAGTGCTTCTCCCAGGACAGCACCAACGGTACGCATCCTTACTTCACGCGTCGCTCTGGCCACCAAACGCCTCCCCCGTTTTCCAGCTTCTACGACAGCAACAGTGTCATCACGTTCGTGGAGTGCGCCGCGGTCGCTCGCCTCGCACACAAGTACGATGTTGAAAACGCGCTTAGCAGAGCCCTCGACCTCCTCCGGGAGCACTTCACCTCCGACTTCGACGTCTGGGAAGACGACGAGCGTCGGGAGCCCCTCACGGGCGTCGACGAAGACCGGACGTGCGCCATCGGGGCTGTGAACCTGGCCCGGTTGACCAACACGCCCTTGATCCTCCCGCTCGCGCTGTACCTATGTGTTCAGCTCGGCGGAGACGTTCTCAAGGGCTGGACGCACAACGGCACGACGGAGCACCTCTCGCAGGAAGACCTGGAGTGGTGCATCAACGCGCGGGCGCGGCTGGCGAGCGAGAACACGGCCGGGGTCAGCCGGGCGCTGTCGTTCGGCGGCTGGCTGTGCGCGCGTATGTGCCAGGCCGTGCTCCGGTATGTGCATACACAGGTGCTTGCGGAGCCGGTGGAAGATCGGAAGTGGACCTGCGACGCTCTCGGTGCGCGCGATCGGGATCGCGGGAGGGCGGTGGAGGACGCGCTTGCTCCGGCGGGGCGGCATCTCTGCGGGAGGTGCCAGTGGAAGGTGCGGACTTGGCATGAGGTGTACCGCAGGCATGTGTGGAGGAGCCTTCCGGAGATATTCGAGGTTGAGGTGGAAGGATGGGAGGTTGAAGAGGATATGGAGGTGGATGATGAAGACGAGGCGGTGGGTGCGGGCGAGGCGAGCGAAGACGAAGAAGAGATGGATGGGGACGAGACCGAGTCGTCGTCGTCGTCGTTGTCGGACAACATGGACTAATAGTCAGCCGTTTCTCACTCCGTCTTCAAATTTCAGGTTCGTCTCCCTTTGTTCAAAGTAGTCTCTCGCTCACTTCATGCTTTCAGAGCTGAGAACCAAACAATGTGCCAGCTTAGGTAGTAATGTGCTTTCTTTCCCTGTACACTGCGTATCTACAGATATTCTCGATCCTCTTCTCATTCGCACACGCCCATTATCTTGTGCCAAAACGGCAATCCTGAGCTTGGTAGGTTTCCCGCGTGAGACCGGATCGCTGGGCTGCCCACGGTGACGCTTCCACCTACCCATTCGCGGGAATCGACGCTGAAAAATTTCCAGGTGACAAAAATGACGACATCAACTAGCATGTTTCCCCGTGCATGAACGGATCGCTGGTTCGTGGCATCAACGTATCCTGATGTTGGCACCCGCTCGTCGGTTTGCAAGCCTCGTCGGTGTGCCTGACGAGAAACTCCTGTTCTGTTCGAGGATGCCTGAGCGCAGTTCGCAAAAAATAAGGCTAATATCGAGATATGTTGAATGGCTCTCATGTGGTGTAGCAGGTATGGTACTTCAGCACTGAGCTCCCATCCGCGTTGACACGGTTGTGGAGCAGAGAGAACGACTAGTCGAACCCGGCATTCATCCACAGAAGGCCCTAACCCTGCTGACGTTGTCGCAGGGAGCTCGTCCAGCTATAACCTGACGCGAAGCTGTCATCGCCCCTCTACACGCTTATGACGCCGCAGCAAAGGCTCATACAGAGTTTGTGCGCAGCCCCGAACCTTCGTCTTCCTCTATCTATCAGCGCAAGACACAAGACCCGATTAAGGTGAGTGCGCACACGCCTCGGGCGATTCGATCTTCTCATACTCTGTCGGTTCTCAGCGTCGTGGAGATTGAGGGCACGCGGCCATCTATCTGACAACACGCCCCCTCTGCCCCGGTCCTCAACTGTTCGCCGTTTCCGCCGAAATCTCCTTCTTACGGTGGGTACTGACCAAGCGAGAATTAAAAGGTTCTTTACGTGCCTCGCCTGCGATGGGACGCATGAAAGCATCGCCTTTCGTCGGATGTGCTTGCAGCGGCTCAACGGTGGACCGGAATCGATTACCGCATGCGGCATGTCCCATCAACCAGGGTTCTTCGGGGGGAGAGGCATGCGGGGAGGCATTTCTCGAACCCGTGGGTCTGGTGTGGCTCTTTTGGGCGGGGTGGCGGCTGGGGGCACGTAATAAGGGAGACGACGCGCGAAGGGCCCGTCTGCGCAGGTCAGAGTGCCCCGTCCTGTCCTTGGCTCCTCCGTCCTGTTCTCGCCATGTTCCTGGATGTAGTATTCTCCGCTGTGCGTACCTCTCCACCCCCCTGAGATGCTCTCTGACCTGTTTTGTTCCGGATGCAGCCTTCTAATGTGCCCCCTGCCGCTCGGCTCGCCGCCGCGTTCGCGGGGATCATCCTCGAAACGTTCTTCTGCGGTGCGAACATGGTCGTGTACATCACCGGAACGTGGTCTGTCCTCTCGCGCAAGTACCCGCAGTCTTTGACCAAGCGGGACATCGTCTTCCTCGGCGCGAGCACTTCCATGTGCGTGCTGGCGCTCTGGGTGAGCTTATCAACACGATCTTCCGCGACGGTGCGTGCTCACAACGTTGGCAGCACTGGGCAGGGGATCTCTACACCCTCGTCCATGCAGGGATCACCAAAGGATTGGACATCGACGCGTTCGCAGCAGCGTTCATGCAGACAGGCGGACCTCAGGGCATCGGCTTTGCATGGCAATTCATCTACGTCTCGCAGACGCTCATCGCAGACGGATTCATGGTACGCCCTCTGCTCGACTCCCGAACACGCTTCCTCAGTCCCTCCCCCAGATATACCGCGCGTTCATCGTCTGGAGACAAGAGTGGGCCGCGATCGCTGCGCCCCTCGTGATGCTCTTTGTGGAAGTCGGTGAGTAAACTCCCGCCGATCCATGCGCGCCCGTGAGATAGACTTTCTGCCGCAGTCTTCGGCTACATTATCGTGGCGCTGGGACTACGCCCCTCCTTCCCAAGGACGACCTACATCGTCTGCCGCCGCGCCTTCTTCGTCCTCGCCGTCGCCACCAACCTTCTCGCGACTGGTGCGTGCCCAGTCTTGGCGTGCGCGCGCGCGTTCCGCGAGTTCTCACGTCCGTGCCTTTTGCGCGCGATAGGTCTCATCCTCCAGCCCATCCTGATCTCACGCCGCGGCGCGCGCGAGTACCGCCCGGAGGGCTCCGCGCTGCGCACGCTTCGCTGGCGCGCGATGGGCTACATCCTCCAGTCCGCGGCGATCTTCACGATCTCGAGCCTGTGCTACATGGTCACGATCTTCGTGGACCCGGTCGGGTTCATGATCTGCCACTACCTCTTCCCGCCGGTCGTCGTGCGTCCCCTCTCCCTCCCCGTGCGCGCCCCTTCGCTGACGCCCGCAGTCGCTCGTGTTCTCGCTCACGGTATCGCGCATCTCGCTCGCGACGGGCGCGGACTCCTCCCCGCCCCGCCGCTCGCCGTTCGGCGCTCCTGGCGCGCGCGCGTCCTGCCCGAGCCTCCCGCTCTCCGCGCCCGCGACGGAGGAGGGCGAGGCCGGGCGTGCGGGTGCGACCATGCGCCCGATCGCGATCCACGTCTCGGTGACGACGACGCGGTCGAGCGACCGGGAGAGCGTCGCGTCCTTCGACGGGGATTCGGGCCTCAAGGAGGCCAGGGGCGACTCGGACGTGAGTGGCTTTGCATTTTTGCGTGAGCGGCCTTGCTGATGACGGTTCTACAGATCATCCTGATATCCCAAGGGAGGTTGTAGACGTGCGGTTGGAGTGTGGGTGTGCCGAGGACTGTTCTGTATTTATAGGTGCATTGTATTCGTAACCCTAACCCTTTCTATGCAGTCTGCTGCCCGAGCCGGCGTGCACGGGCCCCAAGTTGCCCACAGTCGTCATAATATTCTTGCAGAGATCCCCTTCTAGACCTCCACGTGCAACCTTCTCATGGTGCGTTTTATTCTCGATTCTCGTAGCTCTACCGGATGCATACCCACTGTGACCGGGCAGATTCCGGCTGAAGAGCCCGGCCTGCGCTGATGCCATCAGCCTTCCCCGCTCATATCGCATCGTGCTCAATCCCGTAAGTCGGGCATCGCAAGATAGTGTTTTTGAGGCTTTAAACGGGCACTCTGGGGAGCTGGAGGACCTACGACCCTGATCGTGGACGCGGCAGGTCGCACCGGCACGTATATATGACGCGGACGCACGATGAGTGGCGAGTCCGCGTCGAAGCCGTATTCTGTTCCGCGCACTGTCTTCGATCTAATACCTTGCTTGCAGGCTCAAGCTTGACTCTTCAGACCCATCACATCATGGTGAGTACTCTCTTCCAGACGATGAGCACGGCTTTACTAAGTAGACGAACTGCACAGCTTCGTCTTCTCGTTCACCGAGTGGGTACCAGTTCGTCGCGGGTGGCGGAGATATCGCGGGTGGTGATTGAGGCGACAATATTCACGAGTGAAGAGGGCGGTGAGTTTGCCTCGTCGAGTCCGCCGTCTCTTAGGGTGTCCGACGCTCAGTTAGCAGTGTAAGCAAGAGCGCTGCGTGATAAGCCTGTACTGTCTTAGATACATGTAACTTGCGTCCGGAATGACCAATTGAACGATACTCTTGCTGTCTTTGGTTGTCATTGCTATATTTCCCCTCCCCCAGACTACGCACTTCCACAGTTCAATAGATTTCGCAGGAAGGGTGACGTTACAATTAATCACGTGCTGTGACTGATCGCGTCGTGGAGCGCCCACTGCCACAGTCCATGACGGCCGGCGTTGTCTAGATCTTCCTCTTCCTCCGCAGCTGTGTTCTATTGCGTAGACGACTTCGACACACACACACACTCTCTCTCCCTCTCTCTCTCTCGCAGTCGCTTTATGCTGCTGCCTCCATTCGTATATTTCTGGAACGTCTGCAACATGTCGAAATGGGAAAGTAAGAGCATAAGACCCACATATACTCCGAAAGCATGGACGACTTCTAAGCAGATTATAGATACAACCCCGATCGCAGACTCCGATCGTTCTGGTCGCCTCGACGCACCCAAGACGCACCTTCTAAATTGAAATATAGACTATTCTCTCCCCGAAGAGGGAGACAGTATTTCAAACTCGGGTCGGAGAGTGTCGTGGATGCATGGCGTCAGTAAGCCCCAGTGAGTGCATATATGAACAAACATGTGCCCTGTGCTGAACGTAAACCCCCATTCTCCGTGTCTTCTCTCTCTCTGATTGAAATACATATGTCTCTCGAAAACACAATCAAGGTCGGAGTTGGTCACTCTGCCGCTACTGTGGGCAGGATTGGTGTACGTCCAGTGTTCCATATGTATCTGCACATGGTTGCTGAGGATTCCTTCTACTGCCTGTAGCACGGTCTCATGATGATGACGTACGCGCACCCCCTATTCGCCGTTCAGAAACTGAGCCCATCCTCAGGTGGCGCGACCCGAACTTTCCCATCGCCGACGAGGACGCGTTTGCGGCAATCAAAGCCGGGATCGACGCCCTCCCTCCCGGCGCAAAGATGATGCTCAACAGCGGTACGTACCTTCTTGATCTGTGTATCACCTCAAGCTCACGATAGCTATTCACCTCCAGGCGATTCCTACAGCAACGATGGTGGCCCGGCGAACATACGCCTGCTCAGCCGCTTTTTTGCCAAGTACCCCTCGTACGCAGACAGGACCTTTCTCTCCGTCAAGGGCGGCGCCAAGCCGTACACGCACATCCCCGACCTGTCGTACGTCCACTTTACCTGCCCCTTGTCTCGTTCACCCAGACAAGATGCGACTAATCCGCTCCCACATGCAGGTCGGAGAACCTACGCCGGAGCGCGACGACCGTGAACGCCGAGCTCGGCGGCGTCAAGAAGATGGACCTGTTCCAGTTCGGACGCGTTCCGCGCGCGGAGAGCGGGATCTCGCTCGAGGACGCGCTCGGCACACTCGCGCAGCTGAGGGACGAGGGCCACTTCGCGCACATCGGGATGTCGGAGTGCAACGCGGCGACGCTCCGCAGGGCGCACGCGGTGCGTACGGCGTTTGAGGACGCTGGCCCGGTGGGTGGAGCTTTCAACTGATGCTGCGCGCGCGTGGTAGATCACCCCGATCAGCGTGGTGGAAATCGAGGTGAGCTTATGGTCGTGGGAGGAGGAGACGAGGAAGGTGATCGCGGCGGCGAGGGAGCTGGGCATCGCGGTCGCGGCGTACTCGTGCGTTTCTTCTCTCCGCATATGTTCGCTTCGTCGGGAACTGATTCGAACCTTCCTGTGTAGTCCCCTCGGACGCGGCTACCTCACAGGCACCCTCAAGAGTCCGAAGGACCTTAACCGTATGTATTCACTATCATTTCGCAGACGAGTAGACGTCTCATGGTCTGCTTCATACATACAGCCGGGGACGTGCGACACCTGCTCGATCGCTTCCGCGAAGACGAGATGCAGCACAACTTCCGCCTCGTCGAGTCGGTCAAAGGTATCGCAGAGAAGAAGGGGGCCACTCCCGCACAACTCGCTCTCGCGTGGGTGCTGTCGCGGGGAGATCACATCGTCCCGATCCCCGGGTCCTCGCGAGTCGTCCCCGTCCATCTCCTCTGACTGGAAGTCTGAAACATGGTATGTTTTCAGGAGTAAGACGCGAAACCTCGAGAACCTCGCCGCGGCTACTATCGACCTGACGGCGGAGGATCTGGCGGAGATAGATCGAGTGTTGGCCGAGATCCCAATCAAGGGCGGTCAGTACAATGACGCGTGGAACACGTCTTTATGGGGATGATATACACGGACGGCTAACGACGCGGTAGAACCTCTTCAGTACCACTCTGATATCTCCTCCCGAACGCCGACCAGCTCGGGCAGTCTCCCCCATAGCTGAGCCCGATAATATTTGTCCCCTGAATCTACCTCATCTGCGCACTCCTCGCACATATTGTCGTCGGGAATGAATTCCAGCCAATGGTCGAACACCGCAGGTGAGAACGCACTCTCCGGCTCCTCATCCATCTGTCGGCGCACGTGGTCCCGAAAGCCTTGACATCCTATCTCCTTGCAAGAACTGCGAGGGACCAAAGCAAGGAGCCGCTTCATGTTCTCCATAGAGAGTTTTGTGCGTGCGGTGATGCAGCGCGCCAGGTCCGTGGGGGACAGCTGATCAAGTGGGCGATCCGGACGGGCGCTGAAACCACGAACCAAGTCGTCCGCGGGCAACTTTGCACAGAGGTAGAGGGCGTAGGGGAGCATGGATGAGTTTCCGGTCAGGCGGGCGATGTTGACGACCGCGATGCAACTGCACGCTTCCGGCAAAGGGGGGTCTTGAATCTTCAGGGAAAAGTAGAAGTTTGTGGGATAGTAGTAGCGAAGCTTTTCGATGCCGATCTTGACGAGGAAGTCGATTTCGTACTTGTGTCCGGTGAGGATCAACGCGGATATGTCTGCATAGGTGAACGTATCACCGATCAAACCCCTTGATAGAATGTAGTCGATGAGACCTTGAAATCTTCTCAGATCATAGGTGTATGCACATACATTTTCTGTCCGTTGAACATGAGAGCGCGAAAGAGCTGTCGAAGGTCCTCAGGAGAGTCGTAGAGCTCGACACGGGGGCATTCATCACCACCGATAACGTTCGTAGCCGCGGGCTGTGGGAAAGAGAACATGTTGGCGAACACCGGTGATCGCTGTGCCAAAAGGCCTTTATACATCTTGAACTTCGTTTTTCCGGCGATGAGGACGATATTTCCGTCTTCGAACCAGAACTCTTTGTCCTGGACCTGCACCGCGGCAGTGGCAGTGGGCGGGCTTGTGCTATTTTGGGCGTGAAATGCTTGCGCGACTGGCGGTCCACTCATGTTTGAAGCCATGATACCGACGAGGGTGAGGGGGGGACCAGAGAGGAGTGTGATATCAGGTAAGTATGTGGAAGATGTCGAAAGGCGAACTGTGGCCTCTCGTGTGCAGATGGCGTCGGTAACGTGATCATTACGCGATATCTCCGCGATCTCACCGTCTCACGCGTTAAGCGCTGAAAATGCGACAAACTTGAATACTACTCGGCGTGGCAGTTACTCCCAGTACCGCCCAAGAAATCTACCTCCCCTGATATACAGAACATGACGGTAGGTACCCCCTCACATAGCTGCCGTTGTCTCCCTGTTCTCAGGTTAGCACACGTCCTCGTGACGTCTCCGAGAGCCTTGAGATTAGATGCCGGGCTTCGATCCAACGGCATGAACACCAACGTTTTGTACACCTGTTCCGGAAAAATATTCGCCTCGCCCTTGATCCCCTTGGGAATCTTGTCGCGCTTGGCGCGGCCGCACTCCGTCGACTTGAGCGCATCTCCGAGGAAGACTCGATGTATATGTTACAAGACTAATCAGAGTCAGAGACCTCGTCATCGTTCCAACCGCGGACCTCGTCCTCGATCCCGAACACCGCCGGTAGCCTCTTCCACATGTCCTCCGTGATATCCTCGTCCCGTTCCCAAGCGTACTCGTGGCATACCCCGTTCCCGAGGAGACCCGTGGGGCTCTCGTAGGTGAACGGCGAAGGCGGATCGAACGGCATGAACACCGTCGGCGCATACACCAGGTCCGGGTGCTCCTCCGCCCGCTTTCCGATCTTCTTCCGCGCTGCGACGCACTCGGCGTGCCCGCATGACTTGATACCCTTGCCAATCAGCGCCTTGAAGACGCGCTTCGCGTTCGTCCGCGAGAACAGGTCGCGTGCGGAGATACAGAGCGCGAGGTCTCGTTCGGAGAGCTGCTCGACCGGGCGGTCGGGGCGCGCTTGAAAACCGCCGACGAGCAAGGAAGGAGGCAGGATTGCGCAGTGGTAGAGCGCGGTGGGAAGCATCCCAGTGTGGCCGGTGAGGCGGGCGAGATGGACGACATTGATGCAGCTGCCGGGGTCAAAGAAGGGTCCGTGATTGCCGATGAACACATAGTAGGAGGTCGAGTAGCAGCTCCGGAGAATTTTGAGCCCTTTGTTCAGAAGGAAATCGATCCGGTACTTGTGCCCGATGAGAACCCAGGCAGAGATGGCCGCATAGCTGGGGTCTTTGGATCTGTTGCACCGTTTTGAGGGAAGATGTTTGTTGAGCCTCTCGGAGCGATGCTGGAGCAAGTGGCCACTTACCCATCTTCAATTCCGTTCGGTATGATGAGGCGGAAGAACTCGCGAAGGTCCTCTGCGAGATCATAAAGTTCAACTTCAGGACATGCACTGTCGTCCGTTTCGGGTTGTGGCAGAGTGAACATGGCTTTGAACACCGGAGAGCACTTCGCGAGGATGCCCTGATACATCTTGAACTTTGTGCGTCCAGCGATCAAGATGATGTTTCCGTCTTCAAACCAGAACTCTTCATCTTGGACGAAGTCGTTCCCAACGAGAATCGATCCGCAGCATGTTCCCTGCATCGCTGGGCTCTCGCAGCTTGACATGGTGGCAGATGGAGAAAAACGCAGACGCGGAGAAGCGCGTCTAAGTTGTTATCCGGTGGGTTAAGGTTTCGGAACCTTTGAAGCGAACTTTACACTGCAATCTCCGCGAAATGGCTGCAATTGCTCAAGGTACTACCAACCAGTAGTCTGCCCTAGGCCGACTTTCTAACGAAGGTCGTCAACCTGTGACGCCATCATGAGGCACCCATGTGCATACGTCATCGAACCGCGGGAGAGCTCACGTGCCGGTTCCCACACAAGCTATTTTCCTCCTGCTGCGATGCTCCGTTACAACTTAACTCATTCGACATACCCATGGTTTGCCGCGCATATAATCTGCTTTCATGTGGTGAGAAAGCGTACTTTGTGCTCGTGCATACCCCTGGATACTAAAATTGTGATATCAGTTCGAAATCCGTGCGCCCTCCGTTGTGAGGACGAGTTGAGATGGCACATTCAGGGAGATGGGCATGAACGAACATGTCTATCATGCAGAATATGGTATGGAGCCATCTAGAACGTGGATTTCACGTGTTTACTGAAACGCAGTACGCTAATTCTGATCTCGGTAACCGACCCGCCTCTCGGCCTTCCCCGGGATGGCCCTCGACGTCAGTTGAAATTCAACGACTCGGAGGGGCAAATACGTGGCCTGGATGGCGTTGATTTCAGGGCGTAGTCTTCTCAGTGAGCCCGGAACAGCATTCATAGTCTATGCCCGCCGAAACTGGCTTTCAGTTGCAGGCTTCCCCTCCGCGGACCTGCTGTTCTCGCGAGTCCGCTGACCGCCTACGCAGGGACAGGATCTTGGTTCACTCCCAAATAATGGCTCCTTTCAGTCACCCCGCTGCGGCGTTATCACCTGGGTGCGCTCCCAGTGCGCTCGGCCACGGTTCGGTTACCCGGGAAAGGAGTTCCAGCCGCACCATCGACCGGCCTTACTGCCACCCATCGCGATACGACACAAAGCCCGGCCCCAGGGAAGATCCGCCGTCACACGTGGATCCTTCTTACTAAGTTGGGGCGCCGCCCGAAGGCCCAAGTCCCCTCTCCGCCGCCGCAAGCGCCATATTGCGCCCGCCGACCCTAAATCGAGGGTACGCACAGGGCTTCGTCTCCGTGTTCTTTTTACGCTCCGCCCCGACCTCCGTACGCCGGCTACGCGCCGCTGGAACAGCAGGAAGCGCTTGCGCTCCGGCACGCGTCAGATTCAAGTCCCGCGGGGGCGGAGCGACAACACGGCAGGCTGCAGAGCTGATTTTCCCCGGACGAATGTGTGCGCGCCCCGCCCTGTCTTCGCGCCCTACTCCCATGGCGGAAATTCCGCTTCGAGGCCCGCAAACGTACTTATGCGAAACCCACGCCTCCTCGCGAGTTCACTCTCACCCCCCAACCACCCCACCAGACTCTCCCCGCAACACCCAAATCGACGCTTTCCAGGATCAAGATGTCAAATGCATCTGCGACGTCGTTGGACTCAACTCCAACGCTGTCCACGGCGCCCGCCGGGCTGCTCGTCGTGCTGGCGCTCGTGACGGTGGCTTCAGGCCTCCGATACCTCAGGAGCGCCAGCGAACGGCGTCCACCTGGGCCGGCGGGCCTGCCGCTTCTGGGCAACGTCCACCAGCTCCCAGTAGACTACCAGTGGCACAAGATGGCAGAGTGGGGGCGAGACTACGGTGCGTCGCCTCGAATCGCCTCTGATCGGGCACGGCGCTCACCCGGTTTTCCGAACGCGCAGGGGACCTCGTCTGGGCGAGGTTCTTCCGCACCCCGACGCTCATCGTCAATTCGAAGGCGGTCGCGATTGATCTGATGGAGAAGCGGAGCGCCAGGTACTCGGACAGGCCGCCGTTCATACTGCTCAAGGAGCTGTACGCACTCTCTGGTCCTCTGCGTCGACCCATATACTGAGCTGGGCACGTACCAGGCTGGGCTGGGAAAAGGTGCTCAACAACCTCCACTACGGCGACTCGTTCCGCAAGCACCGCAAGTGGCTGCAGGACGCGTTCGTGTCGAAGGAGGCCCTCGCGAGCTACCAACCGATTCAACGGCGCGAGACCTACACCCTTCTGCTGGGCCTGTGTGAGAGTCCGGAGCTTTTTATGGATCACGTCAAGCGGTACGCATTACCCCGCACCGTGCATATCACTCGCTAACTCTCTACCAGGTGGGCCGCCGCAATGGTCTTGGAGATATCGTATGGTATGCGCGTCCACTCCCTCGGCGACGAGCTCGTCGTCATCGCCGAGAGGGCGACTGTGGAGACGATCATGGCCGGAAGCCCTGGGTCGATGATAGTCGACTTCTTCCCAATCCGTGCGTCTTCCCCGCGACTCTGTCAGCTTCGATGTGACGCTGAGAAACCCGCGGGCCCAGTGAGATACCTACCGATGTGGATGCCCGGCTCCGGGTTCAAGCATCACGCCGCCCGCGCGAAGGTCTTCATCAGGAGGATGCTCGACGTCCCCTTCGCAATGGTGCAAGAGGCCATGGTTTGTTCAGCCCACAGCCTACGTCTTTCGCACTACGAGCTGACGCATACGCGCAGAAAGAGGGAACAGCGAAGCCCTCCTTCACCGCCTCGCTCCTGGAAGAAGCGGCCGCGCAAGGCATCCTTACTCCCGAGCACGAGGAGGACATCAAGGGCGCCGCAGGGGTTATCTACGCTGGTGCGTCCTACCTTCCCGCTTTGTAACGGACAACCACTCACTGACCATGAACTCCAGCCGGCTCTGACACAGTACGCGCTGGCGCTCTCCCTGATCACGGATGGTGGCATACTCACCCGCTCTATTCCCGCACAGACGACCACCGCAATGCGGACGTTCATGCTCGCGATGGTCCTCCACCAGGACGTGTACAAGAAGACGCAGGCGGAGATCGACCGCGTCGTCGGCGCGGGGCGCCTTCCCGATTTCGAGGATCGGGAACAGCTTCCCTACCTCGAGTCTGTGATCATGGAGGTGCTCAGGTCCGTCACTCGCGCCTCCTTGTACCGCCTCGTCGGGTCGGCGCTGACCAGCGCACACCTCGGCGTTGACAGGTGGAATGCCCCCGTGCCCCTAGGTGCGTGCTAGCGTCGGCTGTCTGGGCCCTCGTGCCTCCCCCGGGTGGTTGACGACGAACGAGCACTGACGGTCCCACGCCGGGCACAGGCGTCCCGCACGCGACGAACGCGCCGGACGACTACCGCGGGTACGCCATCCCGAGCGGCACGATGGTGGTCCCGAACGTGTGGTGCGTCCCTTCCTCTCCCTCTCTCCCTCCCTCCCAACGTTCTCACCCCACTCCCCGCTCATCCAACGGCACCTCCCGACCGCGCAGGTGGATGACGCACGACCCCGCGGTGTACCCCGACCCGGCCCGGTTCGACCCGGACCGGTTCGCGCGCGCCTCCGCGGCAGACGCCGCGCGGACCGACGACCCGCGCGACGTCGTCTTCGGCTTCGGCAGGCGGTGCGTGTCTCCGGTCTGTCTGAGGGGTCGGGGAGCCTTCTCCCGCGTTCCCCTATCGGACGTCAGACGCTCACGCTACCGCTGCTGGATGGACAGGGTCTGCCCGGGCAAGGCGTTCGCGGACGCGTCGCTGTGGCTCGCGGCGGCGAACGTCGTCGCGACGATGGACGTCGCGTACGCGAAGGACGCGCGGGGCGCGGACGTCGTGCCCCGCGCGGAGTTCGTCTCGGGGTTCGTCAGGTGCGTCGTTGTGATCGTGCTCAGGGCGGCTGACGAGCCTGGGGGCTGACGCGCCGTTGCGTTGCAGCCACCCGAAGGACTTCACGTGCGCGTTCCGGCCGCGCTCGGACGCGGTGCGGGGGCTGATCGCGCACATGAGCGCGGTGAACATCGTCTCGGCGTGAAAGCGCGAGGACTTTGTACGATAAGGCGGCGTGGGCGGTGGTGGTTCGACGGCGGACTATCGGTCTCTGTATGTACGGCATCCTGTGTTTTGACCGTCCCTTTTCCCGGCCGCCGACGGCGTACGCTTGTCTGACCACGAGCTTCTTCCTGTACAGTACTTATCTCCCCGTGACGCCGTGCACGGCACGCGCAGAGCATCGCATGCTACTTCTCGGCCATGCGCACTCCAAGCTGTGACATCACCCTGAGGCCTGCTTCTAGCCTCCAGAGTGGCAGGTGGGAGACGGGCGTGGTCTGGGCGGCGCTCTGGTCATTACGTCCGCACCGGGCCCGCGACGGTACCCAAACCTTGCTTCCAAACACGGTCCACACCGCGCCATCTCCCCACGTTGCGCAGGCGGCCCCCGCTCTCGCGATCGCCCTCATGCCACATGTCCACACATCAAAATCGCGCACGCGCAGCACGTACGTCTGCCAGTGGCCACAGCCCACACACGACCGCGGTCCACAGCGGCGAGCTCGAACACGAACCGTCTCCGCACGACTGCAGGCTGGGGCCCGGGGGCTCAGCAGGCCCTCCCATCACCGTCGACGTCGGGCACCGGCATCAAGAACCTTTCGAAGACAAGTACTTGCGCTAGAAGGACGGCGCTCACGCGTTCGCCCTGTTTCGCGGGCGTTGAGCGGAGGGCTCTTGGGCCGGAGCCGGCGCGCGCGATCTTCCGTGGCTGTACCTGTACCTACGAAGTTTCGGATGCAGGGGGACAGCGAAGTCGCGGCGAAGAACGCCGTCGTGGTGCGCCGACTGATAGAACGGCTGGGGGACCTGCAGGGCTAGTGTACACATTGTGGTGCGGGCTGGTAAGGTTACATCGTAGGGAGGAAAACTATAGATACGCGCTGAATGTCGATCGCTGGGCGAGACGAAGCGTGTGGTGTAAGGTAAAATGGGGAATGGGACGAAGATGGGGAGGGAAAGGGACACTGAAGGGCATAGAAGATGACGAAAGAAGAGAAATGAAATCATGCATACGTCCGAAGTGATGCCCACCACGTGAGTGCCACCGACAAGGCCAACTAGACGCCAGCGCGAACGGAAACTGCAGTCAGCGCATCGCGCATACACCCGGACGCAGAGTAGTGGCAGTAGCACTCACCGAAACCGAAGCCAACGCCTCCGCGCGCCTAGAGCGCCACGCCCCGCTCGACGTCCCCGCCCACATGCACCCGCGCCGCCGCGCGCTCCGCCTCCGCGCGCGCGTCCATCTCCAGCGCGGGCAGTGCGATCCGCGCGCTCCCGAACCCCCTCCCCAATCCCCTCCCCGTTCCATCCGCCTCCGCTTCCGAATCCTCCGCCTGCGAAATCTCTAGAACCTCTCCGGGCCGCGCGTCCGCGTACGGATCGATCGTCGACACCGTCGCGTCGCTCGTCGCGCGCGCGTGGCCCGCCGTAAACGGGCGCGCCGGGAGCCGGAAGGTGGCCTCGCGCGGGGTCGCGCTCGGGGTCGCGTAGTCGACCTTCTCCTTTTCCAGGTCCGCATCGGAGAAGAGGGTGGTGTCGGTGTGCGCGTGGGTGTGGCGGGAGATGCGCAGGGGCGCGGTGGAGCCAAAGGTCGCGCGGCCGGAGGCGGAGGAGGCGCTGTGCGCGTGCGAGTCCGGGCGGGGGTCGCCGGTGCTGCCGTGCGCGACGCGGATGGCGGTGAAGGAGAAGACGAGGCCCTGTGTGTGCGCGCACGCGCGGGGTCAGCGTGACGTCCGGGTGGGAGTGGGTCGCGGCGGGGTACGCGCGCGCGAGGGCAGGGAAAGAAAGGGCGAGAGGGACTCACGATGAGCGCAGGGAAGAGGTTCAAGCACGTCGGGTAGCCGATCGCGGCCGAGTTCGCGAACGTGATCACGAGCGACACGCCCGCGGCGGCGTAGATCGCGGTCGACTGTACCGTGGCCTCGATCACCCGCCAAATCTTGCGGGTCTCCTTCCGGGGTGAGACGTGCCGGAACTCGCGGCTGAGGTAGAACACGCGCCAAACGATCATTACTGTGGGCGCACGGGGTAAGTGATGCGGCGAGGTGGAGGGCAGAACCGCAGAGGAAGGCTTCGTGGGGTTGTGGAGGTGAAAGGAAAACGGACATACCGGTGCAGATGACGTTGATGAAGATCGACAGGGAGTAGAACGCGACAGACATGTAGTAGCCCGTCACGCCCAGGAAGGTGGATGAATATCCGATCACTAAACAAGAGCTCGAGTTCGATTGCAGTCCATATGCGAGAAAGACGGAGACGCACCTGCATCTGCAGCAATGAGCATCGAGGGAACCATGATTGCTGTCCAGCTGCGATTGAAGACTCGGAACAGACGGTAGACCTGCAGCGATGGCCTGTTTGTGGCGCCCAAGCGGGAACGAACAGTGGACGCACCATGAACCCGTCTCCGAGTATCGTCTGTGATACGTAGAGCATGAACTTCGCTTGATCAATAGAGATCGGCACATTACCCCAGCCCTCGTGAGCGACGAAGACATCGAGGATGACGTGCTATGCCATCACCCACGATCAGGTCGAGCCACCGGAGGAAGAAAGAACGAGTGACGTACCACGGAGGATAGGAGGAACATCAACGTGTTCGAGACGAGCAGAATCACGTTCCCCGTCGTCCGCCTCTTCTGGGGGTGGGTGAGCCAGACCATGATGTACGTGCCATAGCTGAAGGTGACGATGTTTGCGCCGAAGAAGACAATCTCAACGATAAGCGCTGCGATGTAGAACTTATTCGACGCGGGTCCTGTGAAGCCCTGAGTGCCGTCAGTGGGAGTGAGGGGAAAGCGACAGAAGGGATGAAGGTAAAGTGCTCACCCCGAAGGCGTTCAAGTGGGAGTCGCCGTCCGACATAACTGTGGGAGGGAGGGGGGCGTGGCGTGGCGTTGCACCGAGAGGCGGCGGATAAGCGGACACAGGGCGTATATATGCCAATGGCGAGCAGCGGTGGATCTGGTGCGCGCGACGCCCAGGCAGAAGCCCAAACCTTCGGTCAGGCGCTTATAGGCCAGGCGCTGTGAGCGAGGCAGGAGGGCTGCCCCCTCGCGGTGGAAAACGTCGCGCATGACCGCGCGCTAGGTTTGATACGCCGCCCACAAACACTAACACTGTCGCAGGAAGGAGCTGGGCCCGAAGAAGGCCGGACAGAAGCCGCATGATTGGAGAGCACAGCCTGGATAGGAACGCGCTGGGAGGCTGGACATGCGCTAGTAGGGCACAAGTGCCGCATACCCTGCGCATATCGCCACCATCCGGAGGCTTTTCAAGTCTTTTGGGAATAACCTGGCGTTTGGGGCTTTTGAGCGCGAGAGGAGCGACTCTGTCAATGGGACGGTAGGCGTGTCGCATGCGGGGCTCGATCGCTGGATCCGGAGAACTGTGTGGTTGCGCTCCGGTACGCCCACAGTTCCTATACGACTTCCCCATCGATGATCAGGGCGTCAATGGAGCAGGATGGTCCCCAGACAGATCGGGGAATCGACATCGACCACACTGCCCCCCGCCCGACGGCTTTCAAAGCTCTCGCCAGGGCTCTGAAGGTCGACCAGCGGGGCCCGTCGTCCACACCGTGCGCGACATTGGTTGAGGGGCGCATATACGCAGGAAAACAAGGCAAGTCGGAGCGCACGTACCACCCATCCATATCCATCCCAGAAATACTTCTCGTACGCTGCTCGCCATGGGGCTGACACGCTACGTGCACTTCCCATACAATGGTTGCTGCGCACCACCTCCAGCATCTTTGCTAACTTGGCTCAGGATGATTGCGGGACAAGTATCATGCTCTGCTGTTCACCTGAAATTTGCACAGGCCGCCGCACATCCCGAAGATACGCGATCATGGTCAGCCAGTGATCAAGAAACCGATACCACTGAGACATCTGTAATCACCTCAACAGCTTATCTCGATGCACATACTTGACGGGGCACCTCTTCTGCAGATTCTGACGGTCCATGCATCAACCATGTTCTGGAGGCGAGCCGTCGAACGAAAAGCGGGCTGCGCGCAAGATGCATAGTCGTCAGTGGAGATGGGGAGAGCAGACCGCACTCGTCGCGCTCGAGCGAGCATGACTCGGATATTCTCCGACCGGCGTATGCCGAGAGTTCCCAGGCTCTTCCGTGTAAGCGCGTTCCATCAGACGTCTTTGCTCTCCTCGTCGCTCACTAGCATGGACCTCAGACCTGCATTTACTCGACAGCCGTTCAGAGACTCCAATTATATGCTACTGCCAACGAGGATGAGAAGTACGTGCCAGCCACTTAACCTGTAGCGCTGCGCGCTGATGACCACTTTCGCAGGCCATTCCTGTGAAGAGCGACATGTTCAAAGTACATCGTTTCCAGGCTGAAGCAGGAAACAACAGCGACATTAATATATCCTTGCCACGGTATCTCCCACGTCCTTCCGAGCGGCTCTCCGGTGCGGGAAATGGGCTTCTGTTTCACGCGTGCCTTCGAAGCCTTATCGGGGCCAATGCCGAGACCAGAGGGCAAAACTCACTCCCGTCTAAGATAAGAACGCCATATAAGATGCGCTGCACGACTCGCCTCCTCTCCTGTGCGCTTTTACCATGGCTGCGACCGGTGAATCTGAGTTCAGACCGCTGCTAAGTGCGTTGTACATCGTTTCTCTCAAGCATGTGGGCTAACTCCGAGGGTTTTAGACGAGGGAGTTGGCTATGGCGTCGTTGTCGGTACGCCTCTCGGAGCTTCTTGCGATAAGTGACGCGCGAGAACTCACTGCTTCCAAGGCGTCGGGTTCTTCTTTGCGGCGCTTATGCTCGTTCTCACAACCCTGCAAGCCAAGTTCTCAAACTTCTCCCCAAGATCATCCGAGGAGTTTACGGTGAGAAGGAACCCGTCTTCTTCTTCTTCTGTGGTGCTCACTTGTTTGCTGTGCGCAGAGCGCGTCGCGAAGCGTCAAGGTGCGCGTCGCACCACAATTTAATTCGAAACGTAAGCTCACACCTCCACAGCCAGGGCTAGTGTGCTGCGGCATGTAAGTTGAGGAATCGCGCTGAAACGGCTACCAGCTGAGAAGGTTTCAGTGTGAGCGCATGGACGTGGAGCGCGACTCTACTTCAATCTAGCACAGCAGCGTACACCTTCGGTCAGTTCGCCCGCCTCCACCAGGATCTACTCTGACCTGTTTCGCACATTCAGGCGTCAGCGGTCCATGGTGAGCCCACTCGTTGAGAAATCTTGCAACTTACCTGAACTCCGTCCGCTACCTCCAGGTGGTACGGAGTCGGAGGAACGATTCAGCTGGGCTTCTTCGCCATGGTCGCCGCAAAAGTCAAGATGAATGCCAACGGCGCGCACACTTTCCTCGAGGTAAGAAGCGTCAATGGCTTTTCGGCTCCGTTCACTCTAACGCACCCGTCTTTTCCAGATCGTGAAGGCACGCTTCGGAACCGGGGCACACTTGTTATTCACGTTCTACGCCTTCCTCTGCATCCTGATTGTCTGCGGGGGTCTCCTACGTAAACCCTCCCGCTTTCGCTCTTTCTTGTCTGATAGCTGATCATTCCTCATTAGTGGGCGGCGCAGCCACCGTGAACGCGCTGACGGGGATGAACATCATCGCCGCGTGCTTCCTCCTCCCGATCGGCATCGCCGTCTACGTCGTCTTCGGTGGCCTCCGCGCGACGTTCATCTGCGACTACGCACACACCCTCATCCTCTTCGTCATCATCTACATATTCTTCGGCGAGGTGTAGTACGTCCCTGACCGTTCCTCGCCTCGTGCGCCAAGGCCGCTGACGATTGAATGCGCGCCCAGCGGAGCGTCGAAAGAAGTCGGGAGCGTCGGCGCTCTGTACGATCTGCTCGTACAAGCGGGGAAAGATACGCCCGTGGTGGGGAACCAAGATGGGAGCTACGTCACGATGAAGTCGAACCAGGGCCTCGTCTTCGGTGCGGCTACGATCCTCTCAGGTACAGTCCGCACGGTGAAACCGTGTGGCTCCAAGCTAACGCTCGCCTCTCAGGTTTCTCTGGAGTTTTCTGTGATCAAGGTAAGTTGTGTCATATTTTATGACTTGTTCAACTGCTCATCTAACTCCACCTAGGCTATTGGCAGAGGGTGAGTTGTACCCACTATCAGACATGCATCCATTTTGACCAACACCGCCCAGGCGATCGCCAGCGCTCCTCGCTCGACGACCAAAGCTTACGTGCGCTTCGTTCACTTGACTCTCGTACGACCCCGCATGACTTTGGTTCTTCAGATGCTCGGTGGACTGTCATGGTTCGCAGTACCATGGGCATTCGCCTCATGCCTCGGCCTGGCCGCACGCGCCCTCGTAAGCAACGTAAGCATCGCACACACTTGCTCAGCACCCCTCCATTTGCTCACACTTCTTCTCGCCAGCCCAAGTTCCCCACCTTCCCGAACCCGCTCTCCGCCTCCCAGACCAGCGCCGGCCTCGCCGCGCCCGCGGCAGCCGCCGTCGTGATGGGCAAGGGCGGTGCCATCGCGATCCTGCTCGTGGTCTTGTGCGTCTCGCTCTCGTCTCTCTTCTTCACTATCCGATTTCTCAAACGCACCTGCAGCATGGCAGTCACCTCCGCAATGAGCGCCGAGCTCATCGGCGTCTCCAGTCTCTTGTGGGTCCCCCACCTCCCGGGCGGCGTTTCAGCCTCAGCGGCAGCACACTGATCATTTCGCCTCCACCACCCCACGGCTTCTAGTGCTTACGAGTGAGTCGCATCCGTCCTGCCGCGCCGCGTGAAGGGAGAGAACTGACGGCACGGCGCGGTCGCCAGCTTGTACCGGACGTACTTGCGCCCGCAGGCGACGAGCGCGGAGATCGTGCGCGTGTCGCACTACTTCATCTGCTTCTGGGCCGTCTGGGCCGGCTGCTGGGCGACGATCGTGCGTGCCCGTTCTCCATTCCCCTAGGCTCCTTCCGTCTGTTTGCTCACGCGCGCGCTCGGCCATGCAGCTGAACAAGGCGAGCATCGACCTCGGCTGGCTCTTCTACGTTCAGTACGTCCTGTCCCCCGACCCGCGTCGACCCCTCTGACGCCCACATCCGATCGCAGAGGCGTCGTCCTCAGCCCCGCCGTCATCCCGATCGCGCTCACCGTCTCCTGGTCGAAGCTCACCCGCGCGGCCGTGTTCGCGGGGTGCATCGGCGGCGCGGTCCTCGGCATGCTCGCGTGGATGATCGGCTGCTGGAAGATCTACGGTCCGCCTCCTCCCGCTCCGCTCCTTCTTCTCCATTCTCGCTGACCCCGACGACGCGCAGGCGAGATCAATATCCCGAACCTCGCGCAGCCGTACTCGGCCGTCTGCAGCGGCCTCACCGGCCTGCTCTTCTCCGGGATCATCACCGTGCTCGTCTCGCTCGCCCGTGCGTCCCCAGACCTGCCCGCGTCCCCTCACACGCGCTCACACGCCCCTCACAGGCCCGGCCAACTACGACTTCGCGGGCACGCGCGCGATCGCGACCTACGACGAGCCCTCGTCCTCCGCGTCCTCCAGCCCCACCCCGGACCGTGATCTCGATCTCAAGGCAGACCCAGAGAAGGCCCCCGTGGACGTCGAGGCGCACCCCGTCGCGCCCGCGCCCGCGGACAAGGACACACTCGCGACCGTGGACGGCCCCGTCACCCGCGCGGAGCTCGAGGCCGTCTTCCGCCGCGCGGCGTGGTTCTCGCTCGCGCTCGCCGTCGCCGTCGCCGTCCTCGGTGCGTCTCCTCTCCCCTCTCCCCCGTACCTTGTGCGCGGACGGACGCTGACGGAATACTTACAGTGCCGCTGCCGATGTTCTTCTCGCACTACGTCTTCAGCCGGACCTTCTTCGCGTTCTGGACCGCGTGCACCATGTGCGTGGTGTCTCCCCCCTGTTCCTTCTCCGCTGCTGAAGCTGACGCGCGCGAGACAGCATCTGGGCGGCCGCGAGCGGTTACTGGTGCATCTTCCTCCCGCTGTGGGAGTCCCGCGCCGAGCTCGGGGTCATCGTCCGTGGGGTGTTCGGCGTGGTCGCGTAGTCCGAGTCGTCCCTCTCTACTTGTCAGGTCTCGCCACGAGCGTAGCGTCAGTAGTGCCGACATACGAAGCCCCGGCGTAGAGGGCGCTCGCCTGAGCTGGGGCCGAGTTGTGTTGTGCTGTCTCTCTCGTAGCTGGAACGGACGCCGTGTTCGCTACCGTGCATCGTCAAACAAAGAACTCTATCATTCCAATCAATTTGACAGCTCTTGTGGCGTGTGACACCAAAATCCCGGGTCCAACATTCGACAGGCGAAAACTTGGCACCTCGGTGGGCGAAGGCGCCAGAAAACACGATAGATCGTACATGTTGGTTTGGCCGAGATCCCAGAGGGCTTCCAGCTGTCTCCATTTTGCTAGGTCGTTTTCGCTCAGCAGGGCGAGCTGCGAGTGGAGGCGTGTTTAGTTTTGGAGCGGGGTCAGCGTGTGGCGCCCTCGTTGGTCATGCACTGCTGGAGTATGTGGCTGAATTCACCAACCTCCTCCACTGACTTATGTGGTGTATCGGATGGGGGAAGATCGGGCGTCGTGGCAGCATCCAGTGCCAGAAGAACGCGTCGAAGGTCAACTCAGCATTCGATAAGACGTTATGTATATGTACTGACCAGCAGACCATGCGTCCCGAGCCATGTTCATCTTGTCCGTCGCCACCGTTGGAAGGCAAGGACCGCTCAAACGGAGCGTGCTCGCGCGCACGACCACCTCCTTCACACATACCACACCAAAGCAAGCAACCGGGCCAAACAAACGTCGCATCATGTATCTACCAAGCCCACCCCCACCCCCAACGCGCGCAAAAGATGCCCATATACCACCCCCGAGGCTCGCCCACACCGCGCTCACAGCGCGCGCTCCGGCAGCTTCGCGTCCTCCTCCCACTCCACCTCCGCCGCGGACCCGCGCGACCCAACCTCCATCCCGATCCCGATCCCGCCCTTCGCGTCGCCCGACCCCGCGCCCCTGACGAGCTCCGCGTTGCGCGCGCGCCCCGCGTGCCGGAGCCGGCGGAAGTCGACCTCCTCCGCCTGCGCGGACTCGACGCGGCGCTCGACCGCGACCGCGACCTCGGTCGGGAAGTGGAGCGTGCGCGTGCCGATGTCGTACGCGGAGCCGTCCTGCGTACGTGCGTGCGTGGGGAAAGGGAAGTCAGCGAGACGCGGCGAAAGGGGGAAACGAGGACGGACGGTGCTGCTGATCCCGTAGAGCTCGTCGCGCAGGGTCGAGCGCGAGTTGAGGGTCTGTGGAGGGCGCAGGCGGGGTGAGCGCTCGTGCGCGTCCGGCGGGCAGGCGAGCAAAAACGCACCGAAAGCAAAGAAACGGTGTACACGCGGCCGAGGGGCTGTGGGGACATCAGTCTGTGGGTCGCGAAAGGCTCGCGGTATGTGTGTACGCACCATGGCGAAGATCGCGCTGAAAGTCGTGTTGGGGACCACACACTGCGCGTGTGTGAGGTCATTCGGGCGCTCGAACGAAGTGGCCACGGGACCGAAACACTCACGAATAAAACGAGGTACAGAATCTGGGAATGCGGGGGGTGAGCGTGGGGACACGAGGGAGCAGGCGCAGGGACGCACGATGAACAGCAAGCTCGACGCCGTCGTCTCGATCGACGAGCGCATCAGCCGGCCGATGACCGTGTTCGTCGCTGCAACGCCAGCACTCAGTTTACTCGCGCGAGATGAGAAGCACGCTGGAGGTACTCACAGCGAAAGCCGGTCTTGATTTTGAACAGGTGCGTGTACAGGATGACGCTGCCCGTCCGCACACGATCAGCCCATCTCTCCACGCACTCCGGACGCGCAGACGCACGTCAACAAGAGGTCGCACAGCGCCGCGAGCGTGAGCCAGGTGGCGACGTGCGGCACGAACGTCCTCGCGTTCTGCAGGCTGCGGCGTCCACGGCCGTCAGCGTCCGACGGCAGGCAGCGGGGGGAGACGCGACGCACTGTGTCTCGAGGAGCTGCAGGACGCCGGCGGTCATTCCTATCGCGAAGGCCGCGAAGGAGAGCGCGGCGATGAGCGCGTGGATGAGGCGTGAGTGCGTGAAGCGCTTGATGCGCCACGCGAAGAGCTGCTGGATCGGCATCGAGACGCTGCGCGCGGAGTCAGCGGTGCGAGGCTGGTGGGAACGTGAGACGCGGGAGGTACGCACAGCGCTGATTTCGTCGTGCCAGGACGGGGGGGCGAGTGAGCGAGCGAGGGGGAGGTGGAGGGTGGAGGGAGACGGACCGGCGAAGACCGGGCACGCGCTGAGCGGCCAAAGGACGAGCGAGATGTAGTCCGGGTTCGCAAAATTGGCAACAGAGTACTGCCAGAGCATCCACAGCATCGCGCCGGTGTGGACGGAGTCGACGAGGATGCACCAGTGGACGAGCAGCCTGCGGGCGCGGCGTAAGGAAACCTTGCTGTCCTCGCAGTGCGCTCCGCCGCTTCGCCGGCCCTCCATCGACGCAAGAACAAGCGGACGACGACGTACCTCAGCGGCCACCGGTCGCGACCGGGACCCAGGACGTACTGGATCCAGTGCAGGAACACGATTCCGTACACAAAGCAGTTGAGGAGCGTGCCCACGAGTAGCGGCCCGAGCACCTGCGAGATGGGGATCTCCCTGCTCCCCACGGGGATGACAACCCCGAGCACATTTGCGCTGTCGATCGACGGCATTCTTCGTCTTCGTCGTCTTCTTCTTCTTCTTCTTCTTCTTCTTCCCCTGCCTCCACCAATAGTTGTATCTTCGGCTTGAGCCCAAGATTAATATGTCGTAAACGGCGTCAAAAGAGGGATGCCAAGGGCGAATGGAGGAGGAGGAGGAGGAGGAGGAGGATGGTGAATTGAGGAGTTGGGGAGAAAGAGTGATGGGGAGAAGAGGGTGTGTGGGCGACGGCCGTTTGAGCCAATATAAGTATGACACCCCGTCGACCGAGCCTACGGAGTTAAGCTCAGACGCATTCTGATTCCCGTTCGCGTACGTACAGCCCCGAACGCGGCGTAGTACTACAACCCTGCACGCGGGCGTAAGCGGCAACGAAAATCTGAATTGTAATTGCGTCACCGGTTGAGTGGATGAAGGTCCGTAAGCCAGACCGCTCTTACTGGATGACGGTCCGTAAGCCAGACCGCTCTAACTAGACCCGTAAATGCAATTCCGGAGCTTTAAGCGAAGCTAGGCGACGAGAGGGATCTCTGGCGTCAAGCCGGCGTCAACGGAATGCCTCCACCGCGCGGAGACCTTAGCCAGACCTCATGAAGGTCCGTTGAGGCCCAGTCGTCGATTTGTCAGCGCCAATAATGGTCCACATCACTACCTCCCGTCCGAAATAGGCCTTCAGGAGGCCTCTACAGCCTTTCGGGAGGCTTGTTTGCTCTGCGAGGGGGGTGCCGACCCCTCCACAGACTTTTGGGCGCTTGTTATTCCAGCAGCCACAGTGAGATCCTCGGGTATCACTTTCTCGTCGGCATCTCGGCGGAACTGCCCTTTCGAGCGGTCTAGAGAACTACGGAGCGTCCGTAGTTCCGTATTTCCTTACGGAACGTCATCCACTAGGCCTGTAAATGCAATTCCAGAGCATTAAGCGAGGCTAAGCGACGAGAGGATCTCTGGCGTCAACGGAATGCCTCCACCGCGCGGAGACCCTAGCCAGACCTCATGGAGGTCCATTGAGGCCCAGTCGTCGATTTGTCAGCGCCAACAATGGTCCACATCACTACCTCCCGTCCGTAATAGACCTTCAGGAGCTTTTCGGGAGGCTTGTTTGCTCTGCGAGCGGGGTGCCGACCCCTCCACAGACTTTTGGGCGATTCCAGCAGCTACAGCGAGATCCTCGGGTATCACTTTCTCGTCGGCATCTCGGCGGAACCGCCCTTTCGAGCGGTCTAGAGAACTACGGAGCGTCCGTAGTTCCGTATTTCCTGACGGCACGTCATCCAGTTTACAGCTGGTAACAAATCGATAGAGACCTCGGCTTCCCGCACATACGCGGTGGAGCTCGAAAAAAGCGACGCTTGCGCGAGGCGGTCAGGGTCACTCCCACTCCGATCTGCTCCGCTGCGCCTGGGCGCTGTGTGTGCGCGCAGCCGCTGTTTTTCGAGCCCCGCCGCAACCGACCGCGTGTGAAGCCGATCAATCTGTTACCAGCTGTAATTGGGCGTTCGCGTCGCGCCCACGTGTCCCCTTGTGAGGCCACAGCGGGTGAACTCGACATCCAACCCAGCGGGGCAAGATGGTCCCTTGCAGTCGGAGCTGAGGTCTGAAAGGCCTTAAGCTTGAGGTCGCGAACAGCCACTGCCAGGTGCGTATACTCCAGAGGGGAGGTCAAGGTCGAAGTTGTGCAGCACGGCAACTCTGAACTAAGTTCTAGCCCTGGCCTTATGGTCAAGGCATGCGGCACACGGAGCATAAAAGCAGGACGCACGGCGATGAATACCACGACGACAAAATGATGAATGGGCTTGCGAGGGATGGGGGAAGTGAGCGGAGAAAGGCGCCCAAGAACGGCGAGCTGGCGTCGTGCTGCGTTGTGAGGCGAGAAAGTTGGAAGTCGGCAAAGAGGAAGCGAGCGGGAGTCGAACCTCGTGTCGCGGAAATCACGGAGATCGCGCGGTACCTCAAAGTCTAGAACCAGCTGGGCGCGGCGGCATCGTTCCTCGACGACATGATGATCCCGAAGAAGACGCAGGGCAACACCGAAGACATCGGCACGGGATGAAAGGGCGTATGTTTGAGTTCGTTTAGCGCTCGCGGTCCCACGGCGAAGTTTCGACTTGCCAGTGGACCAGCGCGGGTTCTTGAAGCGTAAGTTTCAAAGATTAGGGCAGAAAGTACGTTTGTGCGCAATATGTCGTGCACGTCACACATCACACATCGCGTGGACGTCCAAGAGTCAAACTTCAAGCTCAAGCGCTTAAGCTTCAAGTTGCCGAAATGTCTGACCCAAATCTGAAGGGCACCATGATATGTCGTTTTGTCCGGCTCACCAGACCGAGCGGCGAGGAAGATCTGCATTGGAGAGAGTCAGGCCAAGTTGAGAAGGCTTACGCCGCATGCGTGCAGCAAGAGAGAACCGACGGTGGACGCGGTGAACATCGGTGTGCCCGACGACTGCGCGACGGCTACTATTGCCATCCGACCGGCGACAGTCTTCGGATCGATTCTCCCGAAGACTGCAAGCGGCGGCCATGCTCGGCCATGCGGGTATACCATGAGAGCCGACGGAAAGGGAGGCTCGGATCATGGATTGCGCCGTGTTGCCGTTGGGCAAACGTTCGCGCGTACTGGGTACCATGGGGAGCGCTGGGGCCCCGGATTAGGTGCGGGGTGCGGGACCTATCATGATATGAGCCTCTGTCGGCTTGGAGGGCCGTCTGGAGAACGCACGAAAGAGCGGTGCACGTCGATGAGAGGTGCCTTTGGAGAGATGGCCGAAGGCCCGAACGATTGCGCGGCGGGGAACAAGAATTGAGAGAGCAGCGCTACCTCACTTGGCTACATTGCCTGCGGAGCCCGGTTCGGCGTTTGTCGTACCGACAAGCTGCGCTACAACAGCACTCGGCCGCCTTAGCGTAAGTACTACAACTACGCCGGATGCCCACCACACTCTACCACTGTGCAACAGGCTTAGGTCACTATTTCGCGGAGTCTCGACATCACACCAGGACAGTATCTGCTGTACGATGTCACGCACCTTCGTGCTCACATACTGTGACATACATAAGCATCATGCGAAGAAGAATGATCGGAGACAGTTCTTGTGCTACTCACTACTAAGAAGACGATGATCGACAGTTCGCAAGGGTGATCGAAGCCAGTCTGCGGGCACTGCTTAACGGTCGATCAAGCCCGCCGCATGCATGTTGCATGCAAAATAATGCCTTGGGTGGTGAAAAGATTGTGTTCAAAAGCGGGCCCGGCAACGGACCGGTAAGCACTCAAGATCTACCACGCGGGGCATTTTTGCGCACCTATGCGGCGCCCGTGTGGCAGCCTACAATTCTGATTGAGAATACTCAACTACACGTGATGTACCCTCAGAACGAAGGACGGAGTCGTCTGGAAGGGTCTTGGAACTTGTGACTTGCCACTCCATATCTGCTGAGCGGGCGTACAGGTGGTCATGCGAGCCCGGGACTCGCGGCAGAACGGATGGCTGTCGCTGGGCGCGGGAGGGTGCAGTCCATCAGCATGCCCGGGCGCAGATGCCCACTACTAGAAAGAAGCACAGACGGAGCTCAGACTGGCATTACGTCACCGCGTGATCACGGTTCGGCGCCTGTCACATCGACGCCGCCGCATGGCTTCCTCCTTGGACGCTTGTCTGCCTCCTTCGCCTCCCTCCATGCCTTCCCTCCGTATAAAGCCGGGAGGGGGCCCCGACCCGAGCTTTGTCCGCTTCCTCCACCCCCCGGGCCATGGCTGTCGCACTCCGTGCCCGCCTCGCCGGCCTCCTCGCCCTCCTCACCCTCACCGCCAATGCCCAGGACCTGTCCTTCTCCACCATCTCCACCGCGGCCGTCTCCTCCATCGCCTCCACCGCGCTCTCTTCCTCCGCCTCTTCCTCCGCCTCTTCCTCCTCAGCGTCTTCTTCGGTCGCTTCGTCTTCGGCTGCTTCCTCTCTGTCCACGGTCGTCGTCTCCAGCACCACTACTGGCCCCCCACTTGAGACCAGTGAGTGCCTTCAATCGTTGTGGCCATGGCTCTTCTTTGCCTCGCGCCTCCATTCCTGCTTGCCATTCCCGCAGTCTTCCCCATTCGCCGCATATAGCTTGCGTATGCCTTCGTGGATGCCGCACTCTTCCCGTTGCGTGCACATACGCGCATATACTCGCCCCCCACGCCTCCCCACCCGCTGATTTCGTGGGCGGAGAATGTGCGCGTCAGATGCGCCAGCTCGTCCACGCGGAGCCATCGGCGTGGTATGCACGCGTACGGCATCTGCGCTGCGCCTATGGGTGACTTGGCGGGTCCATTCTAATCTTACGGGCCCCAGGCGCGCTCTCGTCTCTATTTCGAGCGAAGAGAGGTCCCATGGACTGAGTTTGACGTTCATCCCGGCCCCAATCGACCTGCACACTGTCGCACTCCGTGTTCCAAAAGAATCATTGAGCGTTCGAATGGCATTCGCGCATGGCTTGTTGTCCTTCTCGCCCCGCTGTTTCTCCAACCAGCTGACATGTCGCTCTGTAGCCCACATAACGATTCCCATATCGTCCTACACCTTCTCATCCTTCCCGACCCCCTCCGCGCCTGCCATCCCCGGAGTCTTCCCTTCCGCGTCGCCCGCGTCGCCTCTCGCCCCCGGTTCCACCCTCATCCCTGACTTCGCCCCCGCATGGGCCAAGGCACACAAGCAGGCCAAGTCCCTCATCGCGGACTGGTCGATCGACGACAAGGTCACTGCCGTCACCGGTGTCTTCTGGGAGCACGGCCGCTGTGTCGGCAACATTGCCGCCGTAGGCGACACCTTCCCCGGCCTCTGTCTCGAGGACTCGCCGCTCGGAGTGCGTTTCACTGACTTTGTATCCGCGTTCCCCGCCGGCATCACCGTGGCCTCGACGTGGAACCGCACGCTCATTCGCGAACGCGGGTTAGCCATGGGTGCGGAGTTCAAGGGCAAGGGTGTGCACGTCGCCCTCGGCCCGATGATGAACATGGGGCGCGTCGCGCAGGGCGGGCGCAACTGGGAGGGTTTTGGCGCTGATCCGTTCCTTACGGGCGAGTCCGCGTACGAGACCATCCTCGGTCTTCAAGGGGCGGGTGTTCAGGCCTGCGCGAAGCACTACATCGACAAGTAGGCAACCTCTCTGTTTCGTTTCGCTTTTTCTGACCTTTTTGGGTTCGCAGCGAGCAGGAACACGCCCGTGACTGGTCCTCTTCCAACGTTGATGACCGCACGCAACACGAGATCTACCTTCACCCTTTCATGCGCTCCGTGATGGCTGGCGTGGCTAGCGTCATGTGCAGCTACAGTAGGTCGCCCGCGCTTCTGAATAAGCCGACCCGAGCTGACCCCAATCGCAGACCAAGTCAATAGCACATGGGCTTGTGAGGACGACCGCTCGCTCAACCAGCTCCTCAAAGGTGAACTCGGCTTCCAGGGCTACGTCATGTCTGACTGGGGAGCGCACCACTCCACTCTCGCTGCTGTTGGTGGTCTGGACGTAAGCTTCTATATCGCGATCGTGTGGCCAGTGCTAATGCTCTGCGCAGATGTCCATGCCCGGCGACATCACCCTCGGCTCTGGCAACACTTATTGGGGACCGAACCTTACTGCCTACGTCGACAACGGAACCATTCCCGAGTCGCGCCTCACCGACATGGCCGAGCGCATCGTTGCGTCTTGGTACCTCCTCGACCAGGAAAAGGACTACCCTGAGGTCAGCTTCAACGCTTTCCACATGACGGACGAGGCCACGAACGCGCACGTGGACGTTCAGGAAGACCATTTCAAGGTCATCCGCCAGATCGGCGCGGCCGGCACGATCATGCTCAAGAACGTCGGGGGCGCCCTTCCGCTCAAGAAGCCGAAGAGCATCGCGATCATCGGCAACGATTCCGGTCCCTCCCTTCGTGGCCCGAACGGCTACAACGACCGTGGCGGCGACGACGGCACGCTCGCGATGGGCTGGGGCTCCGGCACGGCGCAGTTCCCGTACCTGATTACGCCGCTCGAGGCGGTCCAGTCGCGCGCACGCCAGGACCACTCTTCGGTGTCGTGGTTCCTCGGCAACTGGGACCTCCGGGGCGTGCAGGCGACCGCGCTCGAGCAGGAAGTCGCGCTCGTGATGGTCAACGCGGACTCGGGCGAGGGCTACATTACCGTGGACGGCAACCAGGGTGACCGCAAGAACCTGACGATGTGGGGCAACGCCGAGGCGCTGATCAACGCGGTCGCGGCGGTGAACAACAACACGATCGTCATCGCGCACTTGGTCGGGCCCTCGATCGTGGAGTCGTGGATCGACAACCCGAACGTGACCGCGGTGCTGTGGGCGCACCTTCCGGGTCAGGAGAGCGGGAACGCGCTCGCCGACGTGCTCTACGGAGACGTGAACCCGAGCGGACGGCTGCCGTACACGATCGCGAAGTCGCTCGACGACTACGGCACGAAGCTCGTGCTCGGGGGCTCGCAGGCGACGGACATCCTCCGCGTCGACTACACCGAGGGCATGCTGATCGACTACCGGCACTTTGACACCGTATGTCCTCAACCCGTTTCGTCTCGGCTCGTCTCATCTCGCTAACTTGCGCGTGGTTCGCAGAACAACATCGCCCCGCGCTTCGAGTTCGGCTTCGGCCTCTCGTACACCACCTTCGCCTACTCGTCGCTCTCCATCAAGGCAGTCGCGCAGTCGGACTCGACCTCGGCCGCGCTCGAACGCGCGTGGGCGAACGGCACGCCGAGCCCGAACGTCGAGGGCGGCTCCGTCGCGCTCTGGCTGCACCGGCCCGCGTTCGCGGTCTCGTTCACGGTGAAGAACATGGGCAAAGTTGCCGGCGGGGAGATCCCGCAGCTGTACTTGCACTTCCCGGCCGGTGCGGGCGAGCCCCCGAGCGTGCTCCGCGGGTTCGACGACGTCTTACTCCGGCCCGGGCAGAGCGAGCGGGTGACGCTGACGCTGAGCCGGTACGACCTGTCAGTGTGGGACGTGGAGAGCCAGGGGTGGCGGAAGCCGGACGGCGCGTTCACGTTCTCGGTGGGCGCGAGCAGCAGGGACTTTAGGCTGAAGGGGAGCGTGCCGTTGTGAGCGGTGCGCGACAGACAGGACGCGGGCGGAGAAGGAGGGAGCGGTTATACCGGACGTTGACTCTACTAATGACGACGAAGTGTAAGTACACGGACTTGTTTGCCGGATTGGATACCTGGACCGGCACGATTATTACCCCTCACACCCGGACGTAGCGCGAATGCATTGTCTTATGGAATATTTGCACTGCTACGTTTGATTTCGACGACTTGCGTGTCTCTGCTCGTTAGAGCGTATTAGCAGCAGGGCGCCTAACGGCGTCAAACGCGCGTAGCGCCTCGCGGTGGAGAGACGTGGAGTCCAGTTGTTTCGGGCGCTCTGTGCTGCGCGCTCTCGTAGTGGAAGAATCGACGCAGTGAGGTCGTGAGTAACAGGAAAGGAGCGATCAACCTGACGCGATAAATGGACACCGCGCTGGTACCGCCTCCGATCGGATCCGATCGCGCAACGAGAGGAAGGTAGTATGATGGAAAGCATGGTGCATAGTATACTGTACAGTGCCGAGGGAACATACCACGACAGCGTCCGCACGGAACACCCTCCGCCCCCCGCGTGCAAAATAAGCTGCTCAGACTAGTCGTCGTCCACGACCTTCTCGGTGAGCGGTTGGTGGCTCGAGCGCCGACCCGAGACGAGCGCGCCGGGTTCTGCGACGTAGCCAGTGTGAGTGGGTGCGTGGTAAGAGCAGGGCACAGCGGTTCGCGCAGGAGTGCGGGAGTGCGGGGGGAGGGGGAGGGTGGCGTTGGCGCAGAAGGAGGTGGGACGGATGCGCGGAGATGGGAGAAAGACACACACCGAAGGCCGTGAGCCCGCTCCGCCGCATGTTCTGCCGCCGCCGTCGCCACATCCAGAACGCGCCCCCCACGACGAGCAACCCGACGACTGCACCCACCACGATGCCTGCTATTGCTCCCGGTGATGGTGACTTCGTTGAGCCAGTGGCGCCTTTGTCGGCGGTAGGCGACTCGGGAGTTGATGTTGAGAACGGTGACGAGGTCGCTGTACATTAGATTAGCTTCCAACGAGTTGGGGCAGGGAGAGGACGCACTGCTAGCGCTCGATGATAGGGGTGAGGGCGCGTTTGAGGTGCTTGGGATATTGGGGGGATATCCGTCGGGTTGGACAGCAGCAACCCGTCGATAGCGAGGACCCCCGTCCCGTTCAGAGCCACGGTGACATGATGCGTGCCGCCTTCTTGGTAAGTGAAATTGCAGACGCTGCTTGCTTGCGAGACCGTTTGAGTGGAAGGGCTGGGAACGTCCGTCGTGTCCACCCTCCCGCCAGATTTGAAGTGACTACCATCGTCATTGTCCATACAGTCAACGACGTCTTGGTTTTGAATTTGAGGAGACCACCATCCGTAGAACACCGCGGCCGTTCCTGAAAATAGTGGTGGGTGGAGGGTGTGCAGAAAAGAGAAGGGTTTACATACCATTGAATGAGTACGTCAGCTGAGACCTGGTTGTGTTCGTCCAGCTGACAGTCTGGTTCAAAGCAGCCGATATGCCGGCGAGACTTGTCCATCCATCGCTGTATATGATGTTGTGGTCTTGATCGTCCTCGTTCTGGGATCCAGGCTCAGGCGGACTTGGCCATTGCCAGTGCAACATGTGGAGGTCTGAGGCAGGCTGTCTGTAAGCGAACGGTCGATCGTGTCGCATATGAAGGTACTCACAGGAGCGGAAGGCTGAAGCTACAGTGAGAAAAGGAGGGGAAAGCCCCGATCTCCCGGAGGAGTTAAAGAGAATATATGAGATTTTCAGCAGGGCAAGCGGACCGGTGGACTGCTGGGGGAATTGAGAGGGCAGGCAGCTCCTTGTGTTTAGGGAACAGGGAAGGTGACGACCCCTCGCAGGAGGAGGGAGCGTGCTGTCATCATCCGCTGGCTTGTACAGCATAAGACTGTTGGACGGGGGGCAGATGTCGCACGGAGGGGGGCCGGATCCAGGTTTCTCGACCGCAGGCGACGGGGCGATACATGCAGCACACACAGTTCTCGTCCTGGCATCTTCTCTCGCATCGCCTTGCTGCGTGGCGTGAACGCTTCTTGGAGGGTGTGTGGGAGGTTCTGGCCGCCGCCAAAGTCGCTGGGCGAGAAATTTTGGGCCGAAAGGGGACCAAAGACATAAGATGTCTCAGAAGGCGTACACAAGGATGTACACAAAGTAGAGGCCGTGGGTGGAAGACGATAGCAAGATGTGATTTAATTTGTCATCATGATATTGTGGTGGATGATTCTGAGCGAGCTCGGGCCGGCGTCCCAATGTGGCTGGCACGTGATCGAGCCCTCATCAACGGCTTGATTTTGGCTACTTGGCTTGTTCCTCTCGACCTTCATCTTCTCGCTACAGTAGCCAAGCATCCACGCTCTGCGACGTGCCACACCTTGAGGTACACAATGCAACCTGTGCGGTCCCACCCGGACTTCATTGCAAGACTGTGCTGAAACTTCAGGCGTGGTACCAACGTTAACTCAACGTTAACTCACCTCATACCCATACGCATCCTTGGCGCGTGCATTTGCTTGAAGCTGAGTTCCCTATCTCTTTTCAAGGTGAGCACACGTCATTTCACGTGCACCTCTGCGATTCGTCCCCACCATCCGCTCGTACATCATTGCACTCTAACCCTAACCTTTTCAGCGTTCCGATTGTCGGATGAGCTGCCACGGTGAACGCAGTTCGCGCGCCTTCAATCGCGCTAGGCCAGAAGTGTCTAATGCAGCGTATGTCGTGCCCGTCATCTTCGACTTGAATATGTCGGTACGACGCCCGCTCGGCAAACGCTCCTACGATGTTCTGTAAAAACGATATCTGATGCTCCCCGGAACCCTTGACCTCCGCTTACCTCATGGTGCCTCCCGCTATAAATACCGACCGCTCTCGACCCACCGACCAACCGACCGGCGGATCTTTTGAGAGAGCTTGCTGCGAACACAGAAGCTGTAGTCAGTGCGCGATGGTCGCGGTGAGTATGTCGTCCGGCATGCCACTTGCTTGACAGGGTTTCTCACTTCTCAATATAGATGGGGCTCGAGACCCGGGGCCATCTACTGGCATCCGGTTCGCGGGACATTGCACGGACTCGAAGCAGTGAGCGGTCATTGGCGACAGCTCCGGAAGCTCCTGCTCATGTGTGTGCAGACCCACGAAACGCCATCTCACGTCGACCGCACATGCCTTGCGTATCACCGCCCGGGCTAGCCGACATCACGAAGCCCACGATAACATTAACATCCCGCTCACGGGTCGAAAGCTACTTGACCGCCCCGACGACATAGGCCATACTACGATGATAGTCGTCCCACATAGTCGAGGGCTTTCCGGCGTCGCGCACTCATTCACAAGACGATGGCGACTGGGACGGCCATCGCGTCGGGGATCCGGAGCGCGCCGTTGGGAAGGCTGCGTGGCTTCTCACGCGGCTGATCGGAAGGGAGAAGCGTTTTGGACTCGTGGGACGCCTTCTCGAGCGTGTATCCGTTGCGCGGATGCCGAAATGGTGCGCTGGATACGCGTGTAGTGTGGTCAAGGTGATATTGTGACATGACTTATTCACCGAAGGTGCCCACAGGTCATGGCTGAAGGGAAAAACACGAGGTGAGTTTTCGTGTACTGAGGCGATGTTTTGCCAGCTCATTGTCTCATGCAAGGATCCTCGCATCAATATCATCAGCGATCTTGCAATCGCGGCACCGGTGATTCGGTGGTTCTGAGATGCTCCACGCTGCTTCGTGCACCATGGTAAAAAGGACTTGGCGTCCCACCGGTTCATTTTACTTATTTACTCGCCATAGTGCCGGAGCGATCGACAGCAGCCTGCATGATTAGATGTCGACGCTTGCGATCACTCATTCGCACAGTGCGTCTCGATGACTTTCCATTGTCATGTCGAATCAATCATCGCTGAATTTCTGTTCTTAGCACGAACTACCGCCCTTGACTCAATCATAACCCAGTTCTTTGCGACCGCTGTGCCCGCGGCGGTCGAGAACGGGCTCGACACTCCAGCTCGGGGGTATGCCGTAATCCCGAGGGAGAAGGTGCGTCGTGGGTAGCGACCGACGCCCGGCCTTTCCCAGCCCTCATTGGCTCGGATCCAGAATGACGATGACCGCGTCCGAACCTCCGCCGCACTCCATCCGCATCACAGAGACCAATTGGGTCCCGCACATCAGTGGGCCATACGAACGCCCGAAGCCTGAAGATCAGCTTCGAGATGGACTCGGCCGCTCTCCTCCGGGGCCGGCGAGGACAGCCTATGCTTCTGGTGTCATTGCACTGGCATAAAGCGCACGAGCCGGCGATGGTGCTGCCGTTGCGACCCTCCTCCCTCCACCCCGCGTGTGCCTGCGACGCCACCGACGACCCAACATGAGCGCCGCCAACGATATCTCCCTGCCGAAGGCCGAGGTGCGTGGTGGCGTCGCGTCCCCCGTCGAAGTTCTCGCTAACTATTGCATCCGCATGCCCACAGATCGTGGCGCTCTTCCTCGAGTCCCTCCTCTTCGGAGCCTTCGCCGTCCTCTTCTGCATCTCGGTGTGGATCCTCTGGTTCCGGGACCGTGTGCGCAGCAGCCTGCGCAAGTGGATGCTCGCCACCGCGTCGGCGATGATGGTCCTCGCTATTGCGGTGCGTCTTCGCTCTTCTTGAATTTCCCTCCCTTCGTCGTGGGACGCGGAGCTGACGGCAATCGCCCGCAGCACTTGTGCTTCGACCTACAGCGCGCGATCGAGGGGTTCGTCTCCAAAGGCGGCACACCGACGGGCACGTTGGATTTCTACAGCTGGCTGAGCAACCCCACGCACGTTGGCAAGTCCGTCATCTACATCACCCAGACGTTGGTTGGAGACTCTTTTGTGGTGCGTCTGTTTCATGGGTGGTCTGTGGATGTCTGAGGCTTACACCCCGCTTTGAAGACATACCGTTTGTTCGTCGTTTGGAATCGGAACCCCTTCATCCTCATTATGCCTCTCCTGCTCCTTTTTGGGACCGCCGGTGGGTCCAATTTCGGTCGACGATGTGTAGTGTGAAGCTGACCAGGCTGTTCCCTCACACAGTCGCCGGTTACGGCATCTGCGTTGAGCTGACGATGGTCAAAGGCGTCGGCGCGATCTTCGAGGGCAACCTCGTCCCCTGGATCACCTCCTTCTTCTCGCTCTCGCTAACGACGAACGTCCTCGCAACCCGTGAGTGGTGGTGCTTCGCGCGCTAATAGAGTCTATCACTCACAATCACCGGCAGTGCTGATCACCGGGCGGATCGTCTGGTCGAACTACTCGCTGAAGAAGTACAAGGTGGCGGCGGCGATGACGCACTGGGGCGTGGTCGAGACGATCGTGCAGTCCGCGGCGATCTACTCGGCCGCGCTCATCGCGCTCCTCGCGACGTACGTCTCCGGCTCGAACTCGCAGTACATTTGCCTCGACTCGCTGCAGCCCATCATCGTGCGTCCCTCCCCCATCTTCCTGTGTGCGAAGCCTGACCTCTCGCCACCAGGGCATCACCTTCACGCTCATCATCATCCGCGTTGGGCTCAGCGAGAGCACGGACCGCGAGTCCTCGCGCTCCTTCCCCAGGCCCAAGCCCCGTCTCGGTGGCACGACTGGTCCCGGCGGCGCGGGCTCGCGCCTGAGCGTCGTCCCTGGCCAAAGGGATCCCGCGATCGCGGTCTCGGGCGCTCAGGCGTACGCGATGCGCCCGCTCGCGATCAACGTCTCCGTCTCGCGCACGCACGACCGGCAGAGCTTCGACGAGTACGACCGGAAGCACTCGGCCACGCCCCCCGGGGGCGGGGACTCGGACGCGGACCTCGAGCACGGGAGCATCTTGCCGCTGTGATCGCGTTTGTAGGAACCGTTCAGGCCTTCGGGACTCCTGGCAGGAAGGGGTGGTTTTTTTCCTGTTCCGCCAAGGCCCGCCTTCCGCTCTTTTGGACTGTGGCTCGTATGTATACCTTTTTATTGCCCAACGGTGGTGTTGGTGGCGGTAAGCCGCGTCGCTGTTGTCTGTTGGTGATCCCCTGTTTACTATGTGTACTACGCGACGTCTATACGCATGTACCTCTAGAATGTCCCTGCATGATCACGACCCTCCGCCTTTGGGTGCTGCGCCTTTCCGTGCGCGTGTGATTACATCTCCGGCGGCGTTTACTACGACTTCTTGACTCCCACGTACGGGCTGCGTGTTGTCTATTTCCGTCGCCAGAGCCGTCCTCCGCCGATGTCAGTCATGGTTCGAAATAACCTATTGCGTTCCTGACCAGCGAGCTTCTCCAGATGGGCTGGACCTCTGAGGCGTTGTCGACTTGCCTATGTCGTAAGATCGAGGTCACCACTTTTACGGTATACTAGCTCAGCAAAAATTTGACCTAGGCATTGTTTAAGAGCGGGTGCTTTTTGGTCGTTGAGCAAAGTTGGAACAAATATTGACTGGTCCACTGCATGAGGCCTGGAGGAGAGAGCTACTAGCTTGGTCGGGCCGGTTTCGAATTCGTTCCGATTTTGACGTGACGTGACGTGACAGCCGCATTTCGTCACTACGGTATGTAACGGAACGCAGCAATTCGCCGTCCGCGACCACAACGACGTCCGTCTTCGGGCTCCCTTTCCACTCCTGCATGCCGTTTTGTGCTATGCGTACTCCTATATTCCCTTTAAATTGCGACACCATGACCACCAACCACCCGACCGCCATTCTTGAATGCGCACTTATATTGGGCCTCTCGCACCTCCCTTCCTCCGTACTTTCAAGATTTCACATAGAGCCAAGGCCTTGTAGCTCATGTGGACTCGATGGACGATGTCTACAACACTTTTCTTCAATGCTTCCCGTCCGTTGTCGTCAATCGCCGGGATGCGGGGACGTGGGCAGGGCTGACGTAGACGGTATGTTTTCGTCGACTATATGCGCCCGAATTTCCCACTCCGACAACATCCTACGTTGCAACTCTCAGTGCCTCGCTTCGCTCAGTTTGGTCTGCGTTCTTGGTGAGCAGTCCTCGTCACTTCAGGGAAGGCTTTTCAATTAACCCACAACGTCTATGAGGTGCAACAAGCGGACACCAAAAGAAGGCAGAAGGATGGGAGTGTCCAACATACGGCTGAGTGATAGAGCAGTAAACGCGTTTCCTGCGCAGGTTCGTATTTTGCTACGTCAGGCTTTACATGCGACTATATCTCCGCTCTGCAGATGGCGGATCGAGAGCACATGGTCCACGAACCGATGAAGCGCATCTTCGCGTCATCCCGCTGTTGTTCTCATCGTTGCCGGTCATGCGTTCCCAGAGTCACGTTCGCCGCCCTCCTCGATTCCCAAGATCGGAAGTTTGCGATGGTCGTGCCCAGATGCCATCCGTCTTCGGACCGTGCAATCTGCTCATCAGCACTGGTGGATGTCCGCGGCCATGCCTTCCCATCGCCACCTTCCAGGCGTTCTCCCACCCGTGCCAGGGCGATGCCCTGAGAGGACCCTTACTCGACTGCCCGAAAACTGGCCCGACCTAACAATCCCTCACGCGATGACATGTAGGGGCATAGCAACACGTCGCTGTATGCAAAACCTGTACGTACCGCCCCACCGTCGTGCTGCATGCATACTCAGGCGGTCTTCTCGCAGTGACGGCATCCCGCTCCTGCCGGTATCCAAGAAATGAACGGCCACCCACGTCGTCCACCCACGCGCGTCTTCGGGCCACTGCTCCGAGAATGCCGCCATCTCAAGCGCTATCACTGCTCCCAGCACTCCAAGGCTTGTGATTGACGGATGCTCGACGCGGTGAATCGACTTCCTCGACATTATACTTGGAAGAAGGGGACGGCGCTTCGCTACGTGAACTTAAGAGCGAGCACCCGCGCTGAGGACTCCGCGATCCTGATCCCGCCACCAGGCTACAGGCCGCACCTCGCCCCTTCGCGTCTCCTCCGAACGGCGCCATGTTCTCCAGCGCCGTCCCGCGAGACGTTGGTCCGTCCGTGACTGAATCGCAGGTGAGTGGGCTATCTGCTCTGTGCTTTGAAAGTCGGGACCAACATTTCGGCTCTCTCGCTTTCAGGTCCGGGTCGTGCAGTCCAGCGTATACGCGTACACTTCCGGTCTTTTCGTGGAGTCCCTTGTGTTTGGGATGTTGGTGGTGATCTTCTTCACGGGCACGTGGAAGGTGCTGTCGGAAAAGCAAGGGTTGGGGATGACGAAGCGGGACAAGATTTTTGTTATGGCGAACGCTCTGATGTTCGTTCTCGCGACTGTGGTAAGTCTTTTGGGCTGGAACTGCGTCGGAGATGCTGACGATCGATATTTTCAAGCACTTGTCGCTGGATGCCCATATCATGGTATCCACTGGGTTGCTCAGGGGCGCCGACCTGGCGTTAGTCTCGAATGCTTTGAACAGCTTGAACGACTTCAACTCGTTCGGCGCGTACAAGACAGCCCTTCTTGTGGCCCAGATGATGATCGGGGATGGATTCATGGTGCGTGTGGAGTCTTTTCATGTCTGTCTGCGTGTCTTGTCTCGAATCTAACCCTAACCTCAGGTTTACCGAGCATACATCATTTGGAATAGGTCTTGGGCCGTCGTGATGCTACCTCTTGTGTGTCTCATTGCTGAAGTCCGTGAGTAACCGCCTCGCTCAGCTTTTATATCCACCAATGTCCTTTCTAGTTCTTGGCTTCACAACTTCCTCCCTCGGCCGATACCATGTCGCGCCGAACAAGATCAACGCTTGTCTGGCAGCCTTCTTCGTCTTGACTGCGGTAACCAATGTGCTGTCGACCGGTAACTTATTGTTCTCTTGCTCCGGAGTCTGCGTTTTTGACCGTTGCTCCTATATCAGCCCTCGTCTTGAAACCAGTTCTATTTCCGCGCCAGCGTTTGCACGAATACCACCCCGATGGCTGGGGTCTAGGAGCAGTCAAGTGGCGGGTGATGCGCTCCGTCCTGCACTCTGCTGCCATCTTCACCGTCTCTTCCGTGCTCTTCGTCACCACGTTCTTCACCAGCCCACACGGCTTCGCTGTCTGCCACACCATCTTTCTCCCCACTGTCGTAAGTACTCGCTCGTTTTGTCCTTGGATCCATGGTAGCTCACGTGTGTACCCGCATATACTAGGCTATCGTCTTTTCCCTCACAATCACAAGGATGTGTCTGAACAACAGCAGCAGCAACAGCAACAATAACAACAACAATTCCACCTCGCGCCTCTCCCTGGCCACTGCCGACGGCCAGCATTTCTCCCAGTCGTACCCAACCCTGCCCATCTACACAGTCCAGATACCCCTCCGGAGCGAGCGCGAGGATGCGCGCCCACGCGAGCGAACGAATAGCCGCGCGATAACCCCGACTCCACTGAGCCCGATCACGATCCACGTGTCGGTGACGACGACGAGCTTGTCGGACCGGGAGAGCAGGCAATCAACCGCGTTCGACTTTGACGGGGACAAGGCGTCGCTCGCGACCGCGAAGGAGAGCCTGGGACACGGCGACGGCGCGGGTCTGCGCGACGAGGTGAGTCGTGTCCTCTGTTCTACTCGATGGGTGGTCGCTGATTGCGTTCGGATTCGCAGCCTTTGAAGTCGCCGATTGAGAAATGATCGAGGAGCGCGATGGAAGACTAAAGCGTGCGCGATCGAAGGCTGACTGTGCGAGCGGTGCGCGCGTTCTTTGTACTACTTTTCTTGGGCGGCTCGTCGTGACTGTTTGTATTATCGTTATTGGTGTATCAGTGTAGCTTCCTCTATTGACGATGATTAGATTCGCCGTGGCGCGCGCGTCTGTCGGCGGGGTCGCTGTCTTTGCCATCGTAGGGCCGATTATCACCAACAAGCTTGGAGCATAGCGCGCGCCCCACATGGTGGGTCCCCAGTTTGCCGGTCTGCGCGCTTGTGCTGACATCGTCATTTTCGTGCAGTTCGGCCTTTATGCTATGACGAACCCGTCGAACGCTTTTCCGCACCGTGAAAACCTTCAAAGTTGGGGTGCTGTGAGTTCGTAAATATTCATGTCCAGCTCACGATGACATACAACTCAAGTGGAGTAGACATAAGCAACCATCTGCAACCTGTTGGACGCATCTGTCCATAATGTCGTCCGATTACTCAACAGTCGCTTCAAGAGTGCCACTGTGAGTTCATGTGCGGCATTAGATCCTTCATTTGGTATAGAGTGTGTCCAGCTTTCCGCACTTGACGTTGGCGTTGTGATACAGTGGCTTAAGAAGCCAAGTGTTTCGGCTCACGATGCATCGCTTCAGTGCATCAAAAAGCGCTAGGATCAAGCGTCTCCCCCAAACTCTGCGTACAAGAGAACGGTGCCTGGCTGACTCCTCACGCGCACCCTCGACAATGTCCGCTCCGCCCACCCCCGTATTGTCTCCTGCCGCGGTATGTCCTTCTACCTCCCTGGTCTGGTCTACCTGAGAGCTCATCCTCGCGGCGTTTCGTAGGCAGCCGCGCTGCACACTTCCGTCACCGCCTCCCTCACGGGACTCATGTTGCAGACTCTCCTGTTCGGCGCACTGCTCATTGTGCACATTTCTGGCTTGTGGGAGATCTGGCTGAAGCTGCGGAGCTTCCGCGCGCTTACTAGCCGAGACCAAGTCTTCCTCTCGGCGAGCACGAGCTTGTTCGTCTTTTCCGTCATAGTGAGTGCATTTTGCATCGCGTGTTTACACCGAGCTTTCCTGATGACTTCGCAGCACCTCGGTCTCGATGTGCACATTGCCGTCGCTAGTGGGATCACAAGGGGAGCCAGCATGCAGGCACTTATTCGCGGCATTGGCTCGCTCAATGGTCCTACTGCGTTTGGTTCTTGTAAGATAGCGTTATATGTCTTGCAGCTTATGATAGCGGACGCATTCATGGTGAGCATCACTCATCGAGTCCACCACCAGAGGCTCCTTGCCTGACGGAACTGTCAGATTTACAGAGGGTACATCGTTTGGAATCGGTCATGGAAGCTCATCGTCGTGCCTATGTTGTTGCTGGGAACAGAAACAGGTGCGTTTTATAAGGGCGCAGATTCTCACCACGGGCTTTCCTAACCTATGCGCAGCGTTGGGATTCGTGAGCGTAGGTCTAGGGCAAGCCGGAGTGAGCCCAGCCATCCTGAAGAAGGTCATGAAGATCTACTTCTGCACCACAGTCGTCGCAAGCGTATTCTCCACAGGTACGTTGCTTCCGCCTTCTTCGTGCGGGAAATCTGCGGGCTCATGCGGACTCCCGCAGCGCTTGTCCTGACGCCAGTCTTCATCTCACGCCGTCGAGTGCGTGGGTACGCCCCAGACGCCTCCGGCCTCCGCGCCGTCAAGTGGCGCGTTATGTCCTCCGTCCTGCAGTCGGCCACCATCTTCACCATCTCCGCGCTCGCGTTCACCGTCACGTACTTCGTGTCTCCCGTCGGCTACGCGATTTGCCACTCCATCTTTCACTCGGCGTCCGTGAGTGCCATCTTTCCCGGCCGAGTTCCCGTCGTGCGTTCCCCCGGCGCCTGCGCGTCCGCCGACTGGCCCGGGACGCACGCGCACGGAGGGCAGACATAGACCGCACGCTGACGGGCGCGGTCACAGGCCCTCGTCTTCTCCGCCACCATCACCCGGATCGTGCTCAGCTCGAACGCGCCGGAACCCCCGCCACGCCGGCGTTCGACCTTCGATCCGTCCCCATACGGACCGCACAGCCAGTCGTGTCCCAGCCTCGTCCTGCCCGCCCGGGAGGACGGAGAGGCGGGCGGGCGAGGCCCGATCTCCGTCCACGTGTCCGTGTCGACGATGCATGCGTCTGATAGGGGCAGCGTGGCGAGCGGGATGGAGGGGGAGGTGTCGGAGAAGGAGGGTGGGGGATTGCTGGTGGGGTCTGCGAATGACGATGTGAGTGGGCTGCGGTGGAGTGGTGCTCGTCGAACGCTTGTTGAAGAAGGTTCTGTCTAGGTCATCCTGATTACGCATGGTCGTTGAGAGAGACAGTGCCGCTAGAGAGCAAGAAGCACCGCATTTCGTCTGTTCGCCTGGTGAACTGTTGGATGGTGCGAGGTCGGTGCTGAGTGTATATACATAGTACGTGTAATTGCGATGCTACGATATCTATGTACTAATGCGCTCTTAAGTATCATATATGATTGTCATAAGTACGTCCGTGATCGTCCTGAGATTCCAAGGAAGGCGTCTCGTGGGACACAGCGCACTTCCTCGGGTCCACTGAGAAGAATGAGGACACGACCATCTGCATCCGCGGGTGCCTGCGGGTGCCTCGGAGGTTTCTCACCGCTGACATTCGCATGAGCACGGCACCAACCAGCTGTGGGTTGGCACTCTATCATGGCCAGGACGAGATCTGTTCGTGACACCCCAGTCTTCAATGCTCTCTCTTGGCAGACAGCCGTCTCCTCTGCAGCACATGTTCGTGGCCAGGAAAGGCCGTGTTTGATAGAATCTCTCGGGGAGCTGTCCAGTAAGCACGTTTCCGGTTGCACAGTCTCACGTAGGCTATTCGTGGTTGTGAACGAACACTGACTACTTCCTTACACCATGCCCTCTATTCCACCGATGACGAAGGACAGAACTCGATTGTGATGATAACTTTATTTGGAGTTCTGAGGGCACTCGGTGCCTCGCCGCTCGAGTCGCTTTTCGAGCCTCATGAGCCAAGATCTCATTCTCGTGCATCGCTGCCCGGAGCCGATTGCTTTATATGGTATTTGGTGGGTTCTCTTTCGTGGTCTTCTTGATGTGTTACTGATTTTGTGGCATCATAGAACAAAAATATGCCCTCTGTCTCTGGACGGTACTATAAAGATCATGGGCTGACCGTTGAACGCTGTGTGAGTGGGTGTAGTGCCTTCTGACTGCGCCGACTTTCTCTCACCCGTGTAATCCCCACCTCAAGGAAATGTCTGCACCTTCGAACTCAACCTTAACCCCGTCTGCGGTGAGCACTGCTACTAGCCAAATTTTGCTGCGACTCGAGTCTCGCTGACAGTGTCTCTCCGTTCAGGCAACTGTGCGGGAGCAATCAGTGCTCACTGTGACCGCCGTGGGTTTGTTGTTGGAAACGCTCATCTTCGGGGCACTTCTGGTCGTGCACATTGCTGGGCTGGGAGAGGTTTTGCGGAAGACGAGGTGGTCAAACGCGCTCACGTCCCGCGACAAGGTGTTCCTCATCGCAAGTACAATCTTGTTCGTGTTTGCGGCAGTGGTGCGTTTGCCACGTTCATTCATCAGCGTTATCTTACCACCTTGTTTACAGCACCTCGCTCTCAACACACATATTGCCGTTGTCAGCGGGATCGCAAGGGGCGCAGATATTCAGACCATTGTGCGGGGCATTTCTACCCTCAATGGACCGACGAACTCTATCGGGGCTGTGAAGACTGTACTCTACGTCTCTCAGATGTTCGTGGGAGACACCTTTCTGGTAATGTCCGCACAGCAACTTCGACTCCGGCTTCTATCCTGACACGCGCATGATCAGGTCTACAGGGCCTTCATCGTATGGAATCGCTCGTGGAAAGTGGTCGCGGTGCCCGCGTTTCTCCTCACCGCCGAGCTTGGTGCGTACACGCCCACTCAATGCATCCCTGCCAGAGCGCTCACACACTCCAAGTTCTCGGATACATGGGCGCCGCGCTGGGCAGGTTCCACGTCGAGCCGCATGTGGCAACCTCGTTCCTCAAGACATACTTTTGCACCACGGTGGCAACGAACGTCATCACCACCGGTGCGTCTTCCTCGAGTGCCTCCCATGGGCCATCTCGCACACTGACTGACCGCCCGCTGACTCGACTCCCAGCGCTCATCATGGTACCCATCCTGTTCCCGAGCCGCCATGCCCGAAGCCGCCGAGTCCTGGGCTCCGGGCTCCGGGCTGTCAAGTGGCGCGTCGCGGCCTCAATCCTGCAGTCCGCTGCGGTCTTTACGCTCGCGTCGGCGTCCTTCACCGCGACGTACTTCGCGAACTCGGTCGGGTACAGTATGTGCCACTCGCTGTTCCAGTCCACCTCGGTGGGTTCTCTCCTTCCGGCTCGGGTGTCCAATCGCGGACTCACGAAGGGGACACCCACCTCGTCTCCTCCGATCTCCGCAGGCACTCGTGTTCTCCGTAACCATCACCCGCATGGTCTTGAGCTCCGGCGCGGGCGAACGTCCGCGGCCCTCGGCGTTCGAGCCATCCCCGCTGCACGGGCTCCCGCACAGCCAGTCGTGCCCCAGCCTATCGCTGCCAGGCACAGAGGAGAACGGTGGGATGGGCGCGGGTCCCATCGCCATCCACGTCTCCATCACCACTATGCACAGCGGAGGTCCAGAGAGCGGGGCGTTCCGCTCCGACAAGGACGGCGACAGCACCGTCACCGCTGTCGTTCCCGTTCGGCAGGTGCGTGCTCCCGGTGTTTGGTCGAGAGTGGGCTGATCGCGATTCGTGCAGGGCCTCCTGCTCGATCACGAGAAATGCTGGTAGGCTATGAGCACAGGCCGAGAGTGCTCGAGGACGATGAAACTGCTCGCACTTAGAGTTCACTGCAAACTAGTGTGTATTCTCACGCGCGGAGACAACGTTTGACAGGCTACATCTGGAACTCGTTTCCGGTGTGCGCGAAGAACTTTCCGGTGTCCTCCACCGACAGCCCGTCGATGACCTTCAGCTGGGCGGCGACGGACTGCTCGACCGTCTGCGCGCCCATGTCCGGGAACCCGGCCTGGACGTACTTCTCCCCTTCCTCTCGGACGAACTTCGAAGCCTCCTCTGTCCGCGGCGTCCAGGAAACGTGAGAAAGCGTCGACGGAGATCAGCCGCGAGACGTCGCACGCACCCGAATCGCCGGCCGTCTCGGAGATGTCGACCAGCCCGGGGCTGAGCGACACGACCGTGAAGTGCTCAGGCGCGAGGTCGACGGCCCACTTGGTCGTCGCGACGAGCAGCGCGGCCTTGGACATCCCGTACCCGACCATGTGTCCGATCCCGACGCCGCGGATGAAGTTGGGCGCGGCACCGGCGCTGTTGATCGACACGATTGTCTTCCCGCCTGAAGAGGCGGCCCGAATGAGGGGCAGGAAGGCCTTGACGGCGTGGATGAACCCGAGGGCGTTGATCTTGAACTAGGACTGGTGTCAGCGATCTGGGTCGCTGAGGGTCGAAAGAAGATAGGTCCTACGGAGACGATGAGGTCGTCGTCCATCTCGGCGACGGTTTCGCTGGTGCACGCGTGAGCGTTGGCAGCGGGGCAGGACGGGAGACGGGACGCACTACGCGTCGTATCCCTTGAAGACGGCGTCCGGGTCCACTCGGGCTGCATTGTGGATGAGACAGTCCAGAGACCCCCCTGTGATCTCAGAAAGCGCGTTTGCAGCGCTCTTTGAGAGCGGCGTCAACGAACGATGTACAACACGGATAGTGGCAAAAACTTGCCTCAAGCGACTCGTACTCTCCGACGTCTGCCTCTAAGATGTGAACGTTCGTATTCTCTGAGACAAAACTTTGGAGATACGTTGAGGAAACCGAGTTACGGACGATGGGGAAGACAACGGTGTCAGGCCTTCCCGCCTGCATAATGTTGTGAGTCAATGAGAGACTGAGACCAGCGGGACGATGTTCACCAGCTGTCGAACATATTCAAGCCCGATGCCTCGGGAGGCTCCGACTATGGCGTAAGATGGCATGTTGGAAGGAGGCCTGTGTGACACTTTCCTGGGAGAATAGTGAGGCTGATCGAGCGCTCCTTGGTAGGTGTTTTATATCTGGACATTGAAGACGGTCGCGCTGACTTCAGTTTACCGATCGGTTCGCTTTCGAGGCCTAGAAGAATGAGAGGTATGTGAGAAATTCTCCGATCGGACTGCACCATGCAACACGTGGATCCCGCATCGGAGTAGAGGCTGCAGCAAGTGACGCTGTGGAAGAGGGAGGGGACGGAATTTCAAGTCCTGGTGAGAGTCATCCGCTTCGGGTCTGACAGATTGACTCACGAATACCTGCACCTGGCCGACATGTGTTTGGCTCTTTTATAACCCTGTCATAATGTAAGCAGGCCGATTGTATTTGGATCCCTTGGGAGTGCACATTCACGGTCTGGGAGAGGAACGCAGCCGCGGCAGTGGCGCTGAGCTATGACGTCATCACGTGTTACTTGATCCTCCCACGAACTCTTATGTTGCGTTTACTTATAAAGATTCTGATCTAACAGTACCTCTGTTTCTAAACGCGCGTTGACGTCCCAGACCAGTCTTCGATTATTTGTTGCCACATTCAAGAACAAGTGGATCCGGCTTTTCTCTCCACGTGCTACACGCGCAATGTTCACAGTTCCTCCCCAGTGTGCGCGAAGAACTTGCCATTGTCCTCCTGACGAAGACCATCGATGACTCGCAGCTGTGCAGACACCGACTCCTCCACCGTCTGAGCGCGGAGGTCACCCAGCCCCATGCTAACATAACTCTCTCCGGTCTGCCTGAACCACTCCCGGATGGCCGCACGATCTGTGACGTTACCACAGTCAATCCACAGTGTGAAGTCGATGGGGCACACGCACCGTCTTGTTCCAGCGTTTGGGAACTGTCGACGAGCCCGGGGCTCAGTGAGACGACGACGAAGCGCTCGCTGTCCAGGTGCATCGCCCACTTCGTCGCCGCGATGAGCTCCGCGGACTTGGTCATGCCGTACGCCACGCAGTCTGGCGAGCGCGTGGTTCGGATGAACTTGGGGTCCACGGCCACGCTCCCGAGCGCGACGATCCGCTTGCCGGCGGGAGAGCGGGACGCGCGGAGGAGGGGAAGGAAGGCTTGCACGGCGTGGATGAAGCCGAGCGCGTTGACTTTGAACTGGGCGACGTGCCCATCGGTGAGCACGGGGAGACGCGGCGGCGACGGGAAGACGCCGTACCGCTCTGATGAAGTCATCATCTAGTTCGTCCATCGTGGCGCTGGGGAGCCGTACGTGAGCCGTGGCTGGAAACGGACTCGCATATGGCTCACAAGGAGTCGTAACCCTTGCTGAACGAAGCCAGGTCGGTCTTCGCCGCACTGTGGATGAGACAATCTAGCTCCCCGTGATTGATATCAGAGATTGCTTTGGCCGCGTTCTGACGCATGGGATTAGAGATCAGCTGCTGTTGAACTCGCCGCACGACTCGCCTGTAGAGAGGCGTAGTCTGTAACTTCTCCTTCCAGTATGTGGACATTAGCAAATGCGGAAGCGACAGCCTGAAGATGGGTAGACGTCGCCGCGCTTCGGACGACAGCGAAAACCACATCCCCTGGACGCGCTGCCTAGTAGCGGCCCGAGGGTAGTCAGTGATATGCGAGCTCTCTCAGAGGCCGCCAGACTCACCAGCTGGCGAACATACTCGAGACCGATCCCTCTTGATGCGCCAATGATGGCGTAAGACGGCATGGTGGGATGGAGGCGATGTGATTGGGGCTGTCAGGTTGAGTTGAAGTCTACAAAAGGGAGAACGGCGGTCACGAGTTATGTAAGTCAAACGCCAATACATGTTTGAGGTGCTCCTGCTTTCCAAGCTTTCTCTTTTCTATCCCGATGTCATGGGTCCCTGTGGGGGCGAAACAGAGGATCGGCTTCTGCAGGTACTCGCCCCGCAGCGCGCAACCTGGACCAGGCGTTCGAGAGCATCGTTCAGAACAAGAGCCAGGCGCGCTGCGAGCGGGCTCAGGTACCCGACGAGAAACCTGAATTAGGGTTAGGTGTCGAGTTGCGCTCCTCCCCGCCTGAGACCCGCTTTTCTCCCCTTTCTCCACCTCCCTTCCGCTTCCCCTCAGCTCCGTCTTAAGTCCAACAGGCTGGCTGCTACTCCCCTCCTTTGCCTCTAAGCTTTTTCTGTCACTATCGCTCAAAACCTCGTCGCTCTGTTGTACCCTCCCAACCCCCTTCATAGTGAAGCACTGAGTTGACGTTAATCTGCGCGTTTTGGTTTGTGATCTCCGGTTTCGGCGAGAGCACTGTGGATGGTGGAGTGCGGAGGCAGCGGCCGGTGTGTCGTCCATGTATGGAGATCAGTTTTCCGGAATATACGCGTTTCCTCTTCCAAACTCCACCGCTGCGCGCTGGTCGAGAGCAAGCATCTTCCCCTATTCCTTCTTGCTACAGCGGAGACGTATGTTCGCCATGCCCTGCTAGAACTCAAGTCCTCCCTTTGTCGCTCCAACGTCCGCAAACCGCTGTGGTGACCGTGTCCCAAAGCTATGGTGGCCACCCCGCACATGGGACAGGTGCCGTCGTAGTACCCATCGTCATATGCGCTCCTGCAACCCTCGGCACTCGCAATTTATTAGGTCGTTGGAGATTCTGGGGGCCAGAGATGCACTCAGTCACCCGCAACCTCTCTTTGCACCTTCTTTGCTCGGTGAGCATTCAGCCACATCGGTGACGCTGCACTGAAGATGTGTCCAAGGTCCCCACACCGTGACTGTCTTACGCACCTTCCTTCGTTCTCTCCCGCTGCTGCTCCCTTACATGCCTATATGCGTTCTGCGGAGCCGGGGATCTTGCATGGCGGACGTTCTCGGATGGGCAGAGTCCTCGCCGGGCCTCTCCTCTCCCCGAAAGTACGAGGATCATGTTCATCGCCGGTACCATCCTCGATGAACATGCTACCTAATTGCCCTCCGGCGGTGCCGATCGGCTGTCCCTATTCTCAGTGCAGACACCCTCTTCATGCGCAGAGTCTCAACACCGTCGCTGAGCTCTTTCTCCCCGGATGCACCCACAGACACCCCAGCCGGACGACATCAGCAAGCCCTCGTGCTCTACCCCGACCGCTCTTTCGGCCCTCCATAGCACCAAGAGACACTTGCGGTGTCGGGTTCGTGTAAGTGTGGCGTCTCGATCGTCTGCAACATCGCATCCCTGATGCTCTGCTAGGCGTGGACCCGGGTGGCGAGCGCGTTCGGGATGCCGGTGTTTGGGCGCAAGTTCCATTGAGCCTGTGGTGCTGACGGCTCTGGTCCTTCTGACGGTGAGTGCGTCGCTTACTGGAGATGGCATTGGAGGAAGCGTATCGCTGACGCAGGTCCCCGCCAGTGTCTCACGGGCGGAAAGCAAGTAGGTGGACGACTTCAGGTGGTGGAAAGCTCCGATGCCGCGGAACGCGCCTCTGGCAGCCATGACGTGTCTTACACCGAACGACCGGAGGGAGGGGCATACTTCGTCCGATGTGGCGCTGGGGGAAGCCTTACTTCAGAAGGCGAGTGGGGCGTTCAACACGTGTCAGTCCTTTGCCATGGCTTCCACAACCCCCGCCCACTGTGGTCTCGGCCACCCGAGTCCACCGCTGAAGACGTTCTCGGACTCTGGAGCCCCCGTTGGGAGCTCGAACTACACGACCTTGGTCATGTTGCACGGATTCATGTGGCACGGAGGCAAGTCGAAGGCGTGGCGCTCACTCACATACTGACCTATCTGCTTCCAGGAAACTTCGAGACACTGTTTCCTGTCGCTGCTCAACATAACGCCCGCATCATAACCGTCAATCGGCGCAACTACCCCGGCTCGGCCACAGATACCGAGGAGGATCTTGCGCTCCCCGCACGTGCCGCGCAAACTGCACCAGGGGACGCCGGCATCGCCGCAGATATGTTGGACTTCTGGCGTGCTCGCGCGCACGAAATCTTCGACTTCCTCGTCCGCCTCGTTTGAGAAGAGGCCCTTCCCCTCGCTCAAGGCGCTGGAGACGAGGCTGACGGAGGATTCATCCCCATCGGATGGTCCTTCGGCTCACTGTGGACTGCGGCCCTCCTCGCGTTCCTTGAAGACTTCTCCGCGCCAGATGTACAGCTGAGCAAGTCCCTCCGCCGGGTCATCCTCTACGGTGAGCAACGGCCACGCCCTCCCCATCCCGCGCACGCGCGATCTCACACGAAGCACGCCAGACGGCTCGCTCTTCTGCCTCGGCCAGCCGCTCCCTCCCTCGCCTCCACCGCAGCCGATGATCGACCCGGCCCCAATGCGCCCCGAAGAGCGCCTCGCGAGGTTCGACGACTGGATCACGAGCTACTTCCCCCACGCCCACCCCGCGACCCCGGAGAGCCTTCGCGCCGCGACCGCCGCGCCGCTCGCGCACCCGCCGCGCACGGACCCGGACAGCGCGCGGACGCGGCACACGCCCGTCCCGCACGAAGCCCCGCCGGCGGACCAGCTGCTCTTCCGCGCGACGGCGCCGCACGGGACCGCGGGCGCGATGAAGGAACGGTGGCTCCACCGCGTTCCGGGGCAAGGAGCGGGCGGGGCGGACTGGCGGGGGCTCGAGACGTGGTTCGTGCTGTGCGAGAAGACGTACTGGGAGGCGGTGTGGGGCGCGCATATGATGGGGCGCGAGATCGCGGAGCGGCGCGAGAAGGGGGAGGAGGTGCGCGAGGTGCGGATCCTCACGCTGAAGGGAGCGAACCACTTCGTGAGCACGGCCTGTGGATAATCGTGGCTTGCGCTGACGTGCGGGGTTTGTTTCCTAGGCGCATCGCGACCTTCCGCAGGAGACGATGGATATATTTTTTCGGGGCAGTAGTTGAAGTGTCTGAAACGGCAACGCCTCTATCGGAGAGGAAGGAGGAAACAGCATCTGTCCACCAAGTAGCGCAAATACAAGTATTATTCTTTGCTAATTCGACTTCGCGTTTCGATGCGAACCACAACACTACAACGGATACTCTTCACCCGAGTGGGCGAAGAACTTCCCGTTATCCTCCGGACGAAGGCCGTCAATCACTTTCAGCTGCGCCGCCACCGACTCCTGCACCGTATGAGTGTTGAAGTCGTTGTATCCCATGCGGACAAACTTCTCCCCAGTTTGCGCAAACCACCCTCGCATGGCCTCGCGTGCTGCAAAAAGCTACCTTGAGCGCACAGTCCGGATCCACGACAGATGGAGGGCACGCACACTCCGCCTCCCTTGTATCGGAAGTGTCCGCGAGCCCGCTGCCCGGGGCTCAGCAAGATGACGACGAAGCCCTCGCCCTCCAGGTGCAACGCCCACTTCGTCGCCGCGATGAGCTCCGCGGACTTGGTCATGCCGTACGCCACGGAGTCCTTCGCTTGTGCCGCCCGGATGAACTTGGGATCGACGACGGCGCTGCTCATGGCGACGATCCGCTTGGGATGAGACCGAGCGCGTTCACCTTGAACTGAGAGCGCGACGTGAGGCTGGGTGCATGGAGCGAGGGGGTGAGTAGCGAAGCTGCGCACCGCTCTGATGAAGTCCTCGTCCAGTTCGTCCACGTGGCGCTGTGGACGTTGCGGCTGATCAGAGGTGGCTGACAAGACGGCTTCGAGGTACTCACAAGGAGCCATAGCCTTTGCCGATGGTGTTGATATCTGTGAGTGCGGCGTTGTGGATGAGACAATCGAGCTCTCCGTTATTGATATCGGAGATCTCCTTCGCCGCCCTCTGCTGTATCAATCAGCGTATGAACATTGAAAGTGCGACAATCAACTCGCCTGCAAAGACGCGTAGTTCGTAATCTCTGCTTCCACGATATGGATATTGTTGAACTTGGAAGCGGATTCCCGAAGAAACGTAGAAGACGCTGCGCTTCGAACGACCGCGAAAACCATGTTTCCGGGACGAGATGCCTGCCACAAGCGGAAGATGAGTGACATACCCGAACACATGAAGTGACTTACCAGTTGTCCTGGACATCCGATGGACGGTCTGCACCAAAACGGCACAATTCAGCGACGGTTCATCAAAACGGTGAGCCTGGCCTACCACCGTCCAACTTTACGTTCCATAGTCACTCCCAATATCCTTCCAGAGTTACTATAGGAAGAATATCTCAAGAAAATATGGAGCACACGATCTTGCTACTGCCTGTTGACAAAATTCTTGATGACTATGTATGTCATTGTCGAAATTTCCTGGGATCATTTAAGCGCCTATTGATGCGGGACCAGACCCAACGGCCGTACTTACCACAAGGGCACAGGCAGGAGCAAACGACGGCCTAGCAAGGTCGTAAGCTGGTGTATAGAAGTGTGTCATCAATCTCAGGTGGCGGACGGAGTTGGGAGTTGGGAGGAAGGTGTCGTGATATGGATTGTCTGAGCGATTGATGCCATCGCTCTTGTTCTCATACCACCACCATCGACATCCTCGCATCTCTTTCTCCTCTTCCTGCTCCATCTCCTCTTCTTCGCTCAGGAACTACTGCCACTGCATCCTCGTACACACCACTTTGAGCAACTTATACCCTCTTGCCCTCCCCGTGGCACCGATCGCCGGCCTCATCTCTTGCCAGAGGGCGCCAGTACATCATCACCGGCTCCGTTCAAGTCGAGGAGGGCGTGTAGTGGAGGCTGGACGGAGTGACGAGAGGCGATATGGCGAATTCCCACCGGTATGTCAGACACGTAGCAGCCAGTACTTCTCGCAATACAAGCATCGCTGTCCCCTTTCCCTCGTGCTGCGTAAAAATGGGTTGTTCATCGTCCTTGCCCGAGCACTTCTGAACGTTGATCAACTGCCTTGCGGCTATGTTACTGTGGCATTCGATACTGTTGGTTTCTCAAGCTTCTTCGGATGTCCTTCTCACGAGCATGGGAAGACAAGGACAGATTACATTACGAAAGGTGGGACGACATTGCGCTGCTTGGACGGCTAGCAGTGAGTAAACGTCAACATCGACGGCACCCCGACGGCGTGGTTCTGCCGTCCCGGCGACCTCGGTCTCCCCCCATCACGGGGCACCTCCCACCTCATTCACCCGCGCGGGTGTGTCCACAAGCCAGTGGAAGGCCTTCCATAAGAATTTAGCGACGCTGGGTGTCGCTAAACCTTAGCTTTCCTGGGCGCTCCTGTCAAAAAATGTCGATTTTTGAACTCCGACGGTCAAGAGGGTCACCGTAGATACCCTGCACATCAAGAATCTACGGAGGGGGTATACCCCCTCCGTAGATGCGCTGGCTGCACAATCCCGCCCAAAAAGGCAACCTTTTTGAGCTCCGCTGCCTCGTGCGCGCCTCTTACGTTGCTTTCGCGCCTCTCCCTCCTCCGCTACTTACCTCAACACACGCTGCCTGCCTCTCCCTGGTATGTTGCCTTTCTCTTGATGCCCAACTACTGGTGCTGATGACTGTGACCTCATACAGCATGACCATGTAGATGCTGAACACCGCCTTGAGATCTACCACTCGAGACAAGCCATCCATGCCACATACCATCCTAACTCCCGCGCCTCCCGCGTTGGACTCGAACTCGCGCCCGCCGCGAATCCCGCCGCAGGTGCTCACGCGCTCCCGCCTGAACTTGTCTAGCTGTGGGCTCGACTGAGACGGCAGCGCAGATGCGCACGGATCCCCGAGTCCGACGCGCGGGAAGGCGCCGCTCCACAAGTTCGGCGACGAGGGCGACAGCCTCAAAGACGGCGTGGCCGCGGTCGACGAAGAACTCGGAACAGCATGCCCATGCCAGTACGGCGCGCGCCCGACGCCCGCGGCGTCCCCTCACCGACTCGGTGTACACGGGCTGCGACGACGCGATGTCGACCCTCCCGCTGTCATACCTCTTCTGGCTCCCCGTGTCAGAACTACAGCAGTTCCCGCCCCCGTTCCAGGCGCCGATGATTGAAGACCTCACGCGGCTTTCGCTCTCCCTTCCGGTGATCCCCATGCCCGCCGTACCGCCATCGACGTTCCGGAGGCCGAGCCGAGGGTCGGGCGTGCTCAGCGCACTGCTCGTCGTGGACCCTGATCGGCACTCGATGATGACGATGACGACCACGACCACGAGTGAGGAGTGGGCGTCGCCTCCTCACCCGCATCCGCGCCGCCCACGTCGTCCGCGTCTGTGTCACCAACGACCACATCGTTTGCATCACGTGCGTCACCACGTCTCCCTCTTGCATAGCCCTGTCTGTGTCGCTCGCATCTCCCGCGTCACCCGCATCGCCCGTGTCGGCGGACGCTTGCCGTAGGAGCTCATAGTGTAGTTAGATCACGATATATTTTATTTTCCCCCCACGGGGTTGCTCACGAGTGTTTACATCAAGTAGCGAGAAATTAGATTGCTTTACATTTACTGGCATGGATGTGTGCAAGAGATGGGCGCGGACACGGCGACGGCATGCTCAACACGGGCATGGAGTGCTCATCGTGGGCGAGATGTGCTCGACGCGGGTCGGGCCGGACGGGCGTCTCAGCGATTGGATCTCACAGGCCTGCCAGGAATTTAGCGACGCTGCGACCGGCGACGTGCACAACTGGGCTTATGGATGGGGCGCTTATGAATGGCAGGGCGGACTCTGAACTCGCAATAAAGTTTAGCGACACCGAGCGTCGCTAAATTCTTATGGAAGGCCTTCCAGTGGGCGTCGTCCACGATCCGGGGTGGCGGCATGCGTGTGAGTCGACCGGGCCCGCTTGCTTCCTCATCCCGTGCTGATTGAATGACAGGTATCAGATGCTGCTCAACGAGCTTCAGATGGTGTTGCCCATCTGACGCGACATTGACTGCGTCTTAAGCGGCCTCAAATAGCCAGCGGAGCCTTCGTCGACGCCAGGCTCATCCCCCTACCGTGGACATGACGGTCTCCTCCTTGCTTGCTTCGGCGTTCTTCGCATGGACGGCTTCGAGCCTGGTTCTGGCGCAAACGCCAGTCCAGGTGACTCTCGGCGAGACGGAAGTGACTGGAATGTCTTTGAACTTTGGGGGACTTGGGGTGGATTTCTTCGGAGGTACGTGTTATGCCTTGTGCATTGCGCCCCAGCCCCTGAGCCGCTCTTCTTTGAACAGGGCTTCCCTTTGCTCTGCCTCCACTTGGGGAGCTGCGGTTTGCGCCCCCTGTAGCTGTCGGTGTCATCGACTCTCCGACCTTTGACGCCACAGGGTTTGGCCCGGCTTGCGCCCAGATGAACGTAAGTACGTACAATCTTTCCCTGCGGATTCACGTGCTGAGCAGGATCAACAGACGACCGTCACAGGTCCTTCTTCAGAAGACTGTCTGACGCTAAATGTCTTCCGACCTGCGGGGTTCGACGCTTCCGCGGCGCTCCCAGTGATGGTGTGGATCTACGGAGGAGGGTTCGCAGAGGGTCAAACGTCGATTTACAACGCGACGGAGATCATCGTCCAGAGCGTGATTCGTGTGAGCATTTCCTCCCTTCAACCCAACGCTCTGTTCCCTAATTTTACCCTAGGGCACACCCGTGGTCTATGTTAGCATCAACTACCGGGTGGGCCCGTTCGGATTCCCTCAGGGTGAAGAAGCCGCACGTCGCGGGGCTTTGAACCTTGGGTTGAAAGACCAGCTAGCGGGCTTGAAGTGGGTCCAAAATAACGTCCGTACCTTCGGCGGGGATCCGACCAAGGTCACCATCTTTGGACAAAGCGCGGGTGCGATCTCCATCGCCGACCTCTTCCTCCACTCCCACCTCGAGAAGTTCGTCCGCGGCGCGGTACGTCCCGCCTCTCCTGCCCTGCTACCATATGCTCTCAGGGTTGATCGTTCCCGCGCTTCATGTCGCCCACGTTGACAGATCTTCGAGTCGGGCTCACAAGGCACGCTCCCATTCTTCAACGCGACCCAGCGACAGCCGGCGTGGGACGCGCTCACCGCACTCCTCCCCACGTGCGCCGGCTTCGCACAGAACGACAAGTTCGCCTGCGCGCGCGAAGCGAGCACCGACGCGCTCTTGACGGCGTGGACCCAGTCCGCGGCAGAGTTGCCCGCTGTGTTCCTATGGGCGCCAGTGATCGACGGGCCAGATGGGCTGATTCCGGACCTGCCCTCACGCCTTCTCGCGGCGGGGAAGTTCTCCAAGATCCCGTTCATTGCTGGCACCAACTTGGATGACGGTAGGTTCTTCTGCTGCGTGTGGGGAGAGAGGGCGCTAAGACTTCCCGATTAGGCACCGACTTCACTCCACACACCTTGAACTCAACGACCGACTTGGAAGAGTTCCTCTTCGTTGCAAACTTGCCCTTCACCACGACACCTCCTGAGACGTTCGAGGCAGACGTTGCAGAGCTCCTCGTTCTTTACCCCGACAATCCGGCTCTCGGCTCACCGTTCGGGTCTGGCAACAACACGTTCGGTGCCGGCCTCGAGTACAAGCGTGGTGCGGCGCTCCTGGGTGACGTCGCATTCCAGGAGCCGCGGCGGACATGGATCCAGACGGCCAGCGGGTTCGGAGTGCCGACGTTTGGGTATCTGTTCACGGACCAGAACGCGGCCCTTGCCAATCCGAGCTTGGGAGGTGAGTCTTCCGCTCGGCGGTTGATGGGCTTGACTGACCGTGTTTCCAGTCGCTCACGCGACGGAGATCACCTACGTCTATGGTGAGGAGAAGCTCGTGAATCAGAACCTCAACGTTCGACTCCTGAGTTCGGCCATGCTCGACTACTGGCTCTCGTTTGTGACGAGTCTGACGCCGAACGACGGGAAGGGCACTCCACGTTCGTCGTTCCTGTCTGATGGTCTCACGTGAGCTAAGTCTCTCTTTTAGGCACGACGTGGCCACAATACAAGCTCTCTGCTCAGGTGCACGACCCGGTCTTATCCCATTCGAAGTCATCTGACCCCATTCTTGCAGGACATCGTCCAGTTCGACACGACCGCGTTCGGGAACCTTTCCTTCGCGAACTTCGCGGTCGTTCCCGACACGTACCGCGCGGAGCAAATTTCATTCATCAGGTCCGTCGCTGGAGACCTCTCACAGTAGGCGTTAGAGGAGAATGGATGATTAGAAGCTTGTAGTCCCTTGTCGGCACTTGATATCTCACGTCCGTGTGACTTTGTACACCTGCGCCACGTTATGTGGGATCGAGAGCGGCAATGCTGATCGCGACGATGCTGTGCGAAGAAGAGGAAGGAACGTTTACACGGCGTTGAAGAGCCCAGGCGCATTCACCGCTTCGTGCGCCTGCGCTATGCTCGAGGTACGACCTGCTCTGTATTTGCATCATGGTCGTAGCACACCGCTACCTCAAACTCGTACTTTTCATCCTGTGACTGCGACTCCGGCGCGCAAGCCACCCTTCTCGTGTTCGAGGACCTATCGATCGCAAACCGTTGATCATAGCAAGAAAAGCCTCTGTTTTAGGTCGATAGCGTCGCCGCTCAAAGCTTAGAACCCCATCGGTTTCCGTCGGACCGGTTCAGGCCGCTTCCCTCCGAGCTCTGCAAGGCCAGAGCCCAATTTTTAGCGCGCAAGCCCCTGTTCCGCACCGTCATGTTCTCCGTTCTACCGCTTCACGAGGAGTCTTCTGCATGCATCAGGGGAGCGGCCCAAAATTCCTTCCTACCACCATGTGCGACAGCGACAGCACCACCCACTCGGACCCTTCCACCGATTCCAGTATTACTGCCAGCTGCTTGCCCTCAACGAAGGACGAAGAGTTCTGGTACTCCGACGGAACAGTTGTTCTAATCGAGAGCAGCGGTATCCTTGCTTTCAAAGTCTATCACGGCCTTTTGGCACGCTCCTCTCACGTCTTCCGGGAGATGCTCGCTTTTCCGGCACCTTCTACAGCTCCATCCCTCCATGGAGTCCCTGTCGTCCACCTGTCTGACTCGGCCCAGGATCTGCGACATCTGCTCCAGGTCGTTTTCAACAAGCCCATGGTGTGCGTAAATCCATGTTCAAACCCATCCTCATCTGCTGATACGCTCGTAGACAAGGGCGACAGGTCACCCCTGCTCCCCAATCCGTCTCCTTCGACCATATCTCCGCCGTCATCCGCCTCGCGCACAAGTATCAGATGGACGACATCCTTGAGGAAGCCCTTGCCGTTCTCAGAGGATACTACACCACCCGCTACATTTCCTGGACAGACCGCGCGGATAACATTCTCGCCGCGACCCCCTCGCACGCGATCGACGCCGTGCTCCTCGCCCGCCTCACCGACGCCCACGCGCTCCTCCCCACCGCGCTCATGCACTGCTCCGCGCTCGGCCCGCGCGTCGTCCACGGCCACACCCGTACGGACGGCACCGTCATCCGCCTCGCCGACGCCGACGTCGTCCGTGCGCTCGACGGCCGCGCCGAGCTCCTCCGCCGCGACAGCCGCCGCCTCCGCGCGATCACCCTCTACCTCGTCGGCGAGCACCCGGGCGTCCAGGGGTCGAGGCCGGACTTGTCGCGCGTGTGCTTCTCGCGGGAGCAGTGCAAGGCCGCCATGAAGCACATATGGGAGGTGTTCTTCGGGAAGGAGTCGCGGTACGAGACCTCGGACCTCAGGCCGTGGGCGGAGGCGATCCCAAGTTTGGTGAACGCCGCGGAGTTGTGGGCGCCGAGGCTCTGTCAGATATGCTCGCTGCGGTGGAGGAGTTGGGACGACGAGGTGAGGCTCACGCGTACGTGGAAGGAACTCCCCGAGATCATGGGGGTTGAGGTTGACGGCTGGCAGGAGGATTGCACTTCGCTGAATGATCATGATACGGCCTAGATTGTATACATTAGTGGTTCTTCCCACATACCATTTAGGTACTCAGCGCGAGACATCTATGTAACTTAGCGCCATTTGTCCCTTCAATCGTACGTCCCGTTCGCCTTGACGAGGAGATGCTGTGGTTCGTCGCTGTGACGATATGAGACGCGCATCGTGAGGGAGGGATCCGGGGATACACGGCTGGAGGTGCTATTGCAGTGGCGGGAACGCGCGTAGTGAAGCATCACTTGCGTTGTTAAGAGACGCACGGAGAAGACGGTTTAACATTATGTTCTATGCACTATAGAAGTGGGCCTCTAGCGGTTCAGAGACCCGGCCATTGCGTTCCAGTATGAGTGAGGAACTTCCCGTTATCCGCTACCGTCATCCCGTCGATCACCTTCAGCTGCGCGCGTACAGACTGATCCACAGACTGCATCTCCATGTCCGCAAACCCCGCGTCCGTGAATGTGCTCGCCATCTCAGCCAGCCAGGCTTGGTATTTCACTCCTCCTGAAAACGTTATCAGCCTCGACGTTAAAATAGTCGGTGAATCACGCACCTTCGCCGTCTCCCATGGAGGAAGAGACGTCGACCACGCCCGGGCTGAGCGAGACGACGGAGAAGCCCTCGTCCGCGAGCTTCACCGCCCACTTGGTCGTCGCGATGAGCGCCGCCGACTTGGTCATCCCGTACGCGACGAGGCGATCCGAGCGGATCGCGCGCACGAACTTGGGATCGACAGCGGCCGTGCTGATGACGACGATCTTCTTCGTGGTCGACGCGCGGAGGAGAGGGAGGAACGCTTGGATGGCGTGAATCGGCCCGAGCGCGTTCACTTTGAACTGGAGAGCGTCAGGCGACGGAGTCACGGAGAGAGTGAGGGTAGGAGCGGACACACGGATTCGGTGAAGTCCACATCGAGCTCATCCATAGTCGCGCTGGGGGATAAGTCAGACAGCGGTGTTTTCGTGGAGTGCGCCAAGGTGCGTACAAGGAATCGAAGCTCTTGTGGACCGAGTCTTCCTCCATCCTTGCGGCGTTGTGGATGAGGCAGTCGAGCAAACCACCGGACACCGCGGAAGCTACTTGCGCGGCATCCTTGGAGCGGAGAGTCAGATAGGCAGCTAAATCGCCTGAGTGACGCTTACACTCAGAGACTTGTAGTCCGCGACGTCCGCCTCGAGAACGTGAACGTTCTTGGTTCCTTGTACTGCTGCTTGCAGGAAAGTAGCGGCGCTGGCATTGCGGGCAATAGCGAACACAAGGGAGTCTTCGCGAGACGCCTGGGTTGGCGTGTCGTCACTCACTAGATCGAACGGAGTAGAAGGGAGTACTTACGAGTTGGCGCACGTACTCGAGCCCTATCCCGCGGGATGCTCCGACGATGGCGTATGAAGGCATGCTGGGTAGACATCAAGGGAAAAGCTTGGTTTTTGAACACCTTGAAAGTCAGCCTCATTGCGTACACAACGTCTTCGGGTCCGGAGAAGTCTGTACTTGATCAAGGCGCGCGATGGCATCTCGCGGGTATGACAAACTTGTATTTTAAACATATAAAAAATACACAGATGATGATATCCCCCAGGGAGGTCCGTTACAATGACAAAGTCCTGCGAAGACTGTCAGCAGGAATGCCGGGAAGTGATCTCGATACAACGTACCGAATGAAAAATCCGCTCATGCGTCCCAGTTGGCCACCGTCACCCCCGCATACTCCGGCAGCTTCCTCCACACGCCCCGGCGCAGCTCCCGCTCGCGCGACTGGAGGTACGTCCGGCAGCCCTTGCACAGCGCGCGCTGGCTCTGGGTGTACATCATCATGTACGCGTTCACGTGCTGCGGCGGCGGCGGCGGCGCCGTCGCCGCGTACGCCTCCACGTTCTCCATCCAGCCGTCGAGCGCGCACGCGGACGCGAGCGCGTGCGGGCCCTTGCCCTGCCCCGCGGCGTCGAGCACCTTGCGGATGACGTCGGCGCAGCACGAGTACCCGCCCGCGTTGCTGCAGTGGCCCGAGCTCTGGGTGCGGAAGAGCGCGTACGCGGTGTTCATGTTCGCCGCGCAGAGCTTCTCCTTCATGCTCAGCAGCTGGAACAGGTCGCCCGGAGAGAGCTGCTCCTTCGTGCCGTCCGCGCGGCGCGCGCCGAGCGCGATTTCGGGCCCGAGCGTGCAGAGGATGTAGAAGGCGGTGGGGAGGATGGAGGGCGTGTTGGTGAGCCGAGCGAGGTTGATCGCGGTGATCGCGTGGATCGGGTCCGGGGACCAGTCGGAGGCGTTCTTGCCGTCGGCCCAGGTGTTGAAGTTGGTGGTGTAGTAGGTGGTGAGGTAGCTCATGGCCTGGTCGTAGAGACCCTTGAGCTCGTACTTGTGGTCGAGGCGGACCACTGCAGAGATGAAGTCGATCTCGATGCGCGAGTTGGAGAATCTGCGAAGATAAGGGTGTGAGATCATCAATTTGAACCATCTTAACACGACTGGTGCTCACTTGAGGTTCCCGCTGAGAGGGTAAATCAACCTGAAGAGGCCTCGAAGGTCGCGCGGAGAGTCGTACAAGGTGACGACCGGGCAGCCGTCGACGGTGTCAGCCGCGGTGGGCGTCCCTTGACCGATGTCGAGCATGCTCCGGAAGACAGAGGAGTGTTCGGCGAGCATGCCTCGGTACACACGGAAGGCGAAGCCTTGGGAGACGAGGATGATCGTGCCGTCCTCGAACCAATAGTCTTTATCGCGGGTGGCGGCTTGTACTTGCTCGCAGGCGGTCGGCTCCGAGTTGTTGCCATTGGCGACGGGGTCGTTCGAGGTGGAAGCTGTGCGAGGGCGTTTTCTGGACAAAGACTCGTTCATGTCGAGGACTTGAGACGATGATGCTGAGGGGGTGAGCGACATGGTAAACGGAACGTGGATACGGGCAGGATTGCCCTGCGGCGGCGCTAGTATTTAAGCGGTTGCCTTGGCTGACATAGTGCTGATGTAAGCATCTCACGGTCGAGAGCGTCCAAAACAACGTTGAACGTTGAAACGTTGAAGCCGAAGTCCGGAAACCGCATCGGCGACGATACAGCAGGAAAGGTACGTCGCAGAAATCTCGGTTTTCGTGCACACTTTAATGGGTTACACCTCATACCTGCAGTGTGAACTGCTGATGTGTCACGTCCCCGCTGCGGGCACCAGTGGGACAGTATATTGTGAGAGCTTGAACAGGCTCCACGGCTTCAGCACACCGGCGAAGCGAAACATAGCCATTTTCGTATGCAAGATCTAAACTCGACGCTACATCCAAAAAAAACCGGAGGCGCCCCCGCCGCGGCCTGCGCAGCGCGGCGATCCCGGGCCGCTTACATCGCAGGCGGATGGGACGAGGCCGTTGGCACGAACATTACTAGTACGCACTGTACGAATGCGCTCCAACTTGAGTTTTCCGCACGGCTTCGGATAGGGCGGATGCAAGCTGGCGAGCGCCGAGAGCACCGCGATGTGATGTCGGCCTACGAACCGCGGTCCCACGACAACGGCCCTCCCACCTGGTACTCACATCGTGCATGTACACGTGAACTAGTTCACAGTGAATGCGCTCGGGCTCTTCACCGCCGTGTAAACGTTTCTTCCTCCTCTTCGCACAGGGTCGTCGCGATCAACATTGGCGCTCTTGATCCCACATAACGCGGCGCAGGTGCACAAAGTCACACGGGATACGTGAGATATCAAGTGCCGACAAGGGTCTACTTGCTTCTAATCATCCATTCTCCTCTAACGCCTACTGCGAGAGGTCTCCAGCGACGGACCTGATGAATGCAATTTGCTCCACGCGGTACGTGTCGGGAACGACCGCGAAGTTCGCGAAGGAGAGGTTCCCGAACGCGGTCGTGTCGAACTGGACGATGTTCTGCAGGGATGAGGTCAGATGACTTCGAATGGGATAAGGCCGGGTCGCGCACCTGAGCAGCGGGCTTGTACTGTGGCCACGTCGTGCCTAAAAGAGATAAGTAGCTCACTGTGAGACCATCAGACAGGAACGACGAACGTGGGGTGCCCTTGCCGTCGTTCGGCGTCAGACTCGTCGCAAACGAGAGCCAGTAGTCGAGCATGGCCGAACTCAGGAGCTGAATGTCGACGTTCGAACTTTCGAGCTTATCCTCACCATAGACGTAGGGGACCTCCGCCTTGTGAGCGACTAAGAACACGGTCAGTCGAGCCCATGAGCCAACCGGGGGACGGGTAGAGGTCGAGGAGCTTCGTGACGGCTACCTTGAACGCCTTAGGGGCCGTCGAGGTGAAGGGCAAGGTCATGAGGAAAAGGAAATCTTCCAAGTCGGTGGTCGAATTCAACCTCTGGGGCGTACCTGGTGGCTGATCGGGAAGTCTGAGCGTCCCATCATATTACTGCAGCCGTAGAAGAACACACCTTCGTCCAAGTTGGTGCCAGAAATGAACGGGATCTTGGAGAACTTCCCGGTCACGATAAGGCGTGAGGGCAGGTCCGGAATCAGCCCATCTGGCCCGTCGATCACTGGCGCCCATAGGAACACAGCGGGCAACTCTGCCGCGGACTGGGTCCACGCTGTCAAGAGCGCGTCGGTGTTCGCTTCGCGCGCGAACGCGAACGTGTCGTTCGGTGCAAAGCCGGCGCACGTGGGAAGGAGGGCGGTGAGCGCGTCCCAGGTTGGCTGACGATAGGTCGCATTGAAGAATGGGAGCGTGCCTTGTGAGCCCGACTCGAAGATCTGTCAACGCGGGGGATAACGTCAACCCAGAGATGATTTGGAACAGGAAAGGAAGGACGTACCGCGGCGCGGACTAAATTTTCGAGTTTGGAATGGAGGAAAAGGTCGGCGATGGAGATCGCACCCGCACTTTGCCCGAAGATGGTAGCCGTGGTCGGATCCCCACCGAAAGTACAGACGTTCTTTTGAGCCCGCTCCAAGCCCGCTAGCTGGTCTTTCAACCCAAGGTTTAGAGCTCCGCGACGCGCGGCTTCTTCGCCCTGAAGGAATCCGAAATGGCCCACGCGATAGTTGATGCTGACAGACGACCGGTGTGCCCTAGGGTGGTATTAGGAAATGTAGCGTTGGTTCGAATAGAGGAAATGCCCACACGAATCGCGCTCTGGACGACGATCTCCATACCGTTGTAGGTCGACGTCTGGCCCTTTGAGAACCCTCCTCCATAGATCCACACCATGACCGGCAGTGCTGCGGAAGCGTCGACCCCCGCAGGCCGGAGGACATTCAGTGCAGACAGTCTTCTGAAGCAAGGCCCGTGACGCTCGTCTGTTGCTCCTGCTCAGCATATGCATCCTTAGGGAGAGATTGAGCGTACTTACGTTCATCTGGGCGCACGCCGGGCCGTACTCTGTGGCGTCAAGGGTCGGAGAGTCGATGACATCGACAGCTGCTGGGGGCACAAACCGCAGTTCTCCGACCGGGGGCAGAGCAAAGGGAAGCCCTGTTCAAAGAAGAGCGGCTCAGGGGCCGGGGCGCAATGCACAAAGCGAACACGTACCTCCAAAAAATCCACCCCAACTCCTTCAAACTTCGAAGACATTCCAGTCACTTCCGTCTAGCCGAAGGTGACCTGTACGGACGTATGAGCCAGAGCCGGGCTCGAAGCGGTCCATGCGAAGAACGCTGAAGCAAGCAAGGACGAGACCATCCTATCGACCGCGGAGGGGACGAGCTTGGCGTCGAGGGGGGCTCCATCGGCTATTTGAGGCTCGCCCACGACGGGGTGAGACGGGTAGCATCACCTGTCAAAGCTCGTCGAGCGGCACTTGTACCTGTCATTCAATCAGCAGGGGATGAGGAAGAAAAGTGGGCCTGGTCGACTCACAGGCATGCTACCTTTTGATTGTGAACTGGCCTCGAGCTTGGATACCCCCGCGTGAGGGTCAGGTGAGATGTGCCCCGTGATGGGAGGACTAGACCAACAACGCCGGGACGGCTCGCCGCAGTGGTACCACCCAGGTCAAAGTCCAGCTCTGCCATGACCCGTCCACCGATCCCCCTACGCACTCACGTTGGGCGGAAGCCCAGTGTGTGCCAGGACAGACCCGTCCCGCAGGCGAGCGGGACAAACCACACAATTTGAAGAGGACTTGGAGGATGGGTGGAAGTCGGGTTCGTCGGTTGTCTGGAACCCGAATTCTGAGTGGGGAAGAATGAATGCGAAAGGTGATGATGACAGGAAGACAAAAGAGCGGCTTGACGTTAGAGTCTGCCTCACTGGTTCAGCCAGCGCCGGAACTATTCGACGTCTACTCGTCGGTTCTCATAGGAGCGCAATTTCGTCTTGCTTCAGAAGCCAACATAATCGACTGCCGCAGCTACACAGCCGTGAGGCAGTTGATCAACGCCGCCGAGACGGTCGGAAGTGCTTGGGCAAGGAGGATGAACGGCCAGTTTTACACGGCACAATGGAAAGGGGACAGGATGCGTGTAGCCTATTGGGGGAGTACTGGCTACTACACGTGTCTGACATACCAGTGGCCATTCGCCATGTCGCCCCTCGCCACTCTGTCCAGCCCCCACAACACGCTTTCCTCGACTTGATGAGCCGAGAAATTTGAAGATGTACTGGCGCCCTGTGACGAGAATCGAGGCCGCGATCGGTGCGCACGGGGAAGGAAAGAGGACGAAACTTGCTCAAAGTCGTGTGGACGAAGAAGCAGCGGAAGGTGTTGCCAAACAAAGGGGGGGAGGAGGAGGAAGAGAGGAAGAGCTGCGAGGATGTCGATGGTGATGGTATGAGGACAAGAGCGACCGCATCAATTGCTCGGGAAGTCCGAATCACGATGCGTTCTTCCCAACCCCCAACTCCATCTGCCACCTGGGCTCAGTGGTGCACTTCTATACACCACCTTACGACCTTGTTGTGGAGACTGTGAGTGCTTTTGCAAGCGTCCTTGAGGGCTGAGGGTAGGTGTGGCCGTCGGAGTTTAGGCGCCGAAAAGATCCCAGGAGATTTTCGACGACAAACACAGTCGTGAAGGCAGCAGCAAGATCGCGTGATTTGCATGTATCGGGTATGTGTCTGAGGTCTTCTCGACAGTTGTGACCGTCTTCTTTCGATAGGAGCTCCAGGGGGATGACTGCGGGGACATACGCGGCGCGGTATCGGACCAAGTTCACGGTCTTGACGAATGATGACTGACAATACGCCCTTCTGGTGCAGAGGTCTCGTCACATTCCATGAGGCCGCGAGCCTCCTTCCATCCTGCCAAGGAGAAAATTGGTGAGTTCTTCTAGTCGATTGCAGAGAAGAAACCAGCCTTTCTATGTGTGGACGAATTGGCAACACCGATTCGTCCACTCATAGAACAGAGCCATATGTGCAATGAACGCGGGGCGGGACCTACAAGATTTGAACGCCACAGCGACCCCTCTTGCAGGCTCGCAGACGCTTTTGTTGCGAAACCGCATCTTGGAGCGCATGGTACGCACGAGAAGCGCGACGAGTCTTTGCTCGTGGTCTGCGTAGGATGATATCCAGACCCAGACTTGGACGAGCGTCGCAGCATCGCATCACAGTGTGGAGTCTCTGCACATTCTGAGTGTGTCGGTTTGACAAGGGAAAATATGGCGGGGACGTACCCACGTGTATCCTGTCGGATACTACACTGTCTTCAATGCCTTCACGCCGATGTTGCTCATGTGATGGGGACTGCAAGGAAGTCGCACGTTGGCTGTAGTGCGGGTTTGAGCGCAGTCCTCGCATGGACAATAGACGGTGATGCTCGTTTGTATGAACCAATGTGCTGCATCTGGATGTGTGGTAGCTCCGGGAGGCGTCTGAGCGTGGCAAGGAGTACCCCGCACGAAGAACGGCCCCTTGGGCCTTGCGACGCTGGCGAGCAGGCATTAAAACGTGGATGGTTATGGGATGGGTAGCGGCTATCGTCGCTTCCGGAGAGGCAACGGGATGAGCTGTTGAAGATTGGGTAGGGGGTCGGTGTACAGATGGCCATCTCCTTCCCCCTTCTTCGACGATGCGCCACTCGTATGCCACAATTTGCGCCGTGTGGTCGCGAATCCCTTTCAACTCTCTTGGGTCGCGTCTTTGTGGCCCTTGTGCGAACCATTTTCCATAAGCTTCCGACGAGGTCCACATAACTGTATCAATGTTTGCTTGGGGCAGTGGGGAATCACTTCCATCACAGCGCCCTCTCTTTGGAAACTGATTAGAGAGGATAGAGGTGGCCGTGAATTGAGCCGTGACAATGGGGACAAAGGTGCATTCGGTCGCAGTTCGGTTCGACTCGCGGTCACGTTGCCTGTGCAGACAAACCACGTGCGCCATTTCGCGCACATCTCTCCGCGTCCCGTCTGTCTCTCCCCACCTTCCACCCACCTCTACCACCCCCCCTCTCCCCTCCCCTCCTCCTCGTCTGTTTCCATCAGATTGTATCAATGTACTTCGATTGGGATTCGACCCTGGATGACCCGGGCGCAGAGGAACGCTTTGACGACTACATGAAATCACGACGACGCCAGGACGAGGTCGCTTCTTCAGGTATGTCACTATCTAGCTTCTCTCCACGAGCCATGATCTCAACGACTGCAGAAATTACTGCATTTTCCACATCTACATTCACCCTGGCTTTCGAGGTCGCCCCGACGCCCTTATGGGATGGAGTCCCTCTCCCCATACCGTCACCACCACCGCCTCCCAGGATTCTTTTCATTCCTCCTTCCCCTTCTCCTGAGCCGCCTTCCCCTCCACCCTCTCCTACTCCGATCCCTCTTTCCCCTACTCTGGTGCTTCCTCTCCCGACTCCGCCCCCGCCTTTCCCAACTCCGCCTCCACGTCCTTCCACTCAGACGTCCCGGCTCGTGGCAACTGCAAATGCCGCTCCAGCAAGTATTCCGAGGCCATACCTCAAGCGCATTGCTTCTTTGGAGGTGGTCCACACGCCTGCACCTACCAAGCGTAGCCGCATCAACGTTCCCCTGACCGATCTTGGTTCGAACTTCACATCAACCCGGTCGGAGACCTCCAACCAAGTCCTCTGCGCTGGAATTGAGGTGAGTTTCCCCCGTCGCCTCTCTCCCTCTCCCGCTCTTCAAGTCTCATACATGGCGGTCCGTACAGAACCAGCCTCCGCCCAGCAACCGCGAGAACTCCGAGCCCGCCCCCGACTCGGAGCAGCACACCACCAGCGGTGGTACCCCTAAAACTCATCCTCCCCAGGAGCGCAGACAAGCTCCTTCGCCGTCTCTTCAACCCGCCCCCGCCCTTTCCTCCGCCGCACCGATCACTCATGCTGAAACCAGCCAATTTCTCAACGCCGCCGGCAGGCCCATTCGGCGGTCACTCCGGAACCATGCGCCGCCAGTTGCCGCTCCGCCAGTGGTCGCCCCAGCGCCAGCAGCTGGTCCTTCGAGAGCGAGGAGGGTGGTCCTGCGGGTAAGGACGCCCGCAACGCTCGTTCCGGCTCCAGACGCGTCCGAAGGCGAATCCGAGGTCGAAGATGCGATGGTGAGTAGCGATGTTTTCTCATGTAGAACGGTCTCTCATTTATGTTTACCTAGGATGTTATCGATGAGGGAGAGGAGGACGAAATTGAAGAACCTCACGACACTCAAAGGGCGAGGCGCGCTCGCCTCTCGCAGGAGCACATGGAGAAGAAGCTCATTCGCGGCCAGGGAGCCCTGTGTGGTGTGTTCGGCTGCAAGGTCGTCCTTTCGCCACACGACCTCGGCCGCGCGCGCGCGCACCTCGCGCAGAAGCACTACGGCGCCGAAGCGGGCAAGATGCTTCCGGAGCCGCAAAACGCTCAGAAACACGGGAGAAACAAGCCCTGGCCGTGTTCTCGTTGTAACACGACGTTCAAGGACTTCACGTCTCTCCGGCGGCACCATGAGTACAAGCATCTGGGCTGGTCGTACCGCTGCCCTTCATCAGGTTGCACGAAGACATTCAGTCGGACGACTGGTATTCCGAAGCACATGAGAGGGGCGGACATTGCTCTTGCGGCTCGTATCGCGAAGGAGAAGCAGACAGGGAAGAAGATCCGGAAGTGGAAGGGGAGGACGCTTGCTCCTCACATGTCGCGTACGTGTTCTCGTTGCGGATTTATGACAAGGTACTGATACTGAATGCCTTTATTCTTTTACTAGATGCGCAGTACGAAGCTTGGAAGTGTTCCTGAAGAGCGGTGGGGGTTATCCGCCCCGCACCGATGCGGATAACGTATCTCGTCAGCCGGGTTCTACGCCCACCGAATCTACTTCAGCTTGGCTTCAGCCATCGAATACCAAGATCACTGCGTTTGCAACATCTCGCGCGACTCTGCTAGCATTTCGCTTCATTCTTTTTATTATTCAACATGATGCTCGATTTCTCCTCACAACCGCTATACCTCCTCACGCTTACGATACTGACCTACTCCCTTTCAGACATATACCCATTCTTACGACGCGATACCTCCTCCCACCTGCGACACCTCGACGACCTGCCATCTCCCCCTGTGCGACACCTAGCCATCTCCTCTCCTCGAAACATTGTAAAACCATGGTACCGATACCTCGCTCTTCAGAATTCCCTCACCGTGCTATTTGTCGTCTTCCACATGCTCATCACAACTGTAGAATATCATACCTTCTGCCTGTACATCCAGTTATTGCATAGTTCATTTGTATCACACGCCTACATCACCTAGTCCATAACATAGCAGTTTCCACACTGTACCATACCTCACACATCGTGCACATATACATCAGTTCCGACATTCCCGCACTTTCCTCACACGAACGCCGTCAACGACAGGGACTGGGCACACGAGTACGACCTCGACATGGGCCTCCCCCTTGAGCGTATATAAGTATCTACTGTGTACTTCGCGCATCTCCTTCTCCGAGCGAGTGACCTTGGCACGCCCCGACGTGCGCATGCTCCACGCCTCTTCCCATTACAGCCCCTCGTATAACGCGCCCCACGTCTCGACCTCGCGCCAGTGTTCTTCGCCAGATCCGGCCGCCAGAGGCCGAAAGGACCACCGGGCCTCCGACACGCCCGCAGAGCCGTCGCACGGAACTTGAGCAGCCGGTTTGCGAGTGAAGCATCGTGCGGCGTGGGCATGTACCGCGTCTGCGACCGTGCGCGAGCGGGGCGGCGGTGACGACGCAGGCGGGATGGGCAGGATGATTATTGGTGGTGCGCGACTTCGACACAACTTCAACTTGCGTTTCGTTGAGGGGCAACGTTCGCAAAAAGGATGTTGGCCGTGATTGCCGGCTCACCGATAAATAACCGTGACAAGAAGTGGGGGATATATGGACCTCAACGAAATCGATTCGAGGAGTACGGTGAGACCCGGACGCTTCGGCAGAGAAAGACTTAAGTTCTAGCAGAGGTATGACCCGGAGAGCGAGACTTTCTTCCTCTTATGACGGCCATAAACCCTCAACATGGCGGTACAGCAGAGAGGAATGATTCCGGACGACGGGAAGCGGGCGAGTTCGGATAGGGGAAGGGCATATATTCGGGAAAACTGGCCTTCACATGTTTGCCATACGTGTATCATGCCTCCACCCGATGTCATCCCTAGAAGTCTCGACGAACACAAACATCCGCATGGACTCCATTTGTGTTGCTCCAGTGCTTGGAGGGGTTGTACAGGGATGCCGCGAGATGGTGAACTCGTGAGGCTTGCAGTGATGATATCAGAGAGTCGATGTCCACAGAAGAGTGAACTAGTGAAGAAACAGGAAATGTAGGTGCGATATGAGGCATAAGAGGATAGGAGGGACGAGGTCTTGTGTTAGAACAAGAGGCGAGGGCCGGGCGCTACCGTGCTCGTGACTCGGCCAGCCCCACCGGGCCGCGCGGTCCCCGACCGGCGACTCTCCTACCAATCCTAAAGTATTCGAACTCCCATGTTCGTGGTCCACTTTGCGTAGGCTTTCTTGACTCGTCGGTGTTTTACGGAGCGTACGTAGCCTACGTGAGAAATAAAATCATGCTCGCTATCGTTTCCAGAACCTGTAGATAGACCAGTAAGCAATATATTCCGTCGATCGTCACCTAGAGACTCCGTTTGAACATGCGCACCTCAGTGACCTCACCTGCTGGAGGCCAACAATGGTGAGACTCTTTTCTTCGGATAGTGGGCATTTGCGAAGCTGCTTTCCGGATACGTTCCGGACGTCGACGTCCCTCCGCATCGCACGCCACTCTAAGCTGAGCGCTGTGCCACTGGTTGTGGCACCGATATCTCCTTCAGTCGTCCAGAAGCCATATACTTACCATATGTATTGCAGGTATCCGGGCTTGTGTGGTTCACACTGCCGTGGGCGCAAGGATGGTTGGTAACGTCCACAACTACTGTGGCCCAAGCTTCCTCGCCACCCAAGGGTGCCACTGCTCGAATAGTCGTGGTACGTAAATGATTTTGTGCTTGTCCATTGAACGGTCATTGGCTTTATACATGGTGTGGCGGGTGTAGGCGCAAGCGCCAGACGAACCGCGTTCATATAGTACAGCGGCCGGCCGCAGGAATCCTCCACTCCCCTCCTTCTTCAGATCATCGCGGAAAGGCTCTCCGTGCATCAGCCTTAGAAAAAGCCAACACCCTACACCCTCAGCTTAAAGAAATATGTCTTCATCCAGGTGAGCACTCCCCGATTTCCTCTTCTCCAGTTCACCAATGACGACGTAGTGCTGCACCCCCGCCCGTCGTTGCTAGAAAGCGAGGTCGGGAAGAGACTTCCGGGAGAGTAGAGGGGGAGAGGCTCTCAAAGAACTCCAAACGCACCATAGAGAAAGTTCTGGATGCAGTGAACAGTAGCCCGGAGGTCACGACCCGCCTCAAGAAGAACATCGACAATTGGTTCGCCTCGGCGAGTCCCGAGGACGCCTCGCGGATGATGGCATTGTTGCCCACTCCGGGACCCCATTCATCATCCCCTTCGTCCCCTCGCTCGCCTCTCCAGAATGCGGTCAACGCCTGCCCATCCCACCCGCCGCAGCACGCCGCCCTTCCCCACGGCTATGCACAGCCAGGCATGCATTTCCTTCCGATTCCAGCTGCGTACAAAATCCCCGTGCTCCCGCCCTACATCCCCGGCTACCCGCCGTCTGAGCGGAACAAGCCGCCGGCGAGGGCTTCGGCATCTATCAAGGACGACATCCTCGCAGGCAGGCCGGTCTCAGTCAGCAGGCTTCCGAAAAACTGGGAGCTTTCCCTAGACGAGTGGAACGCCATCTTGATCAAAGCTGGAGTAGCCAAGCCATAAGCCATGCCACCGGGTCTTCCGCTGCTCCCGAAACCCGCGCCGACGAAGACGAAGCGCTTCAATCCGAGCAGCGCGCTTCCTCTTGACCAGTTGATGAAGACCCTTCCGGACGCTTGGGTGGCGACTCAAGGGACTGGATGGCTCTGGGATAGCAACCGCATGCTGTACGTTCTGGCTCTTGTTGTACGCGCGTGGAGTAGCTTAGACTGGAATTAGTATGAAAGATAGAAGCAACTGTGCATGATTATGAATGCGACCACGTTCAACGATACATGCAGTTTGCTTGATTTATGATTCTCACCACACCACTGAATATCGACGTGGTCGTACTTAGCCTCGGTGACGTTCACTGTCGCTCATTCGCTGGGGGCGGTATCTGCAGCACTGCTGGCTGCTGGAGGAGACGCTCGGCCTAAAGCGTGCGGCTCGCATACACACTCTCGAGCGCATACTAAGCGCAACACTGAGTCTATCCACATCACCATGGTTGGAGGGCAACCAATTTCTGACGTCGTGATGCGGCATGTAGAGACGAGACCGATTATCTGTGTTCCCCACACGTGTGCGGCATGCTGCACCCGTTTCCGCAATATATACAGGCTGGCAAGCTTTCACTCGTATCTACACGTCGAGCGAATTGGGCACGACCAGCGTGCGTCGTCGCGGGGAAGAGCCGTTCGCGCCCCGGACGCTCTTCGTGTGCAGACGCGTCTCGGGTCGTCGCTCGTCTTCGGCGGACTGCTGTCGGCTGCGCGGTGAGGAGTGGCTTGATCAGCGAGCACGGTTTCCAACAGGTCCGTCGATCTGGATACTCGCACTGCAACCACTAACCTCCGCCGTGGAAACCAGGGGTCCACGGGATGAGGCTTCTTCGCCGTCCTGCACTACTGCGCGCGGAAACCGTGGGCCGCAACGGGGGGGCGCTCTGGGGGTAGAAGTTTCCGGGTATGGACCACTCGGACCAAAGCTCGAGGGCGGTGAGCGCCGTGCGGCGTGGAGGGGGCGAGGACGGCGGGCACGAGGTGATAGCGACTTGACAAGCGGGGACCTGCCAGGACCTGCAGGAGCCCACGACCGTCGCGGGTCGGCCCGCCGGGGAGACAGCCAGAGGGTCGTGGACGTAAGACAGGCGCCCAGATGGGGACGGAGGCGTGAAAGAATATCTAGGGCAGGACGCAGCAGTAGCCCGAGTGAATGTCGCGGGGGACCTCTCGACGAACCATCGCGGGGTAGCATCCTTGTGGGAGGGAAGAGGACAGGGCGGAAGGGAACTTGCTCAGGAAGGGTTGGGACGTACCAATGTAGCATGGTCGTCGTGGGACGGTGTCGAAGAGTGCGTACTGCTCAGTGAGTGCGCTTTCCGGAGAGAGATTGGTAGTGTGTTGCACTCCTATCTGGTGGTTGGCAAGTAGATCACCGGGCGTCCTTGAAGGCCCTCGTCGAGTGTGGTGGGGTGAGGGTGATCTGCACAAACGACAGCGGGGGCAAGCATAGATCGTCGAGCTCGCGAACAGGGTATGGGATGCACTTGAAGCGAGAGTGCAGATGGGGGGAAGGGGGGAATGCAGATGCGAGCATCATTTTATTTGTCTTGTACTAGGAGAGAAGTCCCAACCACCCTCGCTGGGGCACGCCGCCAGTCAGCGACAACTCCGGAGAGACGTCCCCGACGAACTCCGCCGACATTGTGATTGTCGAAATCAACGTACCACGTGCTGAGCTCGTCAAGCTGAGAGTAGGCGTGGTGCCTGGAGAGCCGTGATTCCCGATGAAAGTGAGGGCTTCGTTGTGCGATGTTTGTCTGGCGGCCTGTAGTCCGTCGCGACTGCTGTGCTGCTCGGGAACTCTCAACATGCTGTATGGAATCAGCCATCTGCTGCACTGTAGATTTGAAGATGGACGTACCACGGACAAGCACGCTCGCACCGCGCGTGCCTCACATGTTGGTCCAAGCGGAATGCTGGGTCCCCAGCGCCCAGAACTCCGACGCCCGCGGTGAATATCCGGAGATATCGCGCCTTGGGACAAGGCAGACGGGTCAGGACAAACGAAGCGCATGCCGATCACATACACGCGGTCAGTGCACGCAATGAACGGCCCTCGCGTGCACAAGAACGTGCACAATGCCGCCGCACCAGCGATGTTGTCGGCCGCAAGCCGTCCGAAGATATCCCGCTGGGTGCATCGACAGCCTCGACATCGAAGAGGTGGTACACATCCTTGGTCGCCAGCTCGGTGAGCTTGCCGAAGATCCTTGCGGTAGGGTTAGGGTTTATGCGGCTGGGATATCTTCAATCGCCACCGACATAGCTGAGCCAAAGGAGAGCAGGACACCTGAAAAGTTCGATGAGCTCGTGTCAGGAAGCCCGGCGAGAGACATACAGGAATTCGCGCCGCTGGGTGACGAGCGGAGGACGGGGCGCGGTGGAGAAATGGTTTGGGAATAGCGGCGAGCATCCGGGTGGCGGTTATTTGGCGAGTGCTCAGTGCGTGGGGAGCGACGGTTCTAATGGGTGGATCAGAAAGAAGATCGAAGCTCAAGGGCGGTTGACGAGGCGTCCACGGATTCTAGGGCGGGAAAAGGCGGCGCGCGCCGGCCCTGAGCGAATGCCTGGGCGTGCTGCGACCCATAAGTTGGGCGATATCTTTTCATACATGAGTGCTCAGGGGACGATACGTGACTTGGACAAGAGCAACGCACCTGCAGGAAGTTGAGGTCGTGTGGACCTACAGAGCGCGGCAGTCCGGAAGCGAGCCTCGTGAACATGCCCAAGCCGCGGGAGCGGAAATGCAAAGCAAACGTGCGGCGCAGGGTCCAACAGCGCGTTTGACCGCAAATTCCGTCGTTCCAGCGCGAGAAGACTGTCGACGTCCCTCGAGAAGAGTCTAAGAAGAGTGTCGCGGAGGCCAAACAACGCAGGTTGGCGGCGCATGCATAAGGTGTACCGGATGTACGAACCTGTGATGCGGGCGGGTCTCCTATCCTGCGCGCCGCGCGACGATTGAAATATTGACCCCTGTCCTGAGGATGGGACGACGTACGCGCCTTCCGTGCAATTTAGCGTGCGCGCAGGGGAGACTATGTGCGGGTGGGACTGTAGTCTTGATGTGCCAGCGAGGAGCGGTTGTTCGGCGGTAGTATGTAAGCTCGTGGTGACATATGCCCTGCGTGTGCGACGAGCTGATAATGAAAGCTCACTGATAACCAAGCGACGCACTCACAGCGCCCCAGTGCCTACGTGCCGGGACGAGGCGAATGGCGGGAGAGCGACGGAGAGTATGCGGCCAGGTTGGCTCAGAGGCACAACGACTAGCGGGCACGCAGGTGTCGCTGGACCGTCTGTGATTTGGAGGGTGCTCATGCAGGAGAGCATCAGAGAAACGCTATGCAGTCACGATATCGACTCTACTCGGGCCGAAAGGACGTTGTCACTCGAAGAGCAGCACAATACGGCCGATAGACGGGGAAGGTTGGAAGAGAAAACGCATATATTGGGGGAAGGGGCTACTACGACGCAGAACATACCGGTTACTCATTCTCCTCGACTGCACCCTTTCGTCGCCCGAGCACATATACTAATCGTGAGAGATTCCTTCCTCTAGATGTGATGGGTAGATTGTCTTTGGTGGTGGGAAGGTCGGTGGATACGGGGGTGACGAAAACAACGGCGTCCGGGACAGGGGGCGACGTGGCGAGGAAGACGAGCACGTCGGCGGCGAAGGAGGGAACCATGCAGCGCAGATGGCGTTCCAGATGTGGTGAGGTTACGCCCGGAGAGAGAGAGGAGGAAACGAGGACAGGGACGGGGATATCCGGGGTGGTGGTGGTGGTAGGAGGACAAGCAGGTTGGCACTGCCGTTTGCTGGCACGGCTTGCTCCGCGACATCTCATACCTCTCCATCCGCTCAGACCACGTCCAAGTCTGCCTCCTGAGGATCCTGCGACATATCTACCTCATACGTGCGTCGTGGGCGGGTTCGGAGAACAAGAAGGATCAGGTGAGTTTTCGAAATCGTCTCTCTGGGCGCTACTTACCGTCTGCGTGAGCCGTGGCAGTTTGCAAAGCTGAGCAGACCTTGGTGCAGCTAGGAGGTGGTGCACTTCTGCCGCGAATAAGAAAATATGTTGGTAAGATGGTCTGAGGTACTCACTGGACCCCAAGGTCCCGAAGGAATCCCAACAAAAGATGTCCCATTCCACGCTGAACCGCCTCGAAGCTCGGTGGAACTGGTTCGCTCGGGCATGTTCATTGTGGCATAACGGGGAAATCACTTTGGGTGCTGTCGTCAGCTGCTCGTTCTTTCGGTGAGCTGTATTGACGTGCCTTCAGGTTTCTGGCCTCCAGACTAGACACCAAGAGCCTCTGCTCGAGATCTGGCCTCTCTTCGGCAACAAGCGTCGAGTTGAGAGCCGTCCGATGTTTCGGCCGAACCCAGATGACGTACCTGTCCGGAAGTGGGCGGAGGTGCGAGTGTTTTTGGATTGCAATTAGATACAGCTGATGCGACGGCTCAAACGCTCACTTTTTTGACCAGAGCTATTATTGAAGCGAAGAAGCCGCGTGAAAGAAACTTGAAGGCGGCAATAAACGGTGCGTGGCGGCATGTCGATTTTACGATGCATCATCTAGTATTGAGCGGATTTTGTTAGGAACTACGGTTTCACCCCGAAGAGAGGAGTTAGATCCACGTGCCTGAGATTGCGTGCGTTTGAACGGGTATATGAAGTGACCGAGTGGCTGATATGAACGCTTGTTGATTAGGAGGTTGAAAGCTTGGAACCTTCTCGTAGATTTTCAACTTCTCGACGTCGGCCAAGACAGTGCTCCGCGCGGTGGTACCCACTCAATGACAGCGTAGGTTATCATCGACTCTGAGATGCGAGCATGTCAGGAGATGTTTCCATGACAGTTCGAAATTCTCACTGTTTGTCCAGGCTCAACTGCGTCCTCTTGGAAACCGTACGACGGCGATAAACATCACAAACAGACCGCATGCCGGTATGACGTAGAGGCAAGCTGGGCAAACTGCGGGCAAGACTCTAGCAATACTCGAGAAGCACATCATTTGAACTCGCCTTCACGCGCTCCTTGAACCCGTCCGTAGATCCGCCGATTCTCTGCTCTGCGTTTGCAAAGATCGTTCGTGGTCATGACCTCAGGTTTGTCATCTCAGTGCAAACGATATCGAGTTCGAGACAATATTCACAGAATACTTTGCAGATACTGCTCCTCCGGCGCGGTCTGATGCCACCACACCCCTCGATGCTATCTTCTGGTAGCGGGCAGTGTTGTTCAATGATGTTCGATGTAGATGGTGAGAATCTGCTTTCCGCTATTGAACGGGAGGAAGACGCGAGTTAGCTCAACCGGGCTCTGTGCAGAGGCAGCGGTCTCTCGACCGCTGTGTCTGCGCAGCGAAAGGTCTGGAGTCTGGAGGCGACATACCTCGCTTAGGATCCCGCACATGTGGGTCTCCCGAGATTGTACGCCAGTCGAGTTCTATGTGCCCTATGGTCGTGACTTCGGGAGGCGGCGGTCGCGCCCGAGAGGAAGTGCAGAATCCGTGACGCGACGGCCGTGGGCGGGCGTGTCCGGAAAAGGAGAGGCGGGTTCGCCGCACCACGAGGCGGAGCACAATGGTGAATTTGCGCACTGGGAACTCTGCCACTCGCCTCTTCCGTTGACTCATTCGTCTCTGTGCACGGGAACAGGATGTTGGGCGTACATCCGGATGGGGAAGCTGGAGAGGCGATGGGATTGGACGCTATTGTGGCATGACATCGTCATTGTCCTCTCGGGCGGGCTGGCTGGTGCGGGGTCCACGCTGCTATGACGGCTGTATCGGTGACCTCGAGCACACTCGAGGGTGAGAAGATGTGAACGGATCGCAGGGATTGGGTGGGGCCACCGAGAGGAACCATGTTTTTGGTGTTCGTGATTGTGGTCTCGGAAGTCGTGTGCCCATTTTGATGTGGTACGGTCTGCTTTATGACAATGTTTTTGTCTGGAGTAAGGCGGAGGCACAGCTGGAACTCGCTCAGTAAGGCGCACAACACCAGCGCAAAAGCGGCGCAGGCGCAGTCTGGAGCGGACGTGAATAGGGGAGTCCGTCGATGGTCGTGTGACGAAGGGCCCCTTGTCGTCGATACGCCACCTCTAGGCCACAGTTTCTATTCATCGGAAAGATGTGGTTCTAAGTCGACTCTGTGGCAGTTCCATTAGAGTGTTCACGTGCTTCTCTACTTTTAAATGCGAAGACATGGATGGTCATATCTTTACTGAGGAGTGGCAGACAGAGTCTTCGAACTCTGCCTGTGTAAATTCGGCCGGAATGACTGTGCTGGACAATCGGAACGTGGAGCGGTCACGTTACTGGACGCGCCTCGACACGCGTGAATTGGCCAGGCCCGACGCCCTTGGTCGCTATTCCTCCGCATCCGAACCTTCTCCCCCACCCCACCCCCACCCCCCAGTACGCGATCGTATTCCCCGTATATCATCTTCCACTACCTACACCTAAGCACACCCCACATGGCCTACCGCCACCACCCCAGTTTCGGTCATGAAGAAAAGCCTGACTCTAGGCTCAAACATCCTCAGCAGGACGTGTGGTTCGGCGTGTTGGGAATCGATAGCGGCGGGTACATTGTCGCTTCTACTAGGTCAGACGGGAGAATCGGTACGTCGCCTATTGCCTCATCCACCTCTCCCGTTGACATCGGCTACCACTCGACCAGACCAACCCCTCCCCGACTTCCCCGGCGTGTTCTCTCCTGAAGTTGAGCCCCCGCAAGGGTACGTTGCGGATCTCGACGGGAACAACACCTCCCATTTCCATAAACTACCCTTTAAACCTCCCCAACCGCTCTTCACAACGCCCACCAAGACACTCACCGTTTCCTCCCAAGACTTCTTGACATTCAGATCACCACACGCCTCAGAGTCCCCACGAACGTTCCCAATCCCTGTACCCACGACGCCGACCCCTCCGCCTTCGCCCTCCCCAGAAATCACCCCACCTTCACCCGCGCCCGCCACCCCGTCCAGCCTCCGCGGGCGCCCACTCCGCCTCCACCAGCCGGCGCGCAAACGCGACGATCCCGACGGAAGCACACCGCGGACAGCGACGACGAGGAGTGGGAGGCCAAGCGTCCGCAGACGGCGCTGACGGACGTCGACACGAACTTCGTGCGCCGAAGCATCCCCCCACGAGTGGCTGAGAGGTCGTCGAGCTCGAAGGCGGGCCGTCTCGCGTGCCTGACGCGCCGAATGGTCCGTACATCCCGGTGATCACTGCGGATGACTGGGAGGGGTTCGGGGAGGACGAAGAGAAGGAGAACGGGATCGATGAGCAGATGGATGCGAGCGAGGTGGATGAGCAGGCGGATGATAGCGAATTCGAGGTCAGTCGTTTTGAATGTTGGTTCTTCTGGGCGGTCACTGACGAAGGACACAGTACGGGGAGCCTGATCCCGCCGACAAGAAGGGAAAGGGAGTGGCGCGCGGAGTGCGCGCGCTGCCGCAGCCACACGCGCGTTCAAGGGTAAAGGAAAGGTCACAAACACCGCAGCGAAAGTGGTGGTGAGTGTCGAGTTTCATCACCGAATCCCATCGAGGCTCATACACGCATCAGAACAAAAAGAGTCGCAAGACGCACACGATCTGCCGCGACTGTGCCGTGGGGATGATGTAGAGTGCCCCTTCTACGGATGTAACTTCGTCAACTCCGTCAAGAACATGGTCGACGTGCGCAAGCACCTCGCCTCGCACTACGGCGCGAAGGAGGGCATGAGGGCGCCGCCAACGATCCAGCAGTCGGCGCTGAGCGCTCCCTCCCAGAAGAAGTCCAAGAAGACGAAGAAGGGGGACGCGAAGAAGGATGCGCCGGCACCAAAACCACTCTGGCCGTGCAAACTCGAGGGCTGCCAGCGTCAGTCGAGGCCCTACTCGGGCTACGAGAGCTTGCGGCGGCACCACGAGGAGGTCCACCTCAAGTGGATGTTCTTGTGCCCAGTCCAGGGCTGTTCCGTCACCTGTACCCGCGAGGATACCCTGAGGCGACATGTCCTTCTAATCCACAAGGAACTAACCCCGGAGGGGGAGAACCCGGAGTCGCCCGAGGACGAAGACGAGAATCTCACTGCGGGGAAGAAGACGCCGCGCCGCACCGGGCCGTCGAAGAAGTGATACACGCCCAGCAGATCTCCAAATCGTGCATCCTGGCGTTAAATGTGAGTGTCGAGCTTGTTGGCCCTGAGGGCGGTCAACTGACTTCAGAAAAGCTTACAGATTCAAGTTTCCGTCATTTACTTATACCGGCTACCTACTTTGTGCGTGTCGTTGTCAGGTTGTGTACCGCTTTCCTTTCTACGATCATACTTGTTCACCGCAGGTACTTGGCTTCCCTCTCCTCAGTGTTGGCCTCCATATTCATTGTCACATACTTCGTCCGTGCTTGCGGTGATATACCTTGGTTCGATGTATGACTCCGTAGTTTCCACCGAATGTTATTCAAGTGATTTGAGAAAATGAAGCGCGACTACGAGCCGCGAACACGGGCCCATTGTAGGTACCGTCGAGTCACTGTGCACAACCGGCTCCGAATTGTGCTCGGAGTGTGCTCTCACATCTTCCTCCCGTGGCACAGCGCGGAGGTACTGTGCGTGAACGCCTCGGAAGAGGCACCGCTAAAGCTTCTTTGGCTCGTTGTCACGGGCGCGGTAGTCGCCAAGGTGTTTGAGGGCGAAGCCGAAGCTGTCAACGTGCAAGCTCGCCGGGGTGATGTTGGCCGCCGTAGGTGGGAGCCTCCACAGTCCACTCGCCTCTTCGCTAGAGGTTCATCCATCGGGGATGACGGTGTGGCCGGTCGTGGTGAGCGGTGGGTGGGCGGAACTTGGTCTGAATAGAGACGATCCCAGCGAGCCTTGGCGGACGTGGTAGCCCAACCATGCCGCGATAAAAAGTGGATGAGCGTGTTTGCACACCTCGAAATCGCAGTGCTGGACGTCCGATGATAGGCTGACGAGCACCGCCTGCACTTATCGGCGGAGGGGTGCAGGCGTTGAGGGCGCCAACAACGCAAAACGCATTCGCAGTGGGGGCGCGCCTCGAGCTCGATTTCCCTCGCGGACCCGCACTCGCGCCCTCGGCCTCGCTCTGCGCGCGCACCAAGCAGCACGCGACCTTCGAGGGCTCAAGCTCCCACTGCAAGAGAAGGTGCATGTACAGAGTTCCCGGTGCCTCATCCCTGCTCGGTATCGATGCTCCACTCACGGCGAGCAATCCAGCGTGTGCACGCCAAAGAAGCGTTTCGCCGACGAGACGTGGTCGCAGTCCCGTATATGAACCCAACCTGCAAAGGGCAAGTTCTGGGTCAACTTCGCGCGGAATAGAGCTGAGCAACCGGGGTGCTGCTCACCGATGTCCAACTGATGCCCCCGTAACCCTGCGGGGAGGTGTACGCTGCAACATCGACGTGCTTGGGAGCGTAGCTGGACGGTAAGATGGCACCATAACAGGATGAAGACGTTCTTGATGTCACGACTGGGGACAGGACCTCCTAATCCAGCTCTGTATAAAGACCAGGACATGTTGGGGGACAGGTCAAGATCGGGGGCAGGGAAGTCGACGACCAACCCGAGCCGTGCCCAACAGATCATAGTTTGTTCATAGTGGCCGGAAACGCGACGGGCGGAGAATGGAAAGGGGAAAACGCATATATTTGGGATGTCGAACTACCACGACCCTAGACATACCAACTGCCCGCTCTCTTCCACAGTACGCTTCCCTTATCCGGGCATCTCCACCCATAATGAGGGCGTCCATTCCCTCGAGAGTTCGAGAGAGGTGACCATAGAGGTGGGTAGGTGGGTAAGATCCGGGGTTGACGACGACAGCGGAGTCTCGGAGTGGTCTTGACGTGTCAAGGAGAACGAGCAAGTCGGTGGTGAAAAGGAGGAAACCGCCGTAAATAAGGCATGCCGGAGGAGGAGAGATGGCGCTGGGAACAGGAGAGCTGAACGTGGGGGCACCGGGAGGAAGGGGATTCGAGATGGTTGTAGGAGGGCAAGCGTTGCGGTGCGGCGGCAGCCCGCTCGAGTCATCTGTCTTCGTCCGTGTCCTCCCACTGCACCAAACTCCTGCTCCACGTTTCGTAGCGGAAGACGTCCTTTTGAGCTGTCTATGTTCATTGTTCATGGGAGAGAGCGGTAGACGGAGGACGAAACGCCATGGCGGGCGGGTGGAGCAGCGGCGACCTGATGAGGCGTTCCGGCGGAGTGAGGGCGGAATCGATTGACTACGGCCTTGAAGGAAAGTGAGAGATGAGCCTAGGAGAGGAGCTGAAGAACCTGAAGGACGTCGAGAGGTGGTGGTGGTGGTGGTGGTGGTAGTGAGGGTGGGAGAACAAGACGCGCCAGAGTCCTGCGTCTCGGCGTCGCTTTTGGCTGTGCGGAGTTTTTGACGCAAACCCTCGCGCTCGTGCAGCTGACGATCCCCCATGCCAGGCCTGGGGCCTGTACACGACCTTGACGGTAAGAAATGGGTATGCAGGAGGCGAGGCAACGCTAGTGGTGAGTTTCGAGGACACAAAACACTTCTGCGCTAACTGCTTGTCTCGTCTGCGGTCGCATGGACAGCGCAGTCGTTGCAGTATCAGAGCGTATGCATGCGCCTCAGGCTTCACTTGCTCAAACTGCGAAGAGGTTGCTTTTGATGTGAAAGGCGGTCTGCCTATAGACAGCACTAGAGGCCAAGGAAGCACTCGTGTGTGCTATTTGGGTTGTAAGTCAATGCGCTACACATTATAGGACTTTTCTCGTACTGACATTCACACCTCCGTATAACGGGCCTATCCACTGATACGCACGCGCTGTCGCTGTACGCACGAACATCGACCAGGCTAACGCCCGCGCGATCATCTCCGCGCGCGTTTGTCCTCGTCTTCGTGCATCTCATCTATTCCGTCTCGCGCACCCTCCGCTATCTGCCCGCGGATACCTCAGGATAACCGATTCAGCACAGCGGATGGGACCGTCAGGGCGCGACGCATGAGAACCGACCGCAACGCCTTCTGTGTGCTCTCGCGGTCTACACCGCGCGTACGCGGTCGGCGCCGCCACCGGCGCTTGCGAGCACGACATACGGCCTGCGATACCCGGACCGTCCCTGGCGACGATTTTCATCTCGCACTGGCTGTCCTTCTCCTACACGATGTCATCCAGACCGGCACCCTGGCTGTGCGCTCATCAACGCTGTTCCGCTTCACCTGCCCTCCACAACTGTGCTCTCGTCTGCCGGCAATGGCGATCCAGACCTCAATCCCCTCACAGATGTCCTCTCAGTGCCTTCCGTAATTTCCCGAAAATCTTGGTCACCACCCTCCTAGGGACACACCTGTCGGTCCCCCCTGCGGCGGTCTCCGTCATCTCGTCGCCGAATTCGATCACAGCGCGTATGCGGAAGGCAGCAGAGGTGCATTGCATCGACCTCGGCGACTTACTTGACCTGCTCGTTGGCCACGGTGTCGTCTCGCGGGACGTCTTGGTGACGTTGGACATGCACATTCACATTTACCCCGGTGTTTGTCGACTGTGGAATGGCATCCACGCCCAACCTCGAGCACCTCTCCATCCTCCTCAGTCATCCCCCCCAAGACCAGCCCACTCTCGGCAATACCGCACGTATGCACGCCATCGTTTCCGGACCCCTTGTTTCGTTATTGACGCGCTCTACTCCCAGATCAAAACACTCGTCGTTCCTTGGGCGCGCTCACCGGCTGTCCGCGCCTACGCACCCTCGCCATCATCTACGGCGAGCCCGAGTCCCGTCCCATACGCTCCTGGTGTCACAGGACCCTCACCGACGCGCTCCCCGTCCTCCTCGCCGACCAATTCTCCAGCACGCCCGCCCCTCATCACGCCCTCGAGACGCTCAAGCTCGAGACCACGTACTGGGCCGTCGACCTCGACCGTGCGTGGTCCTCCTCAGTGATCGATCGGCTCGCCGAGACGCTTTGCGACCGGGATCACTACCCAGCGTTCTGGACGGTGCGGGTGCGGGCGATCCTCTGACGAACGCGGAGGACGACAGTGGATTGCTCGAAGTGCCGGGCGAGGTGTCGAAGCGCGTCTTTGTGCCGTTTGCGACCCGGGGCACGGACGCGGACGTCGATGCGGAGTTCATGTTCGGAGAACCTCCCCGGAACGGAGCGGTCGACGAAGGAGGCGAGGTGGTGGGAGGCTGGTGAACCCGTCGGATCAGCAGAGGGGATCGTCGGGAAAAGGGGACGAAGGCGAGGGCGAGAGTAGCTGAAACAGGATTCTGCGGTGCGTTCTCGTGAATCGGCCGCCGGTTTCTTCTTGCTGATTCGCTCGTTCTGTCAGGCTTAGACGATTAATGAGCAATTTCTGACGGTCGACCCCATCAGGCTTTCCTCTGCATGTCCAAGTGGTACCTAGGCGCATTGAGGTCCTTCCGACTCACCTGGCTTCAGTTTTGCGAGAAAGCACCATTTCCAGCGCTTTCGACACCCTCACCAGACCGCTCTGCATCTACGCTTTCCTCCGTGCTGGCTTTCACAGACTGGGAAGGCAAGTGCGACGCGGTCATGTACACTCGGAGCTCGATCGACCTTTGAGGCGCGTTACGTCACACATACGTTGCAACATCACGCGTGTGACGGCGACCTCAATCTCTTGAGCTCGACCACTAGCCAGCCAGCAACGCAGGAGGCCGTGATGTCCATTCACGCCGTGAACCGCGTCCAGTGCCGTCTCGCCTGGGACGGCAGCAATCCCTCCGTCATTTGCATCGATAGTCCGGGTACACGTCTCCTCAACGCTTCCAATGGCCAGATCACCCCGCTGTGGCTGCAGCCACCCACGCGCCTCTCTTCTTCTCTCACCTCGACCAGGCCAACAGTCCCGTGCACTTCGCTGACGCTGTCGACGTCCTCTACGTCTAGAGAGCCGAGGTCACGCCGGGGAAGGATCGAGCGCACTCGACGATCCTGTCGATACGCAGCATATTTCTAGTGGATCAATGCTGTTCCTCCTGGAGGTCGAGACCGCGTTCTTCTCTATCGGGGTGAGTCATCACTCTATTCACCGTTACTTTCGCGTCTCACGAGACGAGCACTGCCCACGGCGCGACTTCCTCTCCCTCTCGCGATTGCACTCGTGGACGTCCTAGTACTTACGTTCTCTTATCGCTTCATGATACATTTTATTTATACCACACGTTCCTACATCTCTTCGTCTCCTCTTTATTTCTCTGTCTTGGCCCCCTCCGTCCATCTCCACGCTCTGTCCCGCCTCTTCTGCACTCCCGTGTCGAGGATCCACATTTTGCTTCAGATCTGCACGTTCTTGTTTACTGTCTTCGGTACAGTCTCTTCTCTGAGATACGTCCTCGCGCCGCGCGCCGTATGTATTTAAGCTCTTAGTTCACTTCCCGGCTATTCTCGCGTGTGTGGTGTGTTCATCCACCTTCGCCCCGACTTCTTCTCGCTACACCTCGACTTCGCACACGCCAACGCCAACGCCCACCTCCTCGCATCTTTTATCATATCGCCAGCGCCCGTGTGCGCGAGCTCGTCTTCCTCGCGTCTGTTCCCCCGTCCTTGTCCACTTCGCGCGCCACGCGTTCGCTCGCTCAGCCTCTCTTCGTGTGTGCCCTCCACGCAGCGTGTCGTGTCTTGCTTCTTTTTTCACCTCACTCGATCTCCCGAGCTCCGCGCTTACGCTCTCTCGCCCTCACCCCTGTCGACACCCCAGAGTTGGCGTCATATCAGCGCGTAACAGCATCGTCACGACCGTTCCATGCGCGATGCTACTGTCGGTTGGCTCTCTAAAACATGAACGAACGACGTGCAGTTATATTCGCAATAGGTCGTGCTCTACATCTCGTCCCACCAAACCTGAAGCTATATAGCAATCATAACCTCCGTCCATCCACCCTCACTTGCAGCGTTTCTCTACCTAACGGACTAGGGGAGAACGATAACACGACTTCCCAAGAGCAACCCTGCGCTCGGCACTGCACTGGCCATGGTCCGTCCATGTCGATATGATCCGTCTCGCACGAATGCACATCCTCGGCGGCAGAGGTTTCTTTATGGGGCCATAAAGCACGAAGGATGCAGAAATGTTGTCGGCGTGGTACATCTGGACCAGGCGTGTTCGTCGCAGTTTGAGATGACAGCGAGGTTAGCATCAATGAGCACAGGTGGTTGTCGATAGGGGAATCGACGTGAGAGCATATTCCAAGAACAACAGTCGCCACGGTTTGAGACATGTATCCGTTGAAACGGAGGGAGACGTTTTTGGTGGAAGAAGGCGACGGCAGGGTGCTTGCTTCGCTGTCGAAGAAGATGAACCGGTCTTCAAGCTGGAGGAAGTCGCAAAAAGCAAGGCGAAAGGGGGAGCTTGTAGTGGTTGTTTCGCAGAAGCGTTTAAGCAACTCCATCCCCGCGGTTTTGCGCTCGGAGACGTCACCGGTGTACGTCGGGAGGGCTACAACACACAGGTCTGTCATCTTCCAGCCATGTAAGGCGGTGTCGGTGATTGGTTTCCTCATACACACAACAGGCTTCTCCGTGGGCTGGTAGAGCGGAGCAGCGCCATCGTTGGACCTCTCGTCGTCCACCCTTTGAAGCAAGAGGAAGAGCCGGGGTCCACTGTGATCTCTGCAGAATAAGTCGACGAGGAGGTATCTATTTGTATCATCCAGAGGCAGAGCGGCCGCGCGGAGCTCGATCCCACCTGGCGACGTGGAGAATGTGGGAGCACGGAGTTCTGTGGTCGTCGAGCAGCAGTGAATCGCTAGGAGCACCTGTTGCCATAGCCCATCGGCAGCTACAGGTGCACCTATTGATCCGTGATGCGCGCCCGTGTAGACGCGCCTCGCCAGGCGTGGCGCGCATCAACGCGTGGCTGTGATGCATGCCACGCGTCCTTCGCCGTCCTCGCTCTCCTCCTCCTCCTCTTCCTCCTCCTCCACCCTCACTGCCCCCGTCCTTCCCGCTCTGTCCAGGCAGACGATAGCGACCATATGGTCGACTGTCGTCTGCTATTGGACTACGGTGTCACCAGGTGACACCGACCTTCCCTCCTCCGGCCGACCTCGACCTCGACCTCAATCCCGCCCTTCACCCAGCTTGCCGGCCTCCCTCACAACGTCAAGAGCGCATGAGGACGTCCGGATGGACGTCCTCAGCATGGAGATTGGAATAGGGGGGCCGCGGCGATGTACCGTGGCCCCCGCTTTGGTGAGTCCTCCGCTCCGCCCTCACGCATTCCCAACGCCCACCTGCCGCGTCGACAACTACAACAGGCCGCCGAGGACGTCCGCACGGACGTCCTCATTCTCCTTTCGGCCCTCCTCCGCGCCCTCCTCCGCGCCGCTCTTCTCTGCGCACGTCGCCCGCGCACGCCACCTCCCTCTGCATCGTCCGCAGAGGCGTCGCCCTCCTCCGCTTGCACCGCCCGCGCACGCCGCCCGCGCACACCGCTCGCGAACGCCGCCCCGCGCCGCCACCATCCTCCGCGCCGCTCCCCTCTGCCCGCGTCACCCGCCTCCTTCGCCCGCGCTACCCGCCTCCTCCATGTCGTCGCCCGCTGCCCTCCAAATCGCGCTCCTCCGCCCGCCTCGCCCTTCTCCGCGCTGCCCTCCACCTGCCTCGCCCGTCACGCGCTTCCGCACCGCACTCCTCAGCCCGCCTCGCCCGCCCGCCTTGCCCTCCTGCGGCGCCCTCCTCCTCCCCGTCGTACTCCGCCCGCGCACGCCGCCCTGCTCCGCCCACGCTTGCCGCCACTTTCACGCCGCCCACCTCCTTCGTGCCGCCCGCCCCCGCTTCACTCTCCCTCGCGTTACCGGCCTCCGCCTCCTCCGCCTCGTCCCGGCCCTGCCCCTCCTCCTGCGAGCCCTCCGTCATGTAGTAGCATACGTTAAATATATTTCATCTCCATTAATAAACTAGTACACATACAAAAAGGGTGTTCAAAAACAATACAGGGACGACGAGCACGAATGGGCGCCCGTATGGCGTGCGTGTGCGCGTCTGGGGAAGTGGTGTGATGGGGGTGGACATAGCAACGGGGCCGTGCCTGAGATCAACAGGTGCATCCGCACCTGCCGACAGGCTATGGGAACGGATGCACCCGGCGATTCACTACTGTAGGGTCGTCCATGTGGCAGACCAGTGGTGCTAAATTTTAAAATGGTCGTCAATGTAGCACAGCATAGAATGATATCCATATCAGCGTACCTTATTCTGTCCTGGCTGAGATTGTGCATCCGGGTTGTAGAACACATAACGAAGGTGGGACGAAGGCTGGAGGGGGAGAAGATGACGACGGGTTTGGCTTTGGGGATTCTTCTGGAGGTATGATTTGAGGTAGTGATCACCATGGGTCACCCATGGGTCATTCTGGCCTGACCCGGACCCACACCCACGAAACCCGGACCCACCGACCCACGGGTCGTTGCACTCATGGGTGGGCGTCTATACACGTGGGTGGGCATGGGTTGTGACCGTTCACGGGTCACCCAAGGGTCACCCAGGGTGAGGGCAAGCCAAGCCAGAAATAATAAAAACAACAGCGGCAGCTGCAGCTACAGCAGTGGCAATGCACGAGGTACCTACCACTAGTAACTTGACGCAACCCGCGTGACGGTACAGACACTCTGACATGCAGTACGGACACGCAGACGCATACACTCCTGAGATGCGGCATGCGGTAGACACTCGGACGTGGGTGGTGCGGAGACGACACACATGGAACGGGAACGGCATGCACGATACGCAGCGGCACACATGGAACAGTGGCTGCGCACAGTCTGGCAGCATGTGCAATGGTGTGGAACAGGGCCGACACAGGTGGTGCTGCGACAACGCACATGGTATGGGCAACGCACGCGTTTCGGCGGCGACGCGCGCGCGGTTTAACGGCGGCGACGCGCACGGTTTAACGGCGGCGATGCGCGCGGCTCAACGGCGGCGACGCGCAGCTCAACAGCAGTGACACGCGGCTCGGCAGCAGCGACGCGCAGGGCTCAACGGTGGCGACGCACGGGGCTCAACGGCGGCGACGTGTGCAGTGTGATGAGGATGATGTGCGCGGTGTGGTGGGAACAATGTATGCGGTGCGGCACTGCGATACATGCACTGGGTGGGGAAAGGCGGAGAGCAAGCGGGAAGTAAATTGATAAGCACATACACAATACTGCGTTCTAACCATCCGAGAGATCGATCTTGTCGTAACCGTGCGGCATCTTGAAGTCGAGGAGGTGAGTCTCTTCAATTTCGTCCATGGCTGCCACATCGAGTACATCTTCAGGCCGGATGAAGCCAAGACGAGACCAGCTCCCGAGGCACAGCAGCGCACGGGTCGTCTGCGCGCTGAGTCGGTTGCGGACATAGGGCAGAAGGAGTCGCCCCCGGCTGAACAGCCGCTCGACGTCGATGGAAGTGGCTGCACTGAGTGGTAAGTAAAGAGATACGATTCTGGACTTATCAGAACTCACCGGGGATCATCAAGAAGTCGCGAGCCATACGGCTCAAGCAAGGATACTGCTTTGCGTGCGATTTCCACCAGTCGAGCGGGTCTTTCACACGGACAATGGACTCCGCGAGGTAGCGCGTGAGTTCGTCTTCATCCATTGAGTCACCGCCTTTTGGAAGGAAAGGCAGTGTATCAAACATGTTGACGTTCTCGTCGTCCTGTGACAATAGAATGAGAGCTTGTAACACAATAAATGTTACACAGCACGTACCATAGCGTCGTTTCGACCTGCCTGTCTGCGTAGTAGATCCACCTCATCAATGTCTTCATCCATCGCAGTCGCGTCCGGGGTATCGCGCTTGTAGTTCAGGTCGTACTCATCGCGGACGAGACCCTTTGCAGTCTCTATCCAATTGTCTTGCCAGTGATGAGTCTTGAAATACTCGAGCTTAAAGCTCGGGTGTAGCACTGCGCACAATCTGGTTAACTATAGCCCAACAGGTTTGAGTGAACTCACCCATCGCGATACGATAAGCTTCAGTCGAATCAGTAAGCTCATAATACTTGTTCAAAACCTTCTTTGCGAAGCCATGAGCCTGGCGAACGGCGACGTCATATGGGACGCCTTTCGAGGTTTTGCTGCCCGGGAGATGTGTCGTCGTCAGGTGCTCATCGAGGATGTCCATGACGGGGATGACAGTGGCGAGATTTGGGGTGCTGCGGGAGAAGAATAACGTCGCATCCTTGAAGATCTGTGGGTGAGCGAGCAGGCAGATGTGCGTGTGTGAAGTCGTTCGGCATGCGGATGCGTGCGTGCAGCGCGCGGTAGGCAGTTGTGGAGAGGAGAGGGTGGAGAAGTCGACCGCCGGGCGCGTACGTGTGTGCGGTGTTGTGTGTGTGTTGGGCGTTGTGTGTGTTTTGTGCACAGTGCGGAGTGCGGAGCACGGCGTACGTGTGAGCGGCGTTGTGAGCGGCGTTGTGCGCGCGTCGGGCGTCGTGCGGAGTGCGTTATGCGGAGTGTGGAGTGCAGTGCGTGGAGTGCGGCGCGCAGAGTGCGTGCGTGCGTGCGTGCGTGCGTGCGTGCGTGCGTGCGTGCGTGCGTGCGTGCGTGCGTGCGTGCGTGCGTGCGTGCGTGCGTGCGTGTGAGTATGAGTGGGCGTGTGGCGTGCGGGTGGGCAGTGTGAGGGCGTGCAGGTGTCCAAAATGCGGGTGGGAGTGCGGGGATGAGGGAATGAGGGAAGGCAGGCCGTTCAGTGCGCGTGCCATGTGGATGGGTGGGTGTGTGAGCGTGCAGGAGTGCAGGCAGGCGTGCGTGTGGGAAGAGGGTGGAAGGCGAAGTTGTCCGTTCGTGTGCACATGCCGTGTGGAGGGCGGGCGTGTGGAGGGCGGGCGTGTGGAGGGCGGGCGTGCAGGCAGGTGGGGCATGTGTGCGTGCGTGCGGCGGGGAAGACAGCGGAGAGGTTGGACGGGGTGGAAAGATCCCGGAAATGCGGCCGAGAAGAATCATGAGCGCACTAGTACATGCATCATGCAGAAACACGCACCTTCAAGACCTCTACAAGCTGTTCAGCGATTACCCATTCCCGCTTGGAGAGACGGTACTCCTCGAGATCAGTGGTGTGGAAATCATGGTCTGGCACACAGAACGACTTGATGGCAGTCTTGAGGCGCAAGGCTCGCTTCAGCATGTCGAACGTTGAGTTCCACCGGCACTTGACATCCCTTCGAAGCATCAGAGTCGGCTGATTGAGAAGAGCAAGCTGTTGCTTCCATGCTGGAAGCAAGATTGTGGACGAATTCTTGATTGCGCAGGCAAGACGGCGGAGCTACGAGGTGGCCCGGTGAGTCTCCGGCGACAGATCATGGGAGTGGGAACGTACCTTAGTCAGCATTGTGCGCACAGGGCGAAGAGCGGCACGATACTCGCGGAGCTCCGCATCCGTCATGCCAGACATCTCGTCGACCCATTCCTCACCGTCAATGATCCCTGCGAGGTCCTCATCACTCTCTGCCTCCTGCTCACCCTCGTCTTCATCGTCCTCCTCGTCCTCGCTCTCCTCTGCTGCGTCCTCAAAGTCCTCCTCGACCTCCATGTTGTCTTCACTCTCCCCCTCTGCGGTCTTCTTTTTGCGAACAGGCTCGAACTGCTTTAGCATGCCGAAGCCGACAAGCTGGATGACGTGCCCGAAACAGTGCACATGTCCGGTCGACGCACGGAACTTGGGCAGACGGTCGTCCATCCGCTCAACCATCACGTTGTTTGCGGAGGCACTGTCACATGCAACCGCAAGGAGCTAGGTGAGTTTTACAGTCAGCTTCAACACTCTGATGAGGCTTAGCATGCGCACGAACCATATCTTGGATACCAAACTCGCACAGAATGCGGACTTGTGTGTCGCCGAGAGTCTGGCCTGTGTGTGACTGATAGAGAAGATCAATCAGCCGCTTGCCCGACGTCAGATTGGGCTGGATCTCAAAGGTGCGTACCTTCGGCACCTCGATAACATCGAGCACCAAGCTGATCGGATCTCCGTTGTGTACAAAGTGCACTAGGATACCAACGAACGGGTGCCCATTGGGCGACGTCCAGCAGTCAGTCGAGATGCTGAGTTGGCCGTCATAGTTCTGGCCGCGCACAATCATATCCGGTAAGCTCGCATGGTATCTAACATCACAAGATACTCACTCACCCGCAGCATATGACTCAAGCGGTTGCGCGAGCGCGCGAAGAGAGTCTTGACATCGCGCGCCACAGTTGTCGCCGAAGGGATCCAGTATCCGGGTCGTCCAGTCTTGAGCAGCGACCGGAGGCGTTCGTCGTTAACGATGTTGAACGGCCGGTAAGACTCTGCCATCCATCTCGCAAACTCGGCGCTGACAGCTACATTAGAGGCGCCATTATAACAAGAAACAACGATGCAAGACTTACCGTACTTCCGTGCGGGTATGTTGACGATGTGAGTAAGTTACCGGTCCCTTCCCTTTGCGCTCGAAGAACGTGGTGATGTCACCGTTTTCAGACGCGTTCTTGACGAAGTGCTGGCGCACTTCGCCCGGTGTCATTCTGTTCTTGATAGTGTGATTGACTGCTTCTTCACCCCAGCAGACCCTCGCATGTCGGAACATATTCCCAGTCGAAGTTGCGTCGGCTGTGTTTAGAAACCTATTGATGAACTTTTTGTTACACTTACAGCCCTTCGCTCCACACTCGAAGATGTGAACACGGCGTCCGCCGACATCCACGATCTTGGGGATGGGTTTGAAGAACCCATAGATCGGGGAGTTCCAACCACGACCCATCATGGCGGCTGCATGGCAGCGCACATAACGATTACCAGTAAGTAAATGTTCATATATGCAAGACTGTGTACTTACTGAGCTGCTTGAGTCCGTCTTCATCGTCTTCGAACCACGGCACACCATTCTTCCCCTTGGTGAAGGATTCGGCCAGAGTGCCAGAGTCTTCGCCCTCGCCGTCGTCGGAGTCTTCAGAATCATCGATGTCGATCACATCACGGTGCGTAGCCTCCTCCTCTTCCTCCGACAAACAGTACGGCGACTGATATCGTACCTTGCCCTTTGATGCAGCCTTCTTGCTCTTCTTCAGACTTTTTCCCGGCTTGTCCACACCTCGCGCCGAGCCGCCCGCGACCTTCCCACCACCATCCTCCACGACCTTCGCACTGGTCGCCGCAGCCTTCGCGCTGGTCGCTGTGGCCTTCGCGCTGGTTGCTGTGGCCTTCGCGCTGGTCGCCGTGGCCTTCGCGCTGGTCGCCGTGGCCTTCGCGCTGGTTGTCGCGGCCTTCGCACCAGTTGCCGCGACCTTCCCACTGCCCGCCGTGACCTTCCCGCTACCCGCCGCGACCTTCCCGCCACCTGCCGCGACCTTCCCACCACCTGCCGCGACCTTCCCACCACCTGCCGCGACCTTCCCACCACCTGCCGCGACCTTCCCGCTGCCCCCTACGACCTTCCCACCACCCACTGCCTTCCCGCCACCTGCCAACTTCGCAATCTCAGTGGGGCGACCAGCAGGGGAGGAGGCGGCACCGCCAGGTGGAGTGGAGGAGGAGGACTGGGGCAGCGCAGTCGAAGCCTCCGAGATGTGAACAGGGCTCGCGTGGGCAGTGGAACTGGCTGGTGCTGGTCCCACACGAGCCTCAGCGGCAGAGCCAGGTGCAGGCCCCGGCGCGCGAGCGGCGGGCGCAGGCCCTGGCGCGCGAGCGGCGGGTGCAGGCCCTGGCGCGCGAGCGGCGGGCGCAGGTCCCGCACGAGCCTCGGTGGTGGAGCCAGGACCAGGTGCCACGCGAGCAGCAGAGCTGGCCTCAGTTGTCGGTTTTGGGCGAGCACCTCCGTTGCCAAGAGGCTTCGTGCGTGCAGCAGATGCGTAGCTGACAGGCTTCTCGCTCGCGCCGGCTGCACCAGGCTGTCATATTCGGTGAGTACTTTGCCGCAGTATTCAAGTAGTAGCCCGACAACTTACAACCATTCCCTCAGACTCAAGCATCTTCTGGGCCCTGTCCGAGAGCGTGCGGACTCGTTTTCCTGAGATCTCCCCCTCTGGCGCAGAGGGAGAGGCAGCTCGCTTGAGCGTCGGAGCAGGATGCCGGGGGTCGGACTCGGATACGGACATGAAGTGCAAGAAGAGGATATTCTGGGCGGCGGGCGGGGAAGTGGGGTGCTCAGGATAGCAAACGGAGGATGGCGGATTGGGGTTTGTGATTATGTAATTGTAGAACTGTACAGTTCGTGGCGCTAGCCACCCCTGTCGTGCTGATGGTAGTGACGGGAACGGCCCGAAGCACCCAGATGGCGGCGTTCAGTACAGCGTGACATAGCCGCCGGGTCACCCACGGGTTACCCGGCTAGTGCGTGGGTCATGAGGCCGTGACCCGGACCCGGACCCAGCACACCCATACCCGGGACCCGTGAGGGTTGGCCGTACCCGGGGTGATCACTAATTTGAGGTCATCCAAGGCATACACCTCCAGTCGTTTTCCCAAAAGGAAAATCGAAGGATCCTGTGAGGTCTTCAAGATCTCCATGAGGAGCCGGCAGAATGCGAGCCGCCCTTCGCCGTAGAGCGTCGGCATGTCTACAGTGGTGATTCACCAGGTGCATCCATTGCGATAGCCTATCAGCAGGTGGGGATGCATCTGGTGCCGGCCGGCCCGGTTGCGCTCCACACCGCCTTCCCTGAGCGCGCACGGATCCAGAGCACACACCAGCGCCTCGGGCCCTGCCACCTGAGCTCGCCGTCTCCGACGGTGAGCTCGCCTCCCTCTTTGATTCACACCGCATCTTGCATATGATTAGTGATCGAAATATATTTATTAGTGAACTACTACATAGGTGGGCTAGTAAGTAAGCCACGCCCCACGACAACGCGGAGGCAGAGGCGGAGGCGGGTGATGGGGAGCGGGGCAGCACAGAGAAGGACGAGGCGGGGGTCCAGGAGGAGGCGGAGGGACTAGGAGGAGGTGGAGGGCGATGTAGAGGACAAGGAGGAGGAGGGCGACGTGAATGCGGGAGACGCGGACGCGGGCTACGCAAAGGCGAGCGAGGCGGAGGTGAGGGACGCGAAGGCGGAGGAGAGCGAGGCGGAGGGCTCGCGGGGGACGCGGAGGGCCGGGACGAGGCGGAGAAGGTGGTGGGCGACGCGGGCGGGGGCGCGCGATGCGAAGGGGGAGGAGGCGCAGAGTAAAGAGGGCGGGCGACGCAGGCGGAGGAGGTGATGTGGGCCGGGACGACGCAGAGGAGGGCGGCGCGGGCAGGAGGTGCGGGGAGGAGGCAGGTGACGAGGGTGGAGGAGGGCGACGTGGAGAAGGGCAGAGGCGGAGTAAGGTGACGCGGAGGAGCGCGGTGACGCGGGAGGAGGAGGGTGATGCGGAGGAGGCGGGTGACATGGGCAGAGGAGGGCGGCGCGAAGGAGGCGGCAGGCACGGGTGGCGCAGGGCGAGGAGGGCGACGCAGAGGCGGATGGCGCAGGTGGGCGACGCAGACGGAGGAGAGTGGGTGGAGGAGAGCGGCTCGGAGGAGGAGGACGTCAGGGTGGACGTGCTCGGTCTGTCGTAGGCAGGGGACATGGGTGGGCATCGGGAGTGCAGAAGGACCGAGCGGAGGACTCACCAATGAGCGCCGTGGCCCCCTATTCCAATCTCCATGCTGTGGACGTCCGTATGGACGTCCTCGTGCGTTGTGTTTGTTTTGAGTGCGGTCGGGAAGGTGGGTATAGGGTGGGATCGAGGTCGAGGGAGGAGGTCAAGGTCGAGGGAGGTCGGAGAAGGGAAGATCGGCGTCACCTGGTGACACCGGGGTCCAATAGCAGACGACAGTCGACCGTATGGTCGCTATCGTCTGCCTGGGCAGAGCGGGGAGGCTGAGGGTAAGTAGCGAGGGTGGTGGAGGAGAGCAAGGACAGCAAAGGGGATGGACGCGTGGCGTGCATCACAGCCACGCGTCGATGCGCGCCACGCGTCCTTGCCGCCCACCGAGGCGCGTCTCCACGGGCGCGCATCACGGATCGCCAGATCCGTCCAGATGCATCCGTAGCTGCTGATAGGCTATCGCAACGGATGCACCAGGGAAATCACCTGTGCTCGGCATGTTGACCCCGAAAAGCCCGAAGAGGCTGTAGGCGGCGTCTTCCGGCCTCGTGGTGTCCCGACACACCGCCCATGATATGCGCGTCGCGATGCTCGCGTCGGTAAACGGGCTATCAAAGCGAAGGACCGCCGCACAAATCTCGGTTGCTTGTTCTAGGCGATTTGCGAGCTCGTACTTGGTTCCCAGACATATCCACTCCTTGGAATAGAACACGAGCATGCGAGACGCAATAAGCTCTTGGAGAGTCCAGCCCCGGAAGTGCCAGCGACTGAGTCGGAAGGCGCGCCACATGTTACCTGGATAAGTGTTGGAGTACTCGACGTCGCCGAGGTAGACGTAGCAGATGTTGGAGAGGGCGTAGTACCGGAACATGGAATTGATGCCTTCCGAGAGCTCGGAACTGCTCTCCTTGTTGATACAGCACGTGTCGACCCAAGCGTACTCGTATCCGTGCTGTTCGGCGAGCTCAAGGAATGATCGAACTTTTGGAGTGAGGCGATCGCGTGGATTGAACCATGGTGGTGACGACCGGTGTGGCTCAGCACATCCTTGGACCAGTGCAGGAGTAGGGTGGAGGGGACTTGTATCTGAATCTATCGAAGGCTCTTGGGTCTTGTATGTCAGCGCCCGGGAGGAAAGACGAACTTTAATCACACTGACCGCCGGGCACGAATTCAGTACCGGATGCTCGGCTGTCTCTGTGGTTCCCTTCGGCGCGACCGCGGACGACGGGAGAGGACTCCGTATGGCAAGGAGTGGGTAAGCGCAATGGCAACCCGAGAGTCTGCATGATCCGGGATTCCACTCGATGGAGAGCATCTTCGCGAGCCGCAGATTCCTTTGAGACTGCCTCAGAAATGAGAGAGAGGCGCTCGTTTCGGAGAGCCACAGCTTCTTCGGAAACTGCCTGGGAGATGAGAGATCGGAGCTCAGCTCGGGGCAAGGGACGCTGTTCTTCCGGGGAGAAGGGGCTGTTGGATTCTTCGTTCAGCTTTTGAACCTTTTGAAACGTTTCTTCTTCTTCTCCCCAGGTGTGCGACAGGATAGCATAGCCGAGTCCAGGAACGTCTTCGGGTCGGGGAAAGAAGACGAGGTTTGCGCGCGCAGTGCCCAGAAGCCACATCGCTTCTATCACGAATATTAGCACGGGCGTGTCACTCACGGGTAAGCACTAATACCGGGTGCGAGTTGAGGTGTAGGATTCGCGGGAGGAGTACAGACACTTGGGGAGCTTGAGCGAATGCGATACACATCATCGGAAGAGCGCACGTACGATGAGAGTATCTGCGACAGTGGTTGCGGTGGTCACCCTAATATCACAAAGGGCGTCGATGGCTGGGAGGAGAAGCAAGGTAGACGGGAGTAGACGTCGGAGGGGTTGAGGGCGAGACGGAAGAGGCCAAGCTGCCGGGAAGGCGACCCCAGTCTCATACGCCCACCGCACGGTGTACCATGCGGAACACGCACGTGATAGCTTTGGAGTGCCTCCGATGCTTCTCCTGAGAAACGAATGCGGATAGAGCGTGGGCCGGCTTCGCGCTCCCAGGGCGAGTGTCCCTGCCACGAACGTGCCAAACTCTGATAAGTATCGTGCGTTCGCCATTGGGTGGAGCGGTACAAGATGTGGTCCGATACCAAGATATCATAGATGGACCTCGATGAAATCGATTCGAGGAGTACGGTGAGCCCCGGACGCTTCGGCAGCGAAAGACTTGAGTACGAGCAGAGGTATGACCCGGAGAGCGATACTTTCTTTCTCTTGTGGCGATCATACACCCTCAACATAGCGGTACAGCAGAGAGGAATTATTCCGGACGATAAAAAGCGGGCGAGTTCGGAGAGGGGAAGCGCATATATTCGGGAAAACTGGCCTCCACACATGTGCCCTACGTATATCGGCCGCTGCCTCCACTCGACGCCATCCCTATAAATCTAGACGAACACAAACATCCGCATGGACTACATTTGTGTTGCTCCGGTGCTCGGAGGGGTTGTACGGGGATGCCGCGAGATGGTGAGGCTTGCAGTGACGATATCGGAGTCGATGTCCACAGAAGAGTGAATGAGTGAAGAAACAGGAAATACAGGTGCGATATGAAGCATCAGGGGGTCTTGTGTTGATGGCGGAAGGAGAACAAGAGGCGAGGGCTGGGCGCTGCCGTGGGAGATATCTGGTCGTGACTCGGTCAGCCACACCAGGCCGGTATCTACGGCTCCACTGGCTGCTGGAGGAGAGGCCAGGTCTAGAGCGTGCAGCTCGCATTCAGACTCTAAGCGCAACAGTGAATCTATCCCCATCATCCTGGTTAGAGGGCGACCAATTTCTGACGTCGTAATGCGGCAGGTGGAGACAAGACCGAATCGTCTGTGTTCCGTGTTGAAGCGCGAGCGTCACGGGTCGAGAGAGAGAATTAATGAAAGAAGTGGGTAGAATACATGGTGGTAGAAGTGTCTACAGCCACAGGAACGAGTCGGTGGACGAGTCTGTAGATAAGGTTCAGAGTCCGACCGGAGAAGCCCGAAGTACGAGGCGCTCTACTTTAACATTCCGAGCACGTATGCAGCATTGCATCCGTCTCCACAATATATACAGGCTGGCGCTTTCACTTGTATCTATACGTCGAGCGAATTGGGCACGACCAGCCCGCCGTGCGTGCCTCGTGCGTCGTCGCGGAGAAGAACCGTTCGCGCCCCAGACGCTCTTCGTGTGCAGACGCGTCTCCGGTCGTCGCTCGTCTTCGGCGGACTGCTGTCGGCTGCGCGGTGACGAGCGGCTTGATCAGCGAGCAACAGGTCCGTCGATCGGGAGACTCGCACTGCGACCCACGCACCTCCGCTGTGGACACCAGGGGTCCACGGGATGAGGCTCCTTCGCCGTCCTCCACAACCGTACACGGAAACCGTGGGCCGCAACGGCGGAGGGGCACGCTGGGGGTAGAAGTTTCCGGGTATGGACCACTCGGACCAAAGCTCAAGAGCGGTTGGCGCCGTGCGGCGTGGAGGGGGCGAGGACGGCGGGCACGAGGCGATAGCGACTTGACGAGCGGGGACCTTCCGGGACCTGTAGGGGCCCACGACCGTCGCAGGTCGGCCGGCCGGGGAGACAGCCAGAGGGTCGTGGTAGGACGGGCGCCCAGAGGCGTGAACGGATCTCTAGGGCAGGACGTGCAGCAGTAGCCCGAGCGAATGTCGCGGGGGACCTCTCGACGAACTGTCGCTGGATAGTAGCCTTGTGGGAGGGAAGAGAACGGGGCGGAAGGAATCTTGCGCAGGAAGGGTTGGTGTCGGTGTGGAGGATTGGGACGTACAAATGTAGCATGGTCTTCGTGGGACGGCGTCGAAGAGTGCGTACTGCTCAGTGAGTGCGCTTTCCGGAGAGAAGTTGGCAGTGTGTTGCACCCCCATCTGGTGGGTGACACGTAGATCACCGGACGTCCTTGAAGGCCCTCGTCGAGTGTGGTGGGGTGAGGGCGATCTGTACAAACGACAGCGGGGGCAAGCATAGATCGTCGAGCTCGCGAACAGGGCATGGGATGCACTTGAAGCGAGAGTGCAGACGGGGGAATGCAGGGAATGCAGATGCGAGCATCGTTTTATTTGTTTTGTACTAGGAGAAAAGTCCCAACCACCCTCGCAGGTGCACACTGCCAGTCAGCGACAACTCCGGAGAGACATCCCCGACGAACTCCGCCAATATTGCGATTGTCGAAATCAACGTACCACGTGCTGGGCCGGTCAATCTGAGAGCAGGTGTGGTGCCTGGAGAGCGATGAAAGTGAGGGCTTCGTTGTGCAATGTTCAGTGTCTGGCGGCCTGTAGTCCGTCGCGACTGCTGTGCTGCTCGGGCACTCTCAACATGTTGTATGCAATCAGCCATCTGCTGCGCCGTAGATTTCGAAGATGGGCATACCACGGACAAGCACGCTCGCACCGCGCGTGCCTCGCGTGTAGGTCCAAGCGGGATGATGGGTCTCCAGCGCCCAGAACTCCAACACCCGCGGTGAATATCGCACCTTGGGACGAGGAGTACGGGTCAGGACAAACGAAGCTCATGCCGATCACATGCACGCGGTCAGTGCGCGCAATGAACGGCCCTCGCGTGCACAAGAACGTACACAATGCCGCCGCATCAGTGATGTTGTCGGCCGTAAGCCGTCCGAAGATATCCCGCTGGGTGCATCGACAGCGACCTTGACCTCGAAGATTTATGCGGCTGGGACATCTTCGATCGCCATCGATGTAGCTCAACCAAAGAAGAGCAGGACACCTAAACTTCGATGAGCTCGTGTTGGGTCCGGTGGGGGGACATACCGGCATTTGCGCGGCCGGGTGACGAGCGGAGGACGGGGAGCGGAGGACGAATGGGTTGGGAACAGTGGCGAGCATCTGGGTGGCGGGGATTTGGTGAGTGCCCAGTCCGTGAGGAGCGACGGTTCAAATGGGTGGATCAGAAAGAAGATCGAGGGCGGTCGACGAGGCCTCCACGAAATCCAGGGCGTCAAAGGCGGCGCGCGTCGCCCCGAGCGAATGCCTGGGCGTGCTGCGACCCATAAGCTGGGCGATATCTTTTCATACATGAGTGCTCAGGGGACAATACGTTACTTAGACAAGAGCAACGTACCTGCAGGAAGTTGAGGTCGTGTGGACATACAGAGCGCGGCACTCCGGAAGCGAGCCTCGCGAACGTGCCCAAGCCGCGGGAGCGAAAATGCACAGAAAGCGTGCGTCGCAGGGTCCAACAGCGCGTTTCCTCGCAAACTTCGTCGTTCCAGCGCGAGAAGACTGTCGATGTCCCGCGAGTAGAGTCTGAGAAGAGGCTCGAGTAGGCCAAAAAACGCGCGCATACATAAGGTGTGCCGGATATACGAACCTATGATGTGGGCGGGTCTCCTATCTTGCGCGGTGGGGCACATCCTCCGTTGGGTGCGCGGAGTTGTGTGAACACTGTCATAGTGGGGCTTCGTGGATGGGATCACCCGATGTGCTCAAAGGCTGGTTCTACGTGCCGTCGGGAATGCTTCATGCGTTCACAGAGCATCGGGACGCGGAAAACAAACGAAGAGCAGGGAGCGTGGTGAAGCGTTCAAAGTCCTGGACGGGCGGAGCTTCGCGGTGGATTCGCGCGTGCAACGCTCCGGCGTGTCCAGACGGGTGAGGGCGGCGATGGCACTGGATAAAGACAGACGAAGACTCTCCCTGATTCGCTGGTTCAATCTCCATGGCAGAAATAGCCAGCAGCACCGACACGTAGAGGTAGCAGGGGGATAGCAGACGAGAGACGGATGTGGGCGAGAAAATGCATATATTGCGAGAATGCGGCTGCTACAGGTGTGCCACATACCGGCCCCGACCACATGCCTTCTCCGTCCTTTCCATGGCGTATGCGTATGTGAGACGCGTCTCCACCCGGCCAATCCAATGATTTTCAGGACGGGAAGTCGAATGGATGGCCAGTCGGTGGTGCTGGCAGTGGGAGACTCGGGGCTGTGGCGGAGTGGGGGGCAAAGGATACAGTCGGCAAGGAGAGCGAAGACGAGAGAAGGACGCGGGGGGGGGGGGGGGGGGGGGGGGGGGCTCCAGGAGGCAAGCTCGAAAGCCACAACCGGAGGTGGAGGTGGTGGTGGTGGTGGAGAAGGAGGATTTCGCGGGGCAGCCGCCGTCGGAGGCTTCCGTTCCGACTAGTCCCGACGCCCGTAGCGCGTCGCGGATGTCGCCTGTGTCTTGCACTTCGACTCGAGCCATCGTGCTTGCCGTGCGCAGCGTCCCTCGAGCAGTGCGTCGTCGTTGTGTGCATGCAAGATTGATGCTCTGATAGGGATTCGGTGGCCAACAAGTGCCGGTGGGTGCTTCGGTCAGTGCTAAAGCTCTTCGTCCACAGCGCAATCACTAAGAAGGCAGGGAGTGTCGCGCAAAAGAGTTCGCCTATGTCCTTTCAAGTCTTCGGTGACATTGATCGTGCCTACATGAATTGGAAGACATGAATTAACTCCTTTGGTCGCCGAAGGTTGGAAGGTCGGTCGTCTCGATCGAGCTTAAGTGCGGGCGAGTGCGTGTGTGAGCGTTCCCTTCACCAACAGCGATATCTGATTATGCTCTCGAGATTCCTTAGGTTGAGGTGGCTGA